AACAACGATCTAGGTAATGTATACTGTGGTATGTACACTGCCAGGAAAAAACACTACAACTTCATGACCTATTTACACCCTGCCATAACCAACCGGCTACATTTATCATAGTTCGGTTATACCCTACCCTACTCTACCCGATTCGTTGCGATCATAAACTATGATATTCCATTATACATAGATCCCCCTAACCCCACCGAGTTAATAGCTGCCCAATATCCATCCTACAACACCAATAACAACAACTCCTACGCGTAGGTATATACATATACAAATCCATATCTCCCACCTCCCTCCCCCTCAAACAACCCAGGATCCCATGTCTACATGCACGCCCACGCCGCGCCAGAGACTGAATAACGGTGGAGGGTAAAGTGGAGGTGGCTGACATGCATGCACAAGCCCCGATAAAAACCAGCTAGACCCCAGCTGGGAACGAAATCCTGACATCATAGTCCTGTTGACGCACAACTCAGGTGACCTCCTAAAGGTGTGTTAGTTTGCTTGCTTCCTCGCCCATTCCGGGCGTTCTATCGAGGGTGGAGGGGCTTGCGGATGGACGGAGTCGGGTTTTCTGGTTTGGTGTTTTTGATTGATTGATTGATTGTTCGGTTTGCTTGGCTTGGGTTTGGATGTTGGTTGACTTGCCTGTTTGGGTTACGTGCCTAGGCTATCTATCTATTTATCTGCCTATCTGGTTATCTACCTATTGTAAGAGTTGGGATGGGTAGGAAGGAATAGGGATTATTGGATGTTTGGCTTAGATGGTTCATTTGGAGAGGGGATATGGATGGTCCTCTGTACCCTACTGTCAGGTCGATATATTCGATACAGACTCAGAAGTCATACATCCATGCAGCAAGTTAGGCAACTTTGATATAATCAATAGTGTATCCATTCCATGGCTTCAATCCACAAGTAAACCTCTAGTCACTCACTACCTACTAAGTCATCTATAGATAACATCAAACACAAACAGACAACTAGAAATCAAGCTTCAATAGACACAGACATGGATGGATGGATATCTCGCCATTATCTGAATTAATAAAATAAATCAAACCGTCAATGCTTCATGTGAAAGGTATCCAATAAACAGAAAGAAAGAAGAAAACCCCCAAATGATGTGCTGGGTGGAAGAACATCACGCCAAAGATATCATAATAGCCCTTGTTTGCCCTTGTCAGCCTTCAAGGACAAAGGATGGATCGAGCTGGAAATGAAAGGATATAAAAAAAAGAGAACGCCCGTCCGATGTAGTGTGCTTGCTGGTTGGTGATTCGTGACCTCGAGTATGTAAGACTGCCCGACAGTCGTGCTCCATTAGTTTTCCGTCGTATTTTTGTTTTTATCCCTTTTTGTTTTTACCCCATGGAAAATCGTCAATAGATGGTTTTGCACGTCTGACAAGGCGAAGAATTCTCCGGATTTACCGGAACTTGGCTCGGCATCGTCCCATCACCTCGCCCTGGCAGACCAACTCGGCGCTGAATTCACTGCCATCAAGCGTCAGGTAGATGTCAAAATATACCCGGTAGAACGTTCCTTGAGGAGTGTCCATGCGCTCGAAATCCGTCTCCAGGTTCTTTCGGGACAGATCTGACGTCAGAGTCACAACCTCCTTGATACCTGTATCGAATATCATTAGCTCAGTCTTCGGCCGAAAGGGAGACCTAGAAGAACTCACGGGGATCCTTCGTATACTCCGGACACACGTCCTCGTCACACGCGTACAGGATATCCTCGTACATAAGCGTAGCACCTGGTGCAACCTGTCGGAAAAAGCTGACTTTGACTGGCTCGCCGATCTTGACCCGCTCCCCCTTCTGTACAAAGATCTGTCGCGTGTACTTGCAACGATCCCGGCCGTCCAGACTAGGCACACGGTATTGCTCGGGATGATATCCCTCTTTGAATGGCTGCAGGGTCGCCATGAGGTAATGCCGACGAGCAACACGGTGTGTAATCACTCGTTCGGTGATACCGGCCGTGACTGCACCTTTGACAATGGCAGCGACCGAGTCCATGGGTCGTACAACCTTGCTCTGATACTGCGGGGGCACGTGGAGCTTGATCTGCTGGAACAAGTACTCTGACGCACCGAATCCTCCCACCACGAGAACGTTCTGTTACAGTTAGTTTGAATCCTCATTGTTGCGTTTATCCGACATACCTGTAGCGATCGGTTTTGCGCCTGAATGGCGATAATCTGATTGCGAACCAACTCAAGGATTCGGTTGACGACCGGCTCAAAGCACTGAAGGATCTCCTCGTTCGTAAACGTCATATAACCTTCTTCGATTCCAGCATCGGGGAAGTCCGCCTCGATACCAACATCGACCGCCCACTTTTGCCCGTTGTTCCGGAAATCGGCCTTGATGCGGTTTTCAAAGTCCATGATACACTTGGCGTACACCTTGCCGGCCGTTCGGGAGCCGTCGGGCAGCTTCATCTTGCGAATCTTCGCCCGGAGAATGTTGCTGAAGTTCCGGTTGAGAGCCGTCGAACCGCAGGAGTCACCCGATCCAGCCGTGCACTCGGCCACGCTGAAGGGCTGCTCCTCCTCGACTTCGTAGGCAATCAAGTCGACGGTACCTCCACCGCAATCGACGATGAGGATCGCATCGCCAACCTTGAGGTTCAGCAATCCGGTCTTGGCGCAGAACAGCGCCGCCGCCTCGGGCTCGGAGATCAACGTCAGACGGTTGTCATTCTCGTCTCGCAGAAATCCCGCCTGCAGGGCCGCAGCACGCGTCGCCGCCTTACCAGCATCGTTCCAGATAGCCGGCACGGTGAGGTAGTACCGGATGTTGCGCTCCTCTCGCGTGAACACCTCGCCCAAGGTCTTTTGTAGTTGGTTGCGCATGGCCTGTCGCAGCTTGAAGAGGTAGTCGGCGGCGACGTCGATTTCCGACTTGCCGGGCGGGAGGGGCGGCAGGTTGATAGGATCGATATACGTATTACCGGAGAGCATGAGCTGCAGCTTGAACCATTCCACCTTCTGCACCCCTTGCTTGGGGTATCCGGTGGGGGCCAGGGCGTCGGCGATGTCAGGGCCCCATCCCACTACCTTTTGATACTGATCGTAGTATAGAACCGTAGGGATCTAGTGGAAAGGGTTCTAGAATTAGTACTGGGTTTATCTTCTCTCGACTGCTGCTATCTTGTTGCGCGCGCGACCGCTTACCTTTTGTTTGGTATGAGTTCCTGCGCCCGGCCACTCCGTGATGATATCCTCTCTCGCCTCGTTGTTGGTCGCAAAAGCAAAGGCCACGCCCGAAAATGTCGTACCGAAATCAATACCGACGATGAGCTGGGCCTTGCTGCGACCAGCCCCTTCGACCTCGACGGCGGGGTTGCCCCGGACTGCGTATTGCTGCGGCATGCCCTGGCCCATCCCATGCGGGACGGGCTGCTGCTGCTGCAGACCGTAACCCGGCGGAGCGCCCATGGGCTGGACGGGCGCCTGGCCGTACTGCAGGTTGGTGTTGAGCGGTGGCGGATGGTGTGCTAGTTGCTGGCCCGGCGGCATCGGACTGGTGGGTCGGCCGACGGTGTTGTACGTGTAACTTGGGGGCCGACCCAAGGTATTTTGGTTGTTCATCGGGAGACTCGTGGTGGACGAACTGTGACCCGACGGGGGAGAGCTCGGAGCGTTCGACGAAGGGGCGGGCACCAGTGTATTGCTGGACGGGTTGGGGATCGGTTGAGGTTGCGCCACGGGGCTGCTGGAGTGCTTGTTCCGGTTCTTCCAGGTGAACGATTTAAACCGTGAGCTCATCAGGTCCATATATGGTGACCACGATGGAGGTCAACGGGAAGAAGGGAAAGACGGAGTAGAAAAGGGGCGGGGGAGGAGAAGAAAGAAAGAAAGAAAGAAAGAGAGTAAGCGAGGGAGAAATCGACGGAGGAGAAAAAGGAAAAAAAAGAAAAGAAGACAGGAAGAGAGGCAGGGGAAAGAGAAGCGAAAGCGCAAGGCAGGCAGAAAGGATGAAAGGAATCGCTGGAAAAGAGGCGGTGCCCTTTTTCCCTCTGATGATTGATTTAGTTTAGCCCGATGCTTTGACGGGGCGGGGAAGAGAGAGAGGGGAAGGAAGAACACGGAGGGATTAAAGGAACTAGAGAGGATGAGAGAACCGATAGAGAGGAAGTTGACGGTGAATTCAGGCAAGATGGAGAGAAGCAAAACAGGGCAGCATTCCGAGGGGAGAAGAAGCGGTGGAATGAATTGAATCCAATAATGAATGAAATCAATCGATCGAGACCGAAGGATGCGAGTCACTCCGCTTCGAGTCGGGCAACAGTTTGGTTTTACTCCGTAGTTTTACTGTCTCATCAGAGGGGATTTCTGTACAGTGGACACCGGAGAGAAGGAAAATAGCAGCCCTCGTTAACATCAACAGTTCTTTCTTTGTCCACTGATCTTGAGTCTGTTCATATTTATCGACAGCGAAGGGTCTGGTTGGTATGGCTGGTATGGTATGGTATGTTACAGACAGATACCGGAGACGAGACCGGATCATCGCGGGGCAGAAGTCTTGGCCCGTTGGCTGACAGAACCATCAAGTGTCATTTGTAATCACTAATCAGTGCCAGAGTTATTTGATTAACCGTTTCATGCTCCTGATGTCATCTTATTCCATCTGCATGGGTACATAGTAATCTCCCGTCCTACCCAAATTATTATCAACCAGCAGAGTGCCTGGAAGCGAGCCGTGGGACGACGACAAGGCTGAGCCTGAGGCCCGACCTTTCTTTGTTGGTTCGTGCGGCTGAAACGGGATGCCTGTATCGTACCGAGACAGTACGATACCTTACAGTTCCCCGTTTCCTGGAAAACGAGGCTCAGGCAACGAGGCGCAGGTTTCCAGTTCTATACTTAGATGGAACCCCTGCTGCGTCAAGCACTCAAGTGTCAAGCCCAGTTTCTGCGTGCAGAGTCCGGGTTCTGGAGAAGTCTATCGGCTTTTAGGTTGCATCGTTCTATATTTATTCTTTGCCTATAATTTGCGGGCCACCCAGTGCGATGGCTTGTACAGTGGCTGAAGCATGCTCTGTCGGTCCTGGATGTAGCCACACATGCGTCGCTCCTCCACGGCCTGCCGTTTCTCGATCCTGAAGCCCATGCGCTCCACAAGGCAGAATACCTCGCTCTCCGTGAGCTCCACATTTCCCGGCTCGCCGATTCCCTGCGCATGACCCTCGTCGCCATGGTCGGCGTGGCTGCGGTTGCTGCCGTCCTCGAAGTGCCAGAGCAGGGGCCCAACGTTGCTCCAGATGCCGTTGGGTTTGAGGCAGTGTCGGATGGTCTCCACGTACCGGATCAGATTAGGCGCCGTGTCGATGAAGAAGACCGTGGCCACCGCGTCGAAGGCGTCCTTGTTCGACGGGTTGCTGTACAGCACCACGAAGTCCGCCGCCGACATGCTCATCGTCCCGAACGGCGTGTCGGGGTTGTGCTGCGCTTCCAGCATCGCCGTGCCCGGATGTCGATCGGGGATCATCACCTTCTGATGCTGTTGCTCGCGGGACACCAGGTTCGAGAAGTGAAGGGCAAACGGGTACATAGTATGCTGCTCGGGGCCCAAGGTGTGGTTCAGCACCCAGCTACTCGCCAGCAGCTGATGGTATGAGATCTCATTGCCCTCGGCCGCGTACCCGGCCTCGCAGATCTCGAACACTAATCTTCCCAGTCCGGCTCCGGGGACCAGAACCCTCGGTTCCTCCTCCGAGACTTGTCTCTCGCCGAACTCGTCCTTGAGGTCCTGCAGCACTGGGTCGTAACAGACTTCCCGCTCCGCACGGCCCTCGGCGCTCCAGTCCCGATAAAACTGTCGGATGGTCGAATGCGCTTTGTTGACATCCGACGTAGTGGCTTTTTCCCGCCAATTCTGCTGGGGATCTTCTGGGTCGGGGTCGGCCGGTAGCCCGAATGAAGCAAGTCCCGTGGCGAGAATCGCGTCTGCGATATCGGCATTGACGTCGATGGCGTCGTCAACGCGGCTGAAGTTATCGAGGAGGTTGAAAGGTGGTTCGGCGAGCATTTGCCAGTGAGAAGATGGCAGCGAGTAGAATGCCTGCCGCCGACGATGTGTGGTGTTCATGTGAGCTGTCCTTCGATATTGCCTGTATTGTACAGTTTAGTATTTGTAGATCAGCAATTGACTTGTTTTAAAACCCAGTTGGTAATATATTACAGATAAATCTATAAGAGCACAACTGCAATGGAAACAAGGTAAACGCATGCATTGCTGGAATGCTTCTAGTAGTACAGTAGGATCGATACCCGAAACGATGGAAGATAGCTCATACTCATACACACCTAAATGAATCAAGCGTAGCAAAAAGCACTCGTCTCTCCTCGGGATCGTTTAAAGGATCGAAATCCCCTGCCCAGCTACGAGTCTCCTCCGATTCGTCATGCGGATGAAATTGCGATTCCGATGCCATGGTGAGATCCAAGCGTTGATCGAAGGGATGACAGGTCTTCGTCGTAAACGGGCAGAAACGATGATAATCAGAAACAACGCTGATGCAAACCAATTGATGCGCTGAAAAGTAAAGTGCAGGCCGAAAAGCAAAGCTCGCAGACGGGAATGAGGGAGGAAATTCCAGATGTCACCGACGTTGGAGACGAGGTTCAGTGGACCCGCTTTGTTTGGCGGGGAAATCCAGATTCATCGCAACTCCTTCACCGTCCGGCCGACAACTGCGACGCTTGACATCTACGCCCTCGTGTCGGCCATATCATCAGTTCTCCTCTCAACCGACGACCGATCATCTCATTTCTGCTTAACTTCTGTCCTCCGACGAATATCCTGTCGTGCAAAATGGCGACAGCAGCCGAATCGGCCATACCGCCTCTCCCTGAGTCCGCGGGGACCCCTCACCTCCAACCTCGACCGCACGAGATATCCTTCCCTTTGCCCAAGGCACTCCATACTACGGCACATATCCACTTGACGATGCTGGAAACTTGCGTCACAGTGTTTCTGGCGACTTCGACGCCTGGTGATTCGGGCGGCACGATGAAGCCGATGGGGAGTTTCGTCTATGCGATGCCGGATGTGAGTTACAGATTCAGAGTTGTCCATCATTGGATTCAGAGAATATATGGGCGATACTAGTGAATGGAGATGACCAAATCGGTCATTTCCACTCACCATCCTCATCGATCATGGACATTACACTCCCACCCTCCCTGCCATCCTACTTTACCCTCTACCATCACCTACCAATACAACACAGCTAATCAAACTCCCTACTAAAACAGCGCACGAACCCCCGCACCGCGATATCCACCACCCTCTACACCTCCCCAACGGTCGAATACACCACCCGAGTCGCGAAGATTCTTGCCCGTCGCACGCACGTCCCGGTCTACGTCGGCTGTAGCATCGACCCGACGGCGCTCAGCCTCACCGTGGAGGAAGAAATGGAGGGGCTAAGAAAGATCGTGGACGCGGTCATGGAGCGATGGGAGAAACGGACAGAGTGAGCGGTCACCCCGTCTGTCCATTCCCACTTGGTTCATTATTGCCAATGTGTCTCGACTGTGTTTCTTTGCGTTGGGCTTTTTCTGCATTTGCATGGGCTGCCTACTGGCATTTGGAGTACGGGTACAACGGCGTTGCTGATTCTATTTGCATTTCCTGCTATGTCACGTCGCTACCAGAAGTACGTACATACTTGCATACATGTGTACTACCTTACCTAGTGGAGGTCTTGGATGATAGGCAGGTTGTGTTTGGGAAATTGGGTGGGATTGATTGGAGTTGTGATCTTTTCTTTTCTTTTTTTTTTTTCTTTCTGCCTCTTCTTCCTTCGGGCACATTTTCACCCGAGACATTCGTGCTCGACTAATTCATATCAGATGCAGCTAACTACTAACTACTGCTGCAACTGCGCCGCAGGGTAACTGGCGATATTAGATCCCATATTAGCACAATCAATTAGATTAACCCTTAAGATTGGATTGGAGTTTGGCTGGTCATGATGCCTGTCAACACGAACCAACTAGCAACACTAGCTAGATAATTCGATATAGGCATTCTTATTGCTATTACTAATGAAAGCTGTAAACCCAGCGCTGCAATTTCGCCTATATCCTCAATCAAACGCGACGGGGCATCTAATCAAACTGTTAATTGACTCAGCAGTACTCCGTAGGTCAGTAGCATCAAATAATCAGGAACGGATCCAGATCGGAAGCCGTGAATTTCAATTCAATGGATGATTGATTAAATCCGAGCATCAACCTAGACACATACCTATATCCACTTACCACGTTACTACTCTAGTAGTCACTCGTACTACGGGCCTAGTGCCAGCTACGGGGCAAGGATAGACGACAAAATCACTCATGACCTTATCCTGTAAAAAGAAGGACGACGGGAAGTGGACGAAACGAGCGAACCCATACGTATTTCGAGGAAATCAATCTAGACAGGTGTACACATACGCAAGTCCTATGGAGTGCATAAGGTAGTCCAAACACAAACCCACATTAAAACAAACCACCCAAAAAAAAAGAAGCAACGGTAAGTACTGTGTAGTTACATCCGAGCATCCGAACGTTTCCCTTCCCACTCTTAACTAACCTACTATTCCGTAAGTCTTAATAACTAGTTACTAACTAACTAATAATAACTAATCCCCGATTGTTGTCCCATCTGGCCATGAACTCCGGTTGGCCGATTCGAAAGCTTGCATGACATTGACAGCACGGAATCAGTAAGCGGGCATATGGGAAATTAGGTAGAAAATAGAAATTAGATCTGCTGTTTCTCGGCCTGTCGGTTCCGGTGAGGGATGGCTGGCTGGCTGGGTAACTAGCGGCGTAACCGCAGTTTGAGCTGATTTCTCGTTCTTTCAGAATGGAAAGTTGAAACACGTCAAAGACTCCACTTTACTCTGTGCTGGTGCTGGAGCCTGGAGCCTGTAGGTACGGTGTGTGTGTACCTGGATCCTTGTCGGAGGAGACTCTCCTCCGTGAAGTGTAAACGTGGACTGATTGTCCCAGTTTTTTTTCCAGTTTCTTTGTCTTCTTCGGTATGGTTGGGAAGGTGAGGTAGTATTTGTTACTTATTAGTTAATTAATCAATGCTCTCTATATATGAGATTTATGCTTAGTGCTTGTCCTACTTTACTTTAGTTACCTATGTTCTGACTTCTGTTCCGACACACAAAGTTTGGCTAGTTTTTTCGGAGTCGCGTTCCGCGGTGGATAGCTAGTTTTTTTTACTTTAGCCTTTAACCCTCGTTGAACTTAAGGTATGTTCACCGTAGTCTTGACCGAGTAAGCTTGAGTTACCATTCCATCTTTTGTGGTTTGATGAGACCATGGGAAATATGTCGTAGTTACCAGTGCCAGGTTGTTTGTGCCTGTGAGTCTGTGAGACTGTGACACTTAGCTTCGGAACGTAGCCCGAAAGCGAGGAAACATGGATGGATCCGAAGTGGAGCGGTTTGTTTACTTACCTCCATTGTACAATCTGCCTACCAGTGGGAACATACCGATAGGCATTCTAGGTAGAGAAGCAGTTCCAACCCACCAATCTAGCCAAGGCACCTAGATAGTGGACACACCAACCAGGTAACTACAGTAGTACCAATGCATCATGCCTACGCCGCGAACACACAAATCCAGATGTCTGCCCTGTCTGCCCCTGCCTACCCCCTGCGAGGTCCCTCGAACTAAAGTAAGCTAGGGTTGCAAGTGTTGCCTGTCGCATGTCGCATGTCGCATGTCATGTTGCATCGGAAACTCGGAACCCCCCCCTCTCTCTCTCCCCTCCCCTCCCCTTTGCCATCCCACTTCAGGTACCAGCAAACAAAAAACTGGTGTTTCTATCTTTTCCTATTTCTATTTTCGTCTGGTTCCTGCTCCCGCATATCCGACGCCAAGATCCTAACGACGCAACTAAGTATGTAGTATGTATAGTAACCATGTCGACGTCTTGATGTAGCTCGACTGGTCAAGACGCCGGCCGCGCTGTGTACCTGCCTCGGGATCTATTTACATACAATGCCTAATATGTATGTAGTAAGATATGTACACCGTATAAATATCCCTTTTGGATTAGTTCCGTGTTGGCCCAAGTAGATAACTAGCCAGGAATGCTTTGCTTACTGTGTACCCTGTTTTAGTCTCTTGCCTTATCCTGACTAGATCTATATACGTACTAGACAGTCTGTCCATGCCATAGCCTCAAAACCAAGAATCTTAGGAAGTAGCTAGCCGAACAGAGAAAGGACTTAGCAAAGAGTTGTCTAGGCAATACATTCGGAGTCTTCGGGTTGAATCATAGCGAGGGCTTGGTCTTGCAGGAACTGAGTCAGTTTCTTACTTTACTTTTCAGGTGGGTATTGGACTGATCTCGCCATTTTTGCTTTATCATTTGTTCAGTGGATAGTAGATAGTAGATACTAGATACTAGTTGGCATTGCTGTGCGTGAGATAGATTATCGGTTACGGTTAGTGTTAGTACGAGGCAGAGATATGATGAGATTATGCGAGTGATGGACCAGAGATTGATTAATAGAGTGGATACGGATACCGTTGACGAGGAAGGTAACGAAAATCTGCCTTACGGTGTACAGGACACAGGTTACAACTACAGTCCTAAGCTAAGACACGAAGTACTCAGTTTGACACTCGGAGCAGTGTTTCGGGTTGCGGATGAAAAAAAAAAAAAAAAATGGAGATTCAAATGGGGGATTGCTGACTTGACTCTAGAGTCTAGACATGTGGGCACGAAAACGAGCCAAGGCGCGGGTTTCCCGACAGAATTTCATTTCAGATAAATTGACTGATCGATCATGATGCAATTCTTCGATTCAGATTGAGGGGTCGATGGACTAGATTTGATCACCTGGACTGCACTGACACAGTACACCGACATCATCTGTAAAGATAACGGAATCCTAACCACTCTTTTCTCTCATTAATTCTACGTACCTCCTAAATCCAAAAGCCAAGAACACAAGACCTGCCATGCCATGCCAGCTACACCCGGAAAATGCCACAGACGCCAAAAAATCTCAGCTCGGTAGGTCAATGCATAACCCACGTGGACCGTTATGTCCAAGCGATGTCGACAATCCCGGAAAGCCCCTATGGCGATTGGTGATTGGAGTTTTGGCGCGCTTGCGCTGCTCGAGGCTGACCGCTGACGAGGACGGAACAAATAATCCAGACTTTGTGACCAGTCAGAGAGGGCATTCGACACGAGGCAGACAGACAGACCGGACCGGTAGACCCTGTGCGGTGTACTGTACCTCTAGTCCTCTACACCGTAAGGTAGCCTGGTAGAGTCTAGCCTGGAGACTAGAGAGATTGAATTTCTGGCAAATCAATTGTGTGTGTGTGTGTGCCCCGTTGCGCGGAACTCGCCGAGACGAAATAGACTAGGAAGACCCCGACAATCTAGGCTGGAGTTAAGACTATCCGGATTGGTCTAGTGGTGAGGATTGGTTGCTTCCGAGTTCCGGATTCGGTACTGCTGCTCCGGCTGGCTGTGGTGTCCATGTTCTACAGTGCGCTGTACTTGGTGTTAGGGACGGAGTACGGAGTACGGTCCATTCCAACATATGGTATAGAATTGCCACTACACCATCTCAGCTCTGATCAACCTGTCGCACAGAACTGAAGTATGCTAACGAACAACCCTGTAATAACAAGTGGACCAATCTCGGCCGACTGGAGACTCGGATATACGCACCAAATGATCAAATCAGTTAAAGATAGAAACTGGGAAAACCCCTCATCGAGTTCACGGTGAATTGAAACAATAATAAGGCAAAGAATGGGGTGCAGCGACGGACTGTCACGGGAAGGGCCACATGGGGCCGGAATCCACGGCTGATCCAATGGGCTTCCCCCAAACGGGCTTCTTTCCCGTGCGGCCAAGCGCTTCAGCCGTTTCCTCTCAATCCCCGACAGGTGACAGATGCCTGCTACTAACTGCTAGTGCTAAGTTTGGCCAAGGTCCACCTGGAAAGAGATCCGATGCCCGCACTAACCACCCGGGCGCCGATGGAGACGGAGTAGGTAGGAGTCAGCTTCCGTCACAGGTTGTTGACAGGTGAACGCGGTGATTCCACCAAGAGAAGGGATACGAGCACTAGAAATTGACTGGGCTTGATCTGAGAGAAACCGTGGCGTTGACACCGCTGACGGTGTACTGCGCGACAAGAGAAGCGCTCCACATGAGACCGGCAGTTGTATAGGCAGCCTACTCCGTAGAGATCAACAATGTGATATGTTTTCAGCCCGCGGCCATGTTATCTGATCACAATGGTCATCCTCCCAGATTCATAGTGCGGGGGAGTTTGAACCAAACTAAAGAAAAATCGAAAACAAAACGAAAGCTGCCCGAGAGCCTTGCCAGCCGGCAGCCCTCTAGGCGAGACTACTTCGTCTAAAGCAACTAACTCCGCATCGGTCATCAGCGAGTACGCCTCTCAGCATCCACGAAAGCTCAATCATGCAATCACCATCGAGGGCAGAAAGCAACGATCGGAATCCTTCCGCTTCGAGGCGAATTGCCTCCTGATATGTTGGGAAGGGGTGCGTGCTGCGCGATTCGTGACAGCCCCAACGCACGAGAGAGAAAACGGGGCTCTAGGAGGGTGAGAAATGCTTGCTTGCCGTGTTTGGATCACTCGCACAAAGTCCGTCGGACAATTGGGGATCAGATAGTGATACGGAGTACCTAGTACTAGGACCTACTTGGCCGGTAAACCCCACCTATCTGGCATAGTGGGAAAAGACAGTCCCAGAAATGATGAAAGATGAATTACTGTGATGATTGTGGCAGTTTGCAATAAACGAGATGATGAATCAGAAGACGCAGGGATATATTTTCCGTGCACGGAGGCCGGAAACTTGCAGGGTGCAGAGGCGGGAATGGCACGAGGAGCTCGGGCCCAGACCCTGTGCCCTATGTTGATTCAAAACGGAAGGAGTTACCTAGCGAGTTGGACCGGGGCTTACTCCGTGGGTTTTACTTGCAGGGGTTAAGGAGTCAAGGACTTCCTGATACAAGGATGAGGGGGGGAAGAGAGAAAAGGGGGGGAAGAAAGATAGTTAAAAATACTCTACCTATGACGGATTTGAAAAGAAGCAGGGTATACCCTGGTAGCGTGGACAGTCCGGTCGGGCTGGTCAGTCTGTGTCCTAATTTAGCATCGTAGCCAGCCACAGGTCGGAATATCACGACGATGACAAGCCACTAAAGTAGCGGGTGGACAGGGAGTCGTAGTGGCAGATAGAGGGGACTTAATAATAATGCCGGCTGGGCCAGACCGAAAGCAAATGCATCATGGGAAGAACCTTCTTCTTGATCGACACCGCCACACGCACGAGGCAGCTCTGCTGGGAGGTCCACTGTTGGGACTGAATTTACGAAGTACGGAGTACGTGGCATGGAAGCCTGTTGTAACTTGTTGGACTGTTGACTGTTGAAGAGTACTCTCTACTCCGTAAAGATGAAATCATAATTGTGGTCACGGATCCGGTGAGCCAGCCCGTCTGCGCACTCCGTACTATCCGTGCCATGGAGACTCGTCCTGCTTCTTACGGCCGCCGGCCGCTGGATGGGTTGAATTCGGTCAAAACACGGACGGAACCTTCAGCCAAGCGAAAAATCTCCGGACAAGACAATGAAACTCTGGGCGGACCTACTTTTTTTTTCTTTGGGATTTTTCGAAAATTTTTCTGGTTCAGGGACTGGGTCGGATGATGAGGATTGTTGATTGGGAGCGGGGAACATCTGTCGGGATTCGCAGAAGCTAAATTGTTTTTATTTTCTCGTTTATTGCGCTGGACTTGAGGTTTTTATTTACTGAGTAGCAGTCCTGTGTTTGAAAAGATATCTTTTTAACTCGTGTTCTAATCTTCCTTCCATTTTCATCTTTTCTATCTTACTTTTCTAAAAAAAAATTTATAATAATAAAAAAACAAAAAAAAAGGTCTTTGTCTGGAGAGCAGTACTCCGTGAACCGTCAACCGGACCGCCCGCTAACCATTCCATTCCCCTTTACCGTCCCGGTTGTCCATCCGGGATGGGCTTGCCTCGGCTTCTGGCCAATCAAGGCCTCCGGTTCCTCGGTCCATCAAGCGACTTCAACGGATCGTCACAACGATCACAAAGTCTTTTTTTTTTCTTTTCTGACTCTCTTTCGTGTCCCATTGTGACGATGACGTTGCGCCGTAGTGGAGGGGAAGGATTCTGTACGGCGTGCATCCAAGTCGAACTACCTTATTCTGCCGAGGTGTAGGTAAGGTATACTTCCATTCCCTCTGTCAGGTTCTCTGTAGCTGTTCGGTCCGGCTAGCTCACCTGGACAGTTACCCTACCTTAGTTTAGTTGTTGTACTGGACGGAGTACTTGGTACCTACGGTAGTCTCTCCTGCACACGCAGAACTAACTTTCATGCCTTAGCTTAGTCCCTAGTCACTAAACAATAGCCGTCCTTCTAGTTAGTCCATGTCCATGGTCAGATTCAGGGGAGCGTAACTCCCGTAAGCCTATGCCCAGCCAGCACAGACAACCCCAAGAGGTATCGGTGAAGAGACCCGGTCTGAGAACAAACCACGAACAAGAATAGCAATGGACCATGGAATGGGATCCAATCAGACTATGAACCCCGGGAGCGAAATAGGCAGGTAACTTCAACTTCCTCTTTGTTATACCGTAGTAGGTCTTAACTCTCTTGAGGTAAAGTACCAAGGAAATAGAATTTGGCTTTCCATATCTCCGTCAACCAATAAATGGTTTTTAAGCTACCGAAGTTGAAAAAAGAAAAGGCACCACACCTTGAGGCATTACGATGAAATTAATAAAATTAAAGAGAAATAAGACCACGTCGGCTCTTCCCCGACCCATTATTATTCTCGACTATCACTACTGACGGCTGCCCGTGATGATCATCGAGCGAACCGCTGCTCCTTACGTACGGACTACGGAGTCCATGTCGGTTAGGCGAGGATAAGACCTCGGATGTTGCTGACGGGGTGGGAATGTCAACGACAACAGAGATTAGCGTTTGAAAAAGAAATAATGAAAAAGGATTCAAGCTCCGAAGGCTGTCAGAAGAGTTAGACCTCAAAGTCCGGGACAATCCGTGCCACCCAGAAAAGTTTACCTCGTAGATAGAGAAGTCGCTCTGACTACGTTACCTGCCAACTCCGTCGGATCCTACAATAGGAATCGAAGAAGCTCACCAGATTGCTCATCTAGTGGGACCCGTGGAGCGTGGGAAGAACGACCGACACGTCGTGATCTTACTCTTAGGGATGAAAACACTGCCACTGCCGATCTCGGGATGCTTTCAACGTTAGCTTGGAGGTCTGATCTCCCCCCAATCCAGGTTGTTGTAGCTTCCCCTCGGTGTCCGCAAGGTCGAGGGCTAAGACGTCAAGAGCCCGGCATGCAGAAGAGGAGAGAATAAAAATAAATAAATAGCTATGTCAAGGACACCCAAGACCTTTCCCCGGTCCAAAGAGAAAATAGAAAGATATTTTTCTATGTATAGCATACTATGCATGCATGCATGCATGACCGATGCAATATCGGCCCACGAATATCAAGTCATTACGGAGGAATGGATTATGATCAAACGATTATGCTCAGGGTTCGGGAACGGTGTCCGGGAGAGGAATCTGCCCTAACGCTACGAAGGATTCATGACAGTCTAGATCACCGGGGGGAGCTATTAGGCGACATAACAAGTAGGGTGGTGATATACGTAGTAAGCTTGGTGCCTGCCTGGTTGTCCATGCCACCTCCGACTCTTCCTTTCTCTGAATCTTTGTCTTTCTTTTTTATCAAAAAAAAGAAAGAAAGAAAGAAAGATACTCATTAAGGAAACAAATAAATAACAAAATATACAATGATGATATTATGTCAGAAGGGAAATCACAATACTGAGCATGACCGAACCCCGAAAAGACAGTTGCCCAACTCACAGAGGAAACCAACTAAACTCAAAAGGATGTCGGCAGAAGATTCCTAAGGATATGCTTCTGCAGTAAGCTCATTTGTGAATCTCCACCCTCCTCGATCCGATTTGGGTTCGAACTGGCGTCGTTTCAGCCATGTTTTTGGCTAGCCGGGGTCAGCCGAGAAACTTTCGGAGTCGTTTTCTGCCCATGGGTCGACCCTGAAGGTGGGATGCGAACGAAATGGTTTTCGGTGTGGGTGTCGGGACGAGGTCATGATTGGGAAGGATTTCGTGTCGATCGGCCCTGTCGCTGTCGCGAAGCATTCTTCTTCGAGAGGCGAATAGGAAGTTCTCAAGTTGAACTTGAGGGTGAATGACTGAAGAGGTACCTGAGTGCGGTCAACCAGTAGGGACTTTACTTTATTATTGTAGCATACGAGGATGAGAAAAATAATAAAAAATAATACCCAACGTACTCCGTAAATTGTATGGTAAGAATTAAAGCTGAGAAAATTTTTCCTTTCTTTTCTTTTTTTCTAATTTTTCTGACAGGAAAAAAAAAAAAAAAGAATAAATAAAAACGTTTCATCATTGCTCTAGAAATCCCCATCATCACCATGACTGCGATCTAATCTTATTAGGTTGATTGGATGACTCCGTCCTGACGCTCGGATTTTATTGGAATTAATTTTTATTATTGGATTATTTTTATTTCCTACCAGCTCAGTCCGCCTTCTTATATTAAGTATCACTCGGGATCATTCATATGGGCCCTCGTTGCCCCATCTCTCCCTCTCTGGATTCCTTTCTTCTTCCCTTCCCCTCCTTTGATTTCTATTATTAAATATTCTAGAAGCACGACAGAAGACGAAAAGGGAAAGGAGAGAAAAAACCATCAAAGAAAAACAATAGGAAGACCGAGATCCCAATCTTCCGCTTCTTGTCAGCAATTATTCCCATCCTTTCTCTCGGTGGAGATTTGAGTCGTGTTGTGAAGATGAAATAACCCAATCCGTCGCCTCAGCCACCTCCATCTGTCCGCATGTCAATTTACCACCATTGATCGCTCCAACTCTAATCGCGCCAAACAACTGACTGCTTACCTACTCACTCACCACATTCTGGCCCTTTCTTACCACTTTCTCATTCGCCACGCTAGATCCCGGAATATCATTCAGTTCTGGGGTCGGGATTTCCCCTGTTGCGTTTCGCTTTCTATCTTGATCGTTTTTGCGGACGGTGCAAGCATTGCGTGTCTTACTGGTGCTCGGTATTAGTTCCGGTCCCCAACCGCGCTTTCTTCTCAGCCGGATGAGAATCATCTCTCTCCCTTTTCTCTCCTTCTATTATATCCCATTCAAGATTTCCACTCCTTCTATTCCAAAAAAGTTGCGTGGTCGTGGCGGGGTTCATTCCACTCCTTTCACCCAATTTATACCACCACCGCCACCGTTTCCATTCTTACCGTCTACTTCCCTTATGAGCTTGGCTCTCATAGTTGGAAATGCAGACACATTATTTCCGTTCGCCGAATAGCCAACCCCAAGCGGGTGTGCCGTACGAGTTGCCCCCGGTGCAGTCGGTAACTTCACCCTCGGGACCCTTCCAGCAGGGCCCTCCTCCCGGTCCTCTACTTTCCGCTCCGCCGAGCAGACCCGAGAGCGGACTGAGGATGCCCCATCTACTGCAGCCGTTGCCACAACACATCCCCAACCCTCCCCCTCCGCCTCCTTCATCCTACTCACGCTCCTACGAGTCCAGTGGCTCGCCTGCGGAAGGTATCTCGATGCTTCCCGATGCGCCGCCACTCAATGGACTTGGATCCGGCTCATCGGGACTGCTTCAGCCCGGCGCGGGGTCGCAGCATCAGCAACCGTTACAGCAGAAAAGGGCCTATCGCCAGCGACGAAAAGATCCCAGTTGCGATGCCTGTCGAGAGCGCAAAGTTAAGGTATGCTTGGCCTGATCCCTGTTCCAGTTTGGCTTGGCAACGCGCCGTGATTAACCTTTGAGCCAACCTACTAGTGTGACGCATCCGAGTCGTCCAGCTGCACCGAATGCACAAACCGCAAAGTGCGCTGTCAATTCACCAAGGAGACCAACCGGCGCATGTCTTCCATAAAGTGCGTTCGCTGAGATCCACCCGTTCGATAGTTGTTGAGTGAGAACAACTCGTGCTGACTCGATCCGTAGACAGGTGCAGGATCTCGAGAAGCAGCTCATCACGACCAAACACCAGCTGCAGCAACTCCGATCCGGCATGCTGAGATCCGATAACCTGATGGACCTGGACATTGACGGAGCAGGACAGCCTCAGCTGAAGTTACCGGACCTTGGATACCGACCCCAGCGCCGGCCTAAGGCCGTCGTCGCAAGTGATCTGACCGAGGCACGTGTCAACCTGCGCAAGTACGGTAGAGGCATCATGCACGTGCCTACGCCATATCGCCAACAGGGCCCCAAATCGTTGTTGACGACCGACGCCCCGCCACTCCCGTCGAAGGACATCGCGGATCGTCTCCTGGCGCAGTACTATGCGTGCATCCATTCTGTACTGCCCGTCCTTCACTGGCCAACCTTCATCGCCGAGTACGAGAAGGTCTACCAAGCGCGCTCCCTCTTGGGGATGCCACGAGAGTGGGTCTCGGTGTTGTTTGCCATCTTCGCTTGTGGTTCTTTGCATATGTTGGAGAAAACGAGGGAAAATGATGGAAAGGAATTCATCAAGATTTCTTGCGGAGTTATCGATGTGTGGCAGGACAACTTCACCCTCGATCAGGCGCGGGCAGCCTTACTGGTTAGCAAATTCTTATATGAAGTGAACTCGAAATCTGCCAGCTGGGTGTGGATTGGTTCTGCCGTCCGGGTAGCGCAGGAGATTGGCCTGCATATCGAATCGGGGCCGTGGTCCACACTTGAAGCGGAAACGCGAAGGCGAGTTTGGTGGGGGATGTACGCTTGGGATAGGTACGATAGTCTTGAATTCCTGCGCTGCGCGGTGATTTGAAGCTGACGAATTGCTCCTCCAGGCTTCTGGCTCTAGAAATGGGGAAACCTGTATTGATCAATGATCAAGACTGCGATGTTGACCTTCCATGTCCTGTTGACGAGCAGTATATTTCAGATGAAGGGGTTGTGCCCGAAAGCCAGCAGACGACTCCCCTCCTCGCCACCATCCATGTCGTTCGATCAATCGGGCAACTGACTAGGACATTACGATCCTCGACTATAAGCCCGGCCACGATAGACATATTTGAGCGACATTTCAACGCATGTCTCGCCACCTTTCCCTCGCAGTATCACCCGAAATCCGACCAATATCTCGACCCTCGAGCACTTGACCCCATTATCTACCTCCAAAATGCTCGCCTCATTCTCCATCGCCATAACATCAACCCACTCTGCGTGCCCGAAGTGCGTACCTCGGCCCTTGATTACTGCGTTTCCACATCCCAGGATACCGCACGTCTACTTTCACGATGCATGCGCTATCCCTCTAGCTCTCATCAAGGATTTGGTGCCGCGGGAAATGAGGATTGGCGGCCCTTGCTCGCTTCGTCCGCAGGGACTGCCATGTGTACACACATCTGGCGTTGTGCACTCATCCTGCTTTTCCGGCAGGAGTTCGCCACCGCTTTGGTGTGTGTCCAGGCAGCTGCCGCAGTTGGAGACTCGCGCGCGCTGAACGCGGCCTGTGGGCGATACATTGTTTTCTTCTTGAAATGTCTTCTGGATCGACTACGCCACGGCGACGACCTCGACCGAGACGAGGAACTGATGGCCTACGTCTCCGGAGACATGCAAGGTTACAGCGATGGCAGCTGGGTGTGGCACGGTAGCGAGACCGGCACCCAGTTAGCTGCAATGTCTTCTACCCTCGGTAGCCCGGTCTCATTCGGGCAGTCCGACCCGAGGGACAATATTTCCACCGACGGCGTCGAGAATACTGAAGGCTGGGATTGGGTTGAGCAAACCGTTCGGTACCTGCATGAAAGACAACTCGAGCAGCAAAAGGAGTATGAGAGAAGGGACGTGCAGTCGTTCCATAATCCGCCGGAGTCCGCGTATCTCAGCCCCGAGGCTGCCATCGGGAGGGAAGAAGCCTCGCCCCGACGTTCGAGCTCGTCTCATCGCATGACTATTGCCAGCATAATATGATCTGGGCCTACAATATCATATCTTTAGTCCACCCCGATTAAGAGTCCAGTCGGCCTTCGACAACCCAGATTTTCGGTTCACCTTTCAACAGAATCGCGATGCAGCTCCGAGCGACAACTTCCAGACTCTTGACCGTGACACCAGAAAAAGAGCGCGAAATGGAATGTACTTGTAGTGGTATCAAGTCAGGCCATGAGCTTGGTAGACCACGGAGCATGTGATACGATGTTATGCATTACGATCAATTTTGATGATCTATCCAGTGTTTGATTATACCTACTTATATATATTATTTACTGCATGGCAGTCCAAGATACACGCATTCACTCTGAACATCTTTTAATAAAAGCCAAATCTGAAATAGTGATAATCATTGACACATGAATTTCTCTAACCCTCACCCATCCATCTATAATACCTTCTGATCTATCCCCTCGTAAATCCCTTCAACAACCTTTTCATACCCAGTACCAAGAATAGGGCGAAACAGACCACCCCGGCCATCAGATCAGAACACATCCCCGTAAACACTCTATCTTGAGATCAATGCATTCATATTCTTAACTTTTTTGTCTTTTACTATGTCCCCTCAAGTCTCCAAGTTAATACTCCGACCGAACCGCGCATACAGCGCCACCTTCAACTGCTGCAGCTCCTCGCGCAGATCACTCAACTTATCCTCTAGACCGGATACCTCGGTGTCGATCTGCTCCGTGGAAGAGGAGAGCAGGGACTGCGCTTCTTCCAGGGGAAGTTGGAAGAATGAGTCGCCGATTTTGTACCTGGTTTGGTTAGGTTTTTGTTCTTTTAATTGGGGGGGTTTTCGGCATTTTCTTTTGACATATACGCATGTGCTGGCTGGCTAGGTGGTGGTGGAGGGCTAGAGAGTAGAGGAGAGGGAGGTACTTACGGGACTAATTCATCCTCATCCGCGAGTTCCAGTTCCGTCGAGACTTCCTCGAGATCTTCTTTGTCTTTCTGTGCGTGGGGATTAGCTCTGTCCAGCTACCCATCTCTTTTTCCTCCTTCATCTCTTCCCTTATCGGGGAAGATCCAGAAAGGAATCCGAGGGGCTAAGGGCGGGGGAAGGAAAGAAGGAAAAACGAACCTGCTTCGCCTTCAACAAATCCTCCAGCACCGTCTCCCGCTGATGCAGCCGACTGAACCGGTTAATCTTCTCCTGGTCCTCGCGACGGACTTCATTGTCCTCGCTGCCACCAGCAGCGACCTCGTCTTCTTTCGAGAGCTGGCGGTGCAGTTTTTAGCTTATGTCTTCTTTCTCTTTATATTCCCTCCTCCTCTTCTCCCGCTGAGGTAAGGCAGGGGTATGTACATACCATGCGCGTCTGCATCATCTTGAGAGAGGTTGCTCTGCTGCTTCTCTGTTTGGTTTCTGATGGCCTTTTGGTGGGGTGGATTGAGGCACTTATTGGTTGCTGCCAGGCCGAGGGGTTAGTCAGCGATGGGAGTCACGTGGGCGTCACGGGGAGGTGGCAGTGGTTTGGATGGATTTGATCTTTCGTCTTACGGAGTATACTGGAAGGTGCTGGAGATGAGTTGGTTTATTGTGAGTGGTGCTTCAATGTTGATTGCTTGTCTTTTGCGGTTATTTTTCTTGGTCGTATTTTTGGTTTATTGGTGAAGTATTTCGATATGTACATGTACTATAGAGAAGTATATATTTGTGTAGGCATTTAGTATGGACATTGACTTTATTTCCATTTCCTATTCCTTTTCATTCCTTTCCTTTCTCTGACAATAATCCCATTGTGCTAATGAGTGGTTTCACCACTATATAGATGAGGAGAGCAGGTCGGGTGACATCATCATCCTCGCCCATCATCTGGTCGCTCCGAGCGAATCAACCTTCGAATATTTGGCAGACGAGAGCAGAGCCCCAAAGTGCTTCGAACAACTCCTCTTTTGCCTTCTGGAGATACTGCTCATCAGATCTCGAGGCTACGACACTCCACGTGGACTGTGTCCGTCCCAGAACATCTCTCGTGCCGTCATATTGTTAAGTACTGGGCACACCGGAGAATCCAGCGACGCTCGGAGAAAACCAACATCCCGACCACCGCATCGAGCAGCTCGTCCATCGTCTTCCATACCAGCCATTCCGCCCCAGTCTCGATTTCTCAGCTACTTGGGCATATCTCGACACGACGCTCATCCTGACCCCAAACGAGCCCGACCTTTCCTCCTTGCATCTGTCGAACCTCTTACCCGTCCTTCCCTCCTTTTTCCGGCTCCCCCCAGCGCCCGTTGCGAGCTCTTCACAGCATCACCGCCGATCCGCGCAACAAAAATCACCCACCACCTCGGTTCTCTTGTTAACGACGTTCACGCCTCCGTTTACAATCTACTCACATCATGCGGATATCTTCCGCCCTCTACTCCTCCGCTGCCCTCCTCTCCTCTGGCCTCGCCTCCGCCCGCGGCTTCGACTGCCAACACATTAATGTCGGCGGATATAAATATGACCTCAAGCCTCTGGGCGGAGTCCACACTCTATACCATGTCAATGAGACGGACAACTACGTGGTCAACACCACGTATGTGATGAATATTTGTGGGATCTTGAAGGGCGCGGCGAACCGGGATGGGATGAAATGTGGTACTTCGAAGAATAGTACGTGACTCCTACAATTTTTCCTATCTCTACCTATATTCTCTACACGAGGAGGGATACGACCCAGGACACATTAAATCAAGGAACGTCTGGCTAATCAGGGCTCACTTCCAGTCTGCGGCTTCGAATACAAACACGCCCCCGACGGCTCCGAATCCAAACACCCCTTCCCGATCGTCGGTCTCGACCCCGTCGGCCACGGCTCCAAAGAGACGGAGATCACGCGCCTCAAGACCGACGACTCCGACCAGGAGGGTCTCCGCGTGAGGCTGTCCGGCGGCAGCTACGAGAACGAGGACGGCAAGAAGAAGAGCGCCGGCGCCGTCATCGAGTTCCAGTGCGATCCCGACCGGTCGGGATTAGAAGGTCTGACGCCCCAGGCGGACGACGGGCCCGAGGACGATGCAAAGCAGCGTCGCGACGAGGATCGTCGCAGTCTGCAGTTCAAGAGCTTCGGGCTTGTTGATGATGATTCGTATGTGTTGCGTCTGGACTGGCGGACACGGTATGCGTGCGATAACTACGTCGATGATCATAAGGGGGATTCGTCGAGTCATTGGGGGTTTTTTACTTGGTTGATTATTATGTGAGTCCCCCTCCTTGATATTATTTTTACTATGGTGGACCTCTCCTTTTGGGATTGAATTCCCTCATGAGGAATAATTGAGCGAAGACTGACCCGGGATAGTCTCTTCCTTTGCATCGCCGCCTACCTCATCTTCGGCTCCTGGCTGAACTACAACCGCTACGGAGCTCGTGGCTGGGACTTGCTCCCTCACGGCGACACTCTCCGTGACGTTCCCTACATCTTCCAGGACTGGCTTAAACGGGTGATTAACACGTTGCAAGGGTCTGGTTCCAGAGGAGGATACAGTGCGGTGTAGATTTCTTTCACCATTTATGCCTTTCTTTTTTTTTATCTCTTTTGAGGCATTTGGTCTTGGCTTTTGTTATGCTTCCTTTTTTTTTGTGCGAATGTCATGAGATCCAGATCTCTCTTTCCCTCGTCCGACCTCTAAACCATATATCCTTGTGAATTTGAATTGTGAAGGTGTAATGGAAGAAAGAAAGGAAGGAAGGAAGGAATGGGTAATTGAATAATTCCCATATTAGTGTCGAGGTATCAGACAGGTTGGATATGAATATGAATAGCTTATGGATATGGATATGGATGTGGATGTGGAAATGGATACAGATACAGATACTTCTCTCCCTCCTATGATGTCTTAGGTAGGTACCTAACTATCCAAACTGTATGAATGAAATTCACAACCTCCCCTGCTAGAAGGGCTGCCACTCCATGGCTCATGGCGTATAGGTCCCCAGACCCGCGCCTGAGAATGACTGAAGGGCAAGGGGAGAAGAGAGTAGTTTACACGGGGGTATTCTGTTCTATTTGGATCCTCTTGATTGGAAGTACTTACCTGCCTATATATAGGTAGATAGATTGGGTACCCCAGGAACCAGGACTCCCTATCCATTCTTTTGAGATAGGATTTACTGACTGGGTACACGACTATAACAATGACGCCGACAGCTAGTTAAACACAAGGGACCAGTCATCAAGAAAAAGGAGAACAAAGATCTACAGCACGCAATCGACATATCTCAATCACGCAAGCCGAACAAGACAAGACAAGACAAGAAACGATCGATCGATCCCCGTCCCCAAAACCAATGATACCGGATTCCCTGGAGAGCACGACATCAGAAACAAATCAAACTCATCTTACAACTACGGAGTATGGAGAAGATATGGAGTTTAAAAACTGGGCTAGTATTCGTTATGACAATCTCCCAACATGCCAAACCCATCAGATCAGCAGAACTCAAAGTAACTAACATCGAGTAAGGAAAAAGCATTGCAAATGGCGTCATCACGGCTAAGATCTCATCATCAGGAGCGGTGAACCCGCAAAAATCAGAAAACAACACGTAAAGTATAAAAAGGTGTTCGTTTCCCCTTGCCCCGACCTCCTGGTACATTCTGGGGGGATTTGGATTCGCTTGGGTGTGTTGCAATTTCCCTTTCCCTTTCCCTCTCCCATCCCTTGTGTCGTCTCACCTACTTTCTTTCTTCTCCCTTTCTCACCCCTTCACTCCTTCGAAGCAGCCCTCAGAAGTCTACACCTTCATGGCAAATTGCTTCATATACAAGTAGTCTGCCATGTTCTGATCCACGGCTTTGCGAATCTGGGCGGCGCCTTCGGGGCCAAACTTCTTGGTCCAGTCGGCGTCAAACTCTTCTTCTGTCTTGACGGGGCGGGCCTGGTGGGTTGGTATATTAGATGACCATGCTCTCCTTGCTTGACGTTCTTTCCTTCCCCTATGACCTTCCTGGTTTTCTTTCACGCTTTCCCTTCCTGTTGAACGGAAAGGTAGGAAGAGAAGACAGGAAGGGCAAAAGGGACAAGGAAGGGGTGAAGACAACTTACATGCTTTCTAGCCACCAGCCCTCCCGACTCGATTGCATCGTTATGGAATCCCCTCCACTTCTCGAACGCCTCACTCACGAATCGATGATCGTCCTCGTTGTCCCAGTCCAGCATGCTGGGACTATAATCGATGCCGACGCTGCGACAGAAGGCTTCCATCATCGGAGCCGGCTTGTCCAGCATGTCGTCGGCGTCGACGACGCAGATCTCAGCTCCGGATTCATGGCCTGCCCCAAGACCGCCGACCACCGGCTTCAGCTTCTTCGAGCTGCCGTCTAGCTCGTCGGCGTCGTCCTCCCTCGTCGCGATGTGCGGACCGATGAGCCCCACGCTGCGCAGGTAATCGAAGGTGCGTCGCACCTCGTCGTACCCGGCCTCGGCGGGGTCGTAATAATAGAAGCCCGTGACGTCGTCCAGCGGCGGGATGGTGCAGCGGAAATACGACGGCACGCTGTAGTGCGGGTCGCGGATGAGGAAGGCAAAATGGAACTGGGAGAGGATGGACAGGGGCATCACGGTGGGGTTGCCAGGCTCAGGCAGGGTGTCGTATGGGAGTGACGAGGCAGTCTGCTTGGACTGCTGCTCGTGTGTCCCATTTGCGACCGCCTCTTCCTGGTGGCCATTCGGCTGCTTTCCCGCACCGTTGGTGACCCCGTCCGGGTGGTGGTCGGAGGATTCATGAGCGACGCCATTGCCGTTCATGCCTCCGACCGAGGCGTTGTCTACGGGCACAGAGCTTCCCGTTCCGACGCCACGCTTGATTCTGTTCAGGGATGGCGCGATGCTGGCGGGTTTTCCACTGGGAGGGAGAAGATAGTGGATGATGTCTTTAATGAAGATTCTCTTGCCCTATGAGTGGAGGTAAGTATGTGTCGGAGAAGAACGGATGACGAGAGAATAAAGGGAAAGATGAAAGGCAAGGTAGGGTTTGTCCGGGCGGACGATAGTTCAAGATCCGTCGTCATCATCTGCGTGCCCTTGGTAGACATGGTAGGGAGGTAGATTCTCATCCCGTATCGGGGGGATTCCCGTAGAAGACCCATAATCCGCGAGGAAATCGGAACCAAAAGGGAAAAAGAAATGCAGGTGCTCGAGAGATCATTTTCATCTCGTTTCGTATCATCAGGTTCAGACAGTAGGAATGTGACTTGAAAACTCCCATCTCAGTCCCTGCCACTTCCGATCCGTCAAATTGAATCAGATCATGACAAAGGAACCTAAGGGAGAGCAATTTTAAGAGCGAAAAAAGGTTCTCCAAGTCAGGGATTCTCGTAAGGCGGGCAGAAATTGAAAGATCAAGGAAAAAAGAAGAGAGATCGGACCTCGGAAGCTTCACGCTCGATTCTATCCATCACAGTCCGATACGTGGACTGGCTGAAGCCACTCTCCAGACGAGCCTTTTCATCGTTGGCAAATCTGGTGCCCAATCTCTCGGGGCCATAGTAGAAGGCATCGCCAAATGGCTCGTGAATACACTGAATAGTATCCCGACGAGTCATAAAGACCTTTAGTCAGGGCGAAGGATGAATTAGCATATATTGCTTGGCCATGGGGAAGGTCCAGGGTTTCTTGTTGATCGATGAAGATGCCGCTGGAACGCGATGAACTCACTCGTTCGAAAGCCGTCGAGCAGGCTCGGGGGTGAGTCGCCACGAAGATGGGTTTCTGAGACATGTTGATTTGGATTTGCTTTGCAAATTATCCAACAACTTATCTTGTCTCTGATTGATATTCTCCTTTTTTTAGGAGGGGTATAGAGAGAGATAGTTACTATTGTCTTGAATAACAAGACGGTAGATGGGGAACCAGTTTGCTCACTACCAGGGAGTTTCACCACCGGCGCAGCTTACTGTGACCAAGATCAATACAATTGACTCACTTTACTGTGCGTCGACAGTATCGTGAGGAAAGAGGATAAAACCCGTCGACTTGAGTCCGGAGAGCCAAAGTCGGGAGGATGTAAGAAGAGAAGTTTGAAAAAGTAAAAAGTCAAAACGATCTGGGAAGGGGCAAAGAAGGGAAGAAAAGTGGGTTTTATAGGATGGAAGTTGGGAACCGAAGTGGAAGTGGAAGTAGGAGGAGTTGCAGTTGGAGAGTTCGAGGGGGGCGATGGCGATACAAGAAAAATCAATTATGGAGTAAATCTGCATATTAATGGATGTTCCTCTTTGGTTGCTTTTATTTCTTTCTTTCTCATGAGGTATTTATTTCTCGATATTTATTGTTCTGGACATTTTTTCCCTTTATTTTTTTTACTTTGCTAGCTATTCTATTCTACCTGGCATGCATCTGTAGTTTTCTCTCGATCGACCGAGATCAAGTCAAGGCAGCAATTCCATGCCATGATACCTAATATCGATCCCAGAGAGGTAGGTCCTGCGAGGTAGGTCATTTCTCCCTCCACATATTCAGCATTATGAATCTTTCTCTTCATGCGATGCTGCAAATGTAGGCTCGGTGAATGAAACCCGAGCACGCCATCGAATAGCTAATTAACTCGTGGACTAGACCACGACTACTGTGTCTATACGGAGTCAAACAATAATAACCACAAGGCTTGCCCTGCGTCTAGAGACGCTGGACTTCACTAGACCACGCACGATGTCGACGGCAGACGCAGCGGCTGCCTCGTCTTTTCCCCTTCAAGGCATCCGCACCGGAATAACAAAGACCACGATGGAACTAAGGAACAATCGAGTGTCTGGGGTGGAGGGGCACGGAATTCCAAAATAACTTCAACGATGATTGCTAAATGCTGATGCTGCGACAGTGGCACCGGAGTGGGTAAAGGAAAGATCTACATGGGAAAATAAGCCCATTCGCACCTCTGACTTGCTCAGTGCTCGAACGATCCAATCCTTCCGATTCTGTTTCGGGCTTATTCCGGGTTCTGAGTGGCTACGGCGAGGGCCTGGACTATGCCCCAAGTGGATTCCAGTTCCTGAGCCATGGCCGCCTTTTTTTCGTTATGCGTCCAGCAATTAAAATAAAGTGGGTAACTGAACGGTCTACGGAGCTGTCGAACAGCCCGGCAAAAAGACTCAGAGAGCTGGGGGGGTTTGCCCGCCGGAGTTGACCCAGACCGAGAAACTGCAAGGCTGGCTGCAAGTAACTGAATTGCTTGGAAAAACTGGCCAGAGATTCCCTGTTACAAGGAATCCTCAAGCCATACGAACCAGGGTGAAAAATGGGCAATGTTCCCACTTTTGACGTCACGCACGGGCTGGAGGGGCATGGGATGACATTTGACCTGGGTCTTGGTCGAATCGAATCCTAGAGGAGGATCCAGAAGTTAAGAAAGGAGGGGAGGGGGAGCGAAAAGGAACAGTGTCGTCCGTCGAATCAGAAACAGGTCAGATCCGATAGATCATTTGGCATTGTGGCATGAAGGGCTGGGCGAGATCTCATCGTTCCGAGGTTGGACGGAGGAGAGTTCATGCGGATTGATGGTCGGTATCATTTGGTATTATCGCATGGATGTGTCATCGACTTTCTGGCCTCTCCGGGGCCTCTGCTACTGCTAGTGACTTTTTAGTTGACAATTTAGCCCTTGAACTTGCCGGCCGATAGACCGTCGTGAGACATTTTATGCCAATCAATGCAGAAGATCCTCAACGTGGGGGCGTGGCGGACTCGTATCAAGTTGACAATGGCCAGCCATTCGTTTCGCATTGGGACGATGTGGAATGCTTGATGTGGCTGGTCGATCCGTGTTTTTGATTTGATTCAATTGGATTTCGAAGATGTGGATGAGGGTGAGAAGGTGTTGATGATTTGGGATCCTTAAATCACTTACTAGTTATGTTCATAATGGAGATTATGTCAGCGAGGATAAAGCAATAAGGCACTAAGGCACTAAGGCATCAAGGTCACATGTAGATCAGGTGTCAGGCATGCAGGCATGCAGGCACTAAGGCATGAAAGTGACCTTGGCCAAGTCATGTGACGTTCACTGATATTCCACGTCCATAGGAACTACCAGGGGACCATCATGATTTCCAATTCCGACAGTGTCTTCAAGACTGACACCGACCTGTCTAGACCTTTGCCAACTGTCATATCCCCCATCAACCGACCTTCGTCCTAGGGATCGCCTGTCACGTTCCCACATGGCCTGACGACGTCACACCACGTGACATTGTCACGGCAAGCTCCAGATGTTTCTGGAAGGCGGTGGAAGGGACCCGTGTCGTCATGGCGCACCGCGGGACTTCTCGATGCCCAACTGGCTGTTATATAAACTCGGCTCACACTCGTTCTTGCTTCATCAGCATTGCAGCTTGGAAACAAACAATCAGAACATCAGAACCTTATCGGGAACTCTACAGGTAACTACTTTAAAACCTCTACTTCCTAACCTCGTTACCTTCGATCTTTCATTCTACATCGACCTCGACACTGTTATTCTCTTTGTCCCACCATGAACGGGGCTTCGTTCACAGACCGAGCCAACAAGGCTTTGCTGGACTCCAGCAGCCTCGCTGAACAATACTCTCACCTCCAAATTCTTCCTCTCCATCTGGCAGTCGCCCTCCTCAATCCTTCTCCCGATGAGTCGAAAGACCAAGAAGCTCCATCCCACTCCTCCCACGATTCTGCCTCTGCCCCTCTCTTCCGCCAGGTCGTCGAGCGCGCCCATGGCGACCCACAGCTGTTGGACCGCGCGCTCATGAAGCTGCTGGTCCGTCTACCCAGCCAAGACCCTCCGCCAGAGACCGTCGCCATCTCTCCCGCTCTCGCCAAAGTCATCCGCTCCGCCACCGACCTGTCCAAGACCCAGAAGGACAGCTTCGTGGCAATTGACCACTTGATCCTCTCAATTGCTCAAGATTCGCAGGTCCAGCGGGCTCTGGCCGACGCCAACATCCCTAATGTCAAATTGATCGACACCGCCGTGCAACAGATCCGCGGGTCCAAGCGTGTGGACTCCAAGACGGCGGATTCGGAGAGCGAAAATGAGAACCTCAAGAAATTCACTATCGACATGACCTCCATGGCCCGCGAGGGTAAGATCGACCCCGTCATCGGCCGTGAGGAAGAGATCCGTCGGGTCATTCGCATTCTCAGTCGGCGGACGAAGAACAACCCGGTGCTCATCGGTGAGCCCGGTGTCGGTAAGACCACGGTTGTGGAGGGATTGGCTCGTCGCATTGTCAACGCTGATGTGCCCGCCAACCTCGCCCACTGCCGACTGCTCTCTCTCGACGTCGGCTCGCTGGTTGCCGGAAGTAAATACCGTGGTGAATTTGAAGAAAGAATGAAGGGTGTTCTCAAGGAAATTGAAGAGTCCAAAGAAACCATCGTCCTGTTTGTCGATGAGATCCACCTTCTCATGGGTGCCGGCTCCAGCGGCGAGGGAGGCATGGACGCCGCCAATCTCCTCAAGCCTATGCTTGCCCGAGGTCAGCTGCATTGCATTGGTGCGACTACGCTGGGCGAGTACCGCAAGTACATCGAAAAAGATCAGGCCTTTGAACGACGTTTCCAGCAGGTGCTGGTCAAGGAACCCTCGGTCAATGAGACTGTTTCAATCCTCCGTGGTTTGAAGGAAAAGTATGAAGTGCACCACAACGTTAACATCCTTGACGGCGCAATTGTTTCGGCAGCAACGCTCGCAGCACGATACCTGACAGCTCGTCGTCTCCCCGACTCGGCTGTTGACCTGATTGACGAGGCAGCAGCCGCTGTGCGAGTGACTCGGGAGTCCGAACCGGAGGCATTGGACAACCTGGAAAGAAAGCACCGTCAACTCCAGATTGAAATCCATGCCCTCGAGCGTGAAACCGATGAGGCATCCAAGACCCGTTTGGAGGCTGCTAAGCAAGAAGCGGCCAACGTGACGGAGGAATTACGCCCCATGCGCGAGAAGTACGAAAGCGAGAAGGCGCGCAGCAAGTCGATCCAGGACGCCAAGATCAAGCTCGACTCTCTGAAGGTCAAGAGAGATGAAGCTGAGCGAATGGGTGACACCCAGACGGCGGCCGATTTGGAATACTATGCAATTCCGGAGACCAAGACTCTCATCGACAGACTCGAAACTGAACGGGCACGCGCGGACGCCGAGCAGCGCGCTCGTGGCGATGACGGCGGAGAGGCCCTCCTTGCCGATTCGGTCGGTCCCGATCAAATCAATGAAATTGTCGCTCGATGGACCGGAATCCCCGTTACTCGGCTGAAGACCACCGAGAAGGACAAGCTGTTGCAGATGGAGAAGTACCTGGGCAAGCTGGTCGTTGGCCAGAAAGAGGCGGTAACTTCGGTATCCAACGCCATCCGACTCCAGCGGTCCGGTTTGAGCAATCCCAACTCTCCTCCGAGCTTCCTCTTCTGCGGTCCGTCGGGAACCGGTAAGACCTTGCTCACCAAGGCTCTGGCCGAGTTCCTCTTCGACGACCCCCGGGCCATGATCCGATTCGACATGTCCGAATACCAGGAGCGGCACTCCCTGAGCCGAATGATCGGTGCACCCCCCGGCTACGTTGGCCACGACGCTGGCGGCCAACTCACCGAGAGTCTTCGCCGCCGCCCGTTCTCCATCCTCCTGTTCGACGAAGTCGAAAAAGCCGCCAAGGAAGTCCTCACCGTCCTCCTTCAGCTCATGGACGACGGCCGTATCACTGACGGCCAGGGCAGAATCGTCGACGCCCGCAACTGCATTGTAGTCATGACCTCCAACCTGGGTGCGGAGTACCTCGCTCGGCCCACCACCAAGGACGGTCGCATTGATCCTCAGACTCGCGAGCTCGTCATGACCGCTCTGCGCAACTACTTCCTGCCCGAATTCCTTAACCGAATCTCCAGCACCGTGATCTTCAACCGTCTTACGCGGCGCGAGATCCGCAAGATCGTCGACCTCCGCCTGGCTGAAGTTCAACGCCGTCTCGAAGACAACAGCCGCAAAGTTACCATCGAATGCACCGATGAGGTCAAAGACTATCTCGGTAAAGCTGGTTACTCGCCCGCGTACGGTGCCCGTCCTTTGGGTCGCATCATCGAGCGCGAGGTCCTCAACCGTCTGGCTGTGCTTATTCTGCGCGGCAGTATCTTGGACGGCGAAGTCGCTCGCGTGGTTATGCGCGATGGACGCATCGACGTCCTTCCGAACCACGAGGTCCCCGTCGACGAGGACCTGGATATGCTCGACGACGACGACGATGCCATGGCTGAAATGGAAGACGAAAGCGGAGACATGGATCTCTATGACTAAATGCATCGTCCTTCCTCTTAAAAAATTGCACATATTGTGACAACATTACATCCACAATCAAAAAGCACACATAAAAGCATGTTGAACTTTGTGAAATAAGGGTGATGCAAAAACATGATCACGATGATATGACACATTTGTTACTTGTTGCTCCATTTGGGTTGGCGTTTCTGCTTTCTATTTATCCTCTTTCCTTATCTAATTTCTTTGATATCCCTTTCCTTAATCCAAGGTGCAACTTGCATTACTTGATACTATTTCTATATCTACTTACCATGCGTACATGGTTCTAATTGTTATGAAAATAGGATGCATAATCAACTTAACTTCTATATTCATTTTTCTTTCTCTTTCTTTTATTTCCTGTCCGTAGAGAATTCGTAGATATAACATGAGTGCTTGAAAACCGTGGACAAGGCATATTTGGTGACTAGTTACCTACTACATTCTACCTGTGGCTATTATTCAGAACCCATGCTCCCACGGTGCAATTACCTTCAAGGGCATTCTGCAGCGACGGGCAAAAGATACAAGTCATACTTATCTCAACCATCCACCAGAACTAACCGAGACTATATGCCTAAACTACACCCCCTTGCACATCCGTATCCCTCTCCTTCATTTCCTCCCTCTCCCTCCACCACCTCACCACCTCCCTCGTTTGACAAAACTCCACCTCATCGCCCCAGCCCCGACACCAGCCTAGAAACCTTTCCACCATTCCAATCACATGCGCCATGCCGCTCGTATCCGGATGCATCAGCACCGGGAAAACAGGCTCGTCTTCGTTGTCCCGCAGCCATAGGAATCGGTCTTTCCAGAGGTTCTCGATCACTCGGACGTCTGTGTAGCCGTGCGAGTTTGGTGCCCGGGGGAGGAACTGGAGGGGTGTCATGTCTTCCATGTACCAGTTGCAGGGGATGCAGGTTAGGGGGCGGCGGTCTAGCCGGGATGCGCGGGGGACCGGGTGCATCCAGGTTGAGGCGGGGAGGGTGAAGTTGGGTGGGCTGAGGGGGGGTCGTGATGGAGCGTAGAATGGTTGGCTGTCGTGGTCGGATAGGGAGGCGTCTGTTTGGTCATCAATACACACGTAATAGGTTAGTGTTGGTTAAATATGGGTTATGGGTGGTGGGATAGGAGTCTGGGGAGGTTCTGGGGAGGATGGTGGACGCACCGTATTCAAACCCGAATTCTTCGAGCAGGTCGAGCGTCGACTCTCGCAGCTGGTATAATGGTGCTCGATACCCGACGGGCTTCTTGCCGGTCAACCTTGTTGCGATCTCGATGCATCGGACGAGTACGTCGCGTTCTTGCTCCGGGGTGAGCTGGTATGCGCCTTCGTGGGCGTATCCGTGCAGTCCGATCTCGCAGCCCGAGTCGACGACCTGCTTGACTTCCTCCGGGAAGCTCTCTGCAGAGTGGCCGGGGATGAACCAGGTGCAGCGGTCTGCGAGGCTGAGTTTCTTGAGCATGCGAAGGAGACGAGGGACGCCGACTCGGGCGGCGAAGAAGCCGGACGAGTAGTCGGCGAGGATGTTATCGGGGTGTTGGCCTCATTGAGAGTTAGTGTTACATGGTGTGGATTGAGGAATGTTTAGGACGTGTACTGTAGTTACCTGTTCCTAGCCAGCCAGAGACGGCGTCAAGATCGACGGAGATGGTGATGCGGATCTTGTTTTTGGGCTTGCTGATTGATTGCGGGATATTCGGGGCAATAACGCTTGCTTGAGCTGAAGTGTTCTTGGACTGTTGATTGGCTTCACTTTCCTTCCAAATCAAACGGCCCTCCATGCCTCCATCGACACTGACACATTCTCCAGATATATGGCCCGCCGCACGATGGGAGGCCAGGAATGCCATCGTCCTCGCGACGTCCTCTGGTTTCGCAATTTTCTTCAACGGCACACTAATTCCCCATCAGCAAACACCACCAATCTCAGGTCCATCTGATCTAGCACGATATGACAAGACAAGGAGAATGGACTTACGTAGCCTGAGCTTCACTCCACAATTCCGCCGGATCATCCAACCTCCCCTGGATCATCCGCGTATCCGCCCACCCCGGCGCAACGGCATTGATCCTCGCCTTACTGTTCAACCTCACAATCTCGTTCTTGACACTGCGCACCAGTCCATACTGCAACCCGGCCTTGCCGGACGCATATTCCACATGGCCCTCTTGTCCGAACTTACCAGTTTCGCTACCACTGACCACAATGGCTAGATTATCTAACTCTGCGCCCAGCGCTTGTTGCGCGGTCCTGGCAGATCGCAGGAAATGCTTGATGGTGAGGAATGTGCCGCGAACGTTGACGCGGTATGTCTGTTCCCAGGTATCGAGAGGCAGGTCCCATATGGGATAGTCTCTGCTCTCGTCGGTGATACCGGCGTTGGCGATGAGGATGTTGATGGGTCCTTGTTGGTTGACAGCTTGAGTGAAATTGGATGAGATGGAATTTTCGTCTGAGATGTCGCCTGCTAGATTGTATAGCTGATCGCCCTTTTTGGCGAGGTCGCGAAAGTCTAGAGGTTTGATGTCAAGTGTCGTCACTTTGCATCCTTGGTCTGTGGGGATCGTTAGTAAGTAGGTTTGGCAGGGATATGGATATGCGCTCATGACAGATTGTTGGAACATAAATCAATGTAGAACGCGTGGCATAACGTAGGATAAGGTTAAAATGCAGGCTAGAAAGCGACCAAGACATATGCACTAGGAATCACTCAAGCAGCATCGAGTAGGAAGCATGTATTGAACAGAATTCCGAAGACCATGGCATCTTAGGGGATAAAGATGATATGCAACGAATCATGAATTCGAGTCCATCGCCAACAACCTACCAAGGAATTCTCGCACTGCCTGCCGCCCAATGCCCCCTGCAGCACCAGTAATGAAGACATGAAGACCTTCCAGGCCTAAGAAGGAGATGGAAGAAGAGGAGCCTGTCATTGTAGCCACTGGGCTTGAATGAGATCCAAGCAGGACCGAGGGGTTGATGGAGTGATGAACGGAGATGGATGCAGTGAGGGGAAAAGAGATGGATGGACTAAGGACCAATCGGGAAATCGGGTGGAGTGACACAAGCAAACAATAAGGTAGTATACTGTAGATCCAGAAGGCTACATGTATATAGAAGACAACAGTTTCCTTTTCTCTATTATTATTGAAATTGGTGTTCAATCTACCGGACTTTCGCAGATGGGTGCTGTATTGCTACGCGTGGTCTGGATAACAGCCTAATTGAGGAAACCCTGCACTTGCAATGCAAAGTAACTATTTGTGGCTTTATCTGCAGTCTAAATATCTCCATTTGAACAGATACATAGATATATATCGGCTTGTAGAACACATTGAGCAGAACCTAAGGATGGTTGTTGTTCCTTGGACTGGTACTCAATTATACTCGAATATAAAGCATGGCCATGTATGTAGTTACTGGCATATCGAATACATAAGAGGTACGAAAATAATCATCTTCGAGCAGTTCGACGACCATTGAAAAGAAAACAAATCTCACCATTCGGAATACATAAGACTATCAACACCAAAAGATAAGACTTAGATAGACACCATAGGCCTTCTCCCCTGCAGGAAAACAAAAGCCGTTCTGTCACGGAATCCACTGCATCAATTCATCCCAGTAGCTACCCCTAATTCAGACTCATACCCACCCTAAATGCTCAGAACCTATGACTCCGCCTTCTCTCCGGCCGAAAGCAATCGGAAGCCGATTATACGGAGTATTAGTATACCCACCAGCCACGCGCCAGCTGAAGTGAAACTAGTCACCTACAGTCCAGGCAGGCTGGCAGGCTTACCACGTACAAGCCGGATAGGTATCATCCACTCGCATATTAAACATTCGTGGACCTAACCTACCCTCTACCTCTGAGAGCGGCCACGGAGTACGGAGTTCTTCGATGAATGATAATTCTTCTCGGTTCATTCTACTCCGTGCTCCGTCGGTGGATCTAATATATTGTACAGAGTATAGCGAGATGGGTCATTGTTATAGCTTGGCTTTGGGGCGTGGACTCGTGGGTTCTATTTCTACTTTGTATTTTAATGGATTGGACAACAGGAGTAGATGAATGAGTGAGTGAGGAATTCCGTTCCCGTGTCTTCTTATTTACCACTAAGCGAACAAAAGAACTCGGCCCCCAAGCAAGTTAACGAACTATCTAAAGCCACAAAACCACCCGAAAGCATAGGTAACTAGTCGATAGTCGACAGTAGATACCTATCCCAAGTGCACGGAGTACATACTCAAAACAGCAAACAACACCATTTCGATCCGAGCCATGTCAGTGGCTAGTGTGCGCCCAGTATTCCGTAAGTTACTACTAGTATCTACTGGTAGTATCTCACAGCAACAATAAGACAAATAATTAAAAATCTCCGATTAAAAATAACATAAGTGAACTTAAATCGGAGACTACGGAGTCGCAAAGACGGAAGATGGCCGTTGGAGGATCAGCCGGCTCGCAAAACAAAGTTTAGCGGACTCCAGCGTGTCTCGGAGGGATGACTCTCTGGGGGATTGGTTTGGATACAACAGTAAGTACGGGTGAATACAGCCACGCTATTGTTTCGGTTTTATGGTAACTAGAAGGGTGTCTGGTGCAGGGGACTAGGGAGGCTTGGGTTAGGATTTGATGTGTGTTGGGGGCCATCTCGGACGAACAGGGAAAATCTCATCTTTATGGCGGGTGTGGTTTATACAGGCGTTCCGTCTCTTCAGGGAAACTTGAATTTGTTCGATGAATGTGATATGCTAGTAGTTTGGTTATTAATGTACTCTATGAATACAGATGTATCTCAACAGTAGTAGATGTACTTAGTTTACTTCAGTTATAAGGGTTACTAAAACTGAACATCGGCAGTACTCACCTCGACAAGAAATATTTCTACACCATACATACCGGCAATTAATTGCCCACCTTACCTCGGGATATCTTCCAGAACAACCAAAAGCCGATGTGCATACACCGAGTGTATACCACACATGAACTATGATCAACAGCCCATCTTGGAGACAGACCCCAACCATCACAGATTGGAGTAAACTCAAAACCCGCCTTGCATGAACCATGGGAACGCATCGCTTAAAGATACGCGCATCTTCATGGGAGCGCTTCGCACCTACTGCGGAGTATGCACCCATCCCTCTGGAGGGAAATGATAAACGGCCAGTTTGGTGAGGGACTTTTTGAACCTTCCACTATGCATGCATTGTGAAAAATTATGCACTCCACCCAGCGTCCCAGATAATGCTGACATTGATGATCCGTGGAAATGAAAATCAAACTTCAATAGTTTAAACGGCAATGGCAAACACGCAAGCTGACACCCGAAAGTCAATAAGATAAGCGAGTGCCTTGCTAGGCGAGTCCGACAAAAGGAGAAACCTTTACGAAGGATTCGAAACCTTGATAATACTGATGGACTTTTTCAATCTATCTCGTTGAGCTAGTGTTTGTCAGCCAGGTCGAAAATCATATCTGGATTCTAGAACAGAGACATAATATATCTTAGTGCGTGGTACGGGTCAACCCGATACTAGAACATAATGAAAAGTATCTTATTGTGCTTCGTAATACGAGTCAACAATAACCCCTCCGGATAGGATCTCTACGTAATTGAGCAGTCTGTGGCAGGAATCTGTACATCCTCCCCACCTATGGATCAGAAAACAGGTCATCACTGGAGATATGTAGATCTCCGGGGTCGTCGGCTGGGCGAGCGAGTTGTGTGTGCCAGGTACGTGCCCGTAGATTTTCCCCGTCGCGGCGGCTGTCCAGACGATCACGGGCCTCATCCGTGGACAGGTTGATAATGTTCAGCACCAATTCCCTGGGTGTGCTCGAATGGCGTAGCTGACACCACGATCTTACCCAAATACAGCATTTGGCGGTGGGGACGGCGAGGTGGATTACCCATGGACCGGAAGGGAATAGTTTCATGGGTCTTGCCATCCGTCAAGCTTTGCCCCATACGGTAAACTTGTGGGCTACCAAGTGCAATCAAACTTGGATGTGGTGGTTTGGAAATTAGAAGCGAGAGGTCAGAGTGTTCTTGTTTGACGGGCAGACTATTGATTTCCAATCCAAAATGAGTTCGATGTATATTGTGGTGCGGAATAGATGTTACTGTTCTCGTCTGCGCCTTGTTTCAGGTGAAGTCTGTTCGCATCAACGGCAGACATCGTTCGTTCCTGAATCTGATACATGTCAGACAGTCAGAGAGAATTTCTGGCCTGATCTTGTTATCCAGTGCTTCGGAGTTTGTGCAGAGATGCAGCCAGCGAGAGGCAGACTGGGGGCTGAGGCCGGAGAATAAGGTTCAGGTTCAACAAGACAATGTTGGGATGTGCTCCAGGACCACGAGACGAGGAAGATGTAATCCTTTCCGAAGACTGTGGCCCTGTCGCCTGCATCTGCTGAGATCATTTCAATTTTGAGGCTGTCAAAGTGGAATAAGTGGATGATGGGGATTCAACCCGGGGCTTCCATCCGTCCATACGATTTGCACCCCGCTACAATGTTGGAGACGACCCGGAAAACAGAGACCGCGCTAAAAGCGGCGGGTAAAGGTCGGCCGCGACGTTGACGCAACCAAGAAAGAAAAAAAAGATTTAGAAAGATGAAAAGATTCGGAGCCGGGAGATCTGCATCGTGTATTGTGACGGTGTAACCAGATGGTAACGCAGAGTCTGCCCGGACAATTTCAACCGATATTGATCTTCAAACGAAGTTTTATATTAACTGCTCGTGGAAAATTCTTGGAATGGCAGCGAAGGATTCGTGATTGGTTTCAGTGTTGTTTATTCCAGACCGTGGGAAATAGCACCCATGGGCCGCTGCGCTGAATCCTTCAGGCGATGGACTTGGGTACGGCGAATCGATAATCTCACTTTCAAACCAGGGCATTGGACTGCCGGGACCGGGGCTGGCCCACTTTGCGCCGATCACCTCCGTTCTTGTATTGATGTTTTCAAGGACATCGTTCTATAGAGTCGTAACATTAGCTGATACATGGTGTCTATCGGATATCAAAAATCAGATCGCCTCACAAAGCCCAGAAATAGCGAAGGAAAAATATGTACAGGAGATAAAGGATGGCAGTCGGGTAGTTTAGACAAATGAAAAGATCGCACGAAAGAAAGACGAAAGAAAGACCGCAAAATGTAGACGCCGACTAGACTGTTTCACGGCTGCGCATGACGCTCATGAGTATGATGCAGAGAATTGTCCCTCACATGCCCAAAATCCCAATCTTCAGGCTGCCGTGTTTCGCGCTCCACCGTCACCGTCACATCTTGTCGAATTCTTAGGGCTCGGTCGGAACCGTCGTCACTGATATCGCGATCGTCGGCCGCATCCGTACTAACGTCCGACACGGCCTTCTGCTGCGCATCGACGGTACTTCGGTTAAAGCTCTGCATATTGAAATCGCCAGAGCGCAAGTGACTCGGAGGTCCGTAATTCCGATTTCCGGATGTCTTGCTGGTCCACGGTCCAGAGCGATACCGGTCTGTTCCGCGTTTCGAACCGCCGGTCCAACTTTTGAGGGCGGGAAAAACGTCGCGTAGGAGGGACCAAATCAGCGGTAAATTAGTCACTAGCACGGCGACTGTAACTTCGCGGAAGTACCAATTCATGTAGACATAGGAGATCAAAGCGGGCACGAGACAGTATACTTTGTTCAAGATAGCCGCAACGATAACGAAGATGCCCATGCCGAAGATAACAACAAGGATTAACTTCTGCTTGAGGGGCACTCGCACTTGTAGAAGAAGCGGGAGACCAATGAGAAGCATAAAGACGTCGGCAGAGATGGAGATACATCCTTGAATGATCTCGTAGTATTGGTAGGTTGAGCATTGCTCGTTGGGCGTGGGAACAGCCCAATAGTTCGATAGAGGCCGACAAATGAGAAAGAGCGAGAGTTCGACTGCAATGAATCCTAGCGCGATGTATATGGCAAGGTAGTTGACCCATTTCCGTTGTCGCAAGCCTTCGCTGTGGGTTGTGTGAGCTTCGTATAGCATGGGAACTGGGGCGGTATTCCATACGTGAGACGGGCATATATCACCAGCATACAGGCCTTCATTGCCCAGATTGCTAGGATAAATGCATGCTCAGACACATAGACCCATTTACTCCCTCGCTCTCGCTCAGCCTTTATAGCGGGAGTCAGATCCTGGATATCCTTCTCGTCCATCAGATTCGACCCCCCACCGGAGGCGACTTGGTTCAAGGCAACGCATAGTATAGTGTACCAGACAACCGCAAAGACCATCAGGTAGTCATCCGTTTGGAGGTTCGTGATCCCTAATCGACGTATTCGTGCCACACTGCCACGAATCGAATAGTCAGCATCAGACTGAAAGGAGGAAAGCAAGGCCGTAACTTACAATCGCAGCAGAACGCCCAACATGCCCACGGCGTAGAGTGTCCACGTCTCCTTCGCAAAGCTCCGTCCATATTCCGGACCTAGTATTGCCATGCTGCTGTTTCTCAACCTAGGAACCCAAGGAACACGGGGTTAATATGGCATGCGCGCAAGGAGGCCAAAAGCTGGGAACCAAAGGGAAGCCACGGAATATAAGGCGGATGCACGTACATCTTAAAGGTGATAAGTTTTGGGGGATTCGACGCATCTGCCAGGGGAAAGCGCCGCAGCCAGCCTTGGGATCAATCAGCGGCCAGCGTCCGAACTGGGATGTGATTGATTGCAGCTCTCGAGGGAGGAGAAGGCCAGCGAGATAGGTGATCCAGGACCCATCCCGGCGGGCCGGACAAATTACAGCGAACCTGCGATCAAATGAAGCACCAAGGCCAGATAGGGTGACCCGTGGCTCAGGGCTTCATCGGCCGTACTGGGGGGACCACCCATCTTGATTTCATCATTCCACACTGCTTCCAGAATAGGTATAATGGCGGTCGCCCTACCAATTGACTTTGGAGGAAAAGTTGATTTGATTGACGGGTGCTGGATGGAGGGACCCAGACACCATGCGGCCAACCAGCAGGCAGTAGGCGAGGGATCCCGATTGAGTAAGAGGTAAGTACCCAAGCTAGACATGTGTGGTCCTGAATCATGTTACGACGCCTCGAGCCACACGCCGGCAGTCCCAGGATGCAGCTAAATCGGTGGACTGGAGCTCAATCTCTTTGTTTGTTCGAGGCTGTAGGAGTGGGACGAGGAAAAGAAGAGTTGCAATACGGAATACATCCATCCCATCACAGGCCAGGCTGGTATTGCCCAATACGGGACGGTGTCCCTTCCCGGTGGGTCCTGCCATTTTAGTCGCAAGTTAATTCGAATAGAGGCTAGTTCCCATCAGGTTAGCGGCAAACCTAATGTCCCCCCTTCGTTCAGCCGGGGTACGCACCCTCGTAGGCCTCAGCTGCATTCGCTCCAAGATCGTCATCAATCACCAAGGAACCACACTGAACACCAGGATGCAAAGCAAATCGATCTACTCCCCTCACTGTCACCCTGTCAGCACTCTATGGTCAACTACGCCAATGAGCCGATTTCTCATCCGGTTGTGCTGCTCCCCAAGGAGGCGGGCGGAATGTTTATCCCGCTCTAAATATATCATTGACGGACAGCGGCCTCTAATTGGCAGCGTCTCTCACCATGGAACACAGATGCATACGGAGTAGACGGGATAGATGGAGTTCCCTGGTGCTTCCGTCCCCAGTCGAGCCAAGGGTCGAGAGTGCTGCGGTAACTTACGGAGTACACGTTGGTTCGTGATTAATTTGTATCGCAGGTGGGGCGGGGAAACATCGTGCTTTCTGCGGTGTAACCCTGCTGGGATCGGACTTGATCTGGCCAGCGCAGTGGTCATTGTCGACCTTCTCCAGGGTTATGTTCATATCGGCGCGTTATCCCGTCTTGGTAACTGGAATAAACATCTGACTCGGGAGTAGTGTGTATGTTCAAAATGCATCTTGGTCTTGCTGGCCCTTGGCTATGCATGCTCTAATAAGCATGTTTGTGCACCCAAAGTGAGTGCTCTACTATGCCCGAAGCTCGTACACCGAGTACGGAGTACAGCTATCAGTTAGTTCATACCCTGCCACGGCACCAACCCACTCGACTGATTAAACAAACAACCTCGATATTGACCCTGATATTAAACCGTTTGTTTTTCCTATTCAGTACTACGAGTCATCGTTAGATGGAACTATTGCAGTGAATGTTTTGCTGTCTCTTCTCATCGGTCATAGTATTTCACTTTTAGTTCGGAGAACACCATACTCCGTGGTTCAGCCGGGCTAACAACTAAAACATGAGGCTTCCCAATAGTCAAACCATCTCAGCACACTTTTGACTCCGGAGTACAGACTAAACCATCAGAATTTTCACGAGGTCCGCATCGGTCAGCCCAGACAATGAGCTCACCGGCTTGACCTGCAGGGGTGTGTGATACCCCTGCAGCAGCAGGCCTATGATGTTGCGGATTCAAACATCGACCACGTACCGCTCACTGCCGGCGCGATCTTTGAGTTTAGGTTAAATTTCTCGATCAATTTCAAATGCTTTGTCTTTGTTCTGGAATCTTGGTGAATGGCTCGGAGATTTCCCTACCATTCGATCTTAGTTCTCGGCCCTGTTGGTTGCTTGGTAGGCTATTTGGCTTGGTACCTGACCCGGCTTTGTTTCTGCAAATGGATAGGAATTGCTTAGCATCTATTTGCCAGGTAGTTGTATCCCACCTTGCGATGCTACCTGAACCAGGGGTAAATAACGCAGTGAAGTTTGGGCCTCGTTGATTCTATCCCATCGTAAATCGAGTCAAGTATCGTTGCTGATATGGCTATGGAAATCTTCATAGGTACTGCCTCAAGTTCTATTCTCTTACCAAGACATGTAGGCCAAGCATGCTCGCAGCACGGGGCAACACCAACGGCATGGCCTGATGGTCGCAGGATCAGTGCTGCGTGCCTTTTTATTTTTTCCTTAGTATTTTATTTTTCTTAGTGGCATGGTTATTAATTAAGGTTTATCTATATGGCGATGGAAATTGACATCAATTCCAATAAATTAAACGCCCGCCAAGATAGAAGGCCGAACGTGCGTCGCAATCAACGATGAATAATTCGCCGCGGTAATGATTAGCCCGATAGCGGCGCCGTCCCGTCATTGGCCCCGGACAAGGCTAGGCCCCAGAAAACAGAGTTCCGCGGTGGCAACCGGCCGGCCAGCCCGTGGTTGAATCGCCCGTGGGAATGTATTCAATAATTCGTCCCTGAACGAGAGTTAATCCATCCGGAGTAGTATGAGAAGGAACATTAAGGGCCACTCTAGAGTAAGAACAAAGGAAAATGTCGCAGTTGCGAAGGATTGCATCGGAGTAAGGAAAATTTCTGTTGACTGGGAGTGAGACAGACACGCGAGCAGATTCCGGGTACATTCCTCTCCCCCCTTTTTCCTTTATTTTCATTTTTCTTTTTTGACTCAAGCAGTTTCTGTTGATAATGCTTTCTAGGATGGTGTCTCTAGCTCCTGTTAGGTAGGTGATTGTGTCTGGATCACAGTTATATCCTAGTGCTGTGGTTGTGCCACGCCCGTACACCGTACGCCAACGTACACTCCGCAGCTGCTCCATACCCCAGGGGATGCCCGTAGATGTTCACACTTCAACCCGGATTCTCGTAGATCCTGACAACAAACTCCCGCGTGTGGGGATACAAATGATGCTTAAATGTTATCCGCCATGAACAAGTGCCCTCCTTGTCCAGGATCCAAGGCTGATCATCCAACCGAAAGAGATCGCGATAAGGCATCTGCTGAAACTCCCCCTTTGGGAATAGGCCGAGTGTCTCCGCGACCCCCTGTTGAAGCCGGCCAGTCATCGCCGCTGGTAGCCCCCCGGTAGTCACCCCTCCGACAGCCAAGTAGGGGAGGCCATTGGCGGGAGATGGCCCATCCCCACCCTGATTCCAGCTGTATACTTTGGCTTTCGTCGCCGGTCTGATCCTTACCCTACCTTAAACTCCTGCCCGCATGCTTCCTCTTTTAAGAAACCGTTGGTACCCTCACTGGTCATCATCCCTGTGCCACGCTACCTTTTTTTCTTTTTCTTCAGACGCCATGCTCGATCGATCTTTTTAGCTTCTTCTCCTTCTCTTTCCTTTCCGGTCATTCCTTCAATATACTGCGTTCATATTTAACCTAATCATCAAGTCTATCGTCCCGTGTCTCGCCATTCGCCGACACCCTGTCATATATAGCCAAAGATCTCCCACCCGTTTGTCGTCGACTCTCACGTCATTTTTGTCCATCCTGCTTCCATCCTCGGCCATTTTCTCATCTATCTGCTCCGCTCCCACTCACCCTCGATCGAGTCAAAGTCCCCGAAATGGCACCAAAAGACGCACCTGAAAAGGTGGAGCCCATCGAGTCTTCAACGGAAGACCGGGCTGAGATGGAATTAGTTAATGCATCCGGCCATCGTCAAGAACTCGATCGGAATTTCAGCTTGCTCAGTATTTGCGCTGTCGCGGTGACGACAGGAAACACATGGATTGCTCAAGGTGGCAGTCTGGTACGTGGTCCCGACGCTAGGGGAATATGGCTCCTTGCTAAATTGCGAGTCTTATATAGGTAACGGCGTTGTATAATGGAGGGCCGTCGGGTGTCATCTATGAATTGTATGTGCCACCAAACCATCAATCTCAGACTTGGCTGGCTCCAGGGCTCTTTTGCTAACCGTAACCCCTAGCATGGCTGTTTCGGTTTGTTATTGGTTGGTTGCTGCATCCATTGCCGAACTGGCATCGGGAATGCCTTCCGCCAGTGGCGGTACGTCGAAAGCTAAATTGTCTGGTTGTTTGGCTTGCTAACCCGGACTTCAGTTTACCACTGGGCATCGATCACCGCCGGTAAATATGGTCGCGTTTGTGGATTTTTCGCTGGTTTCTGGAACTGCTTGGCCTGGATTCTGGGTGCGGCATCCATGTCGGCTATCCTGGGTCAGCAGACCGTCTCGATGTACGCCCTCATGCATCCTGGATTCCAGACCCAGTCGTGGCATGTGTTCCTCAGTTTCATCATCTGCACGTGGATGTGCTGCTGTATAGTTCTGTTCATGAACCGATTCCTTCCGCATATTGGAAATCTGGGAATGTTCTTCATTCTGGCCGGTGTCTTCATCACGATCGTCGTCTGCGCTGTCATGCCGCATGTCAACGGGACGGGACATGCCTCTAATGAGTTTGTCTGGCGCACCTGGCAGAACCAGACGGGATATACGAGCAACGGGTTTGTTTTCGTTGCAGGGATGCTTAACGGCGCCTACAGTGTGGGCACGCCCGACTGCTCGACTCATCTGGCAGAAGAGATTCCCAGGTATTTACTTCCCTTGACGAATGCAAACTTTCGTTTTCAAATATCTAACTTGTTGACAGACCGAGTCGAAACATTCCCAAGGCCGTCCTGGCCCAAATGAGTGTCGGTTTCGTCACCGGCGTCCTCTACATGGTCGCCGTCTTCTACTCGATCAACGACCTCAACGGCGTTATGAACAGTGAATACGAATTTCCACTCGCCGAAATTTACCGTCAAGCGACTGGTTCGCGAGGCGGCTCTCTCGGACTGCTCATCGTGGCCTTCCTACCCACCGTCATCACCTGCGCCGGCTGCTACATCACCGCCGGTCGTACGCTCTGGACGATCTCCCGCGACAAGGCGACTCCCTTCTCCGGCTGGCTCTCGAAGATAAACACCCGCATGCACAACCCCTTCAACGCAACCCTGGTCTGCGGCGGCATCGTCACCATCCTCGCATGCATCTACGTGGGATCGACCACCGCGTTCAACGCCTTCGTCGGCTGCTTCGTCCAACTGTCCAGTCTGTCCTACTTTGCCGCCATCTTCCCGCATCTCCTGACTCGGCGCTCGTCTTTCACCCCTGGTCATTTCTGGCTCGGTCCTGTCGGATACGTCATCAACACGTTGAGCTGCATCTATATACTGGCTTTCGTCGTTATTTTCTGCTTCCCGTTCGCTTTGCCCACCGACGCTGCGTCGATGAATTATGCTAGTCTGATGACTGGTGGGCTGACGATCTTTGTGGCTATTTGGTGGCTCTTCCGTATGCGGTCCTACGAGGGACCGAAGTTTGTTCCGTTGACGGATAAGATTCTGATGGATGATGCGAAATGAAGGGCTCATAGAAGAGGTGGCCGATGGAAGAGAAAAAGAGAAAGTGTATATGTGATTTTTGGACTGCGAAGGGTGGTTATTCAACCCGTGCCTCATTCTGTGAGGAGATCTTCTTATCAAAATAATTATTCTCGTGTTTCTAGATTATATCTATCATAGATGCAATTATACCTCGTTGGCTGGCGTCCAAGCAAATTATCACAGTCTAATTTTCATCATTGCAAACCACAACATTGGAGGCTGGTTGACCCACATTTCCCATCCCATCTCCCCGGCCATTTCATATATGGAACATCATGGAAGTCAGATTTTCTCAACCTCAATGTAATCACTAAAATGCGTCCATCCATTTCCATGACCACCGCAATGACTGCCCTGTACCTAGAATTCACAGGTTATCTGCGCACTCCATATAGCGAGTTTTCCCCAGCTCTAATCCTACATAGCTCCTAGATACAAAAAGGAAGATATCCAATAGAATTACCCTCCAGGTAGATATCTATATAACAGGTAAATCGAGCAAACAAGCAAGCGAGCGATCCATCAATCCACATCCCCCACAAATCGAAAAGTGAGTCCCTTGACACTTTTCTCTTCGCCATTCATCAAGCGGATTTCGCATCTTACCACCTCGTACTGATCCGTCTCGTAATACCGCAATTGCTCTTCGTGCTCCTCCGAAGCGACTTCATATGCCCAGCCATCAACCGTGGCTGAATCAGGCCCATCAACCAGACCCTTATACTTTCCTCCCCACGTTTTAATCAACCCGCCGTGAACCACCGCCGGCGTGAGAACCGGTCGCTCTGCCAGCGCGAGCTTCCATGCCAAGATCTCCGGTTCCCCAAGCGTGCCGTAGAAGAAGTACCAAACGGGGTAGTTCGTTTGGGTTGGCTGATAGTTATAGTTGGGATCAGTCGTGCGGAACTGTGGAAGAGTGAATTCTCGGTCGGAGCCGAGCGTCGGTGCGGAGCTGTAGGACGAGAGATCCTTGTGGGCGCGGTTGATGCGGATGAAGGTCGGGTCGAAAGAGTGGGCGACTGACGAGAGAAGATATTTCTTCGTCATGCCGTTGATCAGGCAGAATTTGGCGGCTTTGCCGCTTTCGCTGACGCCGTTGTGGATGGGTGGTGGCTCTAAGAGGCCGGCGACATGTTGGATCTTGGATGCTGTGTCCAAAGGACCTTCTAGCTTGACAAGAAATCTGGACGTGGTGTCGACGGGAGTGATGGTGGCCCCGGTAGTAGAAGCATGAGGAAGTTGAGGGAGGTAGGAGGAAGGTTGAAAGAGACCTTCAAATCGCTTGATGCTCAGGTCGTATGCCTCGTTGTTCGGGTAGTCTTTGGCCTGATCGGCCATGTGTGCCAAACCGGCCAGATTCTCGAGCTCATCCAGAAGCTCCATATTCGTGTTTGTAAATAGATCTTGAAAGTGGGTGATGAGTGGAGAAGAGTGTGAAGATGGGTGACTGAGGAAATGGTCTAGGAGTGACTCATAAATGGAGCAAAGGATATAGCCACAACGGATCAAGTCTCCGTCAAGAGCTTATCTTCCGGATGCTTACTTCAGTATGAGGTCACTAACACGGATCTCAAGGCGCATATAATTCTGCCTGCAGGGTAATGTTATCGGATATCTTCGTGCTTGTATGAGTTTCAGATCGCGACAGTTACTCACTATCATAGGTCATTGTATTGGATGGATCATGAGTAGAAGTAAATTGAAACCGAAAGGCCTCGATCTTGCATTCTTGAACATGAGATATGTACGGAGCAGTTGCCCGCTGCAGGATCCCCTAAAGAAGCAATAGATACCATATAGCTTCAAAAGCGATAGGCTAGACAAGAAATGAACGCCTAGGCAATATATAGCGCCTCCAGAATCCTAGTAACTAAGAGTGGGTTGATATCCGAGAGGTTGTTGATGAAAGCAAGTTCCATTAGCAAGAACGATTGAGGATGTCATGTGTATGAGGAACAGTGTTCTTCCTGCGCATGACAAATCTTGCCATCTTGTATCGACATGAACGAACTTATTTTCGCGAAGTTGTATTTGGTCCATACGGCCCAGTCTAGCCCATCAAGCTAACCGTAGGAAGCATCGGTGAAGAACAGGATCCCTTAACAGCTCTGTTTATAGCATCACCCCTCACCTCATCCCTATGCCGGATAACCAGAGCCGTTTCCGAGGCAGATATCCGACGCTAAGGATAGTCTGGGGTATGGAGTTCAATCCGGGGTAAAGCGCCGACAGGATTCCACCCCCAATGCTTGGCAGGAGTATATATCTTGGGGGCGATGAAGACATGATCATCGTTCTGGGCTCCCTCTCGGCAATTCTTATTCCCTACAGATTTCTTGATTTTACCTCAAGCAATGGCCGAGCCAAAGAACGGCAATGAATGCGCCCATCTCGAACAAGTCGCCAGTCCTCCGCCGCCGCCCAAATTTATCGTCTTGCAGGGTGGCGGCGACACGGCGTTGGCTCTCTTTTCCGACCCTAGCCAGCCCTACGAGCCGTTGAGCACGCAAGAAGCGAAGAAGTTGGATCGGAAGATCGACTGGGTGATTCTGCCCTATATTAGTGTCGCCTATGCGTTTTTCTACATCGACAAGACGACCCTGTCCTATGCAGCCATCTTCGGCATCCAGGAAGACTTGAATCTTCAAGGCACCCAATATAGCTGGCTCTCGTCCGTCTTCTATTTCGGTTTCTTGGTCTGGGCAATCCCAACCAACCTAGCCCTGCAGCGATTCCCTGTGGCTCGATATCTGGGAGCCAATATCTTTGCCTGGGGAGCTCTGTTGATGGCACAAGCGGCGGCGCGCAATTTCATCCAGTTAGCTGTCCTGCGTGCCCTGAGTGGTGCAGCCGAGGCGTGTGCGGATCCGGCGTTCCTTCTTGTCACGAGCATGTGGTATACGCGCAAAGAGCAACCGCTAAAGATTGGGTTATGGTACACAGCCAATGGCTTTGGGGTGGCTCTAGGAGGCTTGCTGGGCTATGGCATCGGACAGATCAAGGGAGCCTTGCCGAGTTGGAAGTACGAGTTCTTGATCATCGGGGCGCTGTGCTGTGTTTGGGGGATCGTCATCTACGTCTTTCTTCCTGACTCCCCGGTCTCGGCGAAGGGGTTCTCGCTGGCGGAGAAGAGGACGGTCGTGGAACGACTTCGGGAGGATCAGACGGGTGTGGAGAATAAGAATTTTAAAGGGTACCAGGTCCTGGAGGCGTTTCTGGACTACAAGCTCTATCTGCAGTTTTTGATCTCGCTGATGCAGGCGCTCGTCAATGGTGGAATTTCAAACTTTGGGACGATCATTATCAAGGGTTTCGGATTTTCGACGCGTAAGTACTGGTCCCTGACTCCTTTTTGAGAGATGAGGCCATTCTGACACCTGTCTAGTGGGCACGACGCTCATGCAGATCCCGTACGGAGCCATTATCGCCATCTCCGTTCTCCTCTGTATATACCTCAACCGGATCCTTCCCCCGAACAACCGATGTCTGCTTCTCATTGCCTTCCTCCTGCCCAACGTCGCTGGAGCGTTTGGCCTCCGCTATGTTCCGCAAGATAATCGCGCCGGCCGACTAATCTGCTATTACTTGACGGCGCCCATCAACGCGTCCTTTGTCCTTCTTCTTTCCCTGCAGACGGCGAACACAGCAGGCCATACCAAGAAAGTCATCAACAGTGCCTGTCTGTTTTTGGGCTACTGCGTTGGAAACATCGCCGGTCCGTTCTTCTACAAGTCCGAGCAATCTCCGACCTACATTCTGGGGATCTGGAGCATGATTGTCTCACATCTGCTGGAGATCGTAGTTGTATTTTTGCTGCGGTTCTTGCTAGCAAGCGAGAACAAGAGACGAGACAAACTGCAGGGAATTGATGGTGCCAATGGCCTTGAGAGAGAGCTTCACGAGCAAGAAGTGGACGCGTCGGCATTCGGCGATTTGACGGACAGGGAGAACCTGAACTTTAGATACATTTACTAAGTAGACAGAGAGCAAGTATACCCAACGGAGTTAGTGCCACCAGATTTGCATACCAATAGTAGCCGATCTCTGCAGTTGTAACTATCTGCATGATAACGGATACTTTTCCGTCAACTCGTCAACCCCGCGAGATGTTCATTTGCTCATCATTTCGTCTTGTCCGTGATGTATCTCCCGTCTGCCGATTTGCTATAAGTTGGCTTGTGTCTCGACTGCCAAGATGACCCAAGATCTTGGAACCTAGCTTGTCTTGAGCTTTCTTTTCCCCTTCGTCGTCAGTGTTTCTTGGCTTGTCCGTGCCCTGCCCTGCCCTACTGTTTCTCATCTTCCTTTCCGTGACAATGACGGACCCAGACCCAAAGAGCTCGGAGATCGAGCAAAGAGAGTACACGTCTTCTGACAACGATATCCTGAAGCCCGTCAGCCGCGCCCCGCAGTATGTGCGGGATTTGTCGCCCGAGGAGCGACGACGTGCCGAGAAGAAGCTCGTCCGCAAGGTCGACCTGCGGCTCATGATCGTGACCTTTGTCATGTACGTGATGAATTATCTAGATCGGAATAATTTCGCCGCGGCGAGATTGGCAGGTCTAGAGAAGGATTTGAATCTGAAGGGGAATCAGTTTCAAGTGACCGTGAGTATATTGTTTATTGGGTGTTTGTTGATGCAGGGTATGTGATCGATTCATTAACTATTGAATTTCTATCTGTGCCGATCCTGTATTACAGAGATTGCTGACAGGGTATAGTGCCTTCGAACATGATCCTCAATAAGGTGGGAAGACCGTCGATCTATCTGCCCTGTTGTATGGTAGTCTGGGGCACCATCTCCACTGCGACAGCAGCCACGCATAACTACGCCGGTCTTCTGTCCTGTCGCTTCTTTCTTGGATTTGTCGAAGCGGCTTATTATGTGAGTTATGTCTGCTTTTCTATGGAGTTTAAGCTGAACGACCTCCCTATGATTCAGCCAGGCTGCCTCTACCTCCTGTCTGGATGGTATACACGCAACGAGCTGGTCAAGAGGACCGCCCTGTTGTATTCTGGATCGGTGATCTCCGGTGCATTTTCCGGCTTGATTGCAGGTGGCATCACTGGGAATATGAATGGCGTCCGAGGGCTGTCTGCCTGGAGATGGCTCTACATTATAGAAGGAGTAACCACAGTAAGATATAATCTATGACTGCTACGTGGACTCGCTTACTGTGACTGACACGGTTTAGATCTTCATCGCCATTCTAGCGTTCTTCATCATCCCAGATCTGCCTCGGACCACCCGATGGCTCAGCAAGGAAGAGCGACAGCTCGCCGCATGGCGTCTTGAAGAAGATATCGGCGAAGACGATTGGGTTGACAGTCAAGACCAGTCGATGTTTCATGGAGCGAAGCTTGCTTTCCTGTATGTTCTTGCTCTGTGACTTCGGAAAAAGCTTTCCTCATTGCTTCCCAGTGACTATAAACTGTGGCTTCTCCTTGCTACAATTTACGGCTCAACCTCCTCCGGGACTGTTACGAATTTCTTCCCGACGTGAGCATCTTCATATCACCGGATGTCTATCTCCTAAATTCGCAATTAATAATCTTTCTTGTCCAGGGTAATGAAAGGCCTCGGAAAAGGAAATGTCGAGACTCTCCTCTTGACAACCCCACCCTATCTCATCGGCGCCGTAATCATGCTGGCGAATGCCTGGCATGCCGATAAGACGGGCGAGCGGTATTTTCATATCGTCATCTCGCCTGTTATTGCGCTGGTGTCGTTTATCCTCGCAGTGGCAACTACGTCGTTTGCGGCGAGATATGTGTATGCCTCACTGCGGTCTTAGATACTGGGGATGAAATATCTCGTCAAGGGAATTTCCAAGTCCGATAGTATTAAATGCATGCTAACGAAACTGTTTTAGAGCTATGTGTCTTATGGTTGGAGGTATCTACGCCGGTTATGTCGTGGCTTTGGGATACATTTCTAATGGTGAGTCACTTGCTATGTTCATTAGTTCCTCTATCTCAATATACTAAAGCCGATATCATCCAGTCCTTCCTCGTCCCGCCTCAAAACGTGCTGCGGCTCTCGCTTTAATCAACTGCCTGAGCAACGTCTGCCAGGTTTACGCTCCTTATCTGTATCCCGGTATGTTGCCTTGCCTTCCATCCCTGGTTCACTATACCCTTGTGTTCTCTCTCTTTCTCTATCAACACATTCACTTCGTAACGAGTAATGGACAACACTAACGCTCAAATTAAACCTCAGACGAAGACAACCCTCGCTACCTGAAAGCTTTCGTCCACAACATGGCCATGTCCGTCATGACCATTCTTTTCGGGACCATCCTTCGGATCGCGCTTGTGAGGCTGAACAAACGGCTGGATCAGGAAGAGGGCGTGGATATTCTGGAACGGCAGGGCCAAGACGGGAACGAGAGGCCAGTGCAGATACGGCGGATAGCAGCGGCCATATTGAAAAAACGCGATTTGTTACTAAAATTAGCAACACTCTATAGTGGATCTGTCGACAAAATAAGAAATCATTAATTCGTTCTATTAGACTTCATTTTTCGACTATTAATTCTGAACATCACGTAGAGATACAAGTTCTTGTTTAAATGTTGTATATAAGTATTCTAATTATGTTTATTAATCGGGCTCCAACGTCTTTTGCTTCAAGTCATTTTACTGCCAGTCTTAGATCGATAATGACATTTTCGATCACAATATCACATTCTATGATTTTCTTGATAATTCGCACGGCAATTTGTTCGCGCAATTAGAAGTCAGCATGATAACGATCATTGCAGCGTTGAATCCGGCTTTTATGTTTTACACGGGCGACGTATCGATTCATAATATTTGAATAATTAATTAATTTTTTATGTTGCGCGATCTCAATTTTATCTACAATCGATTTGATAGATTGGGCCTCGTCTACTCCGCATTAGACAATTATGATGCCGTGTCGCTGAATTTCTTTCTTGCCACAGATACCGGCATTCCAGCCTCGCACTGATCTTAATGGGCCTACAATGCCCTGTCGAACGACTGAACGACACTCATGAACCAGAAAAACAAGACATCTTAAATAATCAAAATAAGAACGCACAATATTCAAATAAAGATTGCAAGACACTCTAAGCGAGAGCGGTAAAGAGATCGATGAACGTTCTTAGTGAGAATCAGCTTTTTTCAACATGGCCGCTGCTATCCGCCGTATGCAGAGAGGGTTCCGGTTTCTTATCTGATCTTATCTGATCTAGATTACGCTGTCTTTGTTCTTTGTACAGAGGTTAGGCGCGAGATATGCAGAATTGGCCGTGAGCCTCTCTGGGTATTTCTTTCACATGTTAGGAGTTTGCTGCTTTGTTCCGTCAATCCACTGGTTTTCTTACGTGCCGCAAGAAAGAAGCAGAACTCCCTTCGGAAACACCACCATGAAAGACGAGGATGTACTTCCCGATAGCTGCTAGGGAATTGAAGCCAGATGTTCTTGGGCCAAAATCACTGCGTAGTTGCATATTGGAGCTTATAAGAACAGGCCTCCATCACTCCTGACAATAATCTGTTGTAACTTCTGGTCTGATTGAAATTAAGGGAGTGGGGCCAATCTCAATGCATTCACTTTCCAACTTTTACTTTTGTGCATTCACACCCGTCTTCTCACAACATTCGCCCGTTTGCTTTCTCTCCTTTCCCCACCACCATTTCCTAGGTTCTTCTCTCTACCCAGTTTGATCTTTCCAAGCAGTGGCTTCCACACACAACAGTATGTCCACCATCCAGGAAGCTGAATGGCTTCATTTAAAAATGGGAACTCTCCCTGTATGCCAGTGGAATCTCCCACATCAACTTCCATCTTCTGCTTTCGAAAATCCAAAGATACACAGTCCGACATCGTCTATAAATACCCATCATGCAGCCTGCTCAGATTTATCTTTCCTGCAAGGCGAATGCGGCTCGCAACAGCTTCTCCAACGTCTCTGTCGTGAGAATCCCTTTCGCGGGCATAACATCTTCAAAAATCCCGGATCAATCTGCCCGAATAACCATCAAACCTACCCCTCTGATCGACGCCTCCACTGTCCACAAGATGGCGGAGCCAAAGCCATCTCGTTCGCTGACCCATGCTACCAACACCGAGGGAGGGGAGGAGGAGGAGGAGGAGGAGGAGGAGGAGAAGTGCGACTCTGACTTGGAATGGGGAGATGAAGTCGTCGCTCGCGGTTATTATCGCAACGCTGCAAACCTTGAGGAATACGGTTTTCGTCCAGTATGGTGGGAAGGGGAATACCCGTATGACGAGATTCCCGATGACATCAAAGAGTATTTGAACGAGGACGGAAAGGCCGATAACCTGACGTTGATCGGTCCCCTCCGAAGCATCGCCTGGTTAGCTGGGATTGATGAGCTCGTGGAAGCAATCGACAGTCCCGCATACACCATCGAAGACAGAATAGAGGTGATTCCTTTCGGCTGCACCCTGAGATGGCCACTCCGTCAGTTAGACGAGGAGGGGTTGATTTCAGCACGGATCTTGGAACAGGCCTATGCAGACACATGCCACTTCGATTCCTGGCGGTATGGACGCTGGAGACCTTGCCGATCTCGCGGAGTGAAGGATGAATGCCCAGCAGGTGTTGGTGACAGTCCCGCCTTGTTGCCCCTCAAGGAGATCACGAGACAGAATCGTGTGGAGGGGGTTTCTGGCAGTATCATGTGCATGAAAGTCAAAAACAACCATAAGGGGCCTGAATCTCTCGAGAGATTGATCCGCCGGCAGGCTGAAGGTCTCTTGGGGTCGGGAAGGCTCTGGTTCCGGGGTTTGAGCATGAAGGCCTTGAGATCAACTCTCGCTTTTTTCATCCCACAAGTGAGCTCGAATCATTATGATAACGAGTTTGGACCGGGATTCTACACTTCGGATGGCCTAGAGGCCGCCTTGAATTACATCCAAAAAGGTTCTGGGGCGGTTATGGTCTTCAAAAACCCTGACCTACTGGATGCCACTGTTTGGCATCTTGAAGCTGGAAACCTGGAGGCTTGGGTGGCTAGATGGACATCTCCTACAATGGGTGAGGTCAACAAGGATGCTCCGCCAGAGTATAGATCTGCCGATTTTATCAAGGGCCCACTCGGCAAGAGGAACGATAATCATCGGGGCAAACGTGAGCAGTGGAAAAGTTACGCCCAGCTGGTTGCGGTCAGCTACAAAGGCTGCCAGATCTTGGCCAATGCCCTGTTCATGATTATCTTTGTTGAGCCCAAATGATCGTCTGTTTCATGCTTTAGCTCGATACTGGCCAGACTGAACCCAAGTTTCATTCTGACATTGTTTCTGCCTCTGTTTATTACAAATTGAATTGCTATTCTTATGATTTGCACAGTATACGTTCTCTTCCGTTGTAAAAGTAAAAACCTCCTTTCTGGAATAACAATCAATCAATCAGAATTGTATTCACCCGATGAATCTCGTGTCCGTAAACCATATAATCCCACAGATTCAGTAGAGAAATAGAGAAATCACATCGAGCTCTTCCAGGAGGATGTTGGGCTCCATGAATTCCTCCCCGGATTTGATTCAAGGAGCTGCGTATGACCGCGTTTCCGACGGCATAACGGTGTAGTCCGATCTCCCTGTCCAAGGATCGAGCATTCAACCACCATCATAGGGTCGTGTTTCGATTTTTCTTATAGCGGGTGGTTTGGAGCCTAGACACCCCGGGCTAGGGAGGGACACCCGCAAAGTGGCGGATGCGGCTCCCTGTGCGGGCGGCCGTGGATGACTAGAACTTCACCGGTCCATTCACTCTAGATCAGGAATGAAGAAGTAAAGAAACAGATAAAGTTGACGCATCACATAAACTCCCAATAAGTATAACCAAGTATGTACATACAATCACCACTCGCCCCTCCAAGCATCCACAAATCTCTTAATCAACCCGCTCTCGATCAACTCCACGCCGCCCTTCAATGCCGGGCTCGCGGCCTCCGACTTCTCCATGTCAAAAACGAGTCCCGCCCGACCGGGATTATCATTATCGTACTTTTCCGTGAAGAAGTCGAGAAGTTTCACGGTGGGGTTTTTCTTTGGATCCTGCTCCCCTTCGCGGAGTCGTTGCACCCACTGCCGTTTCGGCAGGATCTTGAATTCCAACCCGGCGGCTTTCAAGGCCGGAAGAAGATCGCGGGTCCACTGGAAGGTTCGCGCGTTTTGGACGTGGTAGATGACCTTGGGATCATGGGCCATGGCTCTGGCTTCAGCGTTGGGGTTGATTCCTGTGAGGTCGAGGATGGCGTCGGCGACGCAGTCGACGGGTAACCAGGACGGTGTTTCCTCTAGCTCTGGCAGCGCTTTGAGTGTAACAGCACTCTGCAGCATCAGGGGGATTGCTTCGGTGGTGTTCCATTTCCCAGTAACTGTGTCTCCGACGATCTGGCCTACCCGGAGGACCTTGGCCACGAGACCCGTTTTCTCGGCCGCCGCTTGCACGACCCGCTCCGCTACGAGCTTCGATCGTGCGTACCCCATGTTTTGAGCGTGAGAGAGCTCGGGAATGGGACCTTCGGCGATGGTGGCGGGTAGGGGCGTTCCGGCGGCGGCGGAAATGGAGGAGCAGAAGTAGAATTCAGCAGGGGACGATCGTTGGCTGGAAAGGCAGAGGTTGATCAGGTTGTGAACGCCCTTAATGTGTTGTTGCTCGAAGCTTCGCACGCCGAGCGTAAAGTTCACGGCCCAGGCAGCGTGAATGACCTTAGTGAGAGAGGTGCGGAGCTCATCAATGATAGATTGAGAGAGGCCCAAATCCTCGCGACCGAGCTGAGCAGGTAAAGCGACAATCTTGGAAACATTGACCATTGGGAGAGATCGTGCGGATAGAGTGGATAGCACTCGATCTAGAGCAGCACTGGGAGAGGAAGCTCGCACGAGGCAGTATATCTGCCTGACCGAGTCTTTTTGCATTAACCTAGATAGAACATAGGTGCCAAGTGACCCCGTAGTACCGGTCAGCAACTGTCAGAAATGGTTAGCGAATGGACGTTTGGGTTGGCATTGGGGAACTTTACAATGACTTCTTGCTCTGTTTCGCGAGGCGTAAAAGCGGAATATTTTTCAATGAGCTGAGACATCACCTCGAGCTCGTCCTCCTCCTCTTGCTCCTCGCCTGTCCGAAGAGCATATAGATGTGCGGCGAGCTTTTTAATGTTGGCAAGATCGAATATCACGTTATGACCAAGTTCTGCTGTTCCAATATCAATCCGCCTCTTGATCGTAGCCCTGGCCTTGATCGCCTGGAGACTATCTACCCCAGCTTCATAGAAATCGGAATCTGTGGTAATCTCGTTGAAGCAGAGCTCGTTTCGAAAGAGCTCCAAAAGATATCGTTCTAGCTCAGCAGTGTCCAAGGCAATCTTCTCTCCTGAGTTCGCATCGCCCCCTTCCAGTATCGCGTATACAGCTTCGATGGCATCATTAAATTCCAGATAGCAACGATTTCGGATCATGGTACCCTTGTCGGTAGCTGGATAGGTGCAGTCGATATCTAGAATAATCACCATATCTTTGGAGATCTGACTGAACGCCTCGGCAGACTGATTAGCGGCTCCGATATCCGGCCAAATCTTTTCGAGAATCTCATCTTTGCTCAATCCCTGACACTCGTCGCTCGGCACAACCAACAAACCAGGCAAGGGTTTGCCCACGCCGAAAACAAGATTGTCTTTCACAAACTTGCTCTGTCGCACACGATGCTCAATTGGAACAGGCAGGACCTTCTCTCCGTTGACAAGGGTGACCCGATCATCGATACGGCCCAGATACTTCCAAGCGTTCGGAATTGTGGGATGCTTAAGAAAAGTATCGCGAGTGTAGAAGGAATTGAGTGGATCGTCGGAATTTGAACTGACTTTGGCGGGCAGTCCGTCTAGGGCGACACATTCGTAGGAGCCGTCTTCGAGCTGAACCATTCTTAGGTAGGGCTCAGCCGTCTTCAAAGGTCGAACGTAGTTCCAGGCTTTGTCGCCGACAGGTCTCTGTGATGTCATAAGCTGTCCTAGTTCGGTTCTGCGCACCAAGTTAGCCTGATACGGTTTGAAGGAGGGTTCGTGTAGTTTGGAAAACATACGCGCCATAATGGCTGATCAGCTTGACACCCTGTTCGACCAAGAGATCTCCAAGATCATCTGGACAGCTACTCCCTCCGAACAGGACCTGTTCACATTTCGCCAATTCTTCCACACCACCATCAACCTCACTTAAGAGTTTCAAAACGTACGGAACACCGTGGAAGCTCTCGGGTTGGGTCACTCTCAAAGCCTCGAGAATATTCTTCCCTGTTAAGGGTAGATTTGCGTTGTAAATTGCAATCGGCTTTGCCTTGAACATAGCTCGAAAGAAGGTTGATAGCCCATGGTTATGGTAAAGAGGTAGGGTCAGCAACGCCCGAAACCCTCTACTTGAAGCGTAATTGGCAATGCAAGCCTTGTGTGTTTGGAAGATCGGTTTGGGAAGACCGGTTGATCCTGATGAGTGAATGATGAATGCCCATTTCTGGCCCATCTCAGGTGTGCCGTTAAGTTGTAGATTTGGCTTTATCGTGCATTGCGAGTAGACCGAAAATTCCGGTATTGAGAACGTGTTGATGGCCTCGGCTTCCTGAATGCGCTTAGCCGCCTTCTCGGTCGCAGCGGAATAAATGACATCCGTGCATTTCGTCTTCGCCAGTAAGTTGGTATATGCCTCTGTGCTGAGTCGTGTTGAGAGTAGCAAAACTGCATAACCCAGGCGAGAGAGTGCCAGGAGCGATATGACATAGTCGAGATTGGAAACACCTAGTATTGCCACCACTTTATTCTCCCCGGCATTAGAAAACTGGCACTTTGGTTAAAATACATTCCATCTCGAGGGAAAGCCTCTCTTACTTCGGGTAATCCGGAAGCCTTCAGAGCTTGAACTGCCCCAGCTGTGAACCTATCCAAATCTGCGGCAGAGTAGAAGACGTAATCACTCAATCCATGGGAGCTTTTCGGATAGCCAACAAGCGGCTTGTCTGGTACTGTCTGCACACGCTCTAACAGGACATCGTTTATGGTGTTTAAACATACTTCCCTCTCATCCGGAGGTGTTGGTGGAAGCTTGGGGCTGTCGGTATCGCTTTTCGGCACCGCGTCCCCATTCAATAAAACATCATTGATTTGAGATGTCGTGAGCATGGTTCCAATTTGTTATTCCAAATTCGGCGAACGATGATTCAAACATCTAAAAGATAGCTCTTGGGGTTTGCCTTGATAAATCAAAGGGATTTAGCTAAATTGCGGAGATGATGCATGGCTTTTTCAAAGTGTTTCTTGTCTGCCGACTTCATTGGCGGAGGTCCCCTTCCTGGGGGGCGATCGGAAAAGCAGCATTGACTTCGGATAAGCATGCCACCATCCGATTTGAAGGTCTTTGAGCCTAACACTTGTGGCGTGATCCTTCGGTTGACTGGTTTTTCCTGTTCTTGGATGTCCTTGGCTCTGCGCAAGTCCTCGTGCGCCCGTAGCGAGCGCCAGCCGAATTCCGATGGAAGTCCCCATATCCGGCGATGATGGTTGTTGAACTAAATTATCTCCCATGAATTTAGCGCGGAGGATATCAGTAATCCGGTTAAAATCGAATCCAAAAGCTTAACCCTTGTAATCAATCGCTAGCAATAGAAACACGTCAGATGACATTCACAGTCCAAAATCAGAAGAACCCTCTGTTGGAAACAGAAACCCTAGCTCCCCCAAGCCAGTAAGGGCCAACGAATCGAACTCTCCCCAGCTAGTTAGATCAGCAATGTATGACGCGGGACTGGTATCCTCCATCAGGCCGTCCATCCAGCCTTGTGATTCCAACGGGATCCCCGATGAATCTAAACCATCAATTTGAGGGTCTGTCATGCTGCCAGGAATATGAGGAACGCCATTCTTTATCCCGTTGTCACTGGAGTTGTGATAGTCAACTTGTTCTTCAGGGTTGCTTGGCCTTCCCGTCTCGGCCATGGCGATCTCGCTCCCTACAAGGCGCGGCTGGTCTGTCGAGTAATGCTCCGCGTCATTATGATGCTTACGTCTGATTGATTCTTGTGCCTCCTTTCGAAGCTCCTCGAGGACCATAACATAGCGCTGCGCAAAGGATGATGTTGATCCGCATGTTGCTAGATCTTTTTGTGCTTGCTCGCCGGCTTGGAAGTATAGAGAATCTCCTTGTATGTTGACGGCTTGGGACCGGCTCTGAATAACATGAACATATAGTACAACAATTGCTGAGAATGCATAGTAATGGGTGAACTATGACAATGTTAAAAACGCACGGTCATAAGCTTAGGGAAGAGCCATACCCAAAAGGCATGGTACATTTTGCCATGCTCACAGAGGTCGCGGACAATGCCTACTATCTTCATCGCGGCACTTAAACAGCTCTGGACATTTTCATTGATGGTCCCATGCAGCTGCTCGTTCTTTTTGCTCGTTGCACTTGCCAGTACGGCAAAGTTCTTGAGAACGAAGGGCCGGTAAAGTAGAATTTGAGCGTGTGAAAAGGCCAGATTCAACACATTGTACTGACGTTGATATAGAGTGATCAACATATCTATACTTGGGAGATCGAGAAATGCGGACAGCTTCTTTCGCCATTGGGACAACTCGGCCCCGTACTTTGCGGCGGCGGATATTTGCGTCTGTAAAGTGGTTTTCTGGATCCCGTATAGATCACGGAGTATGCCACTGATAATCCTGGACAATTTTGCATGATATACAGGAGCGAGCATAATGCTCTGGGCGTTCGAAGTAGCTGGAATAATGGCGTCGGTTCTGATCTGTGAATCATTGGCGATTGCGGGTAGTTCTTGGTCTATTTCATTATCATGAAATATCCGAGGACGGCCCAAGGCGGCACTGAGATAATTATCCAAGCTATACGCGCACCAAAATACTCTTTTACGGCACTCTTGATCCACAAAGTCATCGAGACCTAACGCGTGTTCTCGGCGTCGTTTGCGGTGTAGGCCGATGGCGATAGCAAGCCGAGCGGTGGTTCCGAAAAGACTCCAGCAATGGTTGATTCGGGACTGAGATAGTAGATAAAAGCACTGCGCCAGGCGTGCTTGAACACTAGTGAGGCGAACAGGTCCTGTTTCAGCTGCCAGATGGTGTTCCGAGGCACCGAAATAAACCGCGCTATTCAAGAAAAGCAGGCTTTATGAATATTCGGGTCAGAAGATGAAAATTTCTTGAATAGCACTAACCTATTTACTGAAGCTCCTAACGCATCCTCCGACTTGGGCAGATACTGCTTTGCTTGTAAAAATAGCATGAGAAGTAACGCCCTCACCTCCCTTGCGCCAGGCGCAACGCTTTGAGTGTCATGTAGGCCACCATACAATTCTTCAAGCCAACCTTCGGTCGTCTGCTGATGCAGGAATCGATGTGTAGGAAACCCAAAGTCGAAATACCGGTTGAGCAAAGCCCTGGCTTCCTCTTTGGTCGGAAGAACTAGGAAGGACGCATCATATTTGGGCAGTGGCGCATCACCAAAACTGAAGATAGTCGTGTTCGGCGAGAAAGCGACGTTCTGGTGCAGTCTCTTCTGGACACGAATCAAAAACGAGACTCCAGAGGAAGGGCCTACATAGTGACCTTCCATGTCGGTTTGGTGAGGTTCAGGCGAATTGCGAGACGATGTAACATTTGCATTTTCATCCGCTGGTAACAAAAAACGGCCTTCACTTTCTATGTTGGCTATGGCTGGTGGAGGACGCAGTTTGTCTGGAGTCACACTCGGTGGAATTTCGACCCGCTCGGTCGGGCCAGTTCCTTTCTCCTGGGATTGGTGCAGCAGCGGGATTGGTGGCAGTTTGCCCCTGGTATAACCAGCATTGTATTTACATTGCTGCCCCGACCGCTGGCATAGCGAGCAAGGAAGGGTGCCCGAGCAGCGCAGCTTCTTTCTGTGGTGTTTGAGTTAGTTTGACGAGTTTGGGAGATCTCGGCATTGGGCATGATAGAGCCTGGCGCATTCGCGCGATGAACGTACTTTTTACAAGTATCGCATGCACGCGTGACGCGAACTCGATCCTTGCCGACGCATCGGCGTTTGCTGGGAGGGGTATCATTCGACTCCATCAGGGCAGATTCATAATGGTGGCTACCTAGATGGATGCCAGGTGGTCAGGAGCGACCGGGTGTGTATTGCGGAGAGATCTGTGGGGAAGAGAGAAATGAGAAGGCGTCAGTGGGAGGTTAAGAGCCTTAGGCTAGGCCCAATCGACCCCGCAGCCTGAGGCCCTTAGGTTTATGTCGGCCTGCGGCTCAGCCGACTCTACCGACCAACCCAAGATAAACATACACCTTACAACTCCTTTCACTTGAGGTTCACATTGATCATTGCTTTCTATCTTTGTCTTATAAGTTGGAAATAAATATCTGTCTACCACTCCCGCCATTCTCCTCCCGGTCCCCGGAATGCTGGACTCCGCCATGCGACTGCATTCACCGAAGCTGCCCTGACCTTCTCTTCGTCAATTTCAATTCCTAAGCCAGGCCCAGTCATCAAGTCAATCAGTCCGTCCTGTACATTCCACACCTCCGGGTTCTTGATGTACGTTTCGATGTCTGCCGAGCCCGCATTGTAATGAATGCCCAGGCTCATTTCTTGGATCGCAAAATTGGCACTAACAGCGTCCACTTGAATATTGGCTGCAAGGGCGATTGGACCCAAGGGGCAATGAGGAGCCAATGCCACGTCGTATGCTTCCGCCATTGTCGCCATTCTCCGAAGCTCAGAGATGCCTCCAACATGGCAGATATCTGGCTGTAAAATGCTCACTGATGCGGACTCAAGGAACGGCTTGATGTCCCATCGGCTATGTAGTCGCTCCCCAAGAGCGATGGGAATTGGCACAAGTTTTGACAGGGCGGATATCGATTCAGGGTGTTCGGAAAGCAGTGGCTCTTCGATGAACAACGGCTCGTGCGGTGTGAGTTTGTGCGCGAGCTGTAGTGCCATGGCCTTGTGTACCCTACCGTGAAAGTCGACTCCAGCATCAATCCCCAGGGCCTTAACAGTCTTCAATCGCTCGACAGAGGCATCTAAGGCGTGTGGAGAATCTAGCCATCCGAGATCTTCGGTAGCATTCATCTTTATGGCTTTGAAGCCCTGCGAAATCCGTGCTTGTCTAAATAGGTCCTCGAGCGGCATGTCAGTTTATCCACGTCTCAGGTAGATAGGATTTGGTGATTTCATACGCTTGAGCTTCAACGTCACCTGGCCGGTCGCCTCCAATCCATGCGTACACCTTTAGCTTGTCTCTTACTTTGCCTCCCAGAAATTCATATATCGGCAGGCCGAGTCGTCGTCCTTTGCAAGAGGTTATGTTAGCGCTGTTCATGCTAGGGGATATTTTGAGTTCACACTGCTTTAAAAAGGACCATACCTTTCAAATCCCAAAGGGCGATATCTATTCCCGACAACGCACTCATCAGAATTGGCCCGCCTCGGTAGAATCCCATACGATAGCCATTCTGCCATATATTTTCGATGTCACTGTAATCGCATTGAGTACCATTCCCTGGCAAGGGACCTCTTTACTCACTCTGCATCCATGCCCACGAATCGTTCAACAAAAGCATCGAGAGCACCCTCCACCGCTTCCGAATGGCCTTCAAGCGATGCCTCGCCCCATCCAAAATTGCCATTGACATCCGTGATCTTCACGAACAGCCATCTTGGTGGTACTCGAAAATACTCAATTTGTTTGATTGGCGCCATGAGTCGGACTTTTTGAGAGCAAGGTGAGAGCAAGGTGAACAGGTTCGGAATATGAAGACGATGGTAGCTTTGATTCCGTGTGTATGACACTTTATGAGTTGGAAACAGTCCCCCACTTACCCCTCATCATGCTTGGAATTCATTCGAACCCAGAAAAAGGTATAGATCATCGTCATAGAGCCCGCAGTGCCTCGGAGTTGCTCCGACTTGCAACTACATCGGATAAGCATATCCGCCGATCGGAAAAGCGGATAGGCGGACCTTCTTCCCCAGCACTGCCAAAGTGACCCACTGATTTCCTCTCAAAGGGGCAGCCAGGCACGACGACTATTGAAAGTAGAGGGGATAAGTTCAGACGGTCCGGTGATGGCACTTTACCCCTCATTGACGCTCTGCGAGTGCCGCTGAGCTATTATCATCTATTATTCATCCGATCGCTTTCAAAAGAACTTTTTTCTACTTCAACCCGAAGGCTCGTTCATCTACTTTCATGCTCAATTGGCCCTTAATTTGCAATAACAAAAAAGATCGAGTCAAAAGGGAACCCTCTCATTGCAGAACACACAAGTATGTCTCTCGGGCGAACATTCAAGCTAAATACGGGGTATGAAATTCCCGCGGTTGGCCTAGGAACATGGGTAGGTAGAAGACATCGTGTTATAGAGAGAATCATGAATCAACTAAGGTCATGCAGCAATCGAAACCAAACGAGGTTAAGCAAGCTGTTGCTGCGGCCCTGAAGGGCGGCTATCGTCACATCGACGCCGCCTCGGTCTACGGTAATGAGCGCGAAGTCGGGGATGGCATTAAAGCCTCCGGGGTCCCTCGAGAAGAGATCTTTGTAGGCATCCATCTTCCCACCTTTTAAATAAATATACTAACTAACGGTTATATAGCTCACCAGCAAACTATGGAATACCGATCACGACCCAGAGAACGTCGAGGCTGCTGTAGATCGTTCTTTGAGCGATTTGCAAACAGACTATCTTGATCTTTATCTGGTCAGTGTTGTCCAGGGGCTTCCCACAATTACTATAGGCTAATGCAGAGTCATGTATATTAGATCCATTGGCCAGTTGCGTTCCGTCATTCAACGACTACCATTCAGCCGGTAGATGAGAAGACGGGCCTCATCGACGTTATTGACGTTCCGATCAAAGATACTTGGGCAGCCTTAGAGGCACTAGTGGCAAAAGGCAAAGTTCGATCTATTGGAGTCAGCAACTTTACCAAAGAGAAAATCGAGGAACTGCTCAAGACGTAAGTGAAAAGTGGATATCATTGGGCGAAACGCACAACACTGACTTCCATTAAGAGCCAAGATACAGCCCGCAGTGAATCAAATTGAAGCCCACCCGTACCTTCAACAAAGAGACTTGTTAGAATGGTCAAAGCAGAAGGTAAGTTTATCTATCAGTGGTTTAATCCATTCTATCTTCTAACTTGCACCAGGGGATCGTCGTAACAGGATACTCTCCCCTCGGCAACAACATCTACAACATCCCTCGGTAAGTACATATGCGGAACTACCCGCAAGGATGAAGCTCAAGATCTAATAATGTACTAGAGCTGTCGACGACCCTCTTGTTATTGAAACCGCTAAGTCCCTAGGCAAGACCCCCGCGCAGGTCCTTGTCAGCTGGGCCGTACAGCGAGGAACGGTGGTTCTTCCTAAATCGGTCACCCCGGAGAGAATCCAAAGTAACTTTGAAGGTAAGCTTGCCATCATGACAATAGCAAGAACAACAAGCTAAAAGCATTTTTCATAGATTTTATCCTTCCCGAGGATGCATTCAAGGCTGTCCAGTCCTTGGAGAGACATCAACGCATGAATTTCCCGGCTAGGCTTGGCGTCGACATCTTTGGGGAGGTTGGAGAAGAGAGCGCCAAAAAGAGCGCGCTAGACTGGGCTGAGCAGCAAAAGAAGCTTCGGAACTAGGGGCTTGATTTATATTTATTATCAAGGCATGATGTGCTTCTCTAAAGACCATAGATATAGATCAGCTAATAAAAGTTCTGATCTAAAGATATATAATTCCCTTAAAGGAATGGTAAGGTATATGCCCAAATAAATTCATACTTGACAACGATGTCTACCGCTAGACTCACAAATCTTCCAGGAACTATAGAAATTTAATCTATATGCATGTAATGGGGGGAAGTATCGAAATGATGAAGAGAAAGGTTGTCGAAGAAGTGGTCTCCCCAGTCTTGCATATAGAGAGGCGAATGCTTGGCAGAGTGCCTCAGGCATGCTACACGTTCTATGAAACTAGTAAACATCGACCGAAGTCCACGGATCTTCAAGCAATAATATTCAACCATCAATAAAGCACCTTCACTTATCCAGCGTTTCATGTAATGAGTTATGGGATTGGCGTGAATGAACCGCCCGCACGGAAATCACGGCTCGAGAATCCCACCCAAGCCTGGACCTTGCCCTTCGGAATGACCCACTTCTGCTTCACGACATCCCATCGACTAATGTCCCTCCGTGTCAAATCGAACGTGACCGTTCTAGACTCTCCGGGCTTGAGGTTAATCTTGTCGAGCCCACGCAGCACCTTCTCCGCCAGAATTTGGGAGTTCGTGGAAGGCAACTTGGGGAGGTTCAGGTAGAGCTGTGGCACTGCGGCGCCGGCCGTGTGACCAGTGTTCTTCACGGTCGTGGAGATTCTGTACAGACTGTCCCATAGATGAGGGTTACCTCCGGGAAGAGTCTTTGCGGACGGAGACTCGGCAGATAATCTGTCCTGGAAAGTAGGCGTTATGGTCATGTTTCTTGCCAGCGAGAATGTGGTATAAGAGAGACCGAAGCCGAACTCGTAAAGAACGGATTGGTTGTGAAAGTCGAAGTGGCCTGTATGCTTGTTAGCCGTTATTCTCTCTCTCTAAAGATGGCTCGTGTGTCTTTGTACTCACGGTAATCAATTAGATCTCCGTCTTTGAAATTATCCTGCCAGGCGGTCGGATCTTCCGTGTTTGCGAGAGTCGTGGAGTTGACAAGAGATGCAAAAGCGTAGTCCGCTTCCTCCTTAGCGATGGTATAAGGTAGATGACCGGACGGGTTCACGTCGCCCCAAAGCACATCGACAATGCTGTTACCGGCCTCTTCACCTGGGAGATGTGCGACGAGAATGGCTGTGACGTTAGGATGGTTTGCCCATGGCATTGCGTTTATTCCACCCGTGTGAGAGACCACCACAGTGTTGGCACATCGGGATGCAACCTTCTCTACAACTTCAGCTCCATGCCAGTCATGGAGCAGCGTAGTGCGGTCTTCAGCTTCGGTAGCCCAGCTCTTCACAAAGACTAGACAGACGTCTGGCGGTGAAGGGACGAGAGCATCCAACTTATCATTCTTGTTAGCATGTCCCTTTCTGGTTTGTGAGATGTACGTACTTTGCACTGTCATCTTCAATGGTGGCAGTGTTGTTCAACAAGTATTGAACCAATGTCTTTTTGTAATCGACACGCTGCTTGATAGCTACCAGAGGGCTGACAACGTAGCTGAACAGGCCGGTGCCTGAGCCTCCACCGGCTGGAAGCACGCCATACTCGTAGTTTCTGACTCCGTTAAAGTAAAAAACGGACATGCCGTTGGTAGAATCACCTGCACCATTACCATACACAGCAATTTGCTTCGGTGATTGCAGTGGGAGAGTGTTGTTGACATTCTTCAAAAGCACGGTGCCCTCCGCTGCGGCTTTGCGAATAGGGTCGCCGTGATTGCCGCGGACATCACCGTTTGCGACGGAACCGAACGTGTAGTTCTTGTCCGTGTACATCTCGGTTGTGGATTGTTAGAGATTGCCAACTATGGAGGAGTCTTACTTACGACCATCAAACATAAGGGCGTTGATTTGCTTCGAGCTCGGATCAATAGGGGGAAATGCCTTGTCTTGGTTTAAGTAGAAGTAGGGTGTCAGGACCCGATGGCACATGTCGTCCAGGCGGTCGGTTGCGACGGATCCGTTCTGGACTGCCTCTGTGAGATTCGGGCCCCAAAGAACGGGACCCTAACTTGCGGTTCCTGGCGTATCCATATCCTCTCCTGAGTTTATGGCCTTGGCTCCGGTGTGGGTGGCACCCCAGTCGGACATCACGTAGCCCTGGAAGCCAAGCTCGCCTTTGAGAATACCGTTAAGGGTCTTGCTGTTCTCGCGCCCATATGTCTGATTTAGACGATTGTAACTGCACATTACCTGTTCGAGCTATCAGAGCTTGCCACATACATTTAGCCAGCAAGCGCCGAACGGCCAAGTGGACCGGCAACGGGTCCCAGGAGAACCTGAGATCCCTTGCCACGGAATTCCTCCGCTAGCTGGCTTCCTCGCTCGTAGGCAATGCGCTTGTCCCATGTCGCGGCGATCGTCACACCAGCTGGAAAGACCGAGGCATAACTAGCTTGCTGAAAGGCCATTGGTCCATTCTGGATGCACAATCCGGTGAAGTTCAAACGCGGGATAGGTGCGATGTTGCCCACGCAAGGGCCTTCGGTGCCGGATACCAAGCCAACCTTCTCTTCGAGGGTGAGCTGGGATACGAAAGAGGTTGCTTTGTCAAATGCGTGCTCCCATTTCAGTCCCGTTGCGTTGGCTATGTGCTGTGGTTAGAGTTCATTCTTACAAGGGTTTGCTAGCGACTCACGATTGGGGATCTTATCGGCTGTAGGGCTATGCAGATAATCGTTGCGATTCCATGTCGCCCCTGCTACATTTGACAATGCAGCAAGTGCTGTCAAGTAGCCCAGAGCTGTAAACATTCTGATCCTCCACTCATTTCTTTGCTGAGATGGAGGAACATGCCCGGTGCCAGACTGCCATTTTATATTCAAGCAGACACTGCTCCCTTCACCAATACCCAGGAGGTACCCCATTGCCGAGAACAGCAAGAAGCAAAGGGCGGGTGAAGAGTTAACTCCACAGTCCCACCTCCACAATCCCTCCCACCTTTCCCTTCTCCATATCAAATCGTGGAGTTTCCCTTTCTGGATGTTCTGAGTTACAAAGACTGACGGGTGAACTTCGGGTGAACCCTCATGGCTCGGTCTCCAACGCCAAGTCCAGCCAAACCACTGATTTAATCCTTTTGTAGTGCTGATGGTCGAGCGTTGACAAAATCCGAGTACTAGTGCAGGATCATGAGGGGAAATCTGGGGAACGCCATCCCTTGTCGGGGTGGGGCTGCTGAGTGTTTTCTTCCATCCGATCAATAACTAGTTGGGAAAAATCAAGGGTTTAACTCCGAGATCGTCGCCCCTTTGCTTTATGTATGGCCAGACTTTGTGTTATGTGGAGTTACTGGTCGGGGCATCTTTGTACATGCCCGTTGTATGTACATTGTAATCCGAGTAACTATGTAGTACGTCAGCACTCAGATACGCGGCATATTCTCCTCTACCATCTCTTGTTCGGCAAAGGTAGCTTTCTTTCTTCCCAGAGTGAACTACTGGCCGGATTTGATACGCGGCAGATGTATACTGGTTGGGAAGTTGGACTTTTTGGGAAGTTTCGTCAACTATCACTACGTCATTCATCTCGCTTGCGAGACTAAGACTATCAGGAGATCGGGCTTGCGATCAATTCCCCGTGATTTTCGGAGTACAAGAGAAAGCATTTCACACTTTTTGAAAAGACCTCAGTCAACCCTGAACCACTACTAAAAGCCCATGCTAGAGATTGTCCCCTTACGTGTTGAGTCGATGTTCCTCCTTGATCATATCGGATACCCATTCCGCAATTCCATATAGATTGGCCATTGGATGACTGCAAAACTGCAGTGGCTGTATTGAGGCGTCGACCACCCGAACATTTGCAGTCCCGTAGACCTTGAGTCGATTGTCTACTACGCCACCCATCTCGCGGGGTAGCATGGATGTTGTCCCAATGGCATGGTAGTTTGGAGTATCTAAAGGTTGTCAGGTGAGCACGTACAGCAGTTTGGCTTGGTTCCACATACATTGTTCTCCAATCCACATTTTCCAATCTTCATCTGATGCATCCTCCGGCACGACTTGCAATCCCGGTATGGTTTCATTACCAATAATGTCTTTTAACTCGCCTGTTTGAAACATGCGTCGGAGGAACTTGGACATGCCGATTTGTATTTGGACATCCCAGTCGTGCATCCCATAATTTGGATTTACCACCGGTGGTGATAATGGATCCGGGGATGAGATGTGCACGTTACCCCGTGCAAAAGGTAGAAGACCCCAGTATCCTGTGTGGAGCGTGTGGGTACCCTGTGGGATGAAGACAAACTCTGCTGAGGGAACCTGCTTAGAGAATATAAGATCGTGTTGAATCTCGAACAACTTGACGAGATCCTCCTGTCTCATGGCTCCGTTGCTTTGTTGTGCCGTAGCTCTAGCATACTGAGGTAACTTCGATCGAATGGATTTGGCGACATATTCAGTTGATGATCCGAATATATCTTCGGCTGAAGCGAAGGCCACTGTTCTGGTCCCAGTAATTGGAACTTTTGTCGACACTACAACTGATGTATTGAGCTGGTCTTGCAAGTTCTCCCCGACGCCGGGTAGGTTGATTCGTAAGGGAATCCCATTCTTTTCGAGGATCCTGCATTTGTTAGCTCAATCCCATCAAGTGACCCGACAGAGGATAACATCTAACCTCGGATTTCCCACGCCCGATAGCTCCAGAAGAGCAGGTGATCGCATCGCCCCAGCTGCTAGGATAACCTCTCTTCGAGCGTTGATGGCATATCGTTTTCCATGCTTGCTCTCATAAACTTCAATTCCTTCGGACCTGAGTTTATCATGTCCATCATCATCACTCCACACGAGCCGAGTGACAAACGTATCCAGTTTCAGATGGAGGTTGAGGCGGTCCTTATACGGCCAGTAATAAGCACGCGCCGCATCACTGCGAATATCATCCGGATCAACGGTATAAGGATGAAGCGTGAATCCTCGCATATGCCCCGAGTTCAAATCCGGGTTCCAAGGCAAACCAATTGTACCGAGGGTCCGGTTCATTGCCACCGTCAGGTCATTCTCCCCTTTCGACATGGGTCTGAAACCAACGTTGACCGGACCATGAAAACCATGATACTGGGCAGCAAATGTGGCTCCAGCGCTGACTTCTGTCCGGTTGGGGGCGTTGAACCTCTCGCTTTTGAGGTAGTATAGATACAAACTATGCCATGACCATTCATCGATCCCAAACCTTTTGAAAGCATCGAGTTGCGATGGCTCTGCGCGTGCATAGGCCGCTCCTATCGATCTCGTCAGCGTCGTTCCTCATGAGAATCATCAATACACATGCCGTTCATGACGCTCGTTCCTCCCAAAGCTTTTCCAGCGCGCATTATCTGTTGGCGTCCGCCATAGGTTTGTTCGGTGGTCGGAAAAGCCCAATCGAGAGGGCTGTCATAGGTCGCGGCGAGACGACTGATGTCGGTCACATTGGGATTGTCGTAGACAGAATCGCCAGCCTCGATAACCAAGACAGAGACATTAGGGTCTTCCGACAGCCTGTTGGCTACTGCCAGCCCACTTGTTCCACCGCCCACAATGACATAGTCATATTCGGCAGCTATAGCGCTGGTGATGAGCAATATCCAGGTGAACAACATTTCGAGACATGACATAAAAAAAATGGAGATTTCTGGAGTAACCCCCATCGAAGTGGAGAGTGTCGAATTATATATCTTTTGCGTTTGCATCCTTGCAGTTCAAGACTCAGGCCATTCACGACCTTGCATCGGATGGCCTTGAGTAGCTGGCACCGCGTCCTTGGAATTAGGAGTCTCGTCTCCTATATTCCTTTCGGGAATACGGGAACTTCTCCGAGGCTTTTTTGAGGAGTTAGATTCAAGTGATCTTCATAGAAAGGGCCGTGCGTGTTCGGGAGGATCTGCATCATGCTGCTGCCTGGGGGATTTACCAGATCGGGTAAAATAGCCAGCACCGACTATTCCCATTGTAAACGTGGGGGAACGAACGAAGGCCTCATTACCTTTGGATCGACAGTGAGAATTGTCCTTGCGTATACCAGAGTGGATGGAGGACAGAGAAACTTAACTGAAATATGACAATTATCCTCACAGCTTGGGAAGTGCACTTTGTGACCAGTCCAGCAGATCCATCGTGGCAATATGTGATCACGTGATCGCGCGTCGAACCCGTCGCGTCCCGTCGGGCTGAGGAGACTCAGTTACTCTTGTCTATCCCGGCGTCCAGATCCACCCCCCCGCGATGGTGTTCAAGCCGTTTAAACCTCCTTTGATTAGGAAGCCTTCCCAGCCTACCCTCTCTGAATCGACTCCTTCCAAAAGCCTTCCTGAGAGCAACGGTCCGCCAGCGAAAAGACAACGCGTCCACCAAGAGTCATCAACTGAGAATAGAACGCCTTTGCTGCAAGTGAAGAATACGACTGCGGTATCAGGAGAGAGCTCAAATGGTAGCGATCCGAAAGGAGAAAGATATTTCAATGTTTTATGGTATGCTGGAGGTCCGTTCCCGCTCTCGCTTCCGTTTCTAACAGCCCATGCCACATAGGCGGAAACCGACCACCAAAAAGAACAAAACCTGGGACGGTGACGGCATTCTGTCCACGCGAGATGGATATGCATACTTACAAGATGTCTCGGGAAAGGAAATGGGACGGGTGATGCACGGCTCTCGCCTGGAGCCGGGGGTAATGCTCTCAGTGTCTGGCAAAGAAGTCGAGATCGATTCGGAGATCGCCAGACAGGAGTACTTGTCCGGTAAAAAGCTTCTGGGAAATAAGCAGGCCCCGATTGCGATATCGCCACCGCGCAAGACCTCTGTTCCTGTTCTAGGAAAACGCGACAGTGCTTCTAAACCCTCCGCGTCCGAAAAACAAACCCCGAGCGAAAAGAGCCGTGCCCCAACAATCCCCAACCCTGCGTCATCAAAGCCGAAGTCGAAGATGAGTGCGTATAAAACTCCACTCCTGGACACCACCGCTGTACCTCAAACGCCAAAGGAACAACCGACACCTCGGCACGATCCCACACATCTAGGAGCATTGGTAATGCCCCGACCAACATCTGCGCCCTCAGGAAAGCAAATCGTGGACGTGGTCGTTGACCCTATACTCGCGAAACATCTCCGACCGCATCAACGTGAAGGTGTGAAGTTCCTCTACGAGTGCGTAATGGGTATGCGGTCATTCAATGGCGAAGGTGCTATACTGGCGGACGACATGGGTCTAGGCAAAACCTTGCAGACAATAACGCTCCTGTGGACTCTCCTGAAACAAAACCCAATTTACCAAAGCCAACCGGTGATCAAAAAGGCTCTTATCGTATGCCCGGTCACCCTCATCAATAATTGGCGAAAGGAGTTTCGCAAGTGGCTCGGAAATGAAAGAATCGGCGTCTTCGTCTATGATGACAAGAAAAAACGGATCACGGATTTCACGAGGGGTAAAGCTTATAGCATCATGATCGTGGGATATGAGAAATTGCGAACCGTCCAGGAGGGTCTAGCAAGTGGCGCCGGAGTCGACATTGTCATCGCAGATGAGGGTCACAGACTAAAGACGCTGCAGAACAAAAGCGGCCAGGCGATTCAATCACTGAATGCGGCGAAGAGAGTCATTTTGTCTGGAACTCCCATCCAGAACGACCTGAAAGAATTCTTTGCTGCAGTAGATCTCGTTAACCCCGGAGTTCTTGGAACCTTCAAGGCCTTCATCCGAGAATTTGAAGTCCCAATCGTGAAAAGCAGACAGCCTGAAGCGACACAGAAGGACATAGAAAAAGGGGAGGCCAGAAGTGACGAACTACGGGAGTTGACCTCCAAGTTCATGCTCCGCCGGACAGCAGACATCCTGGCTAAGTATCTTCCTCCAAAATCTGAGTACGTGCTGTTCTGCAACCCAACGCCTACTCAAGCCAACATCTACCAAAACGTGCTCGCATCCCCGGTCTTTCAATGCGCTATAGGCAACTCTGAGAACGCCTTGCAGCTCATTACAATTCTCAAGAAACTATGCAATAGTCCCTCGCTACTTTCTCCTAGAAATCAAGATGAGAAGCCTAGCGAGACAATTGCATCTTTGTTGTCGTCTCTTCCGCCCAACCTACTACGCCACTTTTCACCCTCTTCGAGTGCCAAGATCCGGGTCCTAGATCAACTACTATACAACCTACACACCAAAACATCTGAGAAGATTGTTCTCGTTTCAAATTACACTTCAACACTGAACTTACTAGCTACTCTTCTAACATCTCTTTCCCTTCCATTCCTCCGGCTTGACGGTTCCACCCCAGCACAAAAGCGTCAGTCCCTAGTGGAAGACTTCAATCGCCTTCCCACAGATCTCTGTTTTGCCTTCCTGTTGTCCGCGAAGGCAGGAGGGACAGGGCTGAACCTGATAGGTGCAAGTCGCCTGGTCCTATTTGACGTCGATTGGAACCCAGCCACTGATATCCAAGCAATGGCCCGAATTCACCGCGATGGTCAGAAACGACCTTGCCGTATCTACCGAATTTTGCTGAAAGGCAGTTTGGAAGAGAAAATATGGCAACGCCAAGTGACTAAGCTGGGACTCGCGGATAGCGTCATGGAACATAAAGACAGTGTGGCTCAGTTTTCTCGCGATGAGCTTAAGGATCTTTTCCGTCTCGACCAAGAAAGCAAATGTCAAACCCACGAGCTGTTGAATTGCAAGTGCGGAGGGTCCGGACAGCTAGCCTCTGAGAATAACGTCCCCAAAGGCGAAATCTCCGATTCAGATGGATCGTCAGAAGGCGAGGGCGAGGATGAGGATGAGGATTTCCCCGACTTACCCACTCTCATCAAGGCTTCCGAACTGGACATCGAGAAGCAAGAGCGGGACATCAAAGCCCATCGATACCGCCGCCGTAATCGCTCTCGACGATCTTCGCACAACACAGATGACGAATCGTCTGATAGCAGGTCTGGCGCAGGAGGTAACAAGCAAAGACTCAACATGCAGCAATCGCTATCTCACTATGCGCATATCGATCCAGACCTTCTTTCCGAACCCACTGGTGAAACAGACAGCGCTCAGCAGGTCTTGGATGACGAGGTTCTCTTTTCCGTCTTGAGAGAGGAGGATAATCGAGTCGGGTTCATCTTCAAGAAGTCCAGCGCTCCGGAGCCCAAGACCGATGGTGCCTCGACGCCGATTGCGGTCGACTAATATGGTGCCGCCACCTAGCGCACACTTTGTCTAGTCTGCTGGTTTCGTAACTATTGACGATTGTATTATATTAGACATGACTTCGGGATTAAAGACTAAATACCTCCATGGCCCATTTGATTTGTATATAATTGGCAAGTAATTCAGTTACTAATCCGCACCTTCATTTCCTCTTATATTCCTCTTCTTTCGACGCTATGTAGAAATACCTTTCTCCCTAAATTAATCTCATAGATGATACATAGGCAAATAGATAGATGGACAAACGCAGATATAGATGGGAATCAATTCATCCAAGCCCGATGCATCCCAATCTCAAAATCCGCTTGAAAGCTCGGATCAACATGATACGGAAACACATCCCTCAGGTCCCCCTTTTCCCACTTCATCTCCTCCCCGGGACCAAGCACGCAAACAGCCAACGGCACCATATTATCTAGCTGCAGGAACGTGAGAGACAGGGCTGCTCGTAGCCGGTACATGCAGTCGGCCATGTACTCGGCCAAGCTTGCTTTCGTCTTGGTCTTCGAGGACGGCGGTGGGCGGATGCAGACGACGAGACCGAGCATGGAGGAGCCGTAGGCGTGGTCGAAGGGGAGCTGGACGACACAGGTGTTGTGGAGGTAGGGGAGGGTGGAGAGGGTGTCTTCCATGACGACGACGGGGTTTTTGAGTGCTGTTGGTTGTGGGTTAGCGGTTTGTTACATCTATCTCGGTGCATTTATCAAGGGGAGGCTAATTGAAGAGGGGGTGTTTGCTGGGGTGCTTACGCTTATTGATTCGTCTCTCGTAGATGTATTCGCCTTCCGGGGAGAGGTGGACGAGATCGCCGGTGCGGTAGAAGCCTTCTTCGTCGAAGACGGACTTCGTGCGTTCGGGATCATCTAGGTAGCTGTCAGGTTAAGATTCTGCGTTAGTAATGCTGGACGGCGAGATGATCTGAGTAGGGGACATAAACCGATAAGCACGAAAGTAGCACTCACCCAGCCATCACATTGGGCGATTTGACCAGGAGCTCGCCGCGATCGCCTTCGGATAGTTTGGCCGTGATGCCTGGCTTTGGCTTCCCGATGCATTGCTATGCGAAGATGAGCATCAGGATCAAATGAGAAGGACAAAATAGAATAGCCAGAAAGACAAACATAATCATCAGAGACCGTATCAGGCCCAGTACACAGCGCCAACCCTCCCAACTCAGTGGCCCCAAACACGTTATAAATCGGACGCTGCAGTTCTTCTTTCCAAAAGCGCAGAACCGAAGCCGGGGTGCTCGCTCCCTGCGTACAGGGAAACATGATCCGCCGAGCACCCTCGAGATAGCTGTCCCGCGCCTCCTGCGGAAGCTGCATGATGCGATTGTGGTAATACCAGGCCATTCCGTTCCAGGTGTCGGGGATGGTCGTGAAGGAAATAATGCGGTTGTTGCGGAACTGCTCTCAGATCTCGGCGACTCCGTCGGCGCGAGAGATGAAGCGTAACTGACACCTCGTTGACAGAGGGATAATTAGGATATTGAATGAACTGATCGCTTGTATCGGGTCGGCCACCATGAGGAAAATTGCCTGGGGCGGGAGATGTCCGGGTCGGTCGAGAAAGCGTCGGTTGTGCATGATTCCCTTGGGTTTCTCGCCTGTCGTTCCACTGCTGTATACCAGCATTCCAGGACGGTCTGGGTCGGTGGGGGCCTCTGTGTCCAGGCGAATATTAAGGTCCTCGATATGGAGGGGAAGAGGTTCAGTAGAGCTTTCGAAGGCAATGATCTGAATGGGAAACCCCTGGGCAGAAGCCTGCTGCTCCATCTCAATGGCAAAGTTCTGTTCGAGAGCGCCGTAGACCAGACAGGTAGATCCGCAACGTCTCCTCAAGCTGATTGCATACTCCGCTGTGGAACCGAATCCTACAAAAGTTATGTCGATTAGCACATCACCCTACTTGTCAAGCTGTCGTGGGGAGGTTCACGAATTGGAGCAAATGCCTGACCCGAGGCGAGCACGGCCAGAATTGCAATGACAAATTCATAGTTAATGGGCATCAGAACGCTGATATATGCGTCAGCCGAGGCTTCATGTTGCCGAATGGCATTTCTCATGTGCAGGAGATCGGCAAAGATCCTCATGCTGTCAGCCTCGACGCCTATGCTTTTGTCGGAGATGACGACGTGAGATGGTCGCTCGGTGGCATTGTCTACCATCCGCCGGAACAGTGGTTCATCTGGGATGGTAGTAACATCCGGCTTGTTAGAGATGGTCATGGTGTATCTGGCAGGTTGAATAGATGAGTAGAGGCCGGTTGGACGACGGACGAAGAGAACGGGTGTCCGTTGTCCTTACATAGTTGAAGCGCGTTACATTTTGTCCAGCCAGTGAGATAATTCAGGTTGCATTGATCCACCTCGAACTGAACTACTGACCTCATAACCTATCGGAATAAGTGATTTGAGACTGAAAACGGTTAATTGGGGAACTTGACTTATCATTAGGGAGGTGTATTGGTGATCTGATATCTAGTACTACAATCGGAAAAAGGAAAACCAACACCGAAACGCCATAGTAAACGTACTCCTAACACTCCGGCACAACCTTTGATAGTAATCCGAATAAAATACTTCCGTTCAAGACACCTCCAGTGCCTCGGTTTCCGTGGGAATTTCAGCACTTGAAGCCCCGGCGGCAGCAGAACGAGCTGCTTCGGCCATTTGGCCGAGTGTGCTTCCTTCAACCAGGTCGATCAAGGGAATCTCCGCATCGAATCTCCGCGCAAGTAGCACTTGAAGTCGAACCAGCAGAATGGAATTCCCTCCTGCTAGAAAGAAGTCCGTGTCCTCATCCAGATTGGACAAGTCGCTCAACGTTCCTTCCAACGTCTCTCCCCACAGCGCACCAACCCTTCCTACCCAGTCATTAGTCGTCGCCAGAGCTGAGGGATCGACCATCAGGCTCGACCGCTTGCGCTCCGGAAGTGGGAGTTCCTTGATTACTCTGCGATCAAGTTTACCGTGTGCTGTAGTCGGCATAGTCTCGACTGGAACAATCAATGACGGCCGCATGTTTTGTGGAAGAGGCAACGTCGCCCGAACTTGGCGAAGGAAGGCCTCCTTGTCGTTTACCGTGGACTCCGGGGCGAACTCAGCGTGCGCCACTAGGAAAGAAGACGCGTCGACGGCGTCGCGCAAAGTCGCGACCACTCGATTTAGGGCCCCCCGCGCTGTGCAGAGGATCGCGTTCTCTATGTCGCCAAGGTCCATGCGTATCCCGCGCAACTTGACCTGTGAATCGCCATCAAGCCGGCCTTCGAGGACCAACGCGCCGTTCTGCAGCATATGACCCTTTTCGGAGGTGCGATACGCTCGCGTCCAGCCCCGCGCAGTGTTCGCGGGGGTGGCATATCGATCGTGCACAAACTGTGTCTGAGTGAGCGTGTCGAGGTGCAAATACCCGAGACAGGGCCCAGCACCACCGATCACAATCTCCCCTGATATTCCCGTAGGGACAGGGTTTCCCTCCGTATCCACGATGTATGTTGTGTAGTTTGGCAGTGCGTGACCGACCGGAACGACGGTCCCTTCGAGGGAGCCGCGATCGTGTTGTCGATAGTCCACTTCAATCTGATGAGACGCGATTGTCGTCTCGCCTGGCCCGTAGAAGTTGATGAGACGGAGGTGGTCTAGCTGTAAGTCCGCAAACGCAGCCGGAAGACTCCCCGGGAAGGCCTCGCCGCCGCTGAAAGCCATGGTCCAGGTCTCGGAGGCGGTTTTCAGAGTTTCTGAAGCGTGCTGCATCCACAAAAGGTATTCCGAAGGGGTGGCCATGGTGCAGGTGATGCGCTGGTCGACGATAATGTGCGCAAGAGCGGCAGGATCGCCGCGGACGGATCGGGGCGCGACCACAACTCGGCCGCCGGTTGTGAGGCCAGTAAGCGCCTGTTCAAGGGAGATGTCGAATGTCGTGGCGCCCTGTTGCAGCACCACGGGTGCCTGGAGTCCGCATTGGCGCGTGAAGCCCTCGAGCTGATTCTGCAGGTTGGCGTGACTGAGTTGGAAGCCTTTCGGTCGACCAGTGGTCCCACTGCTGTAGAGGATCACCGCGCTGGCATGCGCAGATGAGACATCTGCTATTTCTCTGCTGGTAGGCTTCGCACCCATATCTAGTGCGGCGGTATTAAGAACAGACGAGTGTGTAGTCAGTGCCATTTTATGAAGAACAGGCTCGGTGTCGTCATCACAAACTATAACTTGCGGCTGACAGTCTTCTATAACAATGGCCAGACGGTCTCGCGGGTTGTTCACATCTAGTGGGACATATACAGCTCCTAGACGCCATATTGCGAGCATGCAGACAATCCAGCTCTCTGTTGGCTGCTGGAATACGCACACAGTTGATGCCGGTTCAACGCCACATTTAGCCAGATGATTTGCGACAACGTTCGAGTGTTGCATCAGCGCAGAATACGTAAGTCCGCGGCCACTGACTGGGTCGATGACGGCCATCTTACTTGAGCTGACACGCGCGATCTCTTCAATGTGCCGGGAGAGCGTGGGCTGCCACTTCGCCGGCATTTCGGGCCCTCGTCCGAGGGCAAGCGCGCTCTCTATGTTTGTGCGCGGATAGAGCGACGGCCCTGTGACAACTTGGACGGGAGCAGAGGATACTAACTCATCTAGCAGGGATATAAAGCTATGAGCAACGAGGTGAGCCGCATCGCGAGTAAAGAGAGCCTGCTGCAGATGAAAGTTGAGGACGGATGTTCCCTGACCAGAATCCATGACGGAGAGCACCATATCAAACGCCGTCTTATTGATGGCCCATTCTTGCACGTCAATCTCCAAGCCTGCGAACTGACGCTTCTCAGCACTGGAAGGCTGCCAGTCCAGCATCACCTGGAATAGAGGGCTGTGGGAGCCTGAACGTGGCACAGCCAGCTCATCCAGCAGTCGGTCGAACTGCACGCGCGAATGCGCCAGCGCACCCCGCGCTTTTGTTTGTGTATTTAAGAGTACCTCGCGGAAGCTGTGTCCCTTCAAGCTGCCAACGAATCGTAAAGGCAGCAGGTTCTGGACCAGACCAATGAGCCGCTCATCCGCCTCCTCGATTCGGTGCACGTCGGAGATGCCTATACAAAAATCGGTGGACTGTGTCAGGCGGGTCAAGAAGATACGAAGGACAGCCAGGAAGATTCCAAATGGCGTGATGCGCATGCGCTTTCCGAGGCTCTGAACAGTTTCCATAATCGAAGCTGGTAGCTCGATTCGTACGTGTTCTCTCGGATGATCCGTGAGCACCGTACGTGCGGGCACGCGAGCCATGGGAAACAGCGGGATGGGACTGGGGAATGTTGCAAATTCCTTGCGCCAGTATTCTATATCCTTGGACAATTTTCCGGCTTCGTAACTTGCTCGCTGCGCCGCCGCATAGTCCGCATATTGCCGCGACATGGGAGGCAGGGGCTGTTGCATGTAAGCACGTTCCAGCTCCCCGATAAGGAGCTGAAAACTGAGACCGTCCAGGCATATGTGGTGGAAAGCGATCAACAGGAATTGCTGGTTCTTGGGCGTGATGGTCAAGCTCATCCGGATGTTGTCGCCGTTCTCGAGATCGAAGACATGCTGCCGCAGGCATAGATACATGTCGCGAACCTCAGCCTCACTGCCGACGTTGAAAACATCCAGGCGCAGGGGCGACGAAGCGAGAATGGCTTGATAGGGGCCCTCGCTACCAAGATGATAGCAGGTACGGAGGATCTCATGCCTCTCTCCTATCCGCTCCACAGCCGCGCGAAGCCGGGCTATATCGATCGAACCGCTGAATCCCAACTTGAAGGTGATGTTGCTGTACGTCTTATCGGACCGCAGCTGCTGCAGGACCCAGAATCGGGACTGCGCGTAGGACAGTTTCTCGATGCGTGAGAATTTCAGTGCCGGCGACTGCTGGCCTCCGGTTGGGGGTGTCGACGACTCGCTGCCCGAGGAGTCGTCTTCTCTCAGGGGAGTAAAAATCTCAGGCGAGGCAGAGGATTCTCGTTGAGTATCGATAGAGATTTCACTGTCTCTCCGCTCGAAATTCGGTTGCTCAATAGCATGCGGATGTTTCGGGCCCTCTACCCTTGTGGGGGCTACCGGCTGGCGGTCCGAGTCGGTTGATTGGGAGGCTTTAGGCTCGTCCGTCGGCTTGCTACTTGCTTGAAGCAGCTCTTTGGGGAGTTTCGTCAATGCATAATCAATTAGCTCACCAATACATGCGCTGTTGAGCAGTTTGATGACTGGAATATCGACCCCAAGCTCCTTGACGAACCAGGTGCGCAAGTCCACGGCAACCAGCGAATCCACGCCCAGCTCCATGAGCGAATGGTCGACGGTAACCTCCGCATCGTCAGGCAGCTGCAACTTGATGCGGACCTTGGTCAAAAGGGCGTCCTCGATGACATGACGGGCCTTCTCCTCGGGGCTTGCAGAAGCGAGTTGTTGTTTCAGCGAGACTGTGTCGCCATCCTTGGCTTCCGCCGATGTCGCTCCAGAATACAGCAATTGCCGCCAGGCTCGGGGAGTCTTCAGCCATATGATTCCTGGCTGCTCCTCCGGGTTTACAAAAGGAAAACCGGCCACAGGGGCAGCCTCGCGTCCAGATTCCGGAGGGCTGGCCAGAATCGCTTCAGCGAACAACTCGTTCAGCTCTCCTTCGCTAATGGAGGTGTCGCCGATAGCGTTGCGCAACAGCTGCACCAGCTCATTAGACGTGCGGGCCACGTACCCCACGCCACGAATCTCTCCAGGGTTTATGGTGCTGCCGACAAGACCACGCTTGCGCCGACCGTGGATGAAGCTGGTCATGAAAGTGTTTGCCGCTGCGTACGCCGACTGCCCGTTGTTACCGGCGGGACCTGTCAGCGACCCAAAGCAGATGAAGAAATCCAGGTCAGCGGTCGAAAAGACCTCGTCGAGCAATATCGTGCCCGTAACTTTGGGTCCGAGGACCCTCTCCATGCTCTCAAACGGCATATTCGCGAACAACTGATCCTGCAGAAGCATTGCTCCATTCACGATACCTCCGATCGGGGGCAGCGTGTCTTGTATGCGCTGAGCCACCTCCGAGACCGCATCACGATCAGTGACGTCCCTATAATTTACATATTAGCAATCACCCATTGTACCGGGAAAGCAGAGGGAAGTCTGTGGAAGTCACATACATTGACATGGTCACAATCCGCGCTCCAGTCTTCGCCATGGAGTCAATCCAGGATTGCTTAGTCTGTGGTCGACGGCTTGTCAAGACAACGTTGCGAGCACCTCGAGACACCATCCACTCGCAGATAGAAATGCCGAGGTCTCCGGTCATCCCGACCAATAAATACGTCTTCTCAGCCGCCAACACGACCTCACTACTCGCTGACTGCACACTCACATGTAGTCCGGCAGCAGCTTGCCAGTCCAAAATTTGTGTGCGTGACAAATTCACCGCATGTGCTGAGACCGAGTTTACTGGCACGACATCCACATCTGCGGAATTGTCGGTCTTGCCAGTAATTGCGCCAGCGCAGAGACCCATGGCATGCTCAAGTCGAAGCGCAACCGATTCCATTTCCGACGGTGACGGCATCACTGCCTCGGTCATCTGCATAGACTCAAGGCTCTCCAGGCGAACATAGCCCCTTCTCCCGGCCACGGTGGCAAGACGACCAAAGAGCTGGCCCGACTTGTCCTGATCAAACCGCGCCAGCAGAGACATATTCTGCGGTAAAGATTTCGAGAGAGTTTTCATCGGCGCGAGCGGATGGATCAGATTTACTTCCGGGTTGCTGTGTGCGATAGCCGCGCGCGTCGTCGTGAAATAAGCAGCAGCTTGTCGCTGTGTCACCTCTGTCTGAATCGCAGATCGCATGCGCTCGTTCGCCTCGTGCACCAGCAGCGAGGTCCAAGGGGGCGTATTCTCTGCCAGATAGATCGCCACGAGTGAATCAGCCAAAGCCGCCAGGAAGCTGCATGCGGCGTCGGTATCGGCATACGATTCTGCGCATGGGACAACCCACGACGACGGGGTTGACACCACTGCAGCCAAGTCTCTCGTGAAAGCGACCACCGTTTCCTGGGCCTGTAGGTCTTGTCCGATGACAACGTATAAGAACCCTGATCCCGGTACACGCCATGCCGTCAAAGTCGACGCCTTGGCAGCGATGAGACAGTAACCCGATCGCGGTGTTGCCGGAGGCAAAGCAGACGCAATAGGCTCATAGGCCCCATCACGTCGCGTCACCACAACATTTGACTGAGCCAAATCGGCTTCACGGTCAACGCGGCGTCTCTGGGACATGATTCGCTGATTCATGGAATCGTCCGCCAAGATTCGGGGGAACATCATCACGCCGTCTTTTTGCAGGCGGAGCTCCGGCTCAATGGTCCACGTGGCTCGCTGCAGGCGATAATCATTCTCGAATTCAGGTAAGACAAGGCCCAGTAGACATTCGGCGACGGAGCGCGCATCAACTGCACGCTCGTTCTCGATATTCAAGTGGCGGTAGCGGGCGTGCGAGTTCTCGTACAGCAGACACCGTAGCAGCGCCTGGCTCATACTCTGGTGCGGTTTATCGGCGTCTGAACCGGCTGTTACCCAGAGCAGGTTCTGCGCAGCGGTAGTCAAAACTTGTATGGACTGCATGCTCTGCGCTGTGATGTCCTGGAAAAAGGGGCAATCGAGGTCCGACACGTTGACCACGTTCACTGACTGCTCCGGAGAAACATCCACTGGGGTCTGCAGGGTTTCAACGCACGTTATTGCCCCGAAGAATGGCTGCAGGAGGCTGCGTAAGCGGCTGACCAGCCTCGAAGTCGCGAGCGTAGCTCCACCAACCAGGACTAAGTCTTGGGATGGAGAAACCATCGGAGGACCTGCTGCCAGCGGGTCGCGCAGGAGCCGGATTTGATCGTCGACAGCTTGTGACAGGAAAACAGAAAACCCGGTCATCCCGTCATCGTGGCCACCGGTGATGGTGTCAATTCCGGAGAAGCCTGTTTCCTGCAGTAGATGATCCCACCGCGTGGGTGTGGTCATCGCGCCGAAGGGGCGGCCGTCTTTTTCACCCAACCACCAACCCTCAAAGCCGGCCATCGTGAAGGACAAGCGCAAGATGTCGGGATTGGCACCCTCGAGGAGAACTAGATAACCGCCTGGCTTGAGTAGAGACCGCACGTGGGACAGTGTCTGTAGCAAGTCGCGCGTGGCATGGAGAACGTTGGCTGCGATGACTAGGTCCATCGACTGAGGCTGAAACTCTTCTCCCTGGCCCTGGGGGTCCCGCTCAATATCGAGCACTTGGTACGTAATCCGATCAGAGACGTGCTGCAGGCTGGCTTGTGTCTGCTCGAAGAATCCGGCCGAGATGTCTGTGAAGGTGTATGAATAGAAAGTGTTTTTTAAGCGACTGAGCACGGCCTTCGTCGCGGAGCCGGAGCCACCGCCGACCTCTAGAATCTTCAGATGAGGCATTCGCATCGCCAGCTGCTCCACCACATCAGCCACACCTTGGTTGAAGTGGGCCAGCTCCCCTGTCTCCTTATAGATTGCTGATAGCAACCCGCTTTCCCGCAGCTCCTGCAGAATTGTTGTTTCATGGCGCAGAAAGCGCAGCAGGTTCTGGCCTACCACCTTCATGAGGCCTTCCTCCGTAGGATTCGCGAGACGGACCATCTCCGCCGTTGTCTCGTCGAGAGACAGTTCGAGCCACTCTGGTCGACAGACGGGGTGCTTACCCTGGCGTGTTAACGCCAGAACATTGTCGATCCAGGCGACCACCCGATGTCCATGCCAGTCCAGCTGCGCACGGTCTGCAGGGGTTAGCTGCGCTTGTACTTCGCGCAAGTAGACAAAGGCTAGCTGCTCTGCCACGGTACAACGGTAGCTTTCGTGGCCCGTAAGGTACGGTGAGAATTCAGAGAGATCCGGGAGAAGCGGGAACCAGTGCTCGCCGAAGAATCGCTGCTGGTCATCGGCCGCGGTGGCACGCATTAGCGGCGTCACTACGATATTTTCCATGTGCATCAGGCCGTGGCCTACCGCGTCGAATAGCGCCGCGTCTCCCACGGCACCTTCACGGCCAATACTGGTCAGTGAAGCCTCGAACGGCAACTCATGGTCCAGCTCCGCAGCGGCCGGCCCGCAGAAAGTCGGATTGATAAGGATCCGGCCAATGCTGACGGGAATATGCAAGGTGTAGAGCTTCTCATTTCCCGGTTTTCCTACGGCTGCCAGCATGCCTTGCAACAGGAGATCCATCAAAGCCGGATGCATTGCCAGTGGACTAGCACGATCCAACTGGCAGGTGTTGTACAGGCGCCCGTGGCTGAGATTCGGCTTCCAGGCGAGAGAGGAGATACCGCGGAAGAGCCCGTCGTAGCCGTATCCCAGGCTGTTCAGATGATCGTAGAAGGCTTCGACGTCAACAACCGTAAGCTCTTGAGTCTCCGGTTGACGCGTAGGTAGCAAGCGAGCGTCATCTTCGCCACCAAATGACAAAATCATATTCGCCGATGCGCATAGCTGTAATTTGCCTGCCACGGGGCTGTAGCAGGAAAATGCTGCCGATAGCTGGTCGCTTTGTTCTTCGTTTAGTTGGTTGACCTCGAAAAGAGTCTCAACACCGACGTCATCCTCGCTCAGGGAGATGGCACTCTTGATGACGAAGTCGCGTACGTCAAACAGCTGCAAACGCCGTGACCCTGCGATCGCGTAGGCTGCCTCGAGTGCCATAGCCACATACCCAGTGGCAGGGAAGACGGTCTGAGACTGGATGCGATGTCCACTCAACCAATCAATCTCCGAGGTATGTAAAAAATTGCGCCAGCGGTATGCGTTGTCGGTAGTATCCGCACAGGAGGATCCTAGCAGTTGGTTGGGACGGCCTGGCTGTCGGAAGGTGGCTCTAGAAAAGCGTGACTCTGCCCAGTAGGAGTTAGAGCGATCAAAGGGGTAGCACGGCAAGCCTTTGGCGAGGTGGAAAGTTGGTTGGTCACGGAAATGTCGCATATAGGACTCGACATCCACAGCATCCGGACCAAGGTGGGTATATATGTCTCCGATGGCACGCGCCACACACTCGGTCCCGGAAGTCGATCTATTTAACAGACTTGTGTATACAGGCGGTACCGGCGCAGTACCCTGTGATGAGGTCTCAGAAAGCGTGCCTTGCACTGGACTTTTGAGTGCAGGATGCGGCCCAACCTCGACGATCATATCGTACGAATCATCCTGCAAGGCTTGCGTCACGGCATCAGCAAATCGGACGGTCTGGACCATGTTGTCGCACCAATAGCTCCCACATAGTGCTTTTAAATGTTTAGTGTCTACAATTCGCCCGTCATTCACACTTGAGAACCATTTCGTGTCCTTGGTTTCCCTTGGCTGAATCTGGCAAGCCTCGAGGGCGCGCAGATAAGGTGCGGAGCAAGGGATCATGTGGTGCGAGTGGTACGCCATGTTGACCTTCAGGCGGCGCGCGAAGATACCTTCGTCCTTCAACTGCGCCTCAAGGGCCACGATAGCGTCCGCATCTCCCGACAACGTAATGCTAGACGACGAGTTCACCGCCGCAGGCTTGATGCGGCCCGTGTACACCGCGCTCTGGCAGACCTGGTCGGCCTCGTCCGGGGACATGCCAACGGCCAGCATGCTACCAGGCTGCCCGTTGCATCCTGCCAATGAGGTGACGTGCCCGCGGAGGTGGGCAATGCGAATTGCCTCTATTTCTGAAATCATGCCTGCAGCGTAGGCAGCCGCGATTTCGCCCGAGGAGTGGCCGACAACAGCATTCAGGTGTATGCCAAGTGAGCGGAGGAACTTAACCAGAACAATCTGCACTGCTGTGCACAGTGGCTGCGAGATCTCTGCCAGGTGTAGCCGTGAGTTCTCTGACTCGGCGCATAGCTCGTCTAGTATCGAGTACGCGGGCCGGTACTCGTCGGGGAGATCGTCCAAAGCCATTTGCAAGGTTGTCAGCCATGTCTCCGCGTCAGGGCTCCGTTGCATCAAATCTAGGCCCATCTGTGCCCACTGAGCGCCCTGCCCGGTAAACACTCCTAGTACCTTGGGTCGATCGTTTCGAGGCTTGGAAATCACTGTGGAGGCCTGGTTCGACCCACGCCTCGCGACTTCCTCGCGCAGCCGGTTTTGCAGATCCTGCGCGGATGCCGCCCATAAGGCAACTCGGTGAGAAAAGGTGGTCCGTCGGCGGAACAACGTCCATGCCAAATCGGTCAGGTCAGCCGTTGGTTGCTGGCCGGCCAAATAATCCACGTATGCGCCCAAGACGTTTCCGAGCGCCTTATCCGACGGGGCAGTAAAGACGAACGGGATAATGCCGTCCCATTCGGCCGAATTGTTGTCTGACAAGGTAGGGCTATACGCCTCCAGAATCGCGTGGGCGTTGGTACCGCCGAACCCGAATGAATTGACCGAGACTCGTCGCGGCGTGCCCTCGGGCAGCTGTGGCCAGGGCTGACAGTCTGTCGGGACACGCAGCTGGCTGCCATAGGGTTCAATAGCCGGGTTCAGTCGCTCGAAGTGCAAATTCGGCGCCACAACCCCGTGCTGCAGGCTCATTACACCTTTAATTAAGGCTGCAAGGCCGGCCGTGCCTTCGGTATGGCCCACGACGGTCTTGGCCGAGCCGACAAACAACCGATTATCCGGGTCGCTCTTGTCGTCAACTGGGTTAGGAAAGAAAGCCGCGTGTATCGCAGACGCTTCTTGGGGATCGCCAGCTGGAGTCCCTGTCCCGTGGGCTTCAAAATACTGGCATCGATCACGCGGATTGGCTGGGTCTAGACCGGCCTTCCGGTAGGTCGACCGGATCAGGTCGGTTTGGGCAGTGGAAGAGGGCATCGTGATACCCATGCTGCGACCATCCTGGTTGATATGCGTAGCAGGAATAATGCACTCGATAGCGTCGCCGTCGGCGATAGCGTCGCTGAGTCGCTTGAGGGCTACGGCTGCGACACCCTCGCCACGCGCGTAGCCATCTGCGCCGGCATCCCACATACGACTGCGGCCGTGTGGCGACAGCATACTCAATTTGGATTCGGAAATGTACATGTTTGGGGCCAAGATCAAGTTTGTCCCGGAGGCGACTGCGACGCGGCAGTCACCGTCATGCAATGCTTTGGCCGCCAAATGTAGAGCAACCAGGCTAGATGAGCAGGCGGTATCAATGGTCATAGAGGGGCCGTGCCAGTCGAAAAAGTAGGAGACGCGGTTTGATATGATCGACCGCGCTGTTCCTGTAGCCGTGTAATGCGGTAACTCTGAGACGTCGCGCTGCTGGATCGTCTGATAGTCGTCACACATCACACCACAGAAGATACCTGTGGGCGACCCTCTGAGGTCTTCCAGCCGCAGACCGGCGGCCTCAACGGCTTCGTAGACTGTCTCGAGCAGAACACGTTGCTGGGGATCTATGGACTCGGCTTCTCGCGCCGAGATATTGAAGAAGGAGGCGTCGAACGCAGCCACATTTTCGCGGAGGAAGTAAGATTCGCTGGCGTTGGTCGTCCCGTGGTTCCCGCTCCGAGTATTGTAGAAGGCATCGCCGTCAAATCGGTCCTTTGGAACCGGAGAGCCGACATGCTTGGGCTTGCTGAGGAGACTCCAGAACTTGGCCGGCGTCGAGGAGCTGCCAGGGAATCGACATCCGATACCGATGAGGGCAATCGGCTCTGCGGACGACATGATAGATAGACAGCTTCCCTAGTCGGTGATTAACAAGAGCATGTTCCTGACCTTGAAGATCAGCTTAAACACGGTGCATTATAAAGTTAAGTTACCGGGCCGAAGCGTAGCATACGAGCTACTATCAAGTTTTTCGTCATCGAGATGTCGGCATGGCCATCTCCACCCTAGATGCGACTGCAACGTCCCCTGCCGACCCACTGCCACCATAGTTCATTTCTCAAGGTCTGAAAGCAGATTTCTTTTTCGTTGTGAGATCATACTTTCCTCGATTGTAAATATTGCCTGTGTGACACCACCGGTCGCCGACCAACTTACTCCGGGTTCGCTTGTTTTTGGTGCCCTTTCCAAGTCTGCGGTTCTATAACGAGCCCGTTGCCCCTAGCTGATCTACAATCAACGCTTTCGCTTCTTGTCTTGCGCAAATGACCATCCTACAGGTACTTGGCATCCTTTTGGTGGTCTCTCTGGGCTATCATGGCTTTCTGTCTTTGCTCCAACAGCGGCGTCTATCCCATCTGTCAAAAAAGCATGGATGCGCCCCGCCCGTCACTCAAGCAATGCGCTGGCCTTGGGGAGCTGAACGGATTGTTCGGATACTGCGATTTCGCGGAGATATCCTGGACGGTCTGGTCTCGCCCAGCTTTTACCGCACCGGGGCATGGACCATCCGGGCCACGATCCCCCTAGTACTCCAGCCGTTGATGCTGGTGGCCGAGCCCGCGAATGTCAAGGCAGTGCTTTCAACCAGCTTCGCCGACTGGGGAGTCGGACCTCGCCGGCTGAAGCAATTTGGACCCTTTCTGGGGCTGGGAATCTTCACAGCCGACGGTCATTCATGGTCGTCTGCGCGCGGGATCCTACGGCCTGTCTTCTCGCGCCACCAGGTGTCCGATCTCGAATTCACCAGCCGCCATGTCGACCGGCTGCTGGACTGCCTTGGCGGCAGCGAAGACGCGACGCCAGCTGAAGCTTGGACGGAGTGGGTAGATGCGATGCCCCTGATCTACCGGTTCACTATGGACGCGGCTACTGAGTTCCTCTTTGGAGAGAGCGTTGATAGCCAGCTTCGACCCGGCAGCGCATCGGATCGTCGCAATGCCTTTGAACAGGCGTTTGAGGCCTCGTCTCTAGGCGTCGGTGACCGCATGCGTCTAGGTTCCTTCTACTGGATCCTAAACCACGCGGGATTCCGTCGTGCCTGTCAACTCTGCCGCACCTATGTGACCGGCTTCGTGGACCGTACTCTTGGCCTGCCCTATGAGAAGGAGAAGAAGTCTCAGCGCGGGCTCTTCCTGCGTCAGCTATCCGAGTTAACGCAGGACCGCGTGCTCATTCGCGACCAGCTACTCCAACTGCTTTTCGCTGGCCGCGACACCACAGCCACGCTAATTTCATTTGCTCTGCTATCTCTGGCTCGCGATCCCGCTGCCTGGTCCAAGCTGCGCGCCGAAGTCCTCGCCCACTCCGCCAACTCCCTATCATTTGAGTCTCTGAAGTCTTGTTCTTACCTGCAGGCAGTTCTTTCGGAAACGCTGCGTCTCTATCCGCCCATCCCCATCAACACACGCCAGGCCTTGCGCGACACCGTTTTGCCCGTCGGTGGTGGCCCGCACGGCGACCATCCCGTGGCCGTTCCCAAGGGCACAACACTCACGTATAGTGTCTACGTGATGCATCGGCGCACCGATATCTGGGGCGAGAACGCAGCCGAGTGGTGCCCGGACAGATGGCAGGGACTGAAGGGCGGATTTCACTACCTGCCCTTCAACGCAGGCCCACGACATTGTCCTGGCCGTGAGTTTTCTGTTCTATGAGCCTGTCCCAGTATCATGCTAACCTCTAGCCTCGCAGAGCAATTTGCTCTCACGGAAGCAGCATATACCCTAGCGCGTCTAGCCAAGTCCTTTGACAGAATCGAGTGTCCTGATCCGACGCAGCCGATCCAGAAGACACTCGGCATCACGGTGCAACCAACCCAAGGGGTCAAAGTGAGATTCCGCAGAGCGTAACAGTCAGCATAGTCGTAGATAACTCTTATCAATTCATTGGAATTTGTCCTAAAAGTCAATGTGATGCTGGGGGGCTGGTATTCGGATTCCCTATCCAATGGCCTACCTGCTAATGATTTCTAAGTTGCTAGCAAATCCAATTTCTTCTCTGATTGTAACGACAGCATGACTTCAATTGTAGCAAAATAGCCGTCAGTCGCATCATCATTGCGCGGACGCAGCGTGCAGCGCGAGGAATGTGGAAGAAGAAAGGAAGACGGAAGTCGCAACGATCGACGCGATGGGTGGGTCACTGGACCGGCTAGTCCTAAAAGGGCAAGGGCGGCCTCATATGGCCTGAAGCGAATCTTGTTTCTTACTCCATGAGTCTATCGCGCAGCCATGCAATACACCGAGTACTCGCATCATCTCAGATCTTGTCGTCTGCGGATCGTGATCAGATACTGTCGTTTGCAACTTGTATCCTACTGTACCTGCTGATGTGGAACTGGTTACTTATCGGCGAGTGAGCCAGAAACAAGAAAACAGGACCCATGGAGTGCAACCTACCCCTTTCTCGATCCATGGTTTAAAGGGCCATTTAGGAGATCTTTTCCTTCCGACATATACCTATGGCTGATATAAAATTATAATGAAATTGCTCGGTACGCTACAGCTACAGGTGAATACTAGTAGTTCCGCATCCGTCTCGATTGCTCAAATCCTGTTTCTATCGTGACATTTGCATCTAATTGTCTCCACTGTCCTAGGACTGACTGCACCACTCATACACAATACACGATCTAGTCGAGTTTAGAGCTACCACCGAACTAGATCCTCGTCCACAGCGCACCCTTAGTCAACCAGTGCCGAGCCAATAATGTCATCAGGGTCCCAACTCCCGTCATCAGCCCGCAGAACAATTGAAGATACAGCGCGCCCTTGTGCCCGATGTCGAGCAGCGCTCCGCCGATGGGACTCGACGTGAGTCCCGCGAACGACTGCACCAGGTACAGTACCGCCAGGTTGCGCGTGATAGTTTGTAAATCCGACATCTGGAACAACATGGCTGGTCCCAGGGACACCGTGCTCGCGGAGGTGAAGCCGAACGTGACGGAAAAGACGACCGCTCCGCCGAACCCGCTGTCGGGTAGCCAGAGCCCGAGCACAAGCACCGTGGATAGCACACCCAACACGCACATGGTATTGAAGCTGCCAACGCGATCGGCTATCATTCCGGGGATGATGCGACCGAAGAAACTGTCGTCGATCAGTATACAGCGTTTATTCGGCAAGGCGAGAGAGAGGGACGATAACTAGGTGTGGCCTTACCTAGCTCCATTAAGCACCACTAGCGAGTCGACGTCGTTTTTCCACCCGCGTAGACGCGCCACGGTGGTTAGGAATGTGAGCACGACGAAATAGCCATTGGCGAAGAGCGTGGTTCCGACGATGGTCAGCAAAAGTCGCCGGTCCCAGAGCCCGGCCTGGCGGCTCTCGTCCTGATGCATGGCCATGCGCATGCGCCGGCGCGCCTTCAGGGCCTCAGGAGGCGATCGCAATGTCAAGTTGCTGATGGTGGTGAGAACCAATAGGACGAGGACCGCGCAGCGCATGGTCCAGCCAAAGCCAATGATCGGGATCAAGCGCTGGATCATTAGCGGGAAGACGATACCCCCGACACTGACGCCGCTAGCAGCGATGCCAATTGCGAGAGCTTGCTGGCGTTCGAACCACCGGCCCATGGTTTGTACGCTGATGAAAAACACGGCGCTTGCGCCCAGTGAGCTTATCACGCCTTGCGTCAGGAAGAATTGGTAGAACTTCGTGCACCAGGAGGCCCCCAGCAGGCCGGCGATGTGCATCGCCGACCCGATCAGTAGAAGAGGCTGCGGTCCAGTACGCTGAGTTATTGGCCCGACAATACAGGCCTGAAAGAAGTAAAATCAACGTCAGTAGGCCCTCTCGGCGACACATTCAGGTGATTCAATAACACCTACACCGAAATACATGAGGAAGAACCCCACGCTATTGATCCAGGCAATGGTGGAAGGGCTGTAGTCTCGCAGTTGATCCTGCTGATAATACCCCTGGAAGAAACCCGACCCTATCGTAAAATCGCATCAGATCTTCGAAGAAGCACCAGCGCACAAATATAATCAAGGAAAACCTACCCGCTCGCCATCCAAAAGACGCGAACATGCCGCAGAATCCCCCAATCACCACCATGTAATGCCCGACCGTCCCTTCTGTGAACTCCGCATCGACTTCATCCTCCACGATGGCTGTCTCCTCTTCTGGCGTCTTCAGACGATGCAATGGTCCCTCTGGGATGAGCTCAGCCGGAGTCGACGGCGCGGGTGTCGTCTCAACATCAGACGAAACCGCCGTCGAAGTGCCAGGATTTAACATCTCATCTGCCTTTGTAGACGAACGCGCGTTCACATTCAATCCATCCTTCTCCATGGCCGCAGTAGCGGTCGAACCCAACCCAGCAGGTAGATTGAAAGATAGGGATGTGTCACAAGCAAGCCCATCCCTAAACTGGACCGCCTCGGATACAGTAGGATAGCAGGGGCCATCGCTTATCAGCGAGATTTGGGGAATATGGGTCCTCGTCACATTGTTGCATAGCCATGACCGATCATTAATTCCCTGTCCTTGTACTTTTTTTCTGCAACGTTGGAGCCAAGGAATCTGCATTCGGCAACGCCCTACTTACGGGTCGGGTTTGGCCGAAGTGCTTGGCCGGTCGATGACGTCGGCCACCGAGGGCATGTCGCACCGGCATCAGATTTCCAACTGGTCCTCGTAATACTCTATGTATGGGGTTTTTGGTGCTTGAGAGTCTTTTGTATAGGTTTCATTGCTATCATCACGTATCACGTAGATAGGTATGCGTTGAGAAAATATAATCCATAGCCGCGAAACTACTTCGTTCCGGCTTGATATATAGAACAAGGAAATACATCTTCATCGAAGACTCAGATCAAAGCGATTCCAAAACTCGTCTATGTTAATTAGTTCTCCCTCCTAAAAATTTCTGCTCACTACCTCAGGCTTTCTTAGAAATTACACAAAGAGCCTACAGTTACGCAAATATGTCTTCGATAGATAATTATTCAGGATTGAAATCCCAGGAAAGCTAACATAACATTGAACAGCATCGCTCGCTTCGTGCATAAACATACATACAAATCGTGTCTTTCACATGGGTGTTATAGTAACGACGTAAAGGAAGGGAATGGAATGGACTCATGATGGAACGCAGAGAACTAGGCGGGGTATGGGGTATGCGTATGCAAAAGTATATCAGGGAGGAAAGAAGGAAAATCTGAAACATAAGATGGAAAAAAGGAACAAAAGAAAGTAGGTCAGGCAGTCGGTGTTGGCCATCGGTATATCGGAAAGGAATTGGTAAGACGGTAGTATAGAAGACGATTTGTGTATGTGCACGACTGTGGCAATAGAGACTTAGAAAGAATGATGTACTAGTCAAAAAGATAATGCAGAGAGTATTAGTTTAGGAGGTTCAAAGTTCGGTAAGGGTGAGGCTCGGTAGGTGTTGAGACTTGTTAAAGATGATAGCCTGGCTAGTATCGGAGCTTGCCGACAAGTCCAAAGGTATACGCCGCTTCGGCTTCGCTCTTCATTTGAATCATGTAAATGCGAGAGAAACCGCCAGTGACGCCGCCCTTCTTTGGCATAGCGCCGCCTTCGGTCTCTTCCCAGACGGACACAGCGATTCCAGTTCGGGCCACGCGTTCGAACGAGCTCTCTGGCAAACAGACATCAAGGAGGACCTCATCTCGGGTCTTTCCACGGACAAGAATGCGCTTTTCGATTTCCACGCCGCGACGAGGCGTAGCGGATCCGGAGCCTGGCGGGCTGCCTTCTCCTGACTCGGTTGCATCGACAGCATCGCTCTGCCCTCCGATGGGCGTCTCTGGGCGCGTAGATTCTTCGGGGGTAGATGGCATAATCGTGAGTCTTGCAGCTCCCATGTCTCGCCACTTCGACTGGGTCTCGCGTACGTAAAGGCGGATTTTGGCGTTTGAGAGGCCGATGCCGTCAACGCCCTTAATCGCAGCTGCAATACGCCCAAGACCAGAGCTGGGTGAATGATTCGAGGCCGCCGAGCTTGAATACAGACTGTCTTCGTTCTTGCGACTGCGAGAGGTGACCGAGGATCGCGAAATGCTAAACATCTTGCTTCCTGCTCCAAACCGCTTGAGAGCTGAGAAAGCACTACTCATAGTGCCGACGCTACTCTCGGAGTTGTCGGCGAGGGATCGAGGAGAGGCGGAGGCACGGTAGCTTCGTCTGCGGCGCGGCCATCCGAACAAGCCGCCGGATTTGTTAGGGCGCTCCATGGCGGCGGGCTGGTCCGCAAGTGGACCCCTGGCATTTTGCAGAGCGATATATGTAGGGTTGTTAATACGGGCATGGTTGATGAGACTGTAAAGAGCTTCACACTCATCCGCATTCCTAGATCGGAACATGATGTTGTTGCTCCAAGCCACCTTTGACCGCTCGGTTGGGGGCGAGCGGATACTGATGTCGATGGCTGTTCCACGTCGGATAGGCACAAGAGGAGTTAGTTCAAGCGCAATCACCGGCCGTGCATTCTTAGAGGGCAGGTTCTCCCCTTCGGGTACATCCTTCACCTCGTAGGCCTCGATCAGACCGGGGCTGACAATGATTCTACAATCATCGGGCAGCACATTGTCCCAGGATCCTTTGTCTGACCAGGCAAAAACAGACGCCACCGCAGACGTTGACTTTTCGGGCTGCGATGGGACAGTTCGATAGCCCCCTTGGGATACAGAGTTAGAGGGAGAAAGTGAGCTGGTCGCAGACGTTATGAGCGACTCCTGCACGGCCGATCTGGCAAGATCACGTGCCTTCGTCGGAGGCATCGAGGAGAGCTCGTCCTCAGATTCATCATCGGAGCTATCGGAGGCGGAATAGTCTGACTCTGAGTAGAGGTCGTAGCGTCGAACGGTAGAAGTGTCGGAATCCGAATAAGTGTCCGAGGCCGTGGAAGGTTCGTATTCATGTTTCAGTGGGGAAGAGCCACGGCGTCTAGGACGCGCGCCACCTGGACTTAGAATAGGAGTGTTCGGAAGACTCGATCCTGTGGAGCTTGGGGAGCGAGAGTGTGGCGGTGGTGCAGGGGCTTCTCCAGAGCCCTGATCGCTAGAATCGGAGTTTGAACGGGAGTGACTTTTGCGCTTGCTTCTTGTCGGACTCTCGACTGGGACGTAGTCTTCCTCATCCGACCAATCATCAACAGACCCTGAGACATAAGACTGGCTACTACCCTGTCTCAATTTGGGAATCGACGGCAAATCCATGGAAGGTACAGATGACACACGTGGAGAGCTTTCAGGGGCCTCTCTTGTCGGGGTCTGCAGCGCATATTGCTCTTTATGAACCTTGTCCTGTTGACTGGTGGCTTCGGGATGCGGGTGAGGAGTTGAAGGCCCCAGTCGCTCATTTTCTGGGATGGTTACCTTGGCCAACCCTGGGCTTGGTGGGGCTTCGTCGTCTTTGTGCGCGATTCTTCTGGCCTTGGACCGCTTGAGGCCTGTGGGTGACCGGTCATCGCCAGTTCCAATCTTTCGGGGGTCCCTTGCGTGAAGAATCGAAGGTTGAGATGGCTTCGCCGAAGATGTTTCCGACAAAGCGTAGTCCGATTCGCGGGTGACTGCGGTATTGATAGACATCCGAGACTCGGTAGCTAATGAAGAGCCGACGGTGCTGGGGTCCGACAACTGCTCCCTGGGGGAGGAACGTCGCAATGAACGACTGTGGGCCTTCTCGCCGATAGGAACATCCATTCCAGTAGGGCTCGTGGGGGGTTTCTGGACTGATGCATCATCATTAGCTGAAACTGTTTGTGCTCGGTGCCGTTGTTTAGCTCGCTCAATGAAGCTCTGGCTTCGAGAAATGGTAGGTGGAACAGGATTCAAGCCAAGCATTTGGACCCATTCGAAACCGATATCTTCCTCGTCGATTCGAAGTAATAGAAGTTCTTGCCATGGCTTGGGACTCTCCGTGCCACTGCGCAGCATGACCACAATCTCCCCCTTAGCGTCGCCGTTGCGGGCAGAAACAAATGCAAGGTCCATGGGCGGGAAAAGAAGCCATCGGTCCGCGTGGTCGATCTCACAGATGAGTAGATCTCCTCCAGCTCCACGATCGGAGTCGTAATCTCTCAGTAAGAACTCCGCACGGCAATCGATGACCTGTCCACTGGAGTGGTATACAGACAGGTTGAAGAAGTCACGAGCCCGCACTCGTCGACCCTTTTCTATTTGAACGTCGGCAAGTGGTCCCAGAGTCGCCGGGTCACGAGCTCGGGATGCGTCGATACAGGCGGCAGATTCATCTTCCAGGCGTGCTCGCTCCTCGCGGGCTCGGCGGCGCGCATCGGTAACTAGACTTTGATACGCCGTTGCCACTTCGTCTGCCTTTTCTGAGGGTTGCAGCATATTGATGCCCTTGAAGGTCTTGGCGAGGTACTTGAGACGTACGAGCGGCCGTTTTAGCAGGTATGCCACATCGACCTTCTCCCCGTCACTGTCAACCACATCCCCGTTTTCATCTCGAGCCATACCTTCGTCCAAGCTCTTCGTATCCGCGTTTTCTGCAGCTTCCCCTTCCTCCAGGGGAGCTAGATTGACAATGACATCCTTGAAGCCAAGCCTCCATGCCTTCAGATATTCGCGGTACACTCTTTGAGCCCCGTGCGCCCAAGTGAGCAAGGAATCTGCGTTATCTTCGGGAATTCTTTTGTGTAGCGTTTTCAGCCGCTCAACAGCAACGCCCATGTCCACTATTGGCTTGGTGAAATTGGCCTCGTCTTTGGGATCCATCGACGGATGGAACAGGCCAGCGGCGATTGCTGAGTCGGACCTCGAAAGAACACAGGTCAAGAGCACTGGTATCACACCCCCAACCAGCGTCTTGAGCTCGCGCATATATTTCGCCTCGTCTGCCGACATCTCCTTCAGGAGGTCAGGAATAGTTGCGTTCATTATTCGACTCTTGTTAGATCGGATACTTCGAGCGGACCGAATGCTCCGACTTCTACCATTTGGCGCGGAAAGAACAGAAATCAGATCGTCATGAGTCGTTAAGCGCCTTTTCAGCTGGGTCGATACAACAGGAAGAGAGTTAGGGTCAAACTGATCCCTTTCCTCCGCATCTCCTTCCTCGGCCGGGGTCGATGTTTGCGCCTCGGACGCGGTCCCGGGATCGGCTGCCTGGGGTCGCTTATCGGCGGTGGTATCCAAGGAATCAAGCGATTCGATGGTTGACAATCGACGAAGACCCGTACTTGGTATTGGCCTTTTACGATGAATCGGGACTGGGGGGTTATTCCCCGAAACCTCAGAGCCGTCTGACAACAGAGTTTGCGCATCCGACGGTTCTTCCTTTTCGGCAGGAGCTTTGTCGCGAGGTGTCTTGTCCTTAGCGTCAGATGATGACCGGTTATGCTTGTGTTCGTTGGACTTCCTCCTGCTTGAAGAAGACGCATCTCTTTGCGACTCTTTCGAATCTCTCGAACCAGTGATTTCGTCGGTCATTCGCTTGGCCCGCTCGCTGCCGGTAGTCGAATCATCCCTGCTCTTGACTCGTCGTTTACTCGTGGTTTTCCGGCGCGTGTCACTCTCCGCATCGGTATGAGTTGCACGGTCCCGGCTCTGCTCCCTCTTCGGAGATTGCTTGGCCCTGTTGGTCTTGGTGTTAAGGGGCGCAGGCACTTCCACGTCCGGATCCATGTCCATGAACGGGTCTGACGTTCCCGACAGCCATGCCTCAATCTTGGAGCCACGACCATTATTCGGCACAGGTTTGGGGGGTTCTGGTTTTGCGAAGATCTTTCTCGACTCGTCCAGCATGTGCCCGAAAATGCCTCCCTTAGGGGGTTTTAGAGGTGCCCGGTTCTTCGGGGTTGGATTTGGACCGGGACCTCTCGCCCTTCGCCTGGACAACTCTGAGAAATCCGCATCGCTGTCTGCCCAGTCGGCGTCCTCCCCGGTGGCACTCTCCTTTTTCGACGTGGACTCGGAGAGATCTGACTTGGACGCCAGTTTTCCTTTGTCTGCACTTCCCGGTCGCGAAAGGCCCTTCGAGGAACCATTGTGCGAGCCACCCTCCTCCTCGATCTTGCTTGTTATGATAGTATCATGGTCCCGCGAAGCTCTCGATTTCCGCCGTTCCCTGCTGGTCAAGTCCGACGCCCCGGTTTTCTCCTTCTCCACGCCCCGGGACGGAAGCGACACTCGTCCTTTATCGTTGCTTTTCGGGGATGGCTGTGACTGGTCATTTGTCGTGTACTCAGCGATGCGCCGGGGCGGCGGCAACTTGGGGGAAGGGGTCTGTGCGGAACTGCGATTGAGCTTCCAGTGCTCGTCGCTTATAACCCGTTTGCGTGGAGTGCTTTGACTTCTCATCCGAGTGGTGGTCGATCCTGCAACCGAAGACTTCTCCTTGACAGTCGGGCAATTGGATTCCACGGCCGAGTTCTCATCATCCTCGTCGTAGTAGAGCTCCTCAGCGGTGATGACGCCTCCTCCCTGTTGCTGCCATTTCCGGACCTTGGCCCGCACGGAGTTTGTGTCGTAGATCCCCAACGGCTGTCCGATATCCAGCGGTTTCTGCTTGGCCGGGGTTGATTTGGGAGTACCCCCACGACTGGAGGGGCGATGCGGAGTTGAGGGGGGCGGCATCGATGTCTGTGGCGGGCAAGTAATGTTAGCATGATTTGGGAAACGGAGCGAAAAATAAGAATCATATAATTCGAGCCAGAAACAGTGGGTGGTGGAGGGAATAGAAATTGTCTTGGAAGCAGCGAGAGTGTTGTGCGATCGCTGTTGTTGTGGTCGAATCCCAGAGCTCCCATGCACGCATAGTACGTCACCCTTGTTTGTTTATGGCGAGGCAAACGGAAGGAAAGTATACCACTCACAGACAACAATCACTGGCTTCGAAGGGGTGATTCCGGTCGCTTCTGGAGGAGAGAGTGACACAGAAACCCGGAAATCAAGGGAGAAAAAAAACCTGAACGCTGCGACCGAACAGGCGGTCAAATGCGGGCTGCAGGTCAAAGGAAAGAAGAAGAAGAGAAGGAAAGACAAGAAAAGAATCAAAGAATGACGGACGGACGGGATCGAGTCGGGTCAGCTGGCAGATAAGCTGTCCCTCGAGGTCATAATCCTCAATCACACGCTCCCAAAGCATAAAAAGCAAAAGACAATCGCTTTGGAGTCTTCTGACAACAGCAGCGAAGCACGAGAATAACAAGAATAATTGATCATGATCGAGGGAGCAGCCCGCTATACTTACTGGGTCGGTCTAGTCCAGATGGAGTCTCACTTGGGCGCTGCCCGGGAAACCAAACGCCGCGATCAACACCGCCCCGTCATTCCTCGTGCCCAAAGCATGGATTGGATCTTCTGCAGCTCGTGTTGACTGAAGAGTCGTTCGGATGTGTACTCTGTAGGTGGAGGGTAACAAAGGTCCTATTTTAGCTCCTCCTCTTTCTCTCTCATTTCCTCCATCTGACTTCACTCGCTCTCCTCCCCGTCTCCTTCCCGGATTCTTATATCCACATCCAACCCGCCTTTTTGTCTGCAGTGACGCCACCATCAGACAGCCACGGTGGATGTGCCCGAGCGCACTGGTCTCCAACAAACCGTTTCGGTTCCAATAACCCCGGACAATTAATCTATTTTGGGTTTTTTCGCAATTCTCACGGTCCTTGCCAGTTTCCATTGCCATTGTGGCCGAATCAACCGCCGTCTGGACCACCGATCCACCATCTACGCGTCACACAATGTGGGCCGGTCGATGCAGCCCATTTTCACTGGCGTGTTGGCTATGTCATCCTGAGCGTGTTCTTAAAGCATATATTCCTGCATAGATCTCGTGCATTTACTCTGATGTTGGAAAAGGAATCTGTAGGTTCAGAAGTGGACTCGCTGCGATGCTCTACTTCTCTGTAGTCGTGTAATCCGAACCGCTCCTCACCGAGATTTACGTTGTGCGGATGTTTCCTCGAAGCTCTTGAACGCCTTTGCGCTTGCTCGCATGCTCTGCACGAAATAATCTAGCCACGCTGTAAGTATACTTGCCAGATGGGGCGCAGGTCAAATTCCAGCACTTACAGAGCGGGACCACGATCCAGATAAAATTCATCAGGAAGTAATAGATCCAGAAGTAATAGGGTTCCGGTCGACTATATGGACGGTCATGAACGTAGTGGTCATAGAGACTGGTGGCATAGTAGAGTGAGTCGCCGTAAAGATGGGTCATGCAGGCCGTGAGCTGGAACGGATGGCGCAATGAACTCTGCGCAAAGATCAAATATGCCACGAGAAGACACAGCGGGCCCCAGAGCACCTATTGAATTATCTCTGTCAGCTATATCGTCGGCACTGCAAGGTTGGCTTGGACTGGTGTGCATACAACGGTCATGGTCTCCATACAGAGCACCAGGGTATCCGACGTCATGTATCGCGAGTCCGATAAGGCATATTCTTTCCACATTTGCCCAAAGAAGTCTTGGGCCGACGCCATCCGGTCATGATGGATCATGAAATAACCCTCGAAGAAGCAATGGAGCGACCCCGCTGAAGGACCCCGACAAGACAATGTTAGTTCTTCCAAGTCCAAGATTTTGACCACACCTGCTGCGGGGGTTTCCTACAAAGAACAAACCACATGATAGCTATCCTATCAGCCCGGGTCAAGCTCGGTCGCAAAAGGCTAACGAGGCCCAAAGTGGCGCCCAGCAAGGCTGCAGCCCCGACACTGGCGGCGGTAAGCAGAGAAAGGAGAGACGCCTCATTGGCCACATATCCATGGATTGGAGCATCCAGGGGATAGTATGGATGAAGAGCTGGTTCGGGAGACATGGTGGCCATGATTCGTCGAAGCACTAGAGCTGTTGGGAGTGCCAAAGAGAGGCTGGCGCGCGAAGAGACAGAGACGCTTCGGCCGGCGCCAATCCAGCAGCACTAACTAGCGAGTAAACAACGCATCTGCCAAGACCGGCCAGCCCTGATCGTCCTGGGATGCCCGCAGATGATTGTCCGATCGCGAAGTACCGTTGAAGGAGCAGGTTGTTCCCGGTGCTGATCCAGCATCACGAATTGAAACATCGGTAGTATTTGGGCACTTCGGAGTCGGTGGTATTGCCGTCCCCGTAGTCGGACTGTAATCTCTTCATTCCGATGGTAAAGTGTACGGCGTAGAGTGTTAAATGCAGAGTGAAGACCGCTGACTGATGACGACCCAAAAAGGTTAAATGAGCTCCTTCTGACCCGCTAACCCAATACAGCTAGCTCAAAACCTCAGGCAACAGCCCTGCCTGAGGACCTCAACGCCCGCGGCGAGTCTCCATCGGGATCGCAGGTGCTCGCCCCCTCTCTCCATGCGACCGCGCCCGTGATTCTACTCTCCTTCTCATCGCTTCATGGAGTCTGCGGGAGCCCTTCATTCCGCGCCCTTCTACAATGGCACCTGGTTCTCTTCCACGGAAGCCCTTGGGGCTTGATGTACCCCGCACGTCTGCATTCGAATCGCCTCCACCGATAGCGGCTCTGTTCGTGATCCGCTTCGATATCAAGGCCGGGTAAGTCTTCCTAGACCATGGCTTGGGCTTCGAAGTATCTAATCTGAATCTCTTTTGCAGATATGTGATATCCTGGAAACGAACCGTCCCCGGAGGTGGGTCATGACATCTTTTTTGTCCATGTGTCATTATCCATACTAACTAATAATCAATGTTCAGTCGAAGTCGAAGGCATTGTCGAATATAAGTCGCTTCCGTCCGGTCTACATAATGTCTCGGAGGATCTGATGTATGCTTGGAAAGCTGCGCTGTGTCTTGGTAGTCAACTGATGGTCCTCGACTAGATATTTCGTCCACGAGCAATACTCGGGCATCAGCGCCTTCGTGAACCATCCCGCGGAAGAGGCCGAACGAAATGCGAAGATGTTCGCTATTGGAGTGCTAGTTCCGCTGAGCTCAGGGAGACTGGGAAAAAGCTGGAGGCACGCTCCGAAGCTGAAGGAGCTTGCGCAGTGAGTTAACCCTTCGTTTTAAATTAGACTGCAAAACCTAATGGGCGGGCCCCCTTTTCTAGGAACTATGCGCAAAATATGTCGGAAACACAGCCCCTGTCGGATTACTGGGGGACCTACGAGATCCGCGAGAGCGACTCGTCAGGTCTGCCTCCCGACTCCCCCATTGAATCGCCCCTCAGCCTGCGATTACGAGCCCACGGGGAGCGACCGGATAATCAGCGTCGTAGTCGCGCATTCAGCGATGCGATCGTGTTGGAAACGCCTAGGCCGGCCCTGACGCCTTTCCATCCAGCTTCGTCCCTTCCTGACTTCCTCGACTGTTTCGGGCCTCTTCTGTTCCCGCTGTACAGAGCCGCCTTACTGCGCAAGAGGGTGCTTCTGATGGCAGAAGTTCCGGTTCACGTTCCTTGCAACTACGGTATGGGCGTTCTTGGTCTACTTAGAGCGATATCCTTACTAACCGTGCACCAGTATATGATTTGTCTTTATTGGCCTCGTTACCTAATTCACTCCTTCCTCTGCTTCCATCAGATAGAATTCCAGCTCTGCGACCTCGTGCCCTCTTCAACGTTGGGATTCATGACATCCCTTATCTCTCGACCTTCGTGGGGAAATCCCCTGATTCCAGAGGGGATGCTGCTTGGATTGCCTGCAGCACAGACACCGTTCTCACTATGAAACCTGAACTATACGATGTCCTTGTGACTCTGCCGCCACCTCATTCGAAGAACGCCGCCGAGAAAGTCTATCCGAAAATTTCCGTCATGCCCACCGCAACGGCGCAGCACAAGTCCTCTCAAGCGGCTGAGCTCAAGGCAACGCAGCGAGATGCACGACGCTTCACAACGCTTCGCAAGGGCCTCCAGCATGTCTCGCGGGACGAAGACACGCAAACCGAAGAAGAAGACGATTCCGACGCGGCATCTACCTATTCATCCAGCCCCATAGTCGAACCGCTTTCCTGGGCCCGACTGGCATATACCTCCTTCATCTGGTGGGCGTCTGCCGGCGAGAAGCGCGACGGCCTGACCGAAGAAGAGGAAGAAGAGCATCAATTCGAACAAGACACCCGGCTCCTCGCCAGCGTCGACAGCCTCCCCAGTCCCCCTTCCGGCTCCATGGGCCGTCGCTCTATGCCCGCCGCGGAATCTATCCAACAGCCTCCCGAGATCGCCTTGGTCGCCTACTTCCGCCGTCTCACCACCCAAATTTTCATCACTCTCTCCGACGTGATCGCCCGCCACGACAGCCAAGACGCCGCCGACAACGGGGAACCCAACGACGACGATGAGATCCCGTACGAAGACGACCCAGAGAATGACCTGGAACCTTCGGCGACCATTGGCCGTCGGTCCACGCAAGAAGACGACACCCGACCACTCCTGCGCGGCGACTCGGGCGCCGAAGACGACGCGTCCCGGGACAACGACAAGCCCGTCAGAATTACCACCGAGGACATGACCGAGATGGGTCTCGACGTGTGGAGCGCCGCTGATCGTATCTTCGTCCAGGAGCTGGTTCATACGTGGTGGGGTCGCAAGTCGTACGTCGATAGCGCTCGCATCAGATGCTGTGGCATCTCGATTCTGTAAATACCACCCTCCCCATTTTCGTTATTTATGTCTGTGTACAGCATGTCCTTTTTATCTCTCAGCATGTCTGTGGTTGCTATCTATTTCTTCATTTTCGATTGTCATTCTCGGGTTTGCGTTTCATAGAGGGTAGCTAGTTCGTTGCATTTGCGAGGTTTTCTCGGTTCTAAGTAAATCGGAGTTATGTTCTTTCATGTATGCGTCAAAACAAAAGCTCGTCTATCCAGTTATATGATCAAAACGAAAGACTACTATATTCGCATCAGGTAGTAGAAGTAGTAGTAGGCCAGAGAGTCTGACAATTCGTAGCAATCGTTGGGGAATTTAATCACTTTTATTTACACCAAGAGAAGGGGAAGCCGGATATTTCGAAAAAAGAATATGAGAATGACATAGGAAATAGTAAAGAATGTTTAGAAGAAGTCAAATGTTTGAGAAGGTAGAAGTGTGTGATGGGTTCGTTATTGCAAGACATATCCAAACTGCACAAGGGTCGTTTCAAAGAGATAATAAAAATAGTAATAAACAGATAAACAGTGGTAAAGAAGATGAAATAGCAAGAGATAGTTAGATCCGAAGTTGAAAGAAATAGGAAAAAACAAGCAAACCAAATCAAGATCCAAGTGATTAACGCCATTGCGCTGGGAGAGAGAACAGGGTATCAGAAATCGTAAAGCCCAAGAACCAAAACGACCATTTCCATCACAGAACACCGCTAGGTCAGAATCAAGACATTCACCGACGATGCGTCATCCGGATCGGTGCACTCAAGTCTCTTCGATTCCGCATGTCACCGCTTTCGCTCCTCCGTTGCGGATTGTGTACGCCAGGAATACGACGAGCTGAGTCCGTTGGGTGTGAACTGCTATTTGCTGTGCGACGAGTGGTTTCCATCGCGCTGGCAGATCGTTTCGTGGTGTTGGCACGACCTCTACGAGCCCGGATCTGCGCAAGGGCTTCTTCCCGGCTGATGGGAGTTCCTTGAACGGCGGTGCTCTGGCCTGGGATGGAGCCCTCTTTTCTGAGGGGGACCCTTTTCATGCTTTCGTCATTCGTCGTGCTTCTATGGCTCGCTGCCGTCCTCAAAGGCGGGTTAACCGGGGTCGTTTGAGCGGGAGTTGGTGAAAGATGGACCGGGGCTGGCACAGCAGATTCGGCTTGGAAGTATTCAGCAGGCTCCTCTTCCTGGTTGAGCTCGTACTTTGCAAGAGGGCTTGTGGGCTGGCGTTTGGCGGCCTCCACAGGGGACATTGGCGGGATGAAAGCGTGTTTCTTCCCAGATCGGACTGGAGATGGAATCTTTTGGAACGTCCCGGTGATAGGGGAGAAAGTAATGAGCGGCTCGTCTGATGCTTCGTTTGAATCCATCGGTGCATGCTTGGGAGGCGGTGGTGTTTTATCTCGAATGCCTGAAGAAGTTGGCGAACCGGCCTTAGGGACGTGCTGTTCAGCCGGCAGGTGGTTCGAGACCGGTTGATCAAGCAATTCAGCGTGAGTCTGTTGATTGAGGGCTTGCTTGTTTTGCTTGCTGGCGTCCACGTCGATTTCAGGACTTATATCCTTGATCTGGGGTTGAGATTGAACTTGTACACTCTCCAGCTCTTCCACAACACGACATGAACAACGCTTGAACTCGCATTCCATACGGAGAAATTCTGCCAGTTCTTCTGCGTTCTCTCTCATGCGCTTTTCCAGCCGAAGAGAAATCTGGAGATGTTCAACCATGGCTTGATTGCGCATGATAGCCATACGATCCTCCCGTCGAGCCGCTTTGAGAGCAAGTTTGAAGTCCTCCTTGGTAGGTCTCATGACGGCCTGTTTGGCAACCTCCAGAGAAGCCTCTTTGGGAGCCTCAATCAGGGCATTTTCGGGGACTTCTTCTGGAATTTCCTTTACATCCGTAGGAGGCGCCTCGTGAGGGCCCTCGTGAGGGGCCTCTTGATGAGCTTCCTGAGCCTCTTGAGCCTCTTGAGGGGCTTCTTCGATTTCTTCTTTGATCGCCTGCCGGGGAGTCTGTTCTCTGTCCTCTGCTGCCACATCCGATAGTCGCAGTCTCTTCGGAGGTGTGGCCTTCGTGGGAGACTCCTCCATTTCTTCGATAGGAAAGTCGGCCAAGTAGTCTGCGGATCGTTTCGGTCTTCGAGATGCCGGAGTTGCAAGTAGGGCAAGATCGCCTTCTGCTAGAGACACTCTCGAGCCCACCTCCTTGCGCAGTGCTCGGTCGCGGGTCTTCAGGGGGTCGGCAGCGTTTTTAGCTTCGGCAACGCGCAGTCGTGCTTTCAGCTCCTCAAGTTCCTCGGTGAGCCCAGCAATTGCGTAGGCCCGCTCGAAAGCCTCCTGTTTGGCTTTATCTTTCGATTTTCGCTCCACCTCAAGTTCCTCTTTATATGCCTTGGCTTCCCCTCGTGCTTCCTTCAAATCTTCCTGCGTTTTCACCAAGGTCGATCCTGCACGGAATGCCTCCTTCCGTGCTTTCCGGATTTCCTTCTCGTATATCGTTCGTTCGTGGGCTTTGCGCTCCTTGGATGCTTGCAACTCCTCCAGCAGCGACTCAAGTCGTTCGCTGATACGGCGCTCGCGTGATTGCGCCTCAGAAAGTTGAGCGAACACATTCGATAGCGCAGACTCTGCCTCTTCGCGTCCAAGAATGGCTCGTTGAAGAGCTGCCGATGCGCTAGCAGATGGTTGCTGTGGCCCTGCCGGGCTACCCGTCCGCGATAGCTGGTTCAAAAAGGCAACCTTGGATTGTACATCAGAGTTCGCCCTGGCGCTTTTCCGGTGAAGGTCAAAAATGTCGGATGATTGTGAGGGGGACTGGGGAGGTAGTTGTTGTTGATTTATTCGTTCAGGCGAGAGGGGGTTGAGTGCTTTTGTCGGGCTCGACAACAATTTCGTCGGCGACGACATGATGAACGCCGTAGAGGTGATCAAGTGATGATTAGTGGGATGAAGAGTTCAACAAGTCAAGCATGACAGCCACTGTGTGAGAACTCAAATAATAACAGCCCCGTGGCCAGTCACGCCGGTGTGGAGAGTTTGTTCGGTTGATCTTTATCGGTGACGCACCCACAACAACGCCAACTTGTTTACTGCCAAGCCCATGGTTTGTGTCAGGTGACCGTTGCCCTTGACGACCTGCGCTTTTCCCGATATGGTCGGCTCTTTATCACGTGGCTGATTGCCGACGCTATGCCTGAAGTGGGACATCCCACTATCGGGTGGTCCGTGCGCCACGCTGCGGTGCATTCCTCCGTTTTCTCTCGTTGTTCGGACAGAGAGCCTAAGCTAAGTCTAATTTGGTTTTTGAGATGTGTGTGCTGTATACTTCTACTCCATGTTGTCCCGGCTGACATTTGGATGACTTCCACGTCTAGTGAAACCAATGTCCCGTCTTACGTAGTCCATTCATCTCCGAAGCAGACATGCATGAGATTATCACTCTCCAGCTAGGCCAGAAGGCCAATTACTTGGCGACGCATTTCTGGAACTTGCAAGTGAGTGCACATGGATGCCCCTTTTTCCAAAGGCTATCCGCTGGAGACATATTCTAATTCTCGATTAGGAATCATATTTCACATATGACAACGAAACCGAGTCTACTGTTGACCATGACGTTCACTTTCGTCCCGGTGTAGGAGCGGACGGGTCCGAGACGTATACTCCACGAACAGTGATATACGACTTGAAGGGCGCATTCGGCACTCTTCGCAAGTACAATGCTCTCTACGAGTTGAGCGAGGATGCAAATCCAGGCCAAGGACTTTGGTAAGAACTCTCCACCAATATATCTTTGTGACAGTCAATTGTTACGCACCGATCCTTACCATTTATAGGGATGGGAAAGAGATTATACAACAACAAACAGCCATTCCGCAGAGTGAGTACCAAAAGAACCTAGATGCAGGGCTTCCAGCACCCCAGCTTTCTGCAGAAACGGTGCGGTACTGGTCCGATTACAACCGACAATTTTATCACCCGCGGTCCATTGTCCAGCTGAATGATTATGAGCTCAACTCCAGAGTAATGCCCTTTGAGGACTGGAATGTCGGAGAAGACCTCTTCGATGATCTCGACAAGGAGCACGACCTGCTTGACCGAGATGTGAGGCCATTTGCAGAAGAATGTGACCAGCTGCGTGCGCTGCAAATCTTCACAGGGTCTGACGATGCCTGGGGTGGGTTTGCGGCGAAGTACGTTGACAGGCTGCGAGATGAGTATGGCAAAAAGGCCATCTGGGTCTGGGCTATTGAGAGTGGTGCAAAGGTTCACCGGGTAAGAATTCTCTGGCAATTCCTCTCAACCTGTATATCATACTCATTCTTTCCAAATCTAGCAAACACAGATGAAGCGGGATATGAACAAAGCCCGGACCATCTGCAACATTTCCCCTCAAAGTTCCTTATACACACCCATCATAGACCCGCCCAGTCGCCTTCCAAGCACCGTTCATCTCAACCCGCACTCCCAATGGTACACTTCAGCATTGATTAGCTCTGCCATGGAAACGGTTACACTGCCCACTCGTCTTCGTCCATACCACAATTTCGAAGCTTCTTTGGCAGGCGACGACAGTATTCACAAGATTTTCGAGCTACAGTCTTCCATCTTCAGAGCGGTGGACGATGAGAAGCAAGCTTCTAATTCTAAGGGGTCAAATGAAGGAGACGAATCGTCCAAGGTACAGAAAGAATTTGATTTGGACTTTTCCTATGATAGCCTGGATAGCAACACGTCCCATATATTCAACCAACTTCAGGTCAGACGCGGAATTGAGGACACCGATGACAAGATCCCTTCCATGAAAGACCTGAGTCTTATCCGAAAAGAGCGCGCTTATAACTCGGAGCCAAATTTCCAGAGGTAAGTACCAACTACCTTCATGTGTGCCGCAACCAGCTCATTCATCTTCTAGTTTCCACACATCACTACAATTCCCCGTTCTCGACAGTTTTCCGAGTGACTTATTCTCGGTGGCTAAACCGGAAGGAAAGATGAATGTTCTCGCAACTCTGACAGCATCCTCACGAACAGCGGATAGTATCAGAGCCATGGAGACAGTTGCCAGTCGGATCATCAGTGTCGACGAGCGTGAGAACATTGTGAATGGACTAGGGGAGATTCGCGAAACCTATGAAACTGGGTGGATGAGTGACTCGGATTTCGATGACGATTAGATAGTTTTGCTCGCATATCTAAATTAATTGTTTACAAAACCCGCCGTGGCTTCTCAGAAATAACATTGGAAACAAATTGATCGCCCATTGAATTTGCCATATGTCGAAGAAGGAGAAAAGACAAGAATTCCAGAAGAAAGAAAGAGAGAGAGAGAGAGAGAGAGAGAGAGAGAGAGAGAGAAAGAAAGAGGGAAAGGAAGCAAACGGTCCACAAAAACAACAGTGGCCTCGTGAAAGCAAGGTATTCAAGCGGGGACAAGCCCCATTAAGCTCATCTGTTCTCTTCCAGATGATCTCAAAAAGTCCACCGACATGTTGAGTACCTCTCTGGGATTTCTTCCTTGGGAGACTGTGGGCCCGAACAGCACTCGACGCGTGACATGAATGGCTTGGTTCGCCGCCTGTTGCGGGTTGGGTGCTGGAAAGATCTGCTCACGCTGCTGGCATATTAGCATACCTTGCCGGTCACGGACGTAAAGGTCGGCAACCCCTTCTACTCGATTGGAAGTACCGATACGGCGCCAATCCAGTATCAAGACCGCATTTACCTCTCCATTACCGCCCACTAGCCACAAGTTCATGTCGTCTAATAACTCCCGGCGGGGTTCCGACCAACCTGCTTCGACGACAAAGGTTGGCCTTACAAGATTATCGGGGCGCATGCATGCATCAGGCTCCTTAATGGAACCTGAGTAAGGACCTTGCGTAAACCTCTGCCCTACCTCACATCAGTAACGTTCAATGTCAACGAAAAGTATAACTCAGATAGAAATAGACCTACTAGGCGAGGCAAGGAGTTTGAGGTGTCGATATTCAGGAAAGGTAAGAGTTCCTTGTTGAAGCCATTGGCCCATCACGTCCTTGACCCATGTCATATGGGATTCATGCACTTCAGACGGCATAACACAAATTCGGAGTCTTTTTGTTACGGAGTTGTAGGTAATCCTTTTCTCGTTTAGTACGGTAGTCGAGTTATATCAAGATTCTTTGGGTATAGTACCTGCATGCATCACGCTCTAGGACTTGTTCAAGTCTTGTGGAGACACTCTCGAACCGTTCCTTGGGGAAGTCGTAATAGGTAATTGCTGTCGAATGGTCACAGGATCTGACCTGGTCGGTTATGTGTGATATCAAATTCTCTCTCGAGTGAAACGTTGATGCTTGGAAGTCAAGGAGAATTGTATCTGGCGAAGCATTGACCCCAAGAAGGGGCTGAGCGCCACTAGGTTGAGCCATATTGAATACCTGTCCCCTAAAAGACAAGGAGGTTGAGAGTGAGTTGGATGTAAGAGAGAAGAAGAAAGGAAAATATATTTGAATTTGAGTGCCTAGTGGCCAGAAGGTTAAATGGACAGAGTCAGGTGAGCGAAGTGCTTTCACCAAGTCTGATTCATGTATATTCACTAAGTTGATGCTTCTAGGTGAATGTGGTAGCAGTATTCCGTGGTGAAGCAATCCCAACGTCACCCGATGAGGATGTATAGGGATAGTAGTGCTTTGGTGCCTGGATGCCTTGGTGCCTGAATGTCTGGATGTCTGCCTGCCTATGATATTATTAGACGATAGATTACCGCAGAACGCAGAGTGTGGATGATATCCTTGCGAGTTCCTAGTACCCCATAGATTTTACCAAGAATGATATGCTATACTACCGGTCGACTCCGTAGAGAAACTTTTCGAGCCCTGCAGATCGGCGCCCCGTGATCTACAGGGCCAAGGATGCAAACATGCCGCACCGGGGGGTGTTTGCACTGACCGGCGGCCAAACGTGTCCTCTCCCGGTTCCAAAGTCCTTCGAGACAATTCGACTCCTTGTCCTTCGGAGGTTCCCATTACTCATGCTTACTGCCAGGTGGCCAGTATTTCTGTTCCTGGTTGCCGTCTGAATGGATCTGTTGACCTAACCTTTTGTACGAAACTTCCTTCCTCGGTTCCTCTCTACTTATCGTGACCGACTCGACTTGCAGTTTACGATAACAAGCTTGCTTCGAAGCTGTGGGCCGGAGCTTTGGATTGTCGCTTGTTCAACAGGTGATCCTTAGCCCCTCAGAATACACACTAAATAAGACCTTTGTCTTTCTCATACTTCAAGAGTGCTTTCTAGACTCTGTTCATAGTACGTATCTAGACCTCGCAAAGAGACACCGTGAGTGGATTGACTAACACGCAGCGCTAACTAGGACTTTACAGACAATGGCGTCCCCTAGCCGGCAACGGAGCGTAGCTCCGATGCGCCTTTTCAGCTCTCCAGTACTTTCCTTCCTCATCGTTCCTTTCCTCGTCTTCTTCCTCAGCTTTCCCGCTTCCGCCGCCGCCGCGGGCTCCGGCGTGATTGGTATCGATGTAGGCACCGAATACTTCAAGGCCGCGCTCGTCAAACCCGGAATACCACTTGAAATCGTTCTTACCAAGGATTCGAAACGCAAAGAAACGGCCGCTATCGCATTCAAACCCACTAGAGAAGCCAATGCTCCGTTCCCCGAAAGATTCTACGGCGGCGATGCGCTTGCCCTTGCAGCTCGGTATCCCGACGACGTGTACGCGAACCTGAAGATACTCCTCGGACTTCCCTTCGAAAATGGAGAGAACGAAGTCGTCAAGACCTACCATGATCGCTACCCTGCTCTGAAGCTGGAAAGCGCTGGTGAGCGGGGCACCGTTGGACTGCGCAGCAACCGGTTGGGCGAGGCGGAGAAGAAGGACGCGTTTCTGGTCGAGGAAATTCTGGCCATGCAACTGAAGCAAATCAAGGCGAACGCTGATGACTTGGCTGGTAAAGGCTCAGACATCAAGGATGCTGTCATCACCTACCCTTCGTTCTACACCGCCGAGGAAAAGAGAAGCCTGCAGTTGGCAGCGGCGCTGGCGGGTCTCAACGTCAACGCCTTTGTCACCGACGGACTGGCCGTTGGATTGAACTACGCAACCAGCCGTACGTTCCCCATTGTCTCCGACGGACAGAAACCCGAGTACCACGTTATCTTCGACATGGGTGCCGGCTCAACCACCGCCAGCGTTCTGCGTTTCCAGGGACGTTCCGTGAAGGACGTTGGAAAATTCAATAAGACCATTCATGAGATCCATGTCTTGGGTGAAGGCTGGGACAGGTCTTTGGGAGGCGACTCGCTGAATGATCTTATCGTCGATGACATGGTCGCGGCTCTGGCTGAAGACAAGAAGTTGAAGGACCGCGTCACCGTTGCGGACATCAAGGCTCACGGCAAGACCATGGCGAGGATCAGGAAGGACGCCGAGAAGGTCCGCCAAGTCCTCAGCGCTAACACCGAAACCGGTGCGTCGTTCGAGAGCCTTTATGAAGAGGGCCTTAACTTCAAGTACCGCATCACGCGCTCCAAGTTCGAAGAGCTTGCTGAACAACACATCGCACGCGTTGGGTCACCCCTGCAACAGGCATTGGCCGCTGCTGGAATGCAACTTAGCGACATTGACTCTGTCATTCTTCATGGTGGAGCCATCCGCACGCCGTTCGTTCAGAAGGAACTGGAACGCGTCTGCGGATCTTCAAAGGTTCGAACCAGCGTCAACGCGGATGAGGCCGCTGTGTTTGGGGCTGCCTTCAAGGGTGCCGCTCTTAGTCCCAGCTTCCGCGTCAAGGACATCCGAGCAAACGATGCCTCTGGCTACCCCGTGGTATTGAAGTGGCCTTCTGAGAACAAGGAAAGAAAGCAAAAGCTCTTCACCTCTACCTCCCAAGTGGGGCCTGAGAAGCAGGTAACCGTGAAGAATTTGGATGACTTTGACTTCAGCTTCTTCCATCAGATCACTGTCGGTGACAGTGTGGTTGAGTCGCCCCTTCTGGGCGTCCACACCCAGAACCTCACTGCTTCTGTTGGAAAGCTCAAGGAAAACTTTGGCTGCTCGGAGGCAAACATCACCACCAAATTTTCGATCCGACTCAGCCCCGTCGACGGTCTCCCAGAAGTTGTCAGTGGCTCCGTGAGCTGCGAGGTGGAGAATGCTAAGAAGGGAATTGTCGATGATGTCAAGGGTTTCTTCGGCCTCGGATCGAAGAAGGATGGCCAGGAGCCGCTCGGAGAAGACGGCGAGGCCAAGGAATCCATCACCTTGGAGCCAGAGGAGCCTCAGGCGTCCACGACATCGTCCGCTGACGAGACCACTTCCACCGCGTCTGCCAAGGAGAGCAAGAAAGCCGTGCCTCAAATCAAACTGGAATCGATTCCTATCAGCTTTACTTCCGCTCCCTTGGGCGTCCCTGCGCCTTCTGCGGATGAGCTCGCACGTATCACGAGTCGCCTCGATGCATTTGATACCTCCGACCGCAATCGTTTCCTGCGCGAAGAGGCCCTGAATGAGCTGGAGGCCTTCATCTATCGAACCCGTGATCTGACTGAAGACGGAGAGTTTGTCAAGGTGCTCAAGGCCGATCAGCTAGCTGCCCTCAAGGAGAGGACCACCACGGCCAGCGACTGGCTCTACGAAGACGGCGCTGACGCCACCACTGCGGAGTTCAAGGAACGATTGAAGGCACTGAAGGATATTGTCAACCCCGCACTCAAGCGCAAGAGCGAAAATGCGGACCGTCCGGCACGCGTTGAGACTCTGCAGGATGCGCTGAAGAATGCCAAGACGGTGATCGATGTCATGCAGAAGCAAATCGACCAAGATGAGGAACTCTACTCATCTAGTGCTAGTGCTTCGTCCGCCAGCGCCACCGAGTCCTCCTCGACCACTTCTTCCAGCGACTCGGCATCGACATCTGACTCCTTCGAAGACCTTGAGGAAGACCCTTATGCGTCTTCTTCCTCCACCAAGACCACCACCTCCACAAAGCCCCAACCCACAGGACCCAGATACTCCGTCTTCCAGCCCTCCGACCTCACCGGTCTCACCAAAACCTACGAATCGACCAACACCTGGTTCGAGGAGCAGCTCGCCGCGCAGGAGAAACTGACCATCTCCGACGACCCCGTCCTCGTGGTGGCTGAGATTGAACTCCGCCTGAAGGAGCTTCAGCGCAACATGAACCGCATCTACGAGAAGATGGGCGCCGCGGCAGCGAGATCCGGAAAGGGTTCCTCCAAGGACCAGCCACCCAAGAAAAATGACAAGAAGGAGAAAGAGGCCGAGAAGGAGCAGAAGCCGAAGAAAGACCCCAACTATAAAGACGAGCTTTGAACGATACAGTCGCTTTACGTCATTTGATTCCCCCTTTACCCATACAGGTCAAATCGTTGGAGTTGGGCATGAGCGTTCTGTTCCTCTTTTTCTTTTTCTCGATTCTCTGATGCTTGCATGCATTTCCTTCCTCCGCTTTTTCAGGATGCTGTACTGAAGCTCTAGATGGTTTCTTTCGGCTTTCTCTGAACATCCTGATATCATCATTATATATTATTATACACTACACTACATCGCACTACATATATCTCCTGACCCTGTTTTGACCTTATCTCCCTACCTGTTCTTTTACGACTATGATTGCCTATATCGTGTGCCCTGTGCTTTCTCTCTCTGTCTGTACGGAGTATTTCCGGTGCCTGTTCTGTATGTAAACTAGATAGAGGTTCTATCGTGTTTCAAAAAAAAAGAAAGTATTCCTGTTGAAATGATACAATATTCGCTTATTGGTGCTAGTTATTCTATTGATACAAAGATTAAGACTCGCTATGAGAACCCATCCACCCTGATAACCTGTGTCTTTCTGTAGACACCAAACCAAACAGATCAAAGCTGTTCTCGAAGTCTCGGGTATTTAGTGACATATGTGCAATACAAAAATCAATCAATCGCCTGGTATGATATCCCAATCCGCATAACGCCTGGTAAATGTAGACATGAAGGATGTCGTAAGAAGAAAAAGAAGTACATGAAAGGTAGAAAGTTCAGGCAGAGAACCCCAAAGGAATCAAAAACAGATGTTCCAGGTCCCCAAGCATACCCAGCAGATGGTATGCTTGCACCGAACAAACACCGAAACCAGTCGGTGTAGTTGCATCGTAACCATGCAGACCCGAGGCCTGGAGGTAAGGATGACCCGAGAATATGTAATCCTCCGAGCATTAGAAGAGTAAGAGAGGATAAAAGGTTCAAACCCCACTCATCTGAATCTCCTGGTCATTTTCACGCCCCGGGACATAATCCATATCGACCTCCTCCCGACGTCGCAGGAACGACGCTTCATCAAAGTCATCGACATCCATCGTTCTCTGCTGCTGCAGGGCAACAAACCGACGTCGCTGGTGTGATAGCTTGGGCGCAAGATATTTCCGTCCCGCGGTGACAGTCACGCTGTGCCCATTGCTTGCGGCGAGATTCGTCGAACTATCGGACTCAAAGTCGCAATCGTCATCTGCCCAGTCGGCGTCAAAGGTGCGTTTCTGAGCAGTCGGTTGAGTGGAGTACGAAGCAGCCGATTCTTGACTGCTAGCTGGAAGCGAGAAAGCGTCTCCGTCGTCTGTGATGAGCTGGTTGCTGTTGTGGTTGTAGTTCGTGCCGCAGAACGGAGAAAGTTCGGCATGGGCGCCTGCATTGCGATGCAGGGCGGTGGGGTCGTATGAGGGGAAGGTTGTTTTGGCGTCGATTTTGGACCCATTGGTTTTGTAGCCGTCGGCGATGGATTTGCGGACACGCATGCCGACCGAGAGAAGGGAGGACTGGACCGTTGCGGGGACGGTGGGGGTGGAGGAGTAGGTTCTGGCGGAGTAGTGATTGTATGAGATGTGCGCATCGCAAGCGGGTGCCGATTCTGAAGAACTAGGAAAGAAGGTGGTGATGGGTGGTTGAAATCGCCGGCGTTTCGAGAGGTCGTTGGTTTTAGGGGTATTGTGGAAAGAAGGCGACATGATGTAGGCGAGAGTAAGAAAGTATTGAGATTAAGGTTGTTGAGGATGTACTGGGTTTCCCCTTGCTTGTCTAGCGGTGTGGTGATGTAAAGGAATGACTTGAGAGAGATCGGGGAATGTGGATGATGAGGGGGAAAGATGCAAAGGGAAAAAAAAGAGGAGCGGAAAATAAATGAGGCTGGGGAAGTTTCGGCGGGACGCGACGCGGGGTGACGCGCAGATGCACGTGCCGGCAATCCAATATACCCTCTTTGGGACGCGCCTAGGGCCTAGGGTTGCCATAGGGGACCCGTGACATTTATATATATCTTCGCAAGTAGATCGAGAGTATGAAAAGCCTTTCGAAGTTGCCATTGAATATTTCGCTCTATAAGACAAATTCTTTTAAAATAGCTATATACGACCAACCCTGCTTAATTACCAGCGTTTCCTCTCCGACCACCGCGTTTCTGTCGGTCTTGATGAGCCCGCAACACATTACGTGTTTCCACCAGACTTCTCTTGCCCTTGCTCCGTGCTTTACCCAAGGTCATCAGGAAGTTCTTCCTGCGCGCCTTTTCTTTGTTCGTAGTACTCTTGCCCTCGGATTCCTTGCGCTCCTTGCGCTTCGCCGTCACGCTCTTGTGGTCAGCTCGGTCAGTCTTGCCCTCCTTAGCATGAGCAATTCGTTCTTCACGGGTGAGTTTCCCGGCGGATAAGGCATTCAGTCCTTCAATTTCCTCTGCGGTCAAGGGGTCGTCTGTATGACGGGTACCGTTCGACTGTTGCCCACGACGAGACTTGCCACCAGACACAAGGTCATTGACCGCCGCTTCGGTGCGAAGCTCTTGAAGTTTGGCCAAGTCGGCTGGCGTAAGAATACGGGTTGTCGCGATACTCGGTTTGGATGGCTCCGGCTTGCTCTCCGCGGCGTCAGAGTTGGTCTTCTCGCCAGACTCGTTGCCCTGCTTAGCCTTCTTGGAAGGAGGACCGCCTTTCTCGTCTTCAGAGTCGCTCAGCTCAATTTCAGCATCGCTCTGCACATTGATCCATTCCCCAGAATCGTCACTATCCTCATCGTCCTCCACATTCCAAGCTGCCCAGTTTGCTTCTTCATCTTCCTCCTCATCCTCTTCCGCGTCAGAAGGCAGGCCTTTCTCGGCCAGTCGCTTCTTGCGCTCCTGCTCCTTCCAGTTCTCCAGGAGCTCGATACCTTCGATACCGCCGGTCTCCTGCTCTCCAAATCGTTTCTCCTTCTTCTCTCCAGATCGTAGACCCATGGATGCCTCCTTTCCGCGGTCACGTCTCTTCAGCATCTCAGGGTTCAGATCCCGGTAGAGACTAAGCAAGCCACGGGCTCCCATAACGACACCCTTGTCCTTACTCTTCCTGTACATGACGAGATCCTGCAGCAACGTCTCGTTCATGGCCAAAGGCTGCCGCGCACATATTTCTCGAATGGCGTTGAGACCAGCCGTGGCCACTTCCGATGCCGACGCCTCAGACACGAATTCATTGGCAATCTTCTGGACGAGAGGCTCAAGATCATCGGGGGGGATCAGGTCGTGCGAAGCCTGCGCAAGCGATGCCAAAAACGATGTGACGGACGGCTGCCGAGGGGTAAGGTATTTCTGGAAGTAGGAGTAAAGATGCATGATATGTAGTTTATGCAATCCAACCAGCCGGGAAACAAGCTGAAGCACCTGGAGTTTCTGCTCCAAATTCAGTTTCGCTTTGGTGTTCTGCAGATGTTTCGAAAACAAGGTCTCCGCGTAGCCCTGAGGATCGTGCAGAAGGTGAAGGGCGGAGAAGTTCAAAGGATGAGGCTGGTTCTTCTTACGCTCCTTTCTCTTCACCGTAGCTTTCGCCTTTTCCACGGCGCGAGACTGTTTTCTCGTCTTCTTGTTGATTCCGACCTGATGTTTCACCCGACCGATATCAACGGCTTCGTCATCACTGCTCTCATCTTCCATGTCTTCGCGCTCTTTGTCGCCGCCCAGGAAGAAGCGAACACCGCCAATGATGACCTTTTCGTTCTCAGAAAGACTGGCCTCTTTCATAACTTCAACAGCCTTGGCGTCGGTCCAGATCTGGCGCTTCCAGAGTTCACGGGTGAGTTTAATGGCCCACAAGCCCTTGGATGAGGTTCGATCCGAAGTCACCAAGTTAAAGAGGACTGTTTGCATGGTGCGGTTGAGCTTGTGGTTTATCGTTTTGGAATTAGATGAGCGAAGGTCCATCAGAATCTTTTGGAAGATCAATGCTCGTAGCGTTTTGCTAGGTGTCGAGATGAGAATTGGGAATAGCGTTTGTAGCAATCTGGGAAAAGGAAGCATCAATTAGCAGGCGATTCATAGGAATCTGTAAATTCTAGTGACTTACGTCGCTGAGTCAAGAAGATCCTTCTTCCTCAAAAGGACCAGGCTTCCGACAATCTTCTCGCGCAGTTCAGGTTCCAACACCTGATGATGTTGCGACAAGATGTCGATGAGCTCTTGAGGGAAGTCCTTGGTGATTTCGGGGTAGCAGTCGGCGACATGAGCGATGAAATCGATCAATTCTCGCAGCGAAATGATTCCCGTGTCGGCCGCAGATGCTGGCGCCGCCATGAAGATCTCCCGGTGACTCTCATATTGGTAATGTTGAGCGCGGAAATCTTCAACATAAGACCTGGCGCAAACGAATGGACATTAGTATCTTTCTCTTACTAACAAAGCGAAGTATGGCGAAAAAGACTCACTTTGGGTCCCGACGGATTTTATGTTGGAGGTTAGGCCTGTAAAAGAAGACATGAATGTGTTAGCGGCGAGTGAAAACTTCACGTCGGAGACGAGAATGGCGCCCATCACAGAGAGATTGAGAGGTGCATACAAGTCAGCCTCGACCTTTTCCAAGGCCCCCAACTTTCTTTTCACCATTGCGACAGAAAGGGTTCTGGACAAAACCCAAGAGGTGTGGTGGATGGAGGAAGGATGTTGTGGTCGGAGTGATCGCTGGGCTCCGCCGGGGAATTTTTTTTTTTTTTTCCTTCATCACGGGGGCTGCCTATCGATAAGCGATCGAGTTCTCACGGCTGAGGGACCGACGAGTCTGGGCTGCATATACTTCCGTCATATGAATGATAGCAATTACTTTACTTTCTTTCTTCTACTGCACTTGGGATGAATATTAGGTATTCGTCATTTTGAATTCGTTACTTGCCTCGTCTCTTATCGCATCAAGAGATCGGCCAGACCAGTCGGCAAAACAGGTCCCAATACCTACTGTCACTGAAAATGATGGCGAGACTTTCAGAGAACAAAAAGATATCTTTTTCATGTAAAAAAAATCCTAAAGGTGCCGACTTTAATGAAAAAAGCCTTGAGGTCTTCATGATCGCATCTCAACTACTGTAGAAGAAAGCCGTCCGATTTTTCCTTTTTTTTGTTTTGGATGTTGCTCCCTCCCGTTGACTGTCTTCAGGTATATACAGTCGCGCAGATGCATGCAAATCGACTGAATCCTAATAAACCCCCCGTCCACTCCAGCACACATAAAACCAGAACCAAACGGAGAATACGCCCAAAATTACCCCTTTACCGGTTGCTCTTGGCAACACGCTCGAGCTCGTCCTTCTTCTTGATGGCGTAAGAGTTGGAGCTACCCTTGGCAGCGTTGATCAGCTCCTCAGCCAAGCACTCGGCAATGCTCTTGATGTTACGGAAAGCGGCCTCACGGGCACCGATGGTCAAGAGAGCGATGGACTGGTTGACACGGCGGAGAGGAGACACATCAACGGCCTGGCGACGGACGGTACCGGCGGAACCAATACGGGTGCTGTCTTCACGGGGACCGCAGTTGACGATGGCGTCGACGGCGACCTGGAGAGGGTTCTGGTCGGTCATGATGTGGATCTATCAAGGCAAAATCTGGTTAGCGTCCTGTGCTCGATTCTTGCTTCTGCGATATGCATATCATTCTGGCGCGGGGAGGGTACGTACGATCTCGAAAGCGTGGGCGACGATGCGGACGGCCATGAGCTTCTTGCCGTTGTTGCGGCCGTTCATCATGAGCGAGTTGGTCAGACGCTCGATGATGGGGCACTGAGCCTTGCGGAAACGCTTGGCGGCATAGCGACCGGCGGTGTGAGGAAGGTAGACAGGGGAGCGGATCTGGATGTAGTCGCTGTGTGGTTGAATTCCTGGTCAGCCAATCTCATCCTGAATATTCGTGGTGTTGTTGTCTTCGCGTGTTGGGCTCGCGGTTTTCCATCGCAATTCGCATCCAATATTTCCCTCCCATTTCAACAACCCGATGGTCGAACCATAGCCCAAAATTCCTCTTCTCGCGGTCTGCCCTGGAAAAAAATCGCATGGGATTGAGGATCACCTACGTCAAGGAGATATCCCTGATCTCAACATCCTCGTAGCTCCACTTGTTGAAGAGCTTGACGGCACCCTGCTCGGCGAGAACATCCTTGGGCAGGACCTGGAAAGCCGCAACGGGGCTTTCGACCTCGACTTCCCCGTGATCAGACATATTGACACCTGTTGTCGAGGGAGGGCTTCGTAAAAAGGTGACGGACGGTGTCGTTGGGTGAACCTGCGATGTCGACGATAGCAGTCGGTCAGCTGAAATGTGTCGGTTGGACTCAAGGAAATTCAGGTGCGCCTCGCTTAGTTGTGGGTGGAGTTAGGGCAGAGGTTTCCCCAATGAGCGGGCGCTGGTCATGTGAGCGCTGCGCTAGGCGCCCCGGAGGCACTAGGCCAGGAAGAGGTTAGCGCCCTCCCGCTTGGACACCGTCGAAGCATCGCGGATTCCATTCAATCTATACTATCGGCCCTTCCATGGATTGGGTCTGCACTCGGCCAACATTGTTCTTTGAGTATGCTGCCTCGAGAGTGGCCACGTAGGCATCTCCAATGGAGTAATTCTGCCACTATAAAATTAGTGACACAGTAAGTCGATGCGGTAGATGCTGATTACCTACCCAAGTAGGGGAGACTGTATCTTCTCTTATGTCCCCAAAAGTAGAGATACATTGAGATTGTGTTGTCTGCCCCTCTGAGAGCCAGCCACGAAAGTGAAAGACGCCTCAGGTTTTCAACCCGCCGAGGTCAATGGCGATCCGTTTTGCCCCGTGACCAAAGAGAAGCGCCCTGAAAGTGTGGCGGTGTAACCTTCTGCCTCCCGTGATTGGCTCCACGGGTGTTTGTGGGATGATCAACCCTAGCCACATCGGCAGGTGACGTTGTGGCTTGGGATTGAATAAGCGCGGAGAAACAGAGACAACTTGCGAATACCACCCTGACAACGACATCGCAAACGGCCTCACAAGTCGAAGGATCCTTTCCTTTCGTCAAGTGCCCTTAGACAGAGGCCTCAACAGTCCTGCGATGAGGATCTCCCCGTCTCTTTTACCTTGTTTCCTGCGCATTTGAGCGAAGAACCCCTCAATTAGTCCCGCCCCTGCGCTTCTGTGAAGATGGCCGAGGACAACCCCGAAGTCCAGGCTGCTTTGCGGGACCTGGACAAGGAATTGGAGGTATGGACACCGAAGCGACGCGCTCATCATCCGGTGCGGCAACTTTGAGCGTGATATAACTAACGAGTTATTGCTATCTGTGTAGGAGGGTGATATCACGGAGAAAGGGTAAGCCCTTGACCAGACAGATACAGGAGACTGGGCCTGTGCTCGAGCGCTGTGGATCATGGTTGATTGCATTACTTGTTCAACACTGGGAAACACATTTCATGTGGCATACTTGCGCTCGCGGAAGTGGTTTGAGTGCTGACTTGATAAAAGTTACCAGAAGCGGCGCACGATCCTCCTTTCCCAATTCTTTGGGCCGAACATGGCCCTCGGTTTCAATGCATCTAACTCAGAAGGCCATTCTCCATCTATGACAAGTTCAAGCAACGCTCCGCAGGCAATCCTGAACGTTCGACCGCCAACGGCTGATTCTGCAAACCCCGAATACGCTTCGCACCCTTCCTTCCATGGCAACCGTGACACTCTACAAAGCAGCGGAAGCCTCGGATGGGACCGAAGGATCAGCGCAGATACCCAGGTTTCTGTTGATAGAGATAGCGCGTTCCTGCAAGGTCTCGACCGGATGCCATCGTCTGGATCCTACGACTCCCTCTTCCTTCCCAAGCCACCGCAGGCCCCTGGCATGCAGGAGGACTCACGGACAGCGACACTCATGAGCCAGAATTATGCGTTCAACCCTGCTGCTCACCACGAAACTATAGACCAGCCAACCGGAGGATATGAGGGTTACGAAGATTATGACGCCACACCCGGCGGGGTCACGCGACAGTCGACCATGCTCGATTCTCAGCAGGGATACTTCTCCGACTTCGCGGGGCAGCAGCAGGATGATTATAGGGACAGCTATGGTGGTGGTGGTTTTCACAGATACTCCCAATCTGATGCTTTTTCGCCCACTGCAAACATGGCGCCGCCGCTGATCCCTGCATCTGAGCTGCCTGATGGCCCGACGATCAACCACATGCTTCCCTTAGAGCCCCGTGACATCCCTTTTGCTGTGCAGGACCCGCACGATAAGAATGTTTCGATGTCGAACTTTGACAATATACCTACCGTTCTCCGACACCGCGCACGGGTCCATTCCAAGCAGGCGGCTTATTGGGTTCTGGATCAGAAAGGCAAGGAAATTGCATCGATCACCTGGGAAAAACTTGCAAGCCGAGCCGAGAAGGTGGCCCAGGTTATTCGCGACAAGAGCAACCTGTATCGCGGCGACCGTGTGGCACTTATATACCGGGACTCCGAAATCATAGAATTTGCCGTTGCTCTTATGGGCTGTTTCATCGCCGGAGTTGTGGCGGTTCCAATCAACAGCCTGGAAGACTATCAGAGCCTTAACTTGGTTCTTACTTCAACGCAGGCGCATCTTGCACTGACCACCGAGAACAACCTGAAGAACTTCCAAAGAGACATCACCACGCAGAAACTCAACTGGCCGAGAGGGGTGGAATGGTGGAAGACCAATGAGTTTGGGAGCTTCCATCCGAAGAAGAAGGATGACACGCCACCTCTGGTCGTTCCAGATCTGGCCTACATTGAATTTGCGCGGGCTCCCACAGGCGACTTGCGCGGTGTCGTCATGAGCCACCGTACCATTATGCATCAAATGGCTTGCTTGAGCGCGATGGTTTCAACCGTGCCCAACTCTAGCAGCTCAAGACAGCGCGGTGAAACCCTCATCAGTTACCTGGATCCCCGTCAAGGTATTGGTATGATTCTAGGCGTACTTCTGACGGTTTACGGTGGACATACAACTGTCTGGCTCGAGGACCGGGCCGTTGAAACCCCTGGACTTTATGCTCATCTCATTACAAAATATAGAGCTACGCTCATGGCTGCCGACTATCCTGGATTGAAGATAACTGCCTACAACTACCAACAGGATCCGATGGCTACCCGGCATTACAAGAAAAACTCCGAACCCAACTTCGGAAGCGTTAAGCTCTGCCTCATTGACACCCTTACGGTTGACTCGGAGTTCCACGAAATTCTCGCAGATAGATGGCTCAGGCCGATGAGGAACCCGAGAGCCCGGGAGATCGTCGCTCCCATGCTCTGCCTGCCGGAGCACGGCGGTATGGTGATCAGTGTCCGAGATTGGCTGGGTGGCGAGGAACGGATGGGTTGTCCTTTAACCCATGAAATGGACCCCGATGACCGCGAGGATTCTAAGAAAGAGGAAAAGTCATATGAGAAGGCTTCTAACAGCGGGTTTGGAAGCAGTCTGCTGGGCGGAGGCTCAGCGGCCCCAGCCCCGAAGGAGCAGTCGAAAAATGAACTTGGAGAGGTTCTGCTAGACAAAGAATCTTTGAAAAGCAACGAGGTCGTCGTCTTGGCTATGGGTGAAGACGCCAGAAAATTTGCTGGAGCCATGCCACACGCTGTTCGTGTTGGCTCGTTCGGCTATCCTATTCCTGATGCAACTCTTGCTGTTGTGGATCCTGAGACCAGCCTGTTGTGCACCCCAAATGTCATCGGCGAAATTTGGGTCGACTCGCCCTCCCTCTCTGGAGGCTTCTGGGCGCTGCCCAAGCATACCGAGGCCATCTTCCATGCACGCCCGTACAAGTTTGAAGATGGCAATCCCACACCTATCCTAGTCGAGCCAGAGTTCTTGCGAACTGGTCTTCTTGGCTGCGTCATAGAGGGCAAGGTGTTTGTGCTGGGTCTCTATGAGGACCGTCTTCGCCAGAAGGTAGAATGGGTGGAGCATGGGCAGGAGATTGTGGAACATCGCTATTTCTTCGTCCAGCACATGATTGTCAGTGTCCTCAAGAATGTTCCCAAAATACACGACTGCACTGCGTTCGACGTTTTTGTCAACGAAGAACATCTTCCGATTGTTGTTCTAGAATCATATGCAGCATCAACAGCACCAACAACCTCAGGTGGCCCCCCTCGACAATTGGACTCTGTTCTCCTCGAGTCTCTGGCAGAAAGGTGCATGGAAGTGCTTTACCAAGAGCATCACCTGCGAGTCTACTGTGTGCTACTGACTGCGCCCAATACCCTCCCCCGCGTTACCAAGAACGGAAGACAAGAGATCGGCAATATGCTCTGTCGCAAGGACTTTGATGCCGGTACTCTTCCATGTGTTCACGTCAAATTTGGTGTTGAGAGGTCAGTCATGAATCTGCCCATTGGCGTTGACCCAGTCGGAGGTATCTGGTCACCACTGGCCTTGATGTCGCGGCAAGAGATGCTTGGCATGGAAGAGAAGCAGTACTCCGGTGTGGATTATCGGGATGTTGTTATGGACGATCGTACGTCGACGTCACTGAACAACTTCTCAACTATTGTGGACGTTCTTCAGTGGCGTATTTCTCGGCAGGCGGAGGAGCTGGCTTACTGCTCTATTGACGGCCGTGGAAAAGAAGGGAAGGGCATTACTTGGAAGAAGTTCGATATGAAGGTCTCCGCCGTTGCGACCTATCTACGGAACAAGATCAAGGTTCGCCCCGGTGACCATTTGGTCTTAATGTATACCCATTCCGAGGACTACGTCTACGCTGTTCATGCCTGCTTCTGTCTTGGAGTTGTTGTCATTCCTCTGGCTCCTATTGACCAAAATCGTCTCTCGGAGGACGCTCCTGCCTTCCTCCATGTCATCAATGACTTCAATGTTAAAGCAATCATTGTCAACAGCGATGTGGACCACGTCATGCGACAGAAGCTTGTTTCGCAGCATATCAAGCAGTCGGCTCAGGTCCTTCGAATCGGCGTACCGGCTATCTACAATACCTCGAAGCCCTCCAAGCAGTCTCATGGCTGTCGTGAAATGGGCTATACTGCGAAGGATACCTGGCTGCAGAGCAACTATCCTGCCTTGATCTGGACGTACTGGACACCGGATCAGCGAAGAATCTCCGTCCACATCGGCCACGACACGATCATGGGAATGTGCAAAGTGCAGAAGGAGACTTGTCAGATGACCAGTTCAAGACCAGTACTTGGTAGTGTGCGTAGCACTCTGGGTCTTGGGTTCCTTCACACCTGTTTGATGGGAATTTACGCCGGTAAGTGAAGTGTCTTGAGACTTTATCAGTGTCTCTCCCTTTCTGACAAGTGTCCAGGAGCACCAACATACCTCGTGTCGCCCGTTGACTTCGCGCAAAACCCCATGACTCTTTTCGTGACGCTTTCTCGGTACAAAATCAAGGACACTTACGCCACCAGTCAGATGTTGGACTACGCCATGACTGCAATGGCTGCAAAGGGATTCCGCCTAGAAGAACTAAAGAACTTGATGATCTCTGCGGAAGGCAGACCCCGCGTCGATATTTGTAGGTTTCCTGGATCTCGCTCTGGAAACAACCAGGCTAATATGGGTATGCTTTACAGATCAAAAGGTTCGCCTGCATTTTGCCTCGGCTAGCTTGGATCGTACCGCGATCAACATCGTGTACTCCCATGTTCTCAACCCCATGGTTGCCACCCGGTCCTACATGTGCATTGAGCCAGTTGAGCTCTGGCTTGATCTTCGATCCTTGCGACGTGGTCTTATCTACCCGGTGGATCCAGATACTGATCCTACCGCGCTCGTCGTACAAGACTCGGGAATGGTCCCAGTCAACACCCAGATCGCGATTGTGAACCCGGAAACTTGCACCTTGTCTCATGTGGGTGAGTATGGAGAGATTTGGGTCCAGTCAGATGCCTGCGCCAAGTCCTTCTACGGATCCAAGCAGGAGTTCGACCAGGAACGATTCAATGGTCGGATCGTTGATGGGGATCCTAATGTTGCCTATGTACGGACTGGTGATTTGGGATTCCTCCACACCGTCACTAGGCCCATTGGACCCGGCGGCCAGCCCGTTGAGATGCAGGTTCTATTTGTTCTCGGCGGAATTGGAGAAACCTTTGAGGTCAACGGACTTAACCATTTCCCCATGGATATTGAGATGTCTGTTGAAAGATGCCACCGTAACATTGTGGCCGGTGGATGGTAAGTTGCCATGCGTAATCGATCTGATTTGGGGTATAGTTGCTAACCCTGTGCCCCCATAGTGCCGTCTTCCAGGCCGGCGGCCTGATCGTTGTGGTTGTGGAGGTCACGAGAAAGGCCTACCTGGCATCTCTCGTCCCTGTGATTGTTAATTCCGTCCTCAACGAGCATCAAGTCGTCGCCGACATCGTCGCTTTCGTCCCCCACGGAGACTTCCCTCGGTCTCGTCTCGGTGAGAAACAGCGCGGTAAAGTGCTAGCATCCTGGATTACTCGGAAGCTCCGGACTATTGCCCAATTTAGCATTCGCGATATGGAAGGGTCTGAGCTTCCGTTCGCAGAGGCTCCACAACATCGCGTTAGCAGAAGCTCCAAACCCAGTAGTGTGATGGGTAACAGCATGCGACGATCCACCGTTGTTCCGGAAAGCGACGCGCCCGCTGTCCCCCGATCCCCGGCGCCAGCCCTAATGGAACATCCTGAGGCATCAGGGGATCCTTACCCGGTGGTGCAAGGACTTGGTGATGGGTCTACCCTTAATAGCCCGTCTACCATCCCAGAAATGATTTCTTCGGTTCCTCAGATCACGGAGCCCATGCGCCCGGCTACCTCTTCCACCAGTGGAAACATCCCGGCTCCAACGGATCCTCCCCAGTCCATTGGAAATCCGGACTTTGGCTTCGACTTTGGCGATTTCGCCACGTCAGCTGCCACGGCCCCTCTGACTCAGACAGCAGGTCCGGCTCCTGTGAACGAATCTCTGCCTTATCGGCCCGCAACAGGACATGCTTCACAATCTAGTCAACGTCAGTATAGCGGTCCCCCCAAGCCGCGCCCGTTCTCCTACGAACAGACTGAGTTGCTAGACGATGGTCAAGGCGATTGGGCCCAGGAAGCTTTGATGTACCAGTCAGCATTAGGTGCGGACAACGCACACGGCCAAGGCGGATCCAACCAGGCATTCGGTGGCAACGAAATGTCGAGAAGGCAGTACGACGATGGCCATTACGGGTACTAGAGACAGCAAGCGAGCAGCTACCGTACTTTCGACCACTTACTTACCCCATCCAGTCCGGTGAGTGAGTGGACATGATTTGGTCCTGGTACCTGTCTGCACTATATTTGCCCGTCATCTGTGTTTAGAGCCTTTTTTTTTTTTTTCTTTTCATTCCGTTTTTGGTTTCTGGCATAGCCTATTATATCTTCTTGTTTTTTACCCCTGGCATCTTGTTCCATTTTGATTTCCCTATTTGCATTTTCTCCGCTTCCCACCCGCAAGTGCTCGTCGTTCTACTCCCTTCACATTATCTGATCCCCTTTTGTTTATCCCATTCCATATCAAGCTCGACCATATCCCATGATTTGAAATGACATGCTATGTTCTGTACATACATACCATACCCCGCCCCCCTTTCCATATCTCAATACGCATTGCATGTAATTACAAAATTTTCAAAGTCATTTCTTCGTCTGGTTATTAGGCTCTTTTGCATGCTTTGAGATTTCTCATCCTTGCTTGCCTGCTTGGAGTTGGTTCTTCTGCCTCTTCTTTCAGATTAGTTGGTGTCGTGCAGATATATACTTAGCTTTTTTGGGTTAGAGGATCCCGACAGGGGGAAGGGGGTGGGTTGGAGGAGGGGGTTAGACAGGAAGAAAGCAAGAAAGAAAGAAAGAAAGAAAGAAGGAGATGGATAGATTGGGACAGGCTGGGATATATGGGATCAGATCCTTGCTTGTCCCTCTGCCTGGAAAGTGATGATATACATGCATACTGATGACCCTCCGTACCTAGAATTGAAATCTCTACCTCCATTTTCGATAATTGGCTAGTGATGTGAGTTCATTTCTCGCTGATTTACTTGGACTCCAGCCGTAGGACTATATATAGCCCAGGAAACACAAAGAAACGAAAATCTTTCATGATTATTCATGAATAGAAACCGGACAAGTTCTTTTCTTGATCATTTCATATATGCAAACTTATATATGTATTATTATTTTGGCATTGAGTTTGTCTCTTCTATTTTTTGAATGCAAATACGAAGTCCGATAGGTAGGTAGGTAGGTAGGTAGTTACTCCCACGTAAGAAAAAAATCCCATTGCGATATCATGAAATGAATAAATAATGTCAAGAATATTAAAAATTGTAATGTTTCTCTTTCTCTTTTTTGAAGGTTATTTCATCGTTCAAACGTTCCACTTTTATATATCACCCATCGTCCGTCTGTCATATTACACGCTATCGGCTTGTTTCGTCAGAGCCTCCAGATCAACTTTGGGTGTGGAGTTGCTGTTCACGGCCGACTTGGCGGCCAAGACCGCGGCCTCGCTGGCGCCGTGCAGGTTGTTCAGGGCTTGGATGTCATCAGCGGTGAGGGTGCTGGAGCGATGAGGACGGAAGGGGGCCGGGGAACCGGCGCGGCTGGTGAGGAACTGTGGAGAGGAAGGTGGATTGTTAGACATGTGTTGCATTTGGGGAATGATGGATTGATTGCGGACTTACCGAGCTAGCAGCACTCAGGAGAGCGATCAAACTGGCCTGGACCACATCCTGGTGGATACCGACACCCCAGACTTGTTCCTTGCTGCCGGCCGCGGTACATTGAATGTACGTGGCGGCCTTCACATCACGACCACGACCGGACGAGGCATCGCCGCCAATCGAGTGCTCCTTGTAGTCGACAACGTCGAGATCGATGCCCAGGCTCGACAGGGCTTGGGCCAGAGAGGAGATGGCACCGGGTCCAACACCAGTGATGGCGTGCTGGATGCCGTCGATTTCGATGATACCGGTGAAACGACGCTTGAGGTTCTTGGTGTTGAGGGCCTTTCCGGGCTCCGGGGGGGCGGGGGAGGTGGAGCGATCCGTGCTGATGTTGTAGTCGACCAGGTTGAAGCGGGGGTTGGATTTGAGGTGGTAGGCCTCTTCGAAGAGGCTGGTGATTTCGCTGGCGCGCAGCTCGCGGCTGACTTCTTCCGTACGGCGCTGAACGACCTTGCTGAACTCGACCTGGAGGGCGCGCGGGAGATCCAGCTCCAGACTGCGCAGAATGACCCAGGCGGCACCGCCCTTTCCGCTCTGGGAGTTGACACGGATGACGGCCTCGTAGTTTCGTCCGATGTCCTGCGGATCCAGGGGCAGGTAGGGGATCTCCCATTCGTTGTCGTCCGTAGCATTGGCCTCCTCTCGCAGCTTGAATCCCTTCTTGATGGCGTCCTGGTGACTGCCACTGAAGGCGCAAACGACCAGCTGGCCGCCGTATGGCCACCGCTCGTTGACGGGGATCTTGTTACTCTCTTCCACCACCTTGATGACGGCATTGATGTCCGAGAAGTCCACCTTGGGCGTGACACCCTGGGTGTAGAGGTTCAGCGCCAGGGTCACCAGATCCACGTTACCGGTTCTTTCGCCATTCCCAAACAGGGTACCTTCGACACGCTGCGCACCAGCCATCTGAGCCAGTTCGGCCGCGGCGACGGCACAGCCGCGGTCATTGTGGGGGTGTACCGACACAACGTACTTCTCTCGCTCTGAGACATTTCGGCAGAAGTACTCGACCTGGTCGGCGAAGACGTTGGGGGTGGCCATTTCGACCGTGGCGGGCAGGTTGAAGATGATGGGGTCCTCCTTAGTGGGCTCCCAGGCGGCCTTGACGGCCTCGCAGACTTGCGCCGCGAACTCCGGCTCAGTGTCGGAGAAGGTCTCGGGGGAGAACTCAAGGTGCCACTGGGTGCCGGAATTCGTGGGGTCGTCCTTGGTGATGGAACGAGCATATTTCGTGCAGCGGACAGCCATTTCCAGACTCTGCTGCTTGTCCATGTTGAAGACGATGCGACGGAAACACGGGCTGGTGGCCAGGTAGATGTGCAGGATGGCCTTCTTGGCGCCCTTGAGGGAGTCGACGGTGCGGCGGATGAGGTCCTCGCGACAGGGGGCCAGCACCTGAAGCCAGACATCGTCGGGGGTGACGCCGGGGGTCTCGACCAGGCGGCGGGTGAAGTCGAAATCCGTCTGCGAGGCCGACGGGAACGACACTTCGATTTCCTTGTACCCGATATCTACCAGCATCTTGAAGAAACGGAATTTTTGTTCGCCGTCCTGAAAACAGACAGGGTGATTAGCAACAAGACCTTCGAGAACTCCAACAAGAGTACTTCAAGAGACAGGGAACACATACCATGGGATCGGGCAGACTCTGGTTACCATCTCGGAGATCGGTGGCCAGCCACCGAGGGGCCTGGTCAATGGTCTGATCGGGCCATTGGCGGTTAGGAAGACGAAGCGGTTTAAACGGCTTGTACTTCTTGGAGGGATCTTTGAGCCTTCATGACAGCATCACCAACGGGTTAGTGGGGCACCAAGGAGGGGGAGGGGCGGTGACGGAGACGGAAGCGTACATGGGCATGATGGCGATGGCGGGGGGAGAAACCGCAGAGAAACAGAGGGAGACGCGAAATGATGAGGAGAAGAGATAGACGAGGGAGAAAAAAAATGAAGAATGGAAGACGACAGTATTTAAGAGGGACGAACGAATGGGAATGAGTCAATTGGTAGAAGTTTACGTTTTTCTCAGCGGCCGACAGCGGAACATGTGACGCCTCTTGATTTGGTCCCGCCGCCCGGTCACGCCCTTTGACGATCTCGACGCTCTCCTTCCATTTTAAACCCCTTGAGACTATCTTGATTTAGGGACTGCTTCCTTACCGTCGTGGTGGCGCCAGTCATATCCGCCCAATTACGCAGCTGTCATAGTCCCCCAAAGTCCATGACTGTGCAGCCTCTTCCCCTGCAACTCGTCGCATTTGCTCGCATAACGTCATGTCAGTCCCTCCGACACCGGACCCCCGGGCCTGCCTCAGGCCCGCAGCGTTGGCCACGCCGCCCCGACGGTAGCCGCGCCTATGCGAGTGACTTCCGGTCCAGGTACCTCGACCGCGTGCGCCCTGGGAAGAAGACCTTCGGACAAGGTATCTTGCAGCAGTTCTACTCATTCATGGTGTTTAGTCGTCCTGATCGAGAACCAGCCACAGAATCCAAGCAAGACAATCTAGAGATAGATTCATAACCATGCCATCTGACCACTCTTTGTTTGACTTTTCAAGTAAATTAGAGCCAACTGTGCTTGGTTTGTCAATATTTCTTTGTTTCGGGTGCTTTAAACAAGGCCCCTGAGCTGAACCTAGATTCTATCTCAGAACATGCTTCCCTACTTCCTCAGAGAATATACCTTCCTCTTTCCCTCTCCATGCCGTTTTCCAAGCGTCAACATCGTCAGCGGAAGCAACATACCTTCCATCCTCCTCCATTATTCTGGGATAACTTGTCTAGGCTGTGGTTGACAAAGAGCTCACTGAGGGAAGCTAATCGAAGACATACACTACTACTCTCTCCACGCCAGGATTCATTTTCTTGTCCCTGCACCTTTGCGCCTGACTTTCTACGCACCTGCTCTACTGCTTCTTTACAAGAGATCAGAAGACTTGCCCGCTATGGAGGGCCGGATCTATCTGATATTAGAAACGTGAGTTGCCATCACTTACCTGAAGTCAGATATCAAATACCACTAACTTCTAGCATCCCACACCATCCGGCTTTGACGAGGACTCTATAGATCCTACATCTAATAGAACACCCCCTGCGAAAGTTCCCGAGACCAAGCCAAAAAATACGACTGTTTACGATCCACACTTTGAGGAACACATAGCGAATCATGGTATTTACCTGCCACTATCAAGATACCCAGATGGTACCACGCCATCCAAACCCGCTAATTTCGAGGAAATTCGAACAATCCTACGAACCTCTCGGCCTTCACTTGCTTTGCCGCCAGGTACTTTAGCAAAGGAACACGAAAGATTTGTCAGACTCAACGAGGACGCTGCTGATGAACGACTAGTCATCAAGAACATCCTTCCGATCCTTGAAGGCGAGGAAAAGACCTGTTTTCAGACTGGCGCTGACCATCCATTCAAGAAACTTGCCCCTCTCACTGATGGAACTCTAGCCGACGCGATGCCTGATTTTTACCACGGCGCACGGCGAAATCAGCTTCACCCCGCTATCCGGGAGAAACTCAAGGACCAGGTTATCCCGACAGCCAAGAGCAACCGTCCTATCGCGCCGAATTTCTTCGTCGAAGCAAAAGGTCATGATGGTTCGGTTCCTGTGGTTAGACGACAGGTTTGCTATGACGGTGCTCTAGGGGCGCGAGCTATACATTCCCTCCAGCAATTTGGGAACAGTAGTAGGAGCGATTGTACCACCACGACACCTGCTAGTTACGATAATAACGCCTATACGATGACGTCTACTTACCATTCCGGAACTCTGGGGCTATATACGACACATCCAACACAGTCCAGATTCAACAGCAATCGTCCACACCGTAACACCGACTATTTGATGACACAGGTGGGGAAATGGTCGCTCGATGGTAGCCCCGAAATCTTCCAGGAGGGTATCACCGCTTATCGAAATGCTAGAGACCTGGCTCAAGAACAGCGGGATGGGTTCATCAAGCAGGCAAATAAGCGGTATGCGTCTGATCGTCGGCAAGACTTTACTGCGGGTGTTGGTGAGGAACACCTGGTGTTGTCTAATAGAACCTGGTCATGCCAATCAGTAATTGGGTGGTCTGGTTTATCGTTCCTGATGTTCCTGTTGTTCCTGTTGTTGTTGTTTCTGGAGGGTTCATGTGACTGAAGAGTATCATGGGACGGCATGGTCTCCAGTGGATTGGTGTCATTCTAGATTGTTTGCATAATAAATTGAGCGATTTAAGAGACTGTTGTGCATAGTCCTGTACTGTATGAGAGAGGGAAAAACTTCACCCTATTCAGCAGGATTTGTAGAAATATTTCACTGGTGTAAAAGGCCCTTTGATAAGTTGGTTATCTTGTGTTAATTGCAGTATGTCTCTGGGCCGTACCGTCCTTGTCGTAGTATGTTCACGTCGAAAATTATTGATAATTTTGAGATCTATGAAGACAAACGAGCTATCTACAGGTTCGATTTTTCCCCCGGCCCCTATTTCTTGCCCTTCTTCTTGTTGCCCTTCGCATTCGACTTCGGCGCCTCTCGGTCGCCCTTGCCCTTCTTCCACCCAATATTGCCTTCCTGGCGCTGCCGGCTGTCGTCCAATCGCTTCTTGTCCTTGTTGCTCAGTTTCTTCTTCTCCTTCTTGCCGCCTGCGTCCGGTCCATTGAGTTGCGTCGCACCCAGCTTGCGCGCGGCGCGTTTGTCCTTCTCGCTCTCGAACCAGGTTCGCTTGGGCCGGGACATGATCTCCGACTCGTGTTTCATCAGGTTCTCGCCCTTGTTCAGCTGCATCTCCGCCTGGGACATCTGCTTCTCGATCTTCTCCTCGTTAAGCACGGCCTCGATCTCCTCCTCCAATCCCTTGGCCTGCGCCGCCCAGTCGTCGGCAACGGCCGGCTCGATCACGCGGCTGGCCACCTTGGCCCCCTGCGCCTTGCTAGCCTTGACGGCCGCCTTCACCACCTTGCGGTCCGGCTCGGCGGCAATCGTGCAGGCGCGACCAGAGCGGCCGGCACGGGCCGTTCGTCCCACACGATGCAGGTAGATCTCGTGGCTCTGGGGCGCCTCGTAGTTGATGACCGTCTCGACTCCCTTGATATCGAGACCACGTGACGCCAGATCGGTTGCCAGCAGGAAGGCCACCTTGCCGTCACGGAAGTTTTCCACACTTTTGATACGCTGTAGTTGAGTTCGCGTTAGCATTTCGTGATCGAATGAGGGTCGGGACAGAAAGGACTAAGAAATACCTGTTCTTGGCTCATGCTACCGTGCAGCTCGGCCGCTTTAAGACCCAGCAGTCCAAAGACGATGCGCACGCGATGGGCCTCGCGCTTCTGTCGGAAGAAAACAATAACTCGCCCCGTGTAGATCTCCTTGCACAGATAGAGCAAGTATCCAAGTCGCTTGTCCTCGCGTCCGGGTCGTAGTCGCACGAATTCCTGAACCAGGTTGGCCGAGGTGTTCTTCTTAGAGTCAGCCATCAGTCGCACGGGTCGGTTGAGTCCGACTCGAATAAGTTTGTCGACCGTGTCCGTCATGGTGGCGGAGAAAAGCATGGTCTGTCGGGACTTAGGGATGGTCGTCAATATCTCGTTCAGTTCATCGGCGAAACCGTCTTCCAACATCCGATCGGCTTCATCCAGAACCAGAATCTCAAGGGTATCAACAGTAAAACTGGCCGAGTTACGCATGTGGTCGATGAAACGACCGGGGGTGGCGATAATCACGTCGGGTCGCTTCTTCAGGATGTTCTCTTGCTCACGCAGACTGAAACCACCAACCAACTGACAGAAGGTGATGTCGGTGTAGGTGGCCAATTTTGTGGCTACATTGTAACATTGGACAGCCAATTCACGAGTAGGCATCAGAATCGCAACGCGACTGGTGGGAACCTTGCGCGGACGGAAGAGCAAACGCTCCAAGATGGGTACAACGAAGGCAGCGGTCTTACCGGAACCGGTAACGGCACTACCAACGATGTCTTTGCCCAGCAGAGCCATGGGAATAGTCTTGCGCTGAATGGGAGTCGGGTTGGTGAAGTTGACGCCGGCCAGACCACGCAGGATTGGTCGGGAGAGGTTGAACTCTTGGAACGACATCTTCGCCAGGTCTGCCGAAGACTGTTCGTTTGATTTCTCCTCCGGCGCGAAAAAGGCCTTGCGCTTCTCCTCTTCTTCGGCGTCAATCTCGCTCTCGGCATCGGATCCATTATCGGAGGCATCGTCATCGGGGTGGTTGACGGGCGTTGCAACGGAGTCGTTATCGGAAGCGGCATCATCGTCGTCGTCATCGTCATCGTCGTCTTCATCCTCATCGCTTTCACCCTCGCTCTTCTCCTCATCGCCAGATTCTTTCTCCTCCTCAGATTCAGCCTCGCCATCGGCTCCCATACCGAAGCCGTCGTCAGCAAGCAGCTCGTCGTCCTTAAAATCAACCTCCATACCCCCGTCCGACTCGTCATCGTCGGCTTCGCTTTCGCTCTCGGGCTCCTGCTTCTTCTTTTTCTTTTGCGCCTGAGCCTCCTTCTTCGCCTTTCGTCGCGAGATAATATCATCAATGTCCACCCCGGCCTTGTCTCCCTTCTTAGCCTTATCGTTATCATCGGCGCCCCATCCATCGAAGCCCTCCGTAACCGTATTCGCAACACCGCCAAAGTCGAACTCAAAATCGGGGTTCAGAGCGCCGTCGTCATCGCCAGCATGCTCCTCCTCGTCTTCATCGTCCTCCTCCTCGACAGGTTCCTCAGCCGGTTTCTCGTCCTTTTTCGACTTGCCATTCTTTGACTTCTTCTGTTGTTGTTGTTTCTGCTTCTTGTTCTTTCTGGCCGTGGCCTCCGGCGTGTCTCTCTTGCGCTTTTTCGCGCCCGCTAGAGCCGTGTCTTCTTCGTCTTCGTCGCCATCTTCCGTGGTCTTTCCGAAAGTGTCGTTCTCGTCGTCAGAGAGCGTCAGCACGAAATCGTCGTCTCTGGAACGCTTTTTGGCTGCCGTATTGGGAGCCATCTTGCTCGGTGCTTTTTTGGGGGAATTGAGGTAGAGGGAAATGTTGTCGCAGGTTTTACCAGAAAGGAAAATAGAAAAGAAAGAAATAGAACGGGAAAAACGTAAATGAAAGACTTGTGACCAATTCCTCCTAATGGTTCACCGTCTACCGCACCTAATCTTCATCTATGCTCGGAGGAAAAGAAAAGGGAAAAAAAAGTTCAAACAGCGGAGGCGGTGAGAGACTTGACCGGCAGAAGGAAATCGGAGAGACGATGCACTACGCTGATTGGGGGATAATTAGAAGGGATCCGCTTTTGATCATATCGGGTTGGATTCATCCATTGGCCTGCCCGATGACTTTTCCATAAAATCGAACCTCCCTTCCACGCATAGATAAACCCGCAAAAAATGAGTACACTGCATATTTTTCCAGTTCACAGTCCTTGGTTTTCCCAAATTTTCGCCTTTTTTTGGGGGGGCTATTACCAGTTCTTCACTGGCCTTGTGACTAATTCAAATCAAACCGTAACGCCTAAGCTGAACAGGGAAAGGGAAATAAACAAAAGAAAGCATCTGATTGTCGAAAATTGCCTCACGAGGCCAAAACAAGAGCTTTTAAACACCCAGAAAGCGACGCATGATGGACTTAGTATTCGAATTTGGTATTGGAGCTGTACCCAATGGTCCGCACAAGATATGCGACGTCGTTGCTGTTGATGGTTAGACTTGCTTGTCATCCTAGATGAGAAGTTATAGCTACTACTGCAGGAAGACTCACAAGTGATCGAATTTGACCCGCGCTCCTTTCAGAACGGCCTGCTCCTCGAACTCCCACTTCTCGAGCAGCCAATCCTTTAACCACTGGACCTGAGAGCCTCGGTCAGACTGATAGCCAACGGCGAAGATCAGGCGAGCCAGCCGGCGGCAACCCCCGGTGCGGAACCTCGGCTGGTCGTCAAAGCTGGCGTTGAAGGAGTAGCCGAGTTTGGGGATGTAGGTGGGATCGCAGACCTCCAGGAGCTTGTCCATCAGACACCGTCCGATGCCCTGGCGCTTGTGTCCGTCTCGGACGAACACTTGGAGCTCCGCGGTGTACCGACCGCTGCTCTTGAGGCCGACGGTGTCATTGGCCAAGGCATAGCCTAGGATCTTCTCGGGCTGGTTTTCTCGACTGGGACCCGTTCTACGGCCAACTGCGACGATGAAGGGCAGTTTGTTCTCCAGGCAGTTTTCGATACGCTGGCGCACTTCGCCCGTTTCGAGGGTGTGGGTGTCGGTGCTCAATGTGGACTCTTCGGCGTACCAGTTCATGATCTTGCGAATGCCGGCGGAGTCTTCGAGCTGGGCAGGTCGCAGGTAGATGTTTGCCTTGGGAGAATTGGGATTCTCCCGGGGTGGGGTCCTCATGGCTTCGATGTAGGCCTTTCGATTCAACTCCTTGCGAAGCTGCGCCTCCTGTTCTTTCTTTCGGCTACGCAGCACATAGTTGTGGCTGTATCCCTCCGCAGTCTCGTGTGCATGGAGCATGGTCAATTCGTCGCTCGTGTCAAGGAAAATCTCCTCGTCTTCCAGATTGGGTATGTACATGGTGCGTATGCCGTCGGGATGCGCTGTGCCATCAAAGAAAGATTTGTGGTAGATATCGGCATAGCAGCAGATCTGGGTGGTGGAGTCGAGCCAGCGGCGGAACCAGTCACGGAAGGCCTCGAAGCTAGAACATGCGCGAGGCCGGTATTCCCAGTCCGCGTAGAAGGCGTCGGTCCATTTGTTACCGGGGCGTGGCATGTCCTTGTCCACCTCTGCGTTGGCCAGATCGATACCAGTTTGCGACATCTGCTGTTCGATGCGCTTATGCTCTGCCGTTGGAGTCCTTGATAAACGCATGTTTCCGTCCTCAACGATCGGGTAGACGTGAGGGCTTTCCTGGTATGCGTCCCATTGCGCAACATGCTTTATCTCTGCAGCGAGGGGGTCCATGGCCACTTCTTGTACTTCTTTTTCGTCTTCTACATCAGAGGATGGGTCAGCTGAGGAAGAAGACTTTTCCTTTAGAATAACGATGGCGACTTTCCCTGCGCGACGACGCCTTGCCATGATCCGGTAGAACTCTGACTTCGGGTCGGTCCCTGGTCCAGTTCTGCAAGAGACCAAGCACTCTGGACTTGCAGTATCGCGGTCATAGTTCTTGAAGCGGTTGTTATGGGCATTCTTGATGATCTCCATACCCATTCCTTCCCGCAGTCGTCGCAACTCCTCCCTCGCATCCAGCTTCCCCTGATTGGGAGCAGCGGATGGGCCAGGAGCATTGCCTGCTCGAACATTCTCTTGTTGCTCGAGTGAGCTGTCGGAATCTGGCTGGACATTCGAAGGCTTGCGACCCTTGGAGCTCTTGTGCGTAGCTCGCTCCTCGGCATGTTGAGATGGCTTGGCTAGGACTGGTGGTTCTTGTTTGCTGCCTCGAAACTTGTTTCCACGAGCCAGCATTATCTCATCGGAGCTGGTGTCAGACATCTTCTCGACCTCGGTTTCTTTGGTCTCTGTCGGTTCCCTTATCTTTAGCTATGCCATGATATGTGGGTACGCCTCTATGCGATTACTTACCCTGCAGGTCTGTGTCCTTCTGAGCTTCAGAAGACGGGGGTGGTGGTTGAGAGTGAACCGGAGCGTGTGTGACCTCTCCTCTCAGTCGAGAGGGGTTTGGAGGAGGGCTGACGAGGTGAGACTTAAAGAAGGTGGGCCGGGTCTCAGAAGAAATCGGGTGTTGCTTTGATTCACTGCGGGCGGGGATGGGGCGATAGGGACGAGAAGTGCTGTACCGCTGTTGGGGACGAAGCGCTCGCAAAGACGGATCTCTAAGATGAGGTGCAATGTAAAGAGCAATTGAAGGATGCGCAACTTTCACACCAGCTTTTAGGTGTGAGTTTTGTGCAGGTGAGCTTGGGGCAGAAGGTGAGTCCTGTGCAGAAAACGAGTCTGGTACACAAGGTGAGTTGGGCTTCTCCTTTTTTTGATTCTCGCTTGCAGATTCTTGTTGTGATGAGGGGGGGCGATCGTGGAGGTGGGTGTCAGCAGCAACAGGCCAACGAGCCGGGTTCACTGTTGGCAGTTTTACACTAGCGACCACCGACAAATCTGATTCTATACTTGACTGTTCTGGTTCTCGCTCTGGTGGCTCTTCGTTGTATGTCTCGGCACCCAGGGGTTCCGTTTCAGGCAGTTCACTAGACAGGTTGGGTGTTGTCTTTCTATACCTGACCGAAAAGTCTGTCTCTGTGTACAGCTGCTCCTTTGCCGCTCGGCATCTCACCCAGAGATCTGGGCTGTCGAATTGTTCATAATTGTCCGAGGAACCTGTGACTCCTTTTTCTATTTGCATCGTGGATTCTACTGATCTTTGAGTGCTGTCTATCAGAACATGCCATGTCAACCGTCACGATATCTATGCTTGGCTGTATGTGGGCAACTCACATTCTTGAACAGATAGTTCTCTGGATGTTAAAGCTCGTGAAGCAATAAGTAGGTCAGAACAAAGGGTACGAGGGTACGTTATTCAACGATGGATGGGAAGAGTAGTGAAGAATTCTGCCTAGGCAGCTGAAGAAAGTGCAGGAGATAGAGAGGGGGTCTGGCCACGGCGGTCAAGCGCATAAGCAGACCCGAATCCAGTACTTGATAGACAAGGAGGTGTATAGCTAAAGTTTGCAAATGTCTTGATGCACCAATTATACCGCTTGCTGCTTTAAAGCCCGCTAATAAAGGGTCAGAGGTATAGTCAGTAGTTCTTGTGAAAAGTACTTCAAGTTAAATCTAGAAGAGTACAACATGTAAAATAGAAGAGTCTTCAGATTTTATGATTTTGTGAAATTGCATATCTATCAACATGCCCGTGACCTTCACTCAACTGATACGGCGGAATCACCCTTGTATGGAAGTAGATGGAATTTTGCCTCTTCTGCCGCTTTTACCCTCCTCAACCATCCAGACCCCGCCAGCCAAAATGTTGTCCATACTAAGGAAAGCCCGTCTAAAGGACAAGGAGATGCGGGTTTTGATGCTGTAAATTTCCTAACTTAAATTCATATATCAAACGGTCTTGCTGACAGATAATCCCATCTCAGTGGCCTAGACAATGCGGGCAAAACCACCATCGTCAAGCAGATCATGAAAGAAGACGTCACCACCGTCAGCCCTACGCTAGGATTCATCATCAAAACCATAGATTTCCAAGGGTATGGACCACCTCCTATCCATTCTTTTCGAGAATCGCAACGACAGATGCTAAAATGCTCCCAGATACCGCCTAAACATCTGTAAGGACGACAACGGATGACGTTTTCGGCTTCATGCTAATGCCAAGCCAACAGGGGACGTCGGCGGTCAAAAGACCCTACGCTCGTACTGGAAGAACTACTTTGAGAAAACCGATACCCTCGTCTGGGTTGTCGATGCGACCGACCGTCTCCGTGTGGAGGATTGTCGTGATGAGCTAGCTGGTCTTCTCGTGGAAGAGGTACGTCCGCTTTGCTGGTCCCGCCGCGTGAAGGTTCTTTCGAGCATCCCGGACTGATGGTTTTACAGCGCCTTACGGGGGCCAGTCTTTTGATCTTTCTGAATAAGACTGATGTAGAGGGGTGTATGACTGAGCAAGAGGTTCGAGAGGTAATTTTATCTTATTTTTGTTTTTGTCTTTGTTTTGACTTTTGCTTTTTGCCGCTCTGGTGTTGCCAGTTCCCTACAGCTGGTCGGTTGCCGTTCCACATTCGCTGACTCTCTTCTAGCGACTTTGTCTCGATGCAATAAATACTCATAAATGGAGAATCTTGCCTTGCAGTGCGATGACAGGGAGGAATCTCCATGAGGGTCTGGATTGGGTGGTGCAAGACGCAAAGGACAGACTGTTCCTCTACTAATTATAGCATTTGAGAGGTACGCCATATGACCATTAATGATCAATCGATAACAAAGCAATACTTTTGGCTTATTCCACTCTATTATGTTTCTTTTTTGGTATATAGATCGACATCGCCTCTGTCCCTATAGCCAAATTGGGTCTACTGAACAAAGTACCTCATGCTAGGGGCGATTGGACAATGGGTGGCTGGGTATATATATATAATTGTTTGCAGGGAGCGTCTGCTTCTGCAGGAACCCGATAAGCAGGGCACGTTGCATACTCACATTGTGGCTTATGTGGAGCTTGAAACAGTCATGGCCATGAGCATCACTGTAAGCCTCTAGGTACACTTGACCGTGAGATGATCTTGAATGACTTGCTGTAATTCTCTGACTTGGCACCGAACAGGGACTGTAACAGACACCTCAGGCAAGCACCCGCGCTTCACCGGACCGCGCTGACTAATGCAGGAGCCGCCAGGCAACGGGATCACCTGACCCATGGTTCCGCGGCGGGTGGATGCCCGAGGCAGGAAAATCATAATAAACCACCGAATTCGTTTGGCTTCGAAGAACGAAAGTGACGACAAACTAGTTGGCTTAGCCTGGTCTAGTCTGGCAGCCGACGTAATCGCAGTAAGGCAGCGCCGGAATAATTTAGCAGTATTATCTACGATTCATTGAGATTATTGCCCCTTTGGGCCCACCGGCGAAATCGGCTCAGGGTTTAAGGCGGAGAATCCCAGCCGGATCTCGACGTGATTCCTGTCGCTTTTGCAAGGGACGCTTCTTCGTCCGTCTCGGCTATCTACATCGACTACGCCTACGACGGGGTTTGTGGTGACACTCGTCCGGTCAAGTCTGTCGCTATCGACCCTCTCTTCAATCATCGGGTTTCATATCACCACGCCACGCCATCCTCACCATCCTCACCCCTCGTTGGGTCTTCTCGCCAAATCCAAACCCCACAGTTCTTGGTGCTTGTTTGTTTTTGGGTTGGATTGGGTTGATACACTGGCAGATTTTCTCTCTTCTTTTCTTCACTCCCCCCTTCTGGCCGTCTGCCGGACCTGGTCAATTATTTTCTAGACCTTTCCTTGCGTCTCTTTTGTTTTTCTTTTCTTCTTCTAATTTTCATTTTGTGACCAGTCAAGTGCCAAGGTGGCCATGACTTCCACAGCCGGAGCCGAAGGCTCGGAAGATGTCAATGACTTCCTGCTTCGTATTCGGGAGTTAGGCGAAAGGCGCGACAAGGAGGACGAAGAACGCACGAAAAAATTGGAGGAGGAGATCTTGAAGGGTCGACGGGAAAGACAGGCGAGAAGAGCTGGTATTGTGGCCTCCCTTGTGTTTTCGTTCTCCCCGGTCGCGGCTGTCCTGACATGTCTCAATGGACAACTGTACTTGTCGCCGGCTTGTCAATCTCAGAAGCTGATCGTGCCTCTTCTGGGGTGTCAATGTAGAGCGGGCTAGATCGATCTCGCCGACAAAAGACTCTCCTCCCCTGTTCGATACGGCTCGATTGAGCATGCCTCCACCCACCACACCGCGAGCAATCGACCCTCCCGAACAACTCGAGCCAACTCGACTTGAGCCAACACGGTACGACCCTGAGCGGGAATCCACTCCGAAGTCAGATTTTATTCGAGACGACGTATCAATGACGACCGACGGAAGTCGGAGGGGGTCGAGAGCGGAAGGAAGCGAAATTGAAACGTCCCCTAAGCCTCCCTCAACTTCCACATCGCCTCTTCGAAGCAGAACGGGAACCTTGTCCTGGCAACAAAGACCGTCGTCGCGGGATCTTGGCGGCAGCAGATCCTTTTTCTCTAGCTCCCCCACCCGCGAGAATCGCTGGAGAGCCATGTCTACAACCTCGAATGATGATCATGCGGCGCCTCGGAGCCCGAATGCGTTGTCGCCCGCAGCTAAGGAGCCCCCTATACTCAATCCAACGGAAAGAACCCTCGGCTCTCCAATTCGCAACAAACCTGCAGAAGAAATTGTCCCGGAGACTACTCCGGAAGCGAGTAGTAACAAAGAACCTGTTCCAGAAGTCGAAAACACCCCCGAACCGGAGAAAGAAGCCACCGAGCAGGAACTCCCGGAGGTGGCGCGGTCACGCTCACCATCCCGAGCAAGCTCGATATTTGCGGATAGCAGTATAAGTAATCGGTATTCGAGTGTATCTTCGGTGTCGACGGCTACTGGTCTCGGCTCACCGATCCCTCTGTCGAGTGCACAGAAACTGGAGCCCACGAAAACCGAGCCAAGTTCGGAGGAGCAGACGTCGCCCATATCGCCCAGACGACTCTCTCCCGAGCGCTCGAGATCGTCATCACCCACGAAGGGACTGGGCGGCTTTGTACAGAGCGCGATGATGAAACGATCGGACAGCGTATCAAAACGGTGGAGCGCCCAGCTTCCATCGGGACTTGCACGGGGAAACTCGTTCGCTAGCAACCGAAATAGTTTTGCGGCACCTAGCAACATAGAAACCTTTCCTGCAGCTCCTAGGTTGAGCAGGGACGGTTCCATGTTACATCCTCGCCCAGGATCTAGCCACAGCGAAGCCACGGTTGTCAGTAACAAAGAGAGCGAACGCCCCGCGACACCTCCTGTGCCTGGTGGCAATTTCAACACGCAGCTTGAAGATAGTCCCAGCAGACCACCTCTAGCCCTCAACACCAAATCTTCCAGTGGGGTGGCTGGTGAACGTCCATCCACACCCCCGGTGTCCGGCGGAAGTGGCATTGGACGGTATCACGACTCGCCCGGCAGACCTCCTCTTTCCTTACACGCTAGATCCTCAAGCGCAGTAGGTACCGATCAAGGCTCAGAGGCCGGATCTTTGCCTCCGACCAGTCCGGCAGTGTCGAGGACAATGGACCCGAAGCGGTGGAGCCCCACGAAATCGACTTGGTTGGAGAGTGCCTTGAATCGGCCAGATTCCCCCCGGCACAAGAAGCAGCCTTCTCAATCGACACCACCATGGGTGAGGGACCGACAGTCCAAGGGCAGTATCGATTTGGGCCGCAAGAACAGCTTCAAGGAAGTCACTCCTGTGGGGCTGATGCGAACTGCTGTTCCCGGCAGTCATTCGAAGACCTCAAGTGTATCTGGAATTCCTGATCTCCTGGGCGTCCAGGAAACGTCGAAAGCCAAGGAGGAACCTGTGAATAAGGCAGTGGAAGAGCCTGAGAACAAGTCCAACGAGGAACACGAGAAGAAAGATCAAGAGGAGAAAAATACGGTCAAGGAAGAACCTGAAATCGAGGCTAAAGAGGAGTCAGAGAGCCTAGCCAAGGCAGAGCCTGAGAGCCCTTTGAAAGAGGAGCCTGGGGATCCGGTGAAACAGGAGCTCGAGAGCCCAGTAAAAGAGGAACCCGAGAACAAGGTTGAAGAAGAGCCTGAGGCTCATGTCGCTGAGGTGCCTGAGGATTCAAAAGCCGAGGACAACACGGAGTCGACCCCTCAACAAAGCAGTGAACCCGCGGCAGAAACTATCCTAGACAAATCGGCAAAGGCGGAAATTGAGCCACAAAACACAGGGAACGATGCTCCCGGGCGCAAGCGTGCCCCTTCCCTCCACATCGCCCAGAAGTCAAGCGTCGATTTGGCCCTCTCTTCTCCTCGCGATCCCCTGCTGAACCGTCCGAAGCCCCAATCTCCTGTGATAGATTTCCGCGCTAATCTTCGACGTCGCGAAGTGGTGAAGGATGAGTCGCGTCAAGAGGAACCAGAATTCAAAAATATATTTGGAAAGCTCAAGAAGACGGAAACCTCAAACTATGTTGCACCCGATGAGCTTAAGGGGAACATCTTAAAAGGAAAGGCGGCGCTCAACGCGACTGGAGGACCGAAGAAGTCGCAGAGAGTTGACGAACTGAAAGACAGTATCCTGAAGCAGAAAGAAGCCATGAAAGCCGGCGGGGGCTCGGTGAGGCGGAATACTGCCGGAGAGATGGATGCTCCTCCAACGCTGGTGCCAGAAGCCATTGCTAGGCGAAACACTCTGAGCAAGCCCAGCAATGATGTGTCTCCCAACACACCAACATCCCCTTCCCTTAGGGACTTTGGAACGCCGCGGGTCTCGCAAGACACCCAGCCCCCGATTCTATCCCCACAAGAGCCTATGGATTCTGGCACTTCCTCTACACAGCCTAAAGCTTCGGAAGAACAGAAGCCTAGGGCGCCCGACGCGCCCCAGCCTCAAGCTGAGCCCGCCAAACTTGAAGAAACGGGTGACGACGAGAAGAACGCCAACAGCACTCCGGTCGACTTAGTTGAACAGAATGACGCACCAGTGACGGACAAAAAGCAAGAAGAGTCGGGAGAGGAAGCCATCAAACCGGTGCGTGCTTTGCCATCGAGCACTGATGCGCAGGCAACGACTGCGCCTGCTGCCACTGAAGGTCCTGCTGCTAAAGGTAAACTTGCAGGCCGAATAAATCCTGCCTTGGCGGGCCTCCTATCGCGCGGGCCACCCGTTGCAGCGAATGGAACCGACAGAACGCTTCCTTCGACTTCTTCCAACGATACTGGTGTTGAAGCGTCCAAGTCAGCCGCGCCCCTCACGCATGTGACGAAAAATCGTGCGAGAGGCCCGAAGAGGCGTCTTCCGAATGCTGCTCCCCAACAGGAGTCAGAGCCTTCTTTGGAAGACAAGAAAGAACTGGAAGACAAGCAAGAATTACAAGAATTACCGTCCCTGTTTGTGGATAGCAAGGAGCCAGAGGTCAAGAACCCTCCTGAGCACGCTGTTGGTGGCTCCAACTGGCCACTGCCGGATATCGATTTTGGATCGCAAGACTCATCGGAGACCAGCTTGGCTCAACTTGCTCCGTCGGCAACCAACAAGCCTACAGAATTCAGAAGGACTATTCCCCGGATGTCTTCGGTTGATATCAAGCAAAAATCGGAAGGACTGAGCCCAGCTCCTTCCCCTGGTTTGGACCTACGCTTCTCCGATCACGAAAGGTCTCCCAGCGAAGACGCCGAGACTCTGGAGGACTCTCCCTCTCGCCGACCAGTGCCCCCATCTAAGGCCTCGAACCCGTCAACTCCGGTTGTTGGCCAGGCCCGAACCTCGCAGATCCAATACTCGTCGCCATCTCCCTCGCCCCTGCGCACAAGTTTCAAGGAGAATCAGATCCACCCGCCGCCATCATATCGGAAGACCCCCGGTGTAGGGCCTCCTTGGTCCAGGGAATCGTCTCCCCGCGACAAGGCCTTGCCATCCCCTCCCGTTCCCCCGAAATTCAATGCCCCCGCCGATCAGCTTTCATCGCCGAGATCCTCAGCGTCGTTGGTTCCCCAGGCGGATGAATCTCTGGAAGCCATCTCCGGCTTTTTCAAGACATTCCCCAGCTCCAGTAACCGCGTGGACATCGATCCTCAGTTGACGCTAGAGAATAAGAGCGACAACCAGAAGATCCGGACGTTGAAGAAGCAGATGTGGGAGATCACGGGGGACGGCAAGCGCCAGGACCTCCCAGTGAACCAGGAGTATATTCTATACGAGGGCAGTATGTATTTGTGCGTGCACATGTTTGAGGCTGAAGGTAGCATTCGCTCGGAAGTACATCTCTGGTGCGGCGACGATGTAACCGACGCATCTGTCGACGATGCACAGTCTTTCTCACGAAGAGTCGCCAAGGAGAATGGTGCCAAATTGGAAGTCATCAAACAGGGCAAAGAAACCGCCCGCTTCATCCAGGCACTTGGCGGCATCCTCATCACGCGCCGGGGCTCTAGCTCCCGCTCGAGCTCATCTGCGATTTTCATGCTCTGCGGACGGAAACATCTGGGCCAAATGGTGTTCGATGAGGTGAATCTCTCGCCTAGCAATCTGTGCACAGGCTACCCCTTCGTGATTTCGGCCATGTTTGGAAAGCTGTACCTCTGGAAGGGTAAAGGCAGCTCGGCAGAGGAGATTGGAGCAGCTCGACTGATTGGCATGGACCTGGGTCTGACGGGTGAATTTGAAGAAGTGACCGAGGGAGAGGAGCCCGAGAGTTTCTTTGAGGTGTTTCCGCCATATGCCGAGACTGGCGACTACATGGATGAGGACTTCTGGCGGCTGAAACCCAACCATGACCGTTTCCGCCTGCGGCTGCTTCGCATCGACCACGAGCTTGGACAGCGGTCTGGGTTCTGGCTCCGGCGATCAGGCTCGGCATCACCGGTGATCCGACCGAACGACACTGTCCAGGAGGTGGAGCCTTTCTGCCAGAAGGATCTCGCAGGAAAGGGGATCTATGTTCTGGACATCTTCTTCGAGATCTATGTGTAAGTATTTCCGTGCACGGACTTCCATTCCGATTGAAGAACTCATTATTAACCCTCTGTTCAGGATCGTTGGCGAACAATCAACAAACCGACCAGGCGAGTTCGCCTCGGCCGTGGTCTTCGCGCACGAGTATGGCATTCTCGCTGCCTCCCTTCAGGATCGACCGTTCATCCCCAAAAGCTACGTCGCACTGGGAGGAATCCCCGACTCCTGTCGCAGTGCATTCCGGAAATGGGTGCCGCGCTCTCCCTCCACGCCTCCTCCACGCGTCTTCCCTCTGAATGCTGCCATCGAGGCAATCCGCTCTTAGACAAACCCTTGATCTACGGCTCGATCTTTCGGTCTAATTTTCTTTCTGTTTCTACTATTCTTCTTTCTATGTTGATAGATTAAGTGCATTTGGATTGTGCATATAACTGGCTTGTACAGAGACGGCGGTCAATCGGAGCCAACGCCAGGACATAACTGGGTAGGAGCATGATCCAAGGAGCCTTGGGATGGAGCGAATTCGGGCGATCTCTTTGCATGTTTTTCACGGGAGTTACTTTCTTGTTTTTCTGTGCTTTGCGCTGTTTATATGGAGGCCATTTTCTGGTTGCATGTATGGGTTATCTCCAGGGTTTACGGGTAGACATTCTGGAGAGGACCAGATCGACTGGTTGTATTATCACATTTCTTGAGTGTTGCTAGAACATGGATCATCAACCCAACCTTTTCACTTTAGACCCATCTGTTCATGACTCTTCCATCTTATCAGCGCGAAAACCGACCGGACCGAAGTCCGACCCACTCCGCGTTGCCGTCATCCGTCGCTGCCTTTTCATCATCCGCCGCTTTGCTCTTTCCCTTCATCGTACGACAGGGCCAATTTTTTTTTTTTTTCCTCTTTCTACCTTCCCCTCTCCCCCCTCATTGGGGCAATCCTAATCCTGACAGGTGCCTACTACTAATTTTGCAGCCTTCAGTATGTCTTGATTGGTTCCGCGCTTCATCCGAACCCTTGGTGCTTCTTTTTTCATTTTTCTTTCCCTATCTATCTTTTCTTGTCTATCGCGATGTCTCCGAACCTCGACCCCGCCGTCCTCCGAGAGCTTTCGCGCCTCGACCCCGCGGTGCCTTTCCGCGCTTCCTCCGACTATCTCCACCACACGTGGGCGAAGACCTTTTACTCGCGACCCGAACTATACCTGCGACCGCAGTCAATTCCCGAGATCGAGAAGGTGGTGACGTTGGCTCGGCGATGTCGTCGTCGCTTGGTGGTTGTCGGAAGTGGCCACTCGCCTTCCGACCTGACCTGCACGTCGGCGTGGCTGGTCAATCTGGATGACTTTAACCGGGTGCTGGACGTTTCGCAGGAGACCGGGATGGTGACGGTGGAGGCGGGGATCCGACTGAGGGATTTGGGCGCACATTTGGAACAGTTTGGCCTATGCCTGTCCAATTTGGGTAGCATTGACGATCAGTCGATCGCCGGGGTGATTACAACGGGTACGCACGGGAGTTCTCTGTGCCATGGATTGATCTCTGAGTGTATCACGTCTCTTACCTTGATGCTGGCGAATGGGCAGTTGGTGCGCTGCAGCGCGACCAGTAACGCGGCGCTCTTCCGGGCGGCTCTGATCTCTCTCGGAGCGCTGGGCATCATTGTGGAGATCACTTTCAAGGCGGAACCCACGTTTAATATCGCCTGGCGACAGACCCGGCGCTCGCTGTCTAGCGTCTTGGACGAGTGGTCAACTGGGGTGTGGACCTCGCATGAGTTTGTTCGCGTCTGGTGGATGCCATATCTGAAGAGTGCGATTGTGTGGCATGCCGATAAAACCGATCGGCCTCTGCAGGCCCCACCCGCAAACTTCTACGGCGAATGGTTTGGATATCATGTGTACCATAACCTGCTGGCCCTCTCGAATTATGTCCCCCGAATCCTCCCGTGGGTGGAGTGGTTGGTGTTTGGGTTGCAATACGGGTTCAAGGCCGAGTCAACAGTGACTGAAGCGGTGGAGCCGGCCCGTCAAGGCCTGTTGATGAATTGTTTGTACTCGCAGTTTGTCAACGAGTGGGCACTACCTTTGGAAAAGGGTCCCGAGGCTATTACCCGTCTGTCCGCCTGGCTCCACGGCGACATGGAAACCGCGCGGATCCCGCTGCCTGTCCAAGGCGTGTGGGTGCATTGTCCAATCGAGGTGAGAGTGTCCGACACGACGCACAACCGAAACCCACGCCCGTTCCTTGACCCTACATGCGCCGACGGACCCACGTTGTATCTCAACGCGACTCTCTACCGACCATATCTCCGGGATCCTCCGTGTATGGAGCGGTATTACGAGGCGTTCGAGTGGCTTATGCGCGAGATGGGGGCGAAACCACATTGGGCGAAGAATTTCAGAACGACAGGGCCGCAAGAGCTGCGCGAGCTTTACGGCCAGGATATGGATGAATGGTTGGACGTGCGCCGGGAAGTAGACGTCGACGGCATGTTCCTTGGCGAATGGCATCGTCGCAACCTTGCTCTTCTCCCCCGTGGCGAAAATGAGTCAAAGGCCGCGGAGCCGGCTATTCTTCCTCTCATGGAGCGCGAGAAGGCCCGTCGCAAGGCGGACATTCATGGAGCCGGCGATGGAATGGAGTGGATTGGAGACAAGTCGTGGCAGGCGCATTCAGGGAACCAGGATGTTCCATCCAGTCGGGAGAAGAAAGAGTATGTTTTCCCGGACGGCGTGAATGCAAGTTCTCCCACGACAGCGACCAGCGAGGAAAGTTTCGACGTACTAGCCGCTGGTGAGGCTAGCATCCTTCTTTCAGATGACCGCTTGTAAATCAAATGAAGGACAAGGGGGTTAAAAAAAAACATCTCTTAGCTTTGTTCCTGTCCTCAAGGCAGCGAAAGAGAGAAATTCTCTGTATTATTTTTACCATTTGTTCTCTTGTCTCCCTGGTCCGTTGACGTCTTCAACTGGCCGGGTAGAATATCCTGTTATGACCATAAATGCACATTACTTCTTTTGACTTTTCTTTTTCTTTTTATCTTTTCTTATTCTGATTATTATTATCGCCGGTCACCCAATTCCCGCAGGTCTCTGCCGTTGCGTCTTACTCGGTTCTGATTAGCCCTGATTGTTTGCTTTTGAACCGGGGTCTGGATCGGCTTCTAGTGAGCACCAATGGATGGACGGTTACTCCGATTCTCGCCAATTCGGTCATTGGGTCAGCATTGAGACTGTGTTCGTGTCAAATTATCAGGTATCTTATTGCCAAGGAAGGCGGCTTTTCCTTGTCGTCATATCTGGCAGATTAAGTCTATCTCCGGCATCAGACTTCGGCTGTTAGTCTTGGTCTTGGGCACTGGTTATCATCCTGACGAAGGGCGCGAGGGGATGGATGCACGGTCACATGTACAGTATATCCAAAGTGTCATGTTGGCCCTGCGCGCTGAACAAGGCATTGTTATGTGCCATAGTCTTTGCCTAAAGTGGCGGTCCCCGTCTCCTCCGCAGTCGTCGGTGAGATGACCCCCGAGTTGCCTATATTGCCTGCCGGTATGTATATGCATGGAAGCCTTCTGCCTAGGCAAGGCTCATGTAGGTAGGTGGGAAGGAAGGGGGAAGGAGACCGGCTGTGTATGCACTGATAATCTTCTTTTAAGCATCAGCACTATTGTCTCCACGTATTTCCGTATAGACCTCTGGGGAAGGGAGTAGTGCCTACCATGGACTTACTCGGACTTCTAACCACACCGTCTTGTCCTATCCCAGCATCTGACTCACCGATCAGAATTGAAACCCAGGCTCTCTTCCTTGTCTAGCCCCTTCCACATCGTGAGCCCTGTGTAAGAGAAATACGCCGGGTTATGTCATGATATGCAAGGAATACCAGGATGATGCTCTTTGGCAGATGAAGAAGGATCGATGGGCTTACAAGGGGGACCCGAGATTAGGAGACCACGGAGGCCTGTAATCAATATTTTCTGTGCGAGGAATTGAAGGGCGACGGAGGAGAGAAACAAACGAAGGAAGGCGGACTGGGAGGGTTTGGAAAGGGAAAAGCTCCCGCCATTCGCCCTTTTCCTTCTCTTTTCTCTTTCCTTCTTTTTCTCCTTCTCACCAGCTCCCGGACTGTTGTACTTCTTCCTCCAATCGCCATGCGGTTGATCGCGCGAGTGAAACCCAATGATATGTATGGACTGACAGGTTTCATGGACGGCATCGTCAAGAAATCAATGAATATGGAGAGATTTCCAGACAACAAGAGCAGAGCAAAAGAAGTTTCGAGACTGGAAAGGCCATCCATATCAACTGCAAATCACTCTCTCTGTCCCCTAGGACCACGTCGCACCTCTAAAAAGGCTTCTGGGAATATACAGTAGCGACCAGATTCTACATACGGGGGAGGTACTCGAGTTCTTCAGCGCGAGGGCTCGAGGCCCGCGGTGGAGAAAGATGCCAGCAATATCCCCCCTCCGCCTTGTCTTTCTCTCCCCCTCCGACAGGGTGTGAACGGACCTATTGTCCCTGTACACGCTCATTCTCTCTCGCCGTGTCCCCTCCATTGGTCCCGGAGAGGCTCCCCTAGGCCCCAAGACGGGCAGAAAGAGAGAGGGGTACGGCTGCCCTGGCCCTGGCTCTTAGCACCTGTACTAAGGAGGGGGGGAAAGGGAGCGAAGGATGCTCATCCCTGCTCTGTCAGAAATCTATCTATCAGAAGTGACATGCGTCTTGAGAAATGGGATTGTTGAGTGGTCCTTTCTCTGCTTTTCTTTGTTTCCCCCTCTCAATCCTTGTTTTGTCCTGCCTTGTCATCTCTTTTCCCCACCCCCTTGACGCTCTATCTTTTGGACACAGTCAAGGGCGTTACCTGACGTACCGGGACGTGCATAGATATATACGAAGTCAAGGCTTTGGTGCCACCTTTCTGTGCACCCCAGACCATTTCGAGTCCGTCGGGCTGAGCTCTTCTGGCGGCACATTCGGATCCAGTCTCGTCAAGAGGGCCGCTAGCGCGACTGACTCTGAACAATCTACCGGACAAAGTGGCTGTTCAACACACCTGCCCGTCAGATGATATGCAAGCCTCGAGGGAAAGGCATAAGAAAAAGAAAGTCCATTAATGCCTCGCCTACTATACTGGTTCTTGCACGACAGCGATCCCCTGTAGGGGGAATGTGTTCAGGGATGCAAATCTTAGGGGCAGCGACCAATAAGCACATCTTCTCACTGCTTGCTGTACGCCGAAACCCAGTGTCGATGGAATCCTGTGTGACGAAATCTTGGTAGGAAAGAATTAAAGGCCGCGCTGAACTCGATCCGATCTTGCCGCGGTGATTATCCGAGCGAGAGTTAATGGGGGATTTTGTGCAGCTCCAGATGCAATCAAGGTGACCTGTATAGCGCAGTTATCGGACAAGATTTGCCTTGACAGCATGTCACGAAAACTGCCTATTGGATTGCTCGTCCGCTTGGCGTCGCGCTGGGTCAAGAGGAGGCACGCGCTCACCCTCTGCATACGATAGTTCTTAAAAGTGATGGTGATGGTCATCCGTGCGCCAATGACAATGGTTCGAGCAGCCGATACGCGCCCAGGAATGGCATAAGCTGATTTTCTTTTCACCGATTCAAAATCGTCCTCGATCCTGCAGCACATGTTCCATGCCTTGGATATGTGCCTCTCCTCCTGCCGCCAGCTTACGGGATGAGACCTGCATGATCTTTCTCCTTCTTTCCCTCTTTCCCTCTCTCTCTCTCCGATTGCGGGCAACGAGGGTCACTGACCATCTTTCCCGCCAGGTGATGTGATTTGAATGCTTACTTTGCGTGTCGCTGCCCAAATGACAAGGGTAATGTCCGGCTACTGCCGATGGTTTCTTTCCTCTTAATCGTTTTTAATTTCTCCATTTTATTCCCTCGCGGTGACGGCTCGGACCGTTGACAGGCATGACCCTCTGGCATGTCAAAGCCAGCGAAGCTGATCACCTGTATCTGAAAACAACAACCGACACAAAAGAAAAAAAAGAAAAAAAAGAAAAAAATTCACCCGCGGGGACCCCCCCTGATGTACCTGCCAGGCTGCCATCGCCCCAAAGGTCCGAGGGACGTCGAGCGACCGTACCGGTTGATATCGTGACAGAGCGCAATCCACGTCACCCTCAAGTCGTCCTCGGTGTACATCGCAAGGTGGGGAAGTCATTGTCGTGGGTGTCGCGCTGTCGGTGTATATGCGGGGCATCATTTCTCTTGATAAACTTGGTATCAAGTTGATCTCTCAGCCTCTCTTATTTTATTTTATTTTATTTTTTCTGGTTATGCTTTTATATTTCAAATTGTTTACCCCTTACGAATATCTGGCTGAACCCCCACCTGCTTGCTTCTCTAAAAGCAATCCCACTTCTACCCCTCCCCCTCCTTTTTTGATTATTTATTAAAAGAACTTTTTTTTTATTCTTCTAAACCCCTCCTGGGCTATAGATTATTAGTCAGGGCTCCTCGCTGCAGCCTTTTTGAACCAGTTGATCACCCAGGAAACGTGCAATTGTTCTATTCCACTTGCTTGTGCTCTTTGTCATATCGTTTAGATGTCTACCATGATGTCCAAACAACCCAAGCTTCGTCCCAAATCCCACATTCCTGGCTTTCCAGATGCCATGTATGACCTCTCGACGATATCGTCGCTGTCCAACCTGGAGTCGCGCGCGGGTCTAGGGGACGAGAAGCACGACCAGCGGGTTTTTCGAGTCAAGCGCAAGCATGTCTTGAAAGCCTGCGATCGGTGCAGAGTCAAGAAAACCAAGGTTGGTGAAACAGTGGAGGCACCTGGATCGTTCATTTGCACTTGTTTCGGCCTCGTCAAGTCACTCGATGGGCCAGTCATACTCATTCATGCTAGTGTGATGGGAAGCAACCATGTAATCGTTGTTCGGCCTACAATCATCCTTGTCTGTTCCGAGAGAGAAAGGCGACTCAGACGAAGGTCTACTCGCGCGGGTGAGAAATCAGCTTGTCCTTGTTGTTCCTGTCGTTGAGGTGACGCTGACCTAGATTTGGCATGATGGCTTTAGATTCGTCGAGATGCTCGAATCGCACCACTCTCTTGTCGTGAAAGCTCTGCAGAGGCTGTATAAGCTTTGCATCAACAAAGAAGACTTTCCCGGGGAGCCTCTCGTGGAAGCTCCTGACGGATATCCACTGACGCATGCGATCCTGGACCGTCTAGGGCTGATCAAGCAGGCCGAGGAGAATCCGGAGGAGCCAGATGAAGACACTGAAGACCTTCAGTATCTGCGGTTTCTGTCCACCTCGACCGGCTGCAGTCCCACAACCGATCCATCCCCGGAGCCCGCGACTCCACCGGATCCCTCGTCCAGTAACTGCAGCCCCACCAAGCTTTCGCCCAAATCTGGCGCATCCTGGAAGTGGGACTATCCGCCGCTCCAGCCAGTCAATCCTCCGGGCCACTATCCCAACTATCAATCCTTCCACGGCATGGCCATACCCCGGCCACCCATAATGCCGGCGGGTCATCCTACCGAGACCAAATGCCAGGAACCCGTCCACTCCGTGTCCGATCAGGATCACCCCTATCTCTGCTACATGGACAATAACTGTGGTGGAGAGTTGATGAAAAGTCGCCTCCCCTCTGGCATGACCACCGAGCCCGGTAGCCACCATATGCCAGCCCCGGCCAGCATGTCCGTTGATATCCTCGGAGACTACAACCTGCATCTTCATGAGCCGCAGCAGACCGTTTATTCCGGTATTGCACCTGGCTGGAATTTCCCGTGTGGGTAGCCGTATCTATAGGACCGATTCCTAGGATATCGTCCTTCTCTTATGTGTTCCGAGTTGTCTTTCAACTTTTTCCCCCTCCCTCCCTCTCTTTCTCATTGCCTCGCCCCAGAGATAAATATGCATTCTCGGACAATTCCGTCAAATCTCCTTTTCTTTTAGGATCATTATACCTTCACTCAGTCCGGCTTGTTCCTCACCTTCGTTCCTCAGACTATGGCGTTTATACCCCAACCCTATCGTCTCATGCCCCCATCATGACAATTTCCAATTCCAGACCATTCCAGAATACCCCAGCGTAGCAAGTGCATTGTCCAGTTATTTCTCTGTTCGGTCCCACGAACAAATAGATATCAGTTCGGCTCCTGAGACCCTAACAGATCGGCTTACAGTTTTGCCTGCTCTATGGTTTTATATCTTCTTCTTTCATTTCTACTTCTACTTCTTCCGTTACACCTACTTTACGACTTGATCACGCTTGCAATGATTTGTCTCCATACATATTTCTTTCTATATATATCCAAATATCCCGCAATGGTATTTCGTTGAAATCTTTTCGGACTTTTCGTTCTTGATGTATTCAGTATGGATATCTATCGTTGCTTTTTGCTTTCTCTATGTAGTTCTTCTCTTTTCTTTCCCATTTACGGTGGTGCGTCTTATTCTTTACTTGGCTTGTATGGGGTAAGTAGAACGGTTTAAACATGCCAAATAAGACGTGGACATGAACCTGGGAAGGAGGGATATAAAAAAAGAAAGAAAGAAAGAAAGAGATAGAAGAAACCAAATCAAGCGATGTTTTTTTAAATTTGAGAAATACATTTACTATAAGTAAGGTGTATATATACTTCCTTCCTACCCACGTTTTATCTAGCTAACTAGATTCCCTATATAGACCTCTACCTATAAAAAGGTTAACTGATATCATATCATTTGAGTAGAAACGAGGATTGAGAAGAGAATAGCACATGTGCCAAACCATGAAATAAAAATAAAATAAAAATAAAAGTAATAATAGAAAAAAGACACAAGCCATAGTTTTAGTTAACGAAGAGATAGAAAGAAAAGAATTCAACAGAACTCCCAAAGTTAATGCATGCATATATATATATACCTAATACCTAATAAGACAAGGAATGGAATGGAAAGAACGTGGACAGACAGACAGACAGACAGACAGACAGGGTAAAAGGTCGATATGCACAAAAGAGAAGATAAAGATAAAAGGTAAGAGGTCATTCATGTGCGCGTGCTTGAGTAGACTGGACTGCACATACATATCACAGCTCAACTCAGCTCAGCACATCACATCACATCCCTCCCGAAAAAAAACAAAAGTAAAATAAGCCCCAGGAAAAGGGGAAACAAACAAACAAAAAGAACCATCAAAGGGAATCATAAAATGATCACGCCACGAACCATTTCAAAAGAATCAAACACAACCAATAGATAAAGTGAAAGAAGGAAAATGTGTAATGTTGGGCTGTTTGTAGTTTTGATTTCTCTGAATCGCCCTATCCCATTCCATCAAATTCCAGTATTGCCTGAATAGATAGATAGTCTAGATTGCTTGCTTGCTTACTTACTTATTTGCCAGAAAGAGATGAAAGATTGATTGACTGATGGACTGGTAGATAATGTAGCAGGGCCTCGATGAAAATGTGGTAGGTATTGATTGGTATCTTGATTGAAGTAAAATTTTGTCGGGATCAGTATTCATTCATATTCCTTTCCCCCTATCTTCTTTGTTTTCTCCCTCTAGACATGTTTGTGGGTTTGGATGGATTGGTAGGTCATGTCACAAAGGATCTTCTTGAATTTGACTTTTTTTGTTTGTTTGTTTTCGCGCCACTTATCTATCTAACAGGTAAAAAATCAATCGTCGACATCGGTTTCAGTGTTGGTATCGCTGGTATCGCCTGCATCTCCATCGGTGTCACTCTCCTCCTCGCTGGAATCGGCATCCGGCTTCTTGGCTTTCTTGGTCTGGCCGCCCTTCAGGGCTTGCATTTGGCCGGCGATGGAGTCTAATGTTGTTTTCAGAGTTAGTTGTCTGATGGTGAGGGAAAGGGAAGTAAGAGGGACTAACCTTCTTCAGGATCACTAATATCATCTTCCACTTCCAGAGCCGCTGCCTTGGCAGGGTCGTCAATGTGCAGCGTAACTTCCAGCTTGGTGTCGAGACCAAGGTAACTGTCGCAGAGCATGTTCATGGCGAACGTAAAGTCTCCAACCTGGGGAGGAGCCTGGAACTGCATCTTAAGGGTCTGAACGTTGAAGGTGGGCTTGCCGGATTCGTCAAACAAGGGCTTGTCGAAGGTGGTGAAGGTGAAGGGAGGAACAGCCATCTTGCCCTGCTTGGCATCCGACAAGAAGATGTGCCACCGGGGAGAGTGGTCGCGAGCCAGGTACGGAGCATGAGCCAAGGGAGGCTGGACGGATTCCTTGCCCTTGCTACCCTTCTTCTTTCGGTCCATGAGAGCGTCAAGGTCGTCCTCGTCAGGGTCGACGTCTTCGAGATCCGCGGCGCTGACTTCGGGGACGTTGGTGTAACCGGGGGGGATGAATCGGGCCTTCACAACCAGCTGAACCAAGCTGCTTGGCGTGATGACCTTCTCGCCCATGACCTTGAAGAAAGCCTTGGAGACTTCCAGCGCGGGGAGTTGCTTGGCGACAGTGACGGCGGTGGCATACTGGTTTTCAGACAGGAGACCAGCGCCAACGGTGAGGCTACGACGCTTCTCCTCCGGCAGGCTCATGAACTTCTGCACGCTATAGTGCTCCTTGGATTCCTCGCCCTCGATGGACTTGGCAATCTTTTCGGTGAAGTAAGGCAGTTGCAGGAGCGGAGACGATCCCGGGGCCACGGCTTGGATCAAGTGCTGCGATGTTCTGAACGATCCCAGGATGGGACGGACGTTACCGAAAGCGAGCGTAATGGCGGTGAAAGCTTCGTTGAGGGCAAGCGCCGTAGGAGCGGCTTCGTATTTTTCTACGACGAGTGAGTATTTGTTCAACCGAGAGTGGGCTCAAACAGCCAGATCAAGGTTCACTTACCTCCGTTGAGGGTAGAATCTTCCAAGTCAATGCGGCCCAAGTAAGCCCACAGCAATGCCAGTGCCTTGCGGCGAGTAGAATCATCCAGTTCCTGAAGTTTCTTGCGATCCTGCTCCGAAAGAGCCGAGAAGTCGCCAGAGAGAACCTTCTGCTCAAGTTTCGCCAGTCCAGCTTCCGCGTGCGATCCCTTGAGCGTCTCCTTGTACTCGTCGCCGGACGACAGAGCGCCTACAATACCGCCGTCGGTGATGTCGTCCTTGTACTCGCGGAACATATTTCCGGCACTAGCGACCAGCACTCGTTCCTTGGTGTATCGCTGCGAGCCATACCACCACTTGCCGACGATGTACGGGAGAAGGACACCGAGCAGACCACCGTAGACCAACAGGACGAACTTTCCGTTTCCTTCCGTGACAATGAACTGGGGGAGGGCAATGCCGATGCTGAAGCTTTGCTTGCCATCGGGATGACCGTACTGGATGTAGTTGTTACGGACTTCCTCGTCGGTCAACGCCTTGTATGCCTTGGTCAGTTCAACGAAGCGATCGTTGAGAGTCTCGATGGTCTCGTTCTTGGCGGGATCGGGTCGGATCTTGTCGGGGTGGTAGATGAGAGAGAGACGCTTGTAGTGTCTGGAGATGGCTTTCTCGTCGGCGCTCTGTGTTTTCACCTGAGTTAGGGACTGTTCAGAGAAAGGTAGAACGCGAAGTGACTCACTCTCGAGATACCCAGAATATCATAGGGATCCCAGATCTTGGGTGACGTTCTCGCCGTGACGATGATCAGGTAAACCATCCAGGCCATGACCGCATATCCCAGGATGACGGTGACTATGCGCTTGATGCGGCGTTCCTTCCGCAGGCGTTTCCGCTTCTGTGCCTCAATAAGGTCGCCATGTTCGGGCTTGAAGTCCGATTTTATTCGGGGTGCGGTGTTCTCGAGTTCTGTTCCCAGCACCAGTGTTAGACGCGACCATCTCTACACCGGGGAACGCGAGAAAAAGATCCTACTTACCCTTGCTCGGCTTGAGGAGATTGTATGTTAAAGGGAGAGTGACAAGACCGGAGATCGTCAAGATGAAGAACGGGAAGAATTGCCCCTGGAGAATAGATTAACTGGCGTGTTCCAAGACAACTGCTATATGGGAAACCAACCTTGTCATCGTAGGTGTAGTCTGTCGACATGGTGAAGCGGGATCACTGCAGAACTCGCCCGCGATGGGCAGGACAAAGAGAGTAATAACCTCGGACACCGAAACCGATCAGATGAAGAGTTCCTGCGGAGGATAGAATATGCGTTGAAGTAAGATCAAAAGGTTGAGCACATGGGCATGCTCTCTTCAGCAGGGACAAAAGAGTGGAAGAGAAGGCCGGCCGACACGCAGCATCTCAAGGTTGCGAGTGATTATTATCGTATCGGCACTTCTGATCGACCGTGTCCTTTACGGGGCGACCCCGGTCTCACCGCCTTCCCCTTGGAGGTGGATGTGCTGGCCACAATCTTCAGGCCACGAAGGGTCTTTCTGGTCGGAGGCTGAGTCATTCTCGCCGGAACTTTTCTACTTTTGTGGTTTTTACGGTGTACATTGAATGGACTCAAAATTGAAGTTGATAGCGCCATTTCACGGTCTGTGTTCCCGTCGATGTTTCGCCGCATCTTGTAAATTGTACACTAATTGATATCTGTACAACTATTTACTGGATTTAACAGGGGCAACAGGCAAGGTCTGAGCTTGATTTTCCTAAATCAAACCGGATATCTGGTTTTCACTCAAGAATAGACAGGGAAAAAAATGATGCTGCTCAGACCGATTTCCTCCTATATTTGTCGGATGGTGGCAGAAGATCCCGACGGACTGACGGGAACGAGATCCCTGCGTGCTGTAGATGGCAAACACTGAGGCCGTCCAAGAGCCCGTCCACTGCGAAGGGAATTCAAGCGTCGACCAAAGACCAAACGCGAACTCAACCGACGAAGACAGCCGTGCTCTAGAACGGTGGCTCTCAACGTCGCTAACACGCAGTGTAATCTCTGCACCAGGTATCGCATGGCAAAGTCTGTAGGACCAATCCGATGCTCACTCAGGGAGCATCTTCATTGCTGCAAGTCGGCGACTTAGAGGGATCCATGGAAACTGGTGCCCCGGCATTCGGTGGGAAGATTCATGTCTGCTCATGGTGGTAATGCAGACAGGCGCCCGGTGGGTATCCAACGGTGGATTTGCCTTGTGATCTTTTTTGTTGCTTTTAAGAAACCCCTTCCAATTTTATTCCTTTTTTTTCAGGATGAGAAGAAAATGAAACTTTTTTGGGAATCGAGGCAGCGAAGCCACGGCCACATGCTGGACTTGACTAGTCATCCCGGCAATGGCGTTATGCTGTGGGAACTGAAAACGGCGACAGTCAGAATAAGGTGATCAATTAGGATATCCGACGAGGGTACTCACGCATTCATATAGTCCAGTCCATCAAAGTATTCCAGCATGCGATAACACAGGCCGACATCATCACCCGGTTCGCCTCCGCAAAGACGATACTGCTCGGCTTCCATCTTGGTGGACTCAAACCGCGGGGTGCGCTCACGTTTCTGCCACATTATATACCCATTGTGCCAGGTCGGGGCGGGGTGTATCGAAATGGCGTCCAGTGAGTCACCGACAGCGGAGGTGCGACGGGAAGTAGAAGCCGGATCGAAGAAGGTGACCGGACGGGGAGTCGGTTCGACGGGGATGATGTTGATGCTGCGATTGCGAGATCGTGGTCGTGTACGGCGTCTGTTGTGCCTCTGGCCCATCCTCTAACTTTTTGGAGAAGGCGAATGTAGGTTGAAGGTGTAGATGAATTAGGTGAATGAAAACGTAACGGGCGTCAAGACGTGAGGAGGGGAGTGACCATCACCCCCTTGACAGGATGAGATGAGGTGGGAAAGAAAAAGCTCGCCGGGGAGCAAGAAGTACGAGGACGAGGTTATATACAAAGGGCCTTCCGACATGCCGGGATGAGTTGGCTGCTGTGGTGTGACTCACTACGGCCCAATCGGGTAATCGACTGAAAGAAAAAAAAAAAATAAAAAATAAAAAAAAAAAAAAAACCAACAAATAAAGAAGGCCAAAACCGGCACGAAAAACTCATTCATCCGGAGTGGATCCACCCCTTTTACGGAAATGCCAACTCCACCGCCTGCAAGTCTAGAATGACGATGGTGAAAAATGGCCTCATGGAGTTAAGGGATTGCGTAGGGCCGACTTGTCCATGTCGTGCTTTTCTGCCTGACTCATCCGGTTTTCGGTCCAAAAATTCGGACTCTTTGACTAATTCCAGAGATGTCGCCATAGTACCATTCTTTGACTTTCTTAGAAATAGGATATTAAAATTAGGAATTCTTTGTACTACTTTGTGTAGTAGTACATATGAAGTTATGAATACTGTGTAATGCACCCATCAAGCCATCCGGGAGCAAAGCTAGGGTGGATGCAGCGATTTAACTCGGCAGACTAACGATGCAAATTGCAAGGATCCGTCTGCATGACGATCAGGAGACGTTACAAGTTTGCACTTGGCCGCGAATTCTTTGAGTGTCACTGACAGTGAGTGAGGTGGTCTGACGGTAAATTCTCGTCCTGCCGCTGTCGGCCCCGACCAGGAGCGAATGGTAGAGCCCCAAGCGGCCATCGATGCCGTGATTTCCCGGATGCTGCCGTACGGTCCGATCGGCGCTATTTTTCTACCTGAATTATTATTCAATTGACAATGACAACGCACGCCTCCGTCCGGTTCATTATTTTTTTACTCATTCTTCATTGCATATTAAGGGATGAAAAAATTTTCATCGCCCATCTCCCCGTCCTAGGCCCCAACTTAGGGTTGACGGCGGAGTCCGATCAAGTAAGGGGCGAGTCCAATCCGGTTAGTTTCAGGGTTTTTCTTCTAGGCAGCTTGTTCTGGACGTTTCTCGCCATGGAGCCTTCATTTCCATTATGGGCCTGAGGAATTAAAGTCGACTACCCGGATGCTAATGGTACTATTACGGAGTACATACTAAAGGTGGAGAGAATAAATAGTGCCTGGCGACTGGAACATGTCTAACATGGAAGTCTAAGACTCCAAGGTACTTTGTCGATGGAGCTTCGGATACTACTATTTAGCACTCACTTAGCTAACAGTAGCTGTTAGCTTTTAGCCCTAACACGAAACCGCCCGTAGTACAAGATCCACCCCCTATTATGCAATTGTTTGATCATCTAATAGCCCTAGGGCTATTTCTATTTTCTGTGTCACAGTGTGTATCATTTCTATGGGGTAACTAGACTACAACCTACACAATGAGCACTCCTACGGTGTACACAGTACGGAGTATGTCATTTCGTCTACGTCTTACCTCATAGCCCTAGCCCTCTGCGCAAATCAAGGCTGCGAAGGCATCTGAGTCGACCAAACTGACGAGCTCTCATGCAATCTCCGTCGCAGCTCACGGCAAATGTCGTCTTATCCCGTTTCAAGCTCGTGGGTCTTTGCGAAAGTGACGTGATGCCGGCGGGAGATCGGTTCAGGCAACGGCGATCTCGCGAATAATGAGCGAATTTTCCTACCCGTCTGGACCTCTGGAGTCTGGACGTCGGAGCCGTCGCTGAGCTCCGGAGCGGCATACTACTAGCAGGTAGCTAAGCTAACCGTAACTAAATTCCGTAAGGGGGACCTTGTGTGGACTTGTGGGATGGAAACTATTTCAGCCGAATCATGTATCCCGTAAGATCTGACGCCAAGGTCCTTTGCTCCATTTGCTGGCTGGTGCAAAACGCACAAAGCCGTTTTATGGGTTATGAAACAGAAGAATAGAAGCAGATTCTTGAGGAATTAATTCAGGCTTGTAGAAACCGGCCCTGTCTGCTACGGGAGGTTTATCTGCAATTAGCAATTCTTCAGTAATGCAGTTTAGCTATACCTACTCCATAGGTAACGACATGATTTGGTTTGATCAAATTTCCCTCACCTTGACATGATGCGAGATCTACATCGCCCTTGCGTAAGAGCGTTTTAGGCCGCTTGCATCGAAAGAGCGCAGGACTAGATTACGAATTGAGATTGGCATTACTCCGTAACTCCCTGGATACCACTGAACTGCATCTAACTTTTCTCCAGGAAATAGATATAGAATTTGAATGGTGAATACAAAGGTGACGCTCTGATCCGCGACGAAATAGGCGAAGACCGCCCACCCATATCCTTGCTGGACGATCTCGACGGACTGGACTACTCGCACGAAGGCAGCATTGATCGTTTCTCATGTAGTCTTCTTCTCTATTGCTGTTAGGAAATTACTTTTAGAAATGGGAAAGGCCCTTTTCTTCGCCGATACAAACCTTCAAAACAAAGCTATGGGTGACTGGCTGGCCGAAGTCAAGAAGTCCTTCAGGGTCGTTTACGCAAAGGTCGTTGGCAACGCCTAACGCCATATCATTTATTCACTCTTATCCTCATGTATCACCTTCACTTTACGCTGCACCATTTCTCCTCCCTTTTTTACACGCCCCGTTTTCCTCGTCACCGTCAACTTTCCACGGCGTCTTTCCTCTAATACGCCTCGTTCCACACCCCAAAATGCCACCAAAAAACCCCTGCACAGCTTCAAACTGAGATACGCGCCCTGAACAGACGGATCGAAGACGAACAGACAGGCCGAACTACTTCAGATCGAAGTTGACGCTCATACCGCGCTCTACGAACAAAGCGTACGAGAAACACGCCGCATTGAAAGACACTGTCCAGGAGCTTAAAGATTCATCGCCGCGCTGTGGAAACCAGAATCATCGAAATCGTCCGTAACACTTTAGACCCCCGACAGCGAACGCCTGCTTTACGTTCTACCAGGGACGAGATCCCCTAGACATACGCAAAAAAACCCGCAAAAGACACGCTGTGTAGGGCTGTCAAGTCAATCCGTCACTTACGGTGGTATATTCAATAAAAACAACTTAACTTATTATTTCGCGTGGCTAGGCCCACCTGACTGGATATTGGGAGTGTCTAGGCACGTCAGGGCGGCTCACCTGGTACCCAAATCGGCTTTTGGGCCCTGGTGGGTTTTCGTATCTATTCGGAGAAGAGGACGCCCTACTTGAAGATCCGCGGAATGGCATATCGCTCGCTGCATAGCCAGATCGAGATCGGTAAGAACCGAGAGTTGTCCGGGATGCGTCGATAAGAAGGGGCAACGAATGGTCGTTGGAAAGGCATGGTCACCGAGGCACACAGCGGCAGCCAATCCCGGTTTGGCGAGCTTGATGGAGAAGAATTTGAATTTTCGAAGGTTTGTCGGGTTCGGAGGAGTTGAGTTCTGAGCTGATCGATTGTCAGATGGCAAGTTGGCGATGCATGAGTTGGTCCTTTGATTGACCTGTTGGACGGTGTACGACCAACCAATGAATTTCTTTTCTGGACCTTTTCAATTGCTTATCTTGCTTTACAACAATCTATTGCTACGGGGTATCTGGCATTGAATTGATATCATTATACAAGTTTTGAAATCCAGGTGAACCATCTGCGAGCCCTTACATCAGGCATAGCGGTTCTGTTCAAGCCTCATAGCACAAGGAGCACCGAAGAAAAGAATATAGACCTCGTAGCTCATGTTCATATCCATCGCTCTCACCGAGTCACACTGTTCCGTCGCGACGCCGCCCGGGATCCGCCCACCAGACTGTTCCTGCGCGAAGCTGCACGGGATCCGCCAACAAGACTGTTTCTTCTCGACGCGGCCCTTGATCCTAGGTTCGCTGTGGAAGGTCGACGGCTATTGGCGGCACCTTCGGCACGAGCGTTGGAAAGTTGTTGGGCGAACGGCGAGCGCTTTCGGAGGGTCGGGCCGTACCAGTAAATCACGTAGACGGAGATCACAAGGATGACGGAGATACAGACTGCAGGGAAGATCGATTAGAAAACCTTTTATTGAAAGAGGGAGAATACAGGTATAACCCACATAGGATGGTTGAAGCATATTCGAGATGGCGTTCACCACCGATGTCTGTTGATATCCTGTTAGCCTCATTTCGTAACTAGGGAATCTTGAAGATTCGGCACATACTTGTGAAAAATGGCGTCGCTGGCACAGTCAAAATACCGGCCAGGATATCTCGAGAAAATCCATTACCGCCGGTGGCGGAGGCCGCGTAAGGTCCGTAGGCACATATCATGTAGTCAATCGTCGCCATGTAGATGGCGTAATTGGCGACACCCACAATGGCTGCGAAAACCATTGTTCCGATCCAATGGAGAGGGGGTCCAGACGAAGTCCATGCAAAACCGATCAGGCCGATCGGAAGGCAAGGCGCAGTATACAGTAGCCACCACAGTCGGCTCTCATATTGTGCCTGCTCGTCATCTGGCTTGGCGCGGCGTTGAGCTTCGTTTCTCCTGATGGCCGGGAAGAACGAGAGCCAAGCAGCGACGTAGCCAACCAAGATAGCACAGAATGACAGCCCAACAGCCACTGGACTGAAGTCCCATTGAGCATACACCAATGCGAAAGATTGAATGAACATGAAGATGAGGGCGTCGCTGAAACCACTGAGAAGAGAAAGAGTTAAGACAATGGGCTCGGTCACAAACATCCTAAAAGGACGGACCCAGGTGATCAGGATCTCGCGCATCGAAAAACGTTCCTTCCAAGTGAGCACCTCGTTGGGACCGTAAACCTTCGTTTCGCCGTTCTTGCGTCGCTTCTTGGCAATGTTGTCCATCATGATCGTGGTGCGGGTCTCGGGCACAAAGAAAAGATGCATCAACTGCGTGAAGCCTCCGAAGATAAGCTGAATCCACATAGCCCATCGCCAGTGCAGGTACTGCTCTACAAAGCCACCAACCACAGGTCCAAGAACAGATCCACCGACAGATGAGAACACCACACATGCGACAGCGTATTGCTGATTCTCCGGTTCCCAGAGGTCTGCAACCATTCCCAGTGTCACCGAGCCACCGGCCAGACTCAATCCTCCGAACGCCCGACCAACCATGATCGTTGCAAAATTCGGGGCCAGGGCTACGGGGAGCTGCCAGATATTCACGAGCAACATACTCAGCTGCAGTATAGGCTTGCGACCTAGCTCCTCACTCCATGGGGCCCAAAGTTCGCAGCCAAAGGCGTAGGTGACCAGGTAGATCATTGCGCCACACCGCGCTGCTTGCATGCTAACTCCGAATTCCTCCGAGATACCTCCAAGGGCGTTCGAGTATAGACTGGTGTTGAAATTCATGGAAACCTGAACCAGGAAGATGATGGTGATAATGGTCCATTTCTTCCATGATGGGAAGCAAAATCCGAGTTCCTCGTAACAATCATCTTCGGTGAGCACGATCTTGTCAACCGCAGGATATTCCAGTTGGTCCAAGGAGCCCTTTTCCCGAGGCGGTGCGTTACCGTTGCCACTGGCTGCAAGGGCTTCGGCAATTTGGTCATGGTTGTTTGACAGACTATCGTTTTTGACCGCCATGGTGGTGACCGTTGACCATGAGGACTGTGCAAAAGGAGGGACGGTCACGATTCGGGAGGGACGAGGCGAGGAGGGTTCGGGTTGTCGATGAGAGTAAGTGGATGAGAAAAGAAAGAGAGAAAAGGGAGCCTGTCCAAACGTGGCAGATCGTCACTATATAACAGAGCGCAATTTGCCAGGTAAAAAACCCGGACTACGTCCGACCCCGGACAGGCAGCACGCTCGGGACGCGGGGGCAACAGCCAGGAAAAGCAGGGCCAGCATACCGGCAATGTCCGACTAGTATGATATGGAAAATACGGGGAGATCATGTCATTCCTCGACCACGATCCGCTATGGCCGTCTGATTAACCAGTTCGGTAATCCGGTGAGAAAATTTCCCCAGGAATCGAAACCCCAGGGGCAACTGATCAGTCATGGAAACCGCCCGAGCCAAGCAGGATCGAAATCCCGAAAAGTGCACTGGGCTGATTCGGCCATGGCCGCCGCCATGCCCGCCTACCCCGGCGAGCACAGGGTTGGCCGACGCCCAGTAGCGCGCAACTAGTGACTTCCCCCGGCCGGGGTCCGAAGGTCAAATCCGGGAAAAGATCTCCACTCCACAGTCTGATCCCACGGCCTCTGACGACACTTATGTCCACCGACGAAAATTTTCAATGCCCTCTTTCCCAATCGATGGCATATTGGGACGATCTTGAAAGCCTTGGCGTAGCGGCCACCCCGGTGGTGGATAGAGGAGCCACGAATGAAAAGGCTGGCTTCCCCTCGGCTTTTCTGCTTCACATCGCTATTAGGTTGGACGGTCGCATTTTGCGGCAGAATGAACCAGAACCTGGAAAGACCACGTTGGAGACGGAACCTGGCCAGTCCCCACATCGTCCTGGACGATGTAACCGTGTTCGACAGACGCAACGGTTGTCAGATCCCTCCGGGTAGTCATGGCTTTCCGTTTTATTCATGTTTTCATCATTCGGAGATGATGCCGACAAAAGCAGATTCAGGGCATCGGGAGACCGAAGAAAATGGTGTGGTTCGGCATCGTTCTCCTTGGCCGTGTTCAGGGCAAAGTTGGAACGAATGCTTGGGTTCCGTGGCTGCGAGCTTATTCTCAACTCCAAGACTCCAAGACGGCCCGAGAGTCAGTCCTCACGTGCCTCGTATTCCCGTGACTTCTCCGTCCATCGGCACTTCATGTACTCGGCGTAGTTACTAGTTACACAGACACAGACGCAGACCAGAGCACCTCCAGTGTTTGGCCAGCCATCCTTCTGCTTCTTTCGACGGAAAACAATAATCCTCTACCCAAAATTCTCCTAACGCCACGAGAATCCAACCCCCCAGACTACGGAGAAGAACGGGAAGCAAGCGTGGGGGAACGGCGGACCGCCCAAATCGACGTCATTGGCGCTCCTTCATCTCCACCGGGCAACATCGTTGCGTTGGCCCACTCGGTCGAATCGGAGGGAAGCAACATTCAATGAGTGCGTGCATAGTACCAGACCACCTGGTCCAGAACATTGAAGCCGAACTGGTGGAATTCTCAGATATCATGCAAAAGCTCACTACGGCTCTCTCGCAAGGCAAAAGAGTGCCTCTCGAAACGTTTGGATAGACACGGAAGATTCAGGAAGGTTGGAGAACTCTCGAAATGTCAAAGGCCTTGAACTCGATGCAGTCCATGACCCACTAAAGTGAACGACTTTTCCAAAAAGAGCAAATGCCGTACATGGCACTCTCCGATCTTCAGCATGCCAGTCGGACTTTTCAGAACTCCCGGCCTTCTACATCTGGAATGTGGGTACAAATTGACTCCCGTCCAGCCTACAGGCTCCAGCCCGATGATCTTGAGTTCTGCCCCTGGATTGAACCATGTCAGTGACCGTAGAATACTGGGGGTTTAGACTTTAAATATGGGCCCGATTCTCCATATATAATGTCGGTGAACATGGCTAATTGACTCCTTTGTAGGTTCAAGCGCAAAGGTTGGCAAGGGTAATTTTTCATGGGATCCAGCAGTTTGATCGGGACACCTGACTGAATCAACAAGACTAGTCAATACCCCGGCCATGCTACTGGATGGGTATTATTAACTTGAGCAGAGGGGCGTCGGAAGGCTCTAGTAATGAAGGCCTTAAAATTTTGAGCAAACCATCTCCTTCGTCGAACTACCTTTTCGTAGCTTATCAATTCCAAGCCACTTTGGGTGTTGAACTGAACGATGCCATGGTATTGCTTTTCCAGGACCCAGCATTCAAAGCGCCGTTCCTCTGACGGGCCGACAACCGTAGCAGAGAAAAGGAACAAAGCCTCTGAAATTGGAGATCCGGTATTAGTCGACGGAAAACGACGCAGCAATATTCTGAATAAGTTTCGAGCTATGTAACACGCCTGCCCTCAGTGCATGCATTGGGCAGCCTGCTGGCGCACTCATAAGCGCTTGCATTTGTCGCTTCCAAACAAACGACCATGAAATACTGCGAGACCATACATGTATAACTTTCTCGACGTCGAACCCATCCTTCGAGCCCTTCGAGTCGGTCCACGGAAGCACATACCCGCGTTGATTTGCCACGACCCGAATTCCTCGATCCTTAAACTCCGTGGTATAGTGTGTATGCCCAAAAACCCAGACTTTGACGTCACTCGACCTTGAAATCTGCGAGAGGATATCGGTTGCAAAGGCGGAACTCCAAGGGTTGTTTGCGTGCTGCGGATGGGATGTGCCCTGGAGGGCCGGGGCATGGTGCGTCACAACTAGTACAGATTGTTTCTTGTTCTGTGTCTTGTTCTTGCTTTGTATTGACTCCATTTCGCTCAGCAGCCAACGCAGGTCTGCCTCATGATATTCATTGTGGTCGTTCACGGTCCAATCTTGAATTTTCTTGAAGTCTTGTATCTTCGAGCAGACAACGTCCTTTGCTTGGTCCGGAACCCTAGACCAGAGTGTGCAGCCAAGGATCGTAAAATGGGTCCCGGGAATGTCGTAGCGTCCCCGCTGGAGGGGATGAGGCGCCTGTTCAAGGAAGGTTCCTGTTCGAGTTGTCTAGCCCTTTGAAGTCCTGCTGCAACGGTGTCATTGTAGAACTCATGGTTGCCGAGTATCAGAAAGACAAGCTCGAATCGGTCTGTTTGCTTTTGTAAGAAACAGCGATAGTTGTCGTAGTCCACTAGTCGTCCAACATCCCCGGCGAGAATGAGATGTTTAGCACATACAGGTATCTCAAAAGTCAGGTATTGTTGGTTGATCTCGAGATGAAGGTCAGAGAGAACTTGGAAAGAGGCGAATGGCTTATGGAGAATCGAGAGTATTTTCTCAAACATTATGCTATGCGTATCCATTCCGAACTGTTTGAGAGTCCCTGGGGAAAGGGGGTGCTTTAAGCGCCGTGCCAAGGCTTCACTTAACCGTGGTTATTTAAAGCATTCCATGTTGTCCGCTACGTAGTAACTACGTACACAGTATAGTCATGCATACGTAGGTAATAACTCGCTATGGCAGCCTAAAGCTAAATATCTGTCCATCTAACTCCTCCTCACCCACTCAGTCCTCGACCAACTCCTCTTTCCACCGTCCATCGACTGACTTTCTTTCCAGTGCCCAACATGGATAACGCTTATTACGACGCTGGAGCTGCGCCATCCGATGGCCATGAGAAAGCTTTGAAGCGTACACTGGAGGGAATCGAAGATGCCGTTCAACGTTTGTTGCTGACACGAAAATCCTATGATAGAGCAGTTGTACTCGCGTTACGTTGGTTCAATGAAGATAAGGGCCTGGCCCCCCTGCAGACAGAACTTCTGAACCTGTTCTCCCAGAAGTTCCATTATGATACTGAATCAATCATCATCCCATCCACTTCTATATTAGAGTCACGAAGCATACGTGCAAAGGTCGCAGATGTTATCAAGAAATATGACACTCCTCGTGCCCTTGTAGTCATTGTTTGCGGAGGACATGTTGCTTGGACTGGACAATTTTTCTCATTCTCGTAAGTCTGATTAATTCTACTTGATGAATGAATCTTGAAGCTGACGGGATTAATCAGTGGAGCCTTAGGTGGTGACTTTAGAGAAAGGACAGCTTGGGACTCGGTGAAATCTCCGGTTGAGGCTGCTAAACATTGTGACGTGTTGGTGATTGTTGACTCTTGTGAGGGTACAACTCCAGGATGTGTTGTTAACTGCGGAGGGGCCTGTGAATCGCTTTCAGCCCTCTCGACCAAAATGCTAGGAGTAGCGAACCTCGACTTTGGTTTCACCAGACGTCTGATCGGCCTCCTGAAAGTAGTGCCGCCGGATGGCCTAACAGTTGCGCAGCTCCATGCCAAACTCTTCACTGGGGCAAAGAACCAGCTTACCAGTTTGGGTTATACTCCAACTTACTTTTCCCATTCAAGGAAACCCTCGATTCTTCTTCATCCCCTGCACAAAGGTCTACAACAAGTTCCTCTCAAGCAAAACCCCGAAGTAGATGGACAGAAAGTCTTATGCTATATTCAACTTGAAAGCAAGCCCACTCTCCCCGATATCAATAATCGGTGGAGGAACTGGTTGAAGGCGCATATACCTAAGGATATCTTGATCGAACTAGAGGGTGTGTTTGACGGCGATTCATCACTCTATTTGTTGACGGTTCCGCTCGAGGTCTGGAACATACTGCAGTTCACAGGGCCCTATAAATTTGTGGCATATGTTCAATCAAGCAACATACTAGACACTAATCCCACCCGCCCAGCCGTCAGTTCTTTCGAGCATGGTCCTCTTTCGCTTAGGGAACGTGCAACTTCAACGTGGAAGTACTAGTCTTTCTTGTCCTTTCTGGTATGCTCGTCTCGGAGCTGCGCACCCCCTTTTGCACTCTGCACCCTTTGGATTACTTTTATTCTGTACTGAGATAACCCTTTTTTAATTCATTTGCTTCTCCCCTTTTTTGTCTTCTATCGGAGATTTCCACATTCAATACGCCCCGAATCGCTGTAATTGGTAAAGACAGTTTTCGAAGAGGTGGCAGTGACACCCCACGAGCGCTAGATGTACTGAACGCATGACATGAGTCCATGAACTCACTCTCTGGTAGACGGTGCTCGGAAGTTTGACGAGCTATGCAATGTATTCACTCCACGCCGAACTCTGGATCGATGTCACTTCTTCCAGAAGCGTGAGAAGTGATATGTGATTCCAGGCAAGGCTTGTCTGGCAGAGCCAGCCAACAGTCCTCCGTCACCAACTCGATCTTCGTACCCTGTAGGTGTGTCCCCTCTACTCATACAATGTTGTATCGTCAAGAATGTTTTGCATCTTCGAGATACGGGAATGAGTTGAAACTGGATTTGAGGTTGCGTTGTCCGTGTTCGCCGATCGTGCCCCGGGGGGTCCTACGGTCCGATACACCGTAAATCTTCTCAGCAGAAAAAATATTCGATAAACCAGAGAGTAAATCAACCTTGAGTCACTTACCAGTTGTTTTTCATTTTTCAACAATGAAGCCAGAGTGTTGCCGTGGCTCAACTCTCTTGCGATTGAGAAATGACCCCTTCCCATACAAGAAAGTCAAAGAAAGAAAGAAAAAAGAAAACTAATAGACGAAGATACGGTGAGAATAATGTTTGAGAAGATTTGCGTCAATGGTTCACATGGCAGTGGCAGTCGAGGAGAGATCTAAGAGAGGCTACACGCGAGAATTGACTCCCTCAGAATACAATGCAAGGAGGCAACTAGTACAAGCAACAGCATTGTATCAACAATAAGGCGAGGTGAGACAACTGTTTGGGTGACCACTTTGATTAAACCTGCATTGGACTGATCGTCCCTTCTCGCTTCGTTCTTTTAGATACATCGTTTTCAATTCCGTCCCTGACCACCTGACAGAGAGGTGGACCCGCTGGAATGCTGTCCCTTCTCACTTGAGTTCAAACACGTCCAGCCCTCCAGATGGAAAACCCCGTCTATGTAAGAATATCGACTGTATGCTGGCCAATCGCGTCCAAAGGGGCATTCTGGGGTACACGGATATCGATTGAGCAAATTCAAGCATGTCGGGAGAATCCTGTGGGCATCCGGGCATTCCTCCCCGGGGCAAACGTAGCCGCGAAAGTGCTTGGTGGCCTATCATATACAACAAAATTTAGCTGTAGCCACTAGTATTATTATGAATTTGTATCTGTAAACGCACTTCGCAAACCGAAATGCGGTCACAATGTGGGAGCTGGTAGACCTTCTCGGCTAGATTGGCGCCGCAGAGGGTTCTGAGGTAATCTCCATCATAGTCAGGGGGGGCGAAGCTGAGCAAGTATAGAAAACTCCGGGCCAGCTAGTTGTTGAAGTATTTCGGCAGCTGGCCGCTAGACCTGGGGTGATAAGAACATACATAACCGTACCTTTCTGAGGGACGTCTCCACCGGCTGGGACAACGTCCTAATTCAATGCAACTATCTTGACCCCATCTTTACTCCTGACCCCCCGGGAGGGGCCTCAATGCCTGAGATGCGAGATGTTGCGACGAGACCCGCCGGTTCGCACGGGAGTTTGCTGACACTTTCCAAAGTACAACACGCACAATTTGTCGATTTGCTCGAGCACGCGTACTCTGCCAGCCTTCAGCCAGGCCTAGAGTTGCCTTCAGCCAGGCGTGTTCAACATTCTCACAAAGAAAAGAATCAGTGCGCTTCCACCTTTTTGGAGCTCTTTTCTCGTCATAAGTAATGGCTGCTCGAAGCATTGTTAAGATCGTGAGACATCTTGTTCACGTAGCAGCTATCCTCAGGTTACCACAAGGCCTGATACAAAAACAGATGACATATTGTCTATTAGTATTATGGAGCTCTGCCTGGTCTTATTCAGCAGTTGTGCCGAATTTTGAGGGGTCATTCGTGGCACATAATTCTCTCGCTTTGCTCCAGTAAACACTAATTCGATCTAATATACTAATCATGTTGCCCGTTTAGTTGTTGATCTTCCCGGCTTAAAGGCTTTCGAGATGATGTCCGTAGCATTCAGCTTCCAGCTATCGTTCAATCCTTCTCTCACGCTCGATGCTTGGGCAGATTGCAGGACGCATTGAGTCGAGTCGAGCACTATAAAGCACTTGAGCATAAGATCCCAACCGTTACATATGGCAGGAAGCAGAAAACAACCACAATACCAGAGCGGAACGATGCGCAACCTTTCTTTATAGACTGTATTTTAGTCCACTTGCGCCAGTATAGGAGCAACAGAGCCCAGCGCCACCAATGGCTCCTGAGTGGACCGGTGTTCTATATATATTATTTGACATGGAGTCACCGCAAGACTATGATGGCTGTCATGAACTAACTTTTGAGAACACCACATTGATTTACCCCGGAAAAACGCTTTTGCAATACATTGACACAATTAGGACGTTACAGAAGACTCTCATTACTGTGGCATAGATCATAATCACCGGTGTAGCTTCATTCTCGCCATATCAACGATACCTCCGAACACTGTAATTTCAAAATTATTTATATGTCCAAAAATCAAGACCTAATATATCAACTAGCATCATTGGTCTAGTGGTAGAATTCGTCGTTGCCATCGACGAGGCCCGTGTTCGATTCACGGATGATGCATTCTTTTTTTGTTTTTTGCTGGCCTGACTTCCCTCATTACTTCTGTAACCGGTAGACCAAATCAAAAGAGCATTTCGTTTACATTACCGGCGCTCGAAAAACTTGGCCTCACAGAGTCCTAGTCGAAGTTAAGAATGCGTTTACAATATCTACGTGTGAAGAAGACTCAATTCATGGTATGTAAAAGAGCAAAAACGTATGATAGAGCCAATGAAGCAACTCCTCTAGCTTTCAACAGACTAACTTACCCCTAGGAGGTCCTTGAAATGTCAGTAAGATTGGCGATTCTTCCTCTGAGATACACCTATGGTAAAGTCAACCCAGAGATCTGATTTAGAAACCCTTCGCAATTCCCACAGGTACCGCTTCAATTTCATCTATCGGCGAAGACTCGATAATCGACCGTTGGAACGCCCCTTTCTTACCGGCTGAACAACCTGACTGTAATATTTGTGGGCTGTAATGGACACCTTTTGTCCATCCAAAAGCTTGGAGGCCAGCCTTAAAAGGAAAGGCTCCGGAATGGGGTTGGGATCAGGCCGACAAGATAGCCACGTGCTGGTCCCATGACAGATATACACATCCACCAACAAGTCTCGAATCGCTGCCGATTCCGCTGTGTTTTGGTAGGTATATTCGATGACATCCAAAGAAGGGCGATCAGTTCCGCCCCGGGCAGCGGTTTGACTTTTCTCGACAATAGCGTCGATAATAGCGTTCTGAAACTTGGTGTCTAGTAGTCTGTCGCCCAAGACATAGGCCTTGACTAGGTGCAGGTACTCCATGGTTCCGGTCCAATCTCGTCTCTCACCTATCACTGGCAGTGTGCCGCAGTAGAGCCAGTGAGCATAAAGTGCGAATATCTCCACGTCAACGTCCGGGAGTTGGACGGTGCGTTGCGCAGATTCCTTCCATTCGCCCGCCATGGCCTTATCGAAGAAAGGAGAAGAGGCACGGACTAGCGATTCATGGACGCTGTAAATGACTTGCTCACTTCCCACTACTATTTCGATAGTACTTCCTAGTAAGCTTGGTCTAGGTTAGCACGTGTAGGTTATGACAGACTCGGTGCCTTCTTACTTAGTGGCATTCCCTTTTGGGACCCGGATTGATTTCGGAGACATCGCTCCTTGGTTATTGAGGGGGTAGGCAGTTAGAATAGTTGAAAATGTGAACTTGTTTTTGAATTTGTCAAGGTGTCTTTTTGATCCAGCAATTTAAGGTGCAAATGATGCGCAGCTTCATCATTCTCCGGAATGACGGAATGAGCCAGCTGTTAAAATGAACATATGTCACCAATAAAGCATGCCACGTAATCTATCCGTCTCAAAAGCATAAATAAGGAAAGGTATGGTCATAAGAAAGGATCTCTGCACCTCAAACACCTACTTCAACACAGTATAACCTCGAATCCCGCGGCTGTCACTCTACGGGACCCACACCGGAGAATGGATTATAACTAAGAATGGACGCTCAAGCCATAAATGAGATAGGGAAGCTGTGGAGCATGGTTGTCATTCATATTTCTCCCTTTTGCTACCTCTATACCGAATGTAGTAGGAAATTTCTGAAGGTTTTCGCCCATGAGGTTTCCCCCACAGTTTTCATACCTATACACAAGAACAGAATCAGCTGTAGTATAAAATAAACTTATATATTACTGTTACTCTGATCAAGGTCCAGAGTTAACCACTGGGAGAAAGAACATTGGTTGTTCCAGGATATTTGAACACAACCAGGCAAGTGGTATATTGCCTTGCTGAGAGCCCGGAGACCACTAAGAAAACTTCGAATGTAATATCTATAGCTTGGTTAGACTTTCCTGAGAAATTTCAACTAATTTTCAGCTTTTCAGACGGTCTGCGTTGCTCGGGAAAAAGAGGAGTTTCAAAACCGAGATGTGTTTGCAGTCAATTTCGGTCAAGATCAAGGGCCAAGCCTCGCCATAAGGCCAAATAAAAGAAGACTACTTATCATATATTGATCTAGTCGGTTCCGAGCGCCACCTCGCAATTAAGGGACTGACTGTATATGTATATTCTCAAGTTACATCCATACATTATATCAAGTTATTACCTGTTAGCCTGCCACAATACGACCACACTAACAGTCTAATCTCAAACATCTGATTGACTTTGGCACAAGGCCCAGGGGCGTTTCTTCGCAGTACATCTGTCGCTGATAGACTTGGCCATCTTGACGTGTCGATACGAGGTTTTCTTCCGAAAATTAAGACGATGATGACACAGAAGCGGATTGGAAGGAAGATGGAAAACTACCTATCTGGAAGCTATCAATTGAATCCTTGGCTATGACACTGCCCGACATCCAGGGTAGAGCAGGGTGAGCTCTTTCAGTTTGGCCATCGGCACAAGCATCACGGCCCCATTGATTGCATCAGGTGTGCCAAGTCTACTAATGCAAAAATTGTGATGGAGTGTTTGATCTATCGTGTCATCAATTGGGATTTTACAAGGATCAATATTTTCAATGCAAGCGGCTTCAGACTGCACTTACCATGGGATATACGCCTTTCCCCACAATTCATCTTGTCTTTTCGCATGTGAAGATACGGCCATGATATCCGGACATGATAGAGATGGATTCGAACCTGGAACTGCTCCCCAAGGGGTTCCTAGGTAGGAAAGCCTACCCAAGCTGTGTTGCCCATAAGTGGCTAAGCAATATAATGTGATCGCTTTTGACATGGAAGCTGTTGGGGTATGGGATTGTCTGCCCTGCCCGGTGGTCGAGGGGTTTACGGTTATGCCGACAGTCATAACAATAAAATATGGCAGCCATATGCAGCAACGACAGGTGCTGCCTGTATGAAAGCGAAAGTGTTACTAATGTTCAAGTTTCACTAATTAGACAGCATAAGGACGTCAGCTCACTATGAGCCTGTAAAATACATTTAACTGGCAGACTAGGTACGACAAGTGATAGGGACCGCTCCGCAACAAACCAAATACCTAACGTAAAGCACAGTGCAGGGTGTACATTTGGAGAATCAATTCTGGAGAAGATGTCGCAATTTCCACAGATCTCCAGTTCCAACCATTACTTTTTGGGTGATAAGGCATCGTCCTTTTTGTGATACTTGTGGGTTTCAGTAGGCATCTTGGTTTCACCATTTCGGTCCAGCAGCTTGCAGGCAAGACTTAGAAGAAACGGCTGCGGAGCGGCGGTCCATTTATCTAGCCAAGCACTTTTCCCGCCGTAAAAATATAGATCCACAAATAACTCACGAATCAGTGCTGACTCAGTTGTGTTTGCATAAGCGTAGATGATCACATCTAGTCCAGGGTACCACCTTGTGTTATCTCGTTCCGGGGTGCGAACTTTCTCGATAATAGCGTCGATAGCGGCGTTCTGAAATTTGAAGTCCAATAGTCTATCACCCAGAATATAAGCCTTGACTAGGTTCGTGTACTCCGTATCCATGGCTGAATCATCACAAGACACAGGGAGTGTGCCACAGTAAAGCCAGTGAACGTAGATTGCAATCATCTCCGGCTCGTCGTTAGGTAGGTGGACAGTGCGCAGCACAGATTCCTTCCTTTTCCCTGACAAGGCCTTTTCCAAGAAAGGAGAAGAGGCAGGAACCAGCGACTCGTGAACACTGTAAGCCTTTTTTTCGTTCCCCACCAGAATGTCAATGGTTCTTCCCTGGAATCTTGCGCTGGGTTAGTACAATCTAATGAGATATAACTGACTGGGCGCTCAATTACTTAGCGGCATTTTCTTTACCGACCCGGAGTAGTTTCGAAGCCATGTCTTTTGCGTTGTTGAGATGGCTGCGTGGAAGATTGTTTGGAAGATTGTTTGGAAGATTGTCCGGATGGTTGTGAGGGTAAACAACCACCTACCTCTAGTACCTACTTTTTATTGTTGACATTCGACTAGGCCAAATGCAGCAAGCTAGCCCACAGTAGACAAGGCACTCATAGTCACCTCTTTTCGCATGGAATGGCCATACATTCACTGCAAGAAATTCTTTTTGACTGATCATCTTAGACATACCTCACTATATGACAATTCCAATTTAATCCCAAATAATATACCTGGACAAGAAACACACAATCAAAAGAAAGAAAATTTCTCTGCATACCAAACATCCACTTCACCACAACATACCTGAACCTTCTAACCCAACCCCAGATTAATGGTATCCTGCTTTTTCGGCTGTTGGGGTAGACTTGTATTGAAATCTCAACCCTGCGCTCCACCGCTGCTGAGCCTCTGAGGTTAGCATTTAGGGCTGACTGACGTATTTTCCATACTCCGCAAGGTCTCCACGCTTAAGACTCTGCTATTGGAGTCACTTTTATTCTATTGGCATGATAGTTGGCTTGGGGGAAATGGAATGATATAGAACTGTCACTAATTGAAGTTCGGAGTTAGTTACCGGAGTAAGGCCATCGGTGATGTTTGCGAAGTTAGTCTCGATCAATGTCAAGGGCCCAATTTCGTAGTAGGGCCCCAAAAAACTGTGGTATGTGTTAATTAAATCGGTTCCGATCACCTTCTCACATATAGGGACAGACAGGAACTGATTCCTACATTGTATCGCCCGGGAAGTTCTAAACGGAACCTCGCACCTCAATCACCAGAGTCTTGGTCGGAGGTCTCGAGTAAGTCAGTACGCTGAATCTTTAGGTATATATTAAGCTTCAAAGCATAATTCACAGTGAATGCTAGAATGGGAGGTACTATCAAAGCTTCTATTTGTGGTGACAATCTATGAAAAGATGACTAATCGCCAAATGGGGTCATCATACGATGTCTCTTTTTCCTCTTTTTACTCTCTCCTTCCCCTCCATCCCTTCTTCTTCCTCCCTTTCTTCCTGACATTCTCTCCACCCCTCGCTAGCCTTCCATCTCACATGCATCAATATTCCCTCGTCAGACGCAGCATGTGCACAGCACGAGCAATGTTCTCGTCTCCCGAACCACTCGGACTCGGAACTTCAGCGATCCGCGACATTCCGCAGTGGAACTCAAACTAAACAATTAGACTCGACCAGGCGCAAATGGCTGAGCCGTTGAGGCAAGTCGGCGATAAAAGAAAACCATGACAACGGAATTATGTGGATCGGTTCGGAAATCTACGATTCTGCACCGGCGCGTGATTGTCGAATTTCTTTCGGACTCTTCAGGCCTACAATTCCCGATCCTTTTTCGCCTGTCTGACCCTGACGGACCCGGGACGTTGCTCCCCGCGAACCTGGACCTGGACTGCAGTCTAGCTGTTTGAAGTTGCCGGTTTCCTTTCAGTGGAGTAGGGGATGACTCGGTGAGATGGAAACAGCATGGAAACTTCGTGGACCGAACTTCTACGGACCGGGTTCTCCCATCCTCAATGTTCCGAGACCGTGAAGGGGTATGAGGTCATCATGTGTTCAGGACCGTTTCTCCCGGCAGACACATTTTTGTTTCTACCTTCCAATGTCTACAATGCTCTACATGATTTAAATCGGCTTTTCATTGATTAGTTGCACGGCGCAATGAAGGCAATCCTCGCAGTGCCTCGCACTGAATTATTTCTACGGTCGACTCGTTCCCGCCCTGTTTGTCTACAGAAAGCCCGCGCCGCCAGATCCTTTGCAACTGAGGTCAAACATTCCACCGCTATTCCCGATTCTGATGCGAAGAAGGAACGAGTCGTGATCCTCGGGTCCGGCTGGGGCGGCTACTCACTTTCTCGAAAGCTCGCTGCGCAATCGTTCGCGCCCGTCGTCATCTCCCCGCGCTCGTACTTCGTCTTCACGCCGCTGCTGACGGACGCCGCAGGCGGGTCGTTAGATTTCTCGAACATCGTGGAGCCCGTGCGCGATCCGCATGCCAAGGTCGATTTCATCCAGGCGGCCGCGCGCAGCGTCGACTTCCAGAAGAAGACCGTGCTCTGTGAAGCGACGGTCGTGAAGAGCGGCGTGACGGAGTCGCCGCGCACGCACGAGAATGAGCGCGAGGCCGAGGAGGGACCCGAGACAACCAAGTACCAGCCCATGCAGGGAGCACGGGACTGGGAGAAGGGCGAGATGTTCGAGGTGCCATACGACAAACTGGTAGTTGCTGTCGGCGCCGTCAGCAAGACGTTCGATACGCCCGGCGTGCGGCACAACGCCATGTTTTTCAAGGATATCGGCGATGCGCGGCGTGTCAAGCGTCGCGTGCGGGAGTGCTTCGAGCTGGCCGTCTTACCGACCACGAGCCCTGAGATGAGGCAGTGGTTGTTGCATTTCGCCATCGTGGGAGCGGGCCCCACTGGCACCGAGCTGGCGGCGTCCCTACGCGACTTCATCTATAAGGATTTAGTTCGGTTGTATCCGGGTCTCCAGGGCATCCCGCGCATAACGCTGTATGATGTGGCACCAAAGGTGCTGTCGATGTTCGACGAGTCACTGTCGCGGTATGCCATGGAGACCATGAAAAAAGAGGGTATTGATATCAAGACGTCGCATCATGTGCAGGGCCTGCGATGGGGTGTCCCCGGCGCCGAGCCACCGTATCCGATGGATCCGAAGCGGTGTCTAACGCTGACTACAGAAGAGGAAGGTCAAGTGGGCGTGGGTATGTGCGTGTGGGTAACAGGCAACGCGATGAACAAGTTCGTGCGCAAGTCGTTGCAGGACCTTGAGACGTTTCCCCATGGGTCGGCTGTCATCAAGGATGGATCATCGTCATCCGATACCCAAACGTGGCACGTCAAGAAAGCCCCCAAAGTCGGCGCCCTGCTGGTGGACGGGCACCTACGCGTGCAGCTCGAGAGTGAGGACGGCACGACGGCTGTCCTGCAAGACGTGTTCGCGCTCGGCGACAACGCAATGCCTGAGACGGGTGCGCCGCCGGCTACAGCGCAGGCGACGTTTCAGGAGGCCAAGTGGCTGGCAGCGCGGCTTAACAAGGGCGATCTCCAGCAGAGCGCGCCGTTCTCATTCCAAAACATGGGTACCTTAGCGTATATCGGCGATGCCAAGGCGTTGATGCAGCTACCGCAGGATAACAATAGCAAGTATCTGCCAGGCCATTTGACGGGGCGTATGGCGTGGATGGTGTGGAACTCAGCATACTTGACGATGAGCATCAGCTGGCGGAATAAACTGCGGGTGGCATTCCGGTGGATGTTGAATAACATATTTGGCCGAGATGTGTCGAGATATTAAATGGATAGATGTACAGTAGATACTCTCGAACAATTGTTTTCAATATGATAATCGCTGTAGACTTACAGTGTATGTGTCCTCCGGAGGATGATAATCCCGGCGCCAACCGTAAACATACCAACCCTTTGTCTTTGGGCCTCCCACCTTCTTTCGTTTCCATCCAACATCCCAGCCAAGCCACCATGGCTTCTCACCCTAGTAAGCCCTCCATTCTATTTTCGAGCTCCTACTAACATCGCCAGCCCCCACTCTCCGTCGCAGTTGCATTTTCTGTCGCACGCGTAAGATTCGCTGCTCAGGGGGCCACATCTGCGCCGCCTGTCGCGAGCGTAACATCGACTGCGTCTACAGCCCCGAGGCTCGCAAGGGCCGCCCTCGCCGTAAGATCCGACATGACTCGTCAGCCAGCCCTGCGGCCGATCAGACGCCATCTCCAGAAATCACGACAGGGGCTGCTTCGTCCCAGACCACGCTGGGCGAGGATCTCGAGCAGCGGTTCAATGCCTACTTCATCAGTAATCCGGGGTCACGCTCCAATTTGTTCCAGAACTCCATCGCCTCGTTCTATCGGCGATCTGGGCCCGCTCCGGCCGGCCCACCACGACCTCTCAGCTATGACGGGCTGCTGTCCTTGATGGGCCATGAGATGGTGGAGATGCTGCTGCTGCGTCTTGGGCATTTGGGATGTGAGAGACCGGAGTCGGTGACGAACCGTAATGCTTTTATTACCGGGTTGGCGGCCGACACGAGCGCGTCGATGTTCGAGCCGTCGCAGCATGAGAATCCGTTACCGGCACTGGGATCGCAACGCATCCTTCAACTTGTGGATTTGTGGTATTCGATGCACCCGCTGTCGGCGCTGGTGTCTAAGACGCTTCTCATCAATCGCATTAGAGATGGTACGGTCGATGAGGCCCTCCTTGGGTTTATCCTCGCGGATGCGAGCGACTTTTACCGCGCCCGAGTGTCCAGCCACGATGCCATTGACCCGGAGATCCTTTTCCAATGGGCCGCCACGCAGCTCCAATGCCGTCCTGCCCTTCCCTCACTGTCCACCTCACAGTCCCTCATACTGATGGCCTGGCGTGATCTCTGCTTCGGCCGCGCCCGCCGCACCACCTGCCTGGTCGGATACGCCTGTCGCAACCTCTCGCGACTATACGAGCATTGGCAGCGACACGAGCGCAAAGACAGTCGCAAACTGAACGGCGTCGCAATCAGCGACGTCGAGCTCGAGATTCTGCAGAACATCTACTGGTTCTGTCTTTGCACCACCACCTGGGCCTTTATGCAAATTGATCAGCCCTTCTCGCTGTTCGTTCCGGACGAAACGCCCGCCTTCCCTTGCGTTGACGAGACCTCGTCCGCTCTCCTTCATCTCGACCGAGCGTCGGATCACATCTCCACTTTGCCTGCGCAGACGGTCGCCCTGCGCGCCCTCTGGCCTCTCAGCCAGATCAGCAGCACGGTCGGACACATCTACACGTTGTATTTGAATGCACCGAAGGATGCAGCCGAGTCAACCACCACGCCGTGGCAAACGAGGCATATTCATCAGCTGCACCGGTTGCTTCAGTCACGGGTGGATTTGTCAGCCCTGGCGCGTGAGATCCGCAGAATCCTTGTACAGGCGATCCGGGCTGTCGAGACGGAGGTTCACACCGGCGCATCGCGGTCGCAGCTGTTAGTTGCTTATCACACTATTGTCATTCATATGCTGTTTCCGCCGGGAACAGGTCCGTCCAATGGGTACGCGCATGAGAATGAGAATGACAATGGGAACGTGACGGATGCGTTCTGGCATTCCGTGCAGGCCATCCTGGGTGTTCAAGGTAGCGAGAGAGAAAACGACTCTTCGATCTTCGCGTCCACGACAGACTCGATCTCTATAGCGCCGTTCCTGTCCCTCGCGCTGGATACATGTACTCGGGCCTTGACGCATCTGTATCATCATCACCACGCACCGACCAACGCTGCCAATCAACCCACAGATCAGAGTCAACTCCTCGACTACACAACCCACCTGCATACCACCTGTCTGCGCGAACTCGCCTCGTCCGCCTCCGCATCATCCTATCCCATCCTCCGGGCCGCCAAGAAACGGCTCAAAGGCATATCCCTGGCCCTGCAGAGTCTCGGGTCGCCACCGTCGCTACCAGAGCTAGATCTGGAATTTCCTGGTGTGGGCTGGACGCCTGAGGGCTTCACGGGAGGGGGCCCAGGAGTAGGGGGAGGTATGTCGGGAGATACTAGTCTCGATGTAACTGGGCTTGGAGATGTAGATGTCGGGACAGACACAGCTGGGTTCTGGCAGGGACTGGAGATCATGGATCCGTGTTTCTTTGCGGATGTGCCGGTCGATGCGACGGGATTGTTGGGATTCCCGGGGTTGATGACGGGAGGGAAGGAGGTGAATTTCGATATAGACTTTGATTTGGTGGGTTTATAATCTGGGTTGGGTTATATATGATATAGTAGAATTCATTGTGTTTGGTCATGTTATCGTGGACTGTGCCCTATCCTATCTTAGCTATACTAGGTATCCTATCCTACATCAATCCCACGAACGAATAGTTCAATGCCATTACATGAAAACAAGTAGCTAAACCGAACCGACAAAAAAAAAGAACAACCGAGAATTAAATACTAAGCACAACCAGTGCACCCCAGCAATCCAAAAAGAGCCAAAACCAAATCCCCGGAAACGAAATCAAGCCGTCAAACTAACCACCCTGCCCACAAACTCCCCCCCATCAGCCTCCACGACCCTCTCAAACATCCACCCCCCAACATCCCTCCTCGAGATGGTATACCCAACCGCAGCATCATCATCAACCCCGAACCGAATCTTCCCCGTCCCGACGCCCTCCCCGGACGTCAACAAACTCGGCCGCACGATCGTATACCCGCGCAGCACACAATCACCCCGCCCCATCTCCTTGCGAACCGTCTCCTCCATCACGCGCTTATCGTCGTGCGGCACCTTCAGCATCCAGTGATACAGCGGGATCATGGCGATCGGGATATCCCGTTTCGTCGCGATGCCGGTGGTGCTGACGACGGTGAGATAGGGTTTTGTAACCTTCGCGGCGGTGGACCCGGACCCGGACCCGGACCCTGAACTCTGGAGGGCGCGACACGCGTCTAACACACTGCGCACCGCATCCTGACAGATGGTCGGATTGTCGAGGGTCGGACGGAGCGGGTTATCGAAGCGCGGGGTGCCGCCGACGCCGGAGACGATGAAGTCGACGAGGTCGTAGCCATCGGGCAATCCCTTCCCAGCACTTCCATCCAGCTGTGCATCATCGTCCAGGTGGCTGGCAGACTCTGACCCCGGTGAGGATGACGAAGACTTGACGATCAGCGTCCGTCGCACGGCATCGGCGTCGTCGATCGAACCCTGGATGACGGCGAGATTGGCGGTGGGGACGGTGACGTTGTTTTGGTGGAGGAGGTCGTGGAGTTTGGAGGGAGATCGGACCACTTTTTTTTTGGGTTAGTTTTTTTTTTCTTCCCTGGATTTGCTTATTTTCTTTCTTTTTTTTTTTTCTTGACTATTTCTTGTCTTTCGTATTGATGTGTGATATGACATAAAGGCAGATGGGAATCGAGAGGCTGGGACGTACGGGCAGAACAACGGTAACCAGCCTGCAGGGCGGGAATGAGACAGTTCAGCGTGGAGCCGCCGGTGGCTCCGAAGAAGGCGATGGACTTGGTCATCTTGTAGATCTTGATGGACGAACAATCTGATAGATAAATGAATCCGACAGAAGTGGTTCTGATGATGATTATTCTGAATGACTCGAATAAATTCACCTGAAATCTGAATTGCTTATATACTCTCGTCGACGAGGCTGCGGGAGGGAAGTCTCCGTGGACCGGCGGAGACTTTCTTGGCAAGGCTCCGTGCTTTGGATATCCGATATACAGTCGTTGAGTTAGACGATAGCGGTGGTAATCCGTTCGCTACGTGTACTAGAGACAACCTAGAATCCTCCGGAATAGGTACATCAGACATCTACTCCGTATTGTCTGTCCGGACATTGCTTGTTCGGTGGAGCGTGCATAACTAGATCGGGCAAATACTCGGTGACATTACGGAGATATTAGAACTGTTAATAATGCCCACGTTTAGGCACCAGGTTAATGCCAGTTAACTGAATGGGAAGAATGTTTCTGACGGATTTCACTTAAATTAATTCCGGAATTAAATAATTATGAAAAACGCTCGGATGCGCGGCCGCCGCACGTGCCCTGCAATCTGTCCGGTGGATCGAGTCATACGAGTCAATTGATTTCAATTGAATGAATTGAATAGAAGCGAATTCGCTAACTATATACTGAGTAGAGAGTAATCTGCATTGTTACAGTTATTTCATATTCAGTTCTAATTGTTATTAAAATCTCTATTTGTACTCAGGAATGAAGGATCGATTATGTCAGATCCATGGCCTCCCGGTCGTTTCGCAAAAACTTCATCTCAGCATCCTCCATACACCTCCTCCATACTCTCTACGGTATACACCACAGGAACACACCGCAGGACGGGCAGCTACGCTGTTTAAGGGAAATCGTCAATAACGAATCATCTCTCGTACTCGTAGCCGCCCGTCCTGCGCGTCCCCTTCAAATCAGCACTCTTCGCCCCTGCGGTGGACCCTTCTCAGCACTAACCATGGCTCAGCCCCAGGGGTTTCATGATGATCTTTTCTTAGTCGACCCTGACCCTAATTCCCTAGTCCGACAAGTAAGATGCTGCCTGCCCCCCCTGACGTCCAGTCTGGACTGCTGGTCTCCCACTAATTGACACCTTCCCCCAGATCCGTGTCCTGCCGGCTCTCGTTTCATCCTCTCTCCCTCTCTCTTTTCCTCCCTCTTTCTTTCTGTTCTCTCCTCCTCTTCGACCCTTCGACCTTCCGACCTTCTGTCCCTCCTTTCGTCCCTCCCGGTCATGGACGCTGGCTTCCGTCCGTCATGAAATTCTTCAACCTCGTCGCGGGCGCGCTCGCCGCCCTCGTCCCCGTCGCCCAGGCCGTCAACTTCATCGCCGCCGACTCGCTCATTCAATGCGGCGACAACACCAAACTTTCAGTCACCAAGTTCTCCGTTCTCTTCACCCCTAATAATAAAACCCTCGAGGTCGGTTTCGAAGGTTCCACCGCCATTTCCGGAAAGGTGGACATGCAGGTCGACCTGATTGTCTACGGGTACAAGGCCCTGACTGAGCACCTCGACCCGTGCGGCAGTAAAGATCTCGCCGGCCTCTGTCCCATGAGTCCTGGTGACTTGGACCTGAAATCCGCCAAAATCTCCGTCAGCAAGGATGTCCTGGGCAAGATCCCCTCCATCGCGTTCAACGTGCCCGATCTGGATGCTCGCGTGCGCATCACCGTCAACGATAAGAAGTCCGGTGATAGCATCGCCTGCGTCGAGACACAATTGTCCAACAGCAAGTCTGTCTACCAAGTGGGCGTCTCCTGGACCGTCGCCGTCATCACCGGATTGGGTATCATCATGTCCGCCGTCTACTCCGTGCTGGGTCACTCGCAGACTGCCACCCACGTCGCCTTCAGTTCGATTTCCTTCCTGACCTTCATGCAGGCCCAGGCCATGGTCGGCATGATGTCCGTTCACATGCCGCCCATCGTGCAGGCCTGGACCCAGAATTTCCAGTGGAGTATGGGCATTATTCATCTGGAGAGTTTGCAGACTCTCTGCACCTGGTTCCAGCGCGCCACCGGAGGCACGCCCTCAACGCTGCTCTCCGATCTCTCCCACACCTCGGTCATCGTGCAGAAGCGCTCGACCATCCTATCCCGCGCTCTCGGCGGCCTGATGCGCCGTGCCGACGAAGGCACCGGGCAGGTCACTGTGCGCGGCATCGAGCGCGTGGGATTCCGCGCCTCCATCGAGCCCAGCAACGTCTTCATGACCGGTTATTTCTTCTACTACTTCATCGTCGTCGTCATCCTCATCTGCGCCCTGCTGACCAAACTCGTGTGGAAGCTCCTCAGTAAGAAACGGCACCTGCCTGTGCAGCTGACCGCCGGCTGGACGACGCTGACCCGCGGCACGCTCTTCCGCCTGATGTTCGTCGGCTACACGCAGATGTGCGTGCTGTGCCTGTGGGAGCTGACGCACCAAGACTCCGGCGCCGAGATGGCGCTCGCCATCTCCATGTGGCTGTTGACCTCGCTGGCCCTGGGCTGGGCCACGTTCAAGATCTTCCAGCGCGCCAAGCGGTCCATCAGCATGCACAACAGCCCCGCCTACACGCTCTACTCGGACCCGACCTGCTTCAACAACTGGGGTTTCTTGTACATCAACTACCGCGCCACGGCCTACTACTTCATCGTGCCCATGCTCATCTACACGATCATCAAGGGCATGGTGATCGCCTTCGGACAATCGGCGCCCGTCGCACAGGTGGCACTAAACCTCGTGCTCGAAGCCATCATGCTGATCGGCATCAGCGTGATCCGGCCGTTCATGGACAAGGGAACAAACATCTACGGCATCGCCTCGGCGGCCATCAATTTTGTCAACTCGGTCTTCCTGCTCATCTTCTCGAACGCCTTCAAGCAACCGGCCCTAATGACCGGTATTATGGGCGTCATCTTCTTCGTCTACAACGCCGTCTTCGCCATCGTCATCTTGATCTGGATCCTGCTGGGCGTGTACCACGCCATTCGTCTGAAGGAGCCTGACTCGCGCTACCAGCCTATTAACGACGACCGGAACTCGTTCATGCGCTCCGGCGACCAGATGACCACGGAGCTCGACGCCCTTGGCAAGAGCGCCCGCGGTGACTTGCGCTTCCAGTCCCTCGGCGACGGCGACGACTGGAGTCCTGCGCGCGAGAAAACCGGCTGGAGCAACAACAGCGATCCCTACAACCACAGCAACAACAGCAACTATAGCAGCAGCAACGGCCCGCACACGATGGCGGGTGCGCGATCACAGACCGACATCGTGGATCTCTCGGTGCCGCTGGTCCCGAGTGGTCATAATCAATATGACGCGCGGTATCAGCAACAGTCGCCATATCAAGCACAACAACCGCATCGGATGTTTTAATTGATTGATTGATTGGATTGCATTGTACATATTTAAAATGGGTTCCCTTTTTTGGTGTCATTCCTTACTTTCCTTTCCTTTTCTTTCTTGTTGATATTATCTTGTACCATAGATTTTGGACCTTTGTCTTCGGAGTATATATTATGGATTTAATGTTTTTGATGATTATCGATGTTGAACACCTGTAAGGATTGCCTACTTGCATGGGATGCGAGTTGTAGCAATCTCTTTTCCATTTTAAAACTCACTCAAAGGGTGGATAACTTTCTCTTTTCTCTTATTTTGCCATCGATAATCCCGAATAACGACCACGACCTCGGTTAAGCCATCCCATCGTGCTGAGGATCTCATCCATAGGGAAGGAAGTCATAGATGGGAACCACTTCTCTAATTGAACCAAAGTCCGGCTTTAGCAGTGCGCCGATGACTCGGTTCCCTTTCGTGATATTCATGGGAATGGAACCATTTTCTGTTGCATTGTTTGCGCTTTTCCTGAATCATATTTCTGCGTCATTGCCTTATTTCTAGCAGTCAGAAGCGTGGTTGGATGATCCTGGCCACAGTCACTGCTTGTCTTTGATCGCCATGCTCTCGGCTTGATCTGGATTTTCTTGCAGTTTCTTCTGTAATCGCATGCGGCGCTTATCTGCCAATTTTAAAGGTGCGCCCGCTGGTTATCTATTCGCGGTTCGTTGATTTTTCTTCTAGATTGATCATCCGGCCGCGATTCATTGGTATCTGGCGGAGGGGCGGCAGTAAGCGGACGCGCTGGTTCTCGGTCGATTATTTGATATGCGCGCGAGGAAGCGATGCTCGGTTCCTTGTTCACAAATGCGCACACACGCACGCAGACGGTTCTTCCACGCCTCCTCACGGTTGAGACAGTGTAGGGCTCCGCAAGGACCACAGGACGGTATAACAAGTCAGCTCTTCAAGCCTACACATGCTCGCATCTGTCCTGCACAAGAACTACACGAGCCCGAGCAGAGAAGCCAATGTAACCTATCCAGTGACCTTTCTCCTCTGATGGCGATGCGGTAATAGGATACTGCAATGGGGTCGCTTGGCGAGCAGCGCCCTGGTTCGTCGAACTTATCGAGGAACACCGCGGGAATCGTAGCAGTGTAGACATAAAGGTATTTTGCCATTGCGCTAGAAATCGCGAGAAGTTTCACCTTTGGAGACTGTGTCAGGACTTTTATTTGAGTGCTGATCTTCGTTAGGGGAGATGCGGCATACCTCGGAAGATTGAGCTTCGTTTGGAAGATTGGAGGGCAGACGGCCTGGACTTGTTGTCCATGTACCATCTGTGGATGGTTTCACGTTTCGGCTATTGTGCTGTTGCTGTTGCTGCTGCTGCTGCTGCTGCTGTTGTCTCTGTTCTTGAGCCAGAGCGATGAGCACCGCTATGAGGTATGGATCCTCAGCTGGATTCAACGGCTCGAGAAGCCGCAGATTCCCCCGCTTATTATTGAGAACTGATACATTGGACGCTTTATCCAACCGAAGATAGCTCTCACGGAGCGATCGAACCGTGTCGAAGCTGATAAAAGCGAGATTTGAGGGAGCAGCGCTAGACGCGAAAATGCCATCTGTAGGAAGCGTCGCAGCGGCTTGATGGTTGAACCTGAACGACAGCCATTCCGAGTTCCTATAGTAGAAATCAGCAAAAGAGCCATGCTTTAGAACTTGTTGACCAGAATGATCAATCGTCAGGTAAGGTAGGTTTAGTTACCCTTGTGGACGGATATCGTAGGCTTCAAGAATCTCCTGAACGGCGAATTTCTTGACCTCAAGGGTGCTCACTTGTGCCAGTTGGATCTTTAGACGCGGGGCGTGTTTGGACAGCTAGGATGCGGCGGTCAGTTGGCCAAGTTCACCGGGTGTAAGATCACGGCAATCTTCTTTGGGGAGCGTCTTCTGCAGGCTGAAAGAACATCTCAGATACTGCAGATGGTCTGACGTCCAGGCTATCGGATCCACGTAAAGACGCGTTCGTGGATTGTGAGCAATGATTGAATGGATCGACGCGTCCTCCGCGACCCTGTGAGCGACGGGTGGCCGGGAAGCAGAGGCGCCATGGCGCGATCGCCGCGGGGAACGTATCTCAAGGCTGGCTTCGGGTTTCCGCTTCTTTTGAAGGGAAGAAGATGACATCGCAAAGTAGCATTGAACAAAGGAAATAGTAAGGTAGCGTATAGCCGGTGTAGCGGGGAAGAGAGAGGACGTAGAATGGGGCAGAAACGGGTCTACCGGGAGCTAATCCGGGAATAGAAGCCAGTATAGGTAGTCTCGAGGAGCGTATGTATGTACACATGTGGGACGAGAGGATCAGAAAGAGATTACGGGTGCTACTACTGCTACTAAAATGGAGGAGAACGAAATGATCTAAACTAGATTGTGGCAGCCTACCAAGGCACCCACCCACATTGTGGTGAAGAGGCCGCAGATGATTCTACCGACATCTCTTCTTTTTAAACAAGAGCAGCAGTGTTAGTAGCAAGAGCGCCAGTAGTAGGTATCGCGGCTTTCCTCTGTTCGTTGTCGCCGACCACAATCGTGGCCTTCGGTCCCAACGATACTCAGTGCCGATGACTGTAGCATTGCGAATGGCATCAGGAAGCTCAATGTCATCAATGGCATGCCATCTTCCACTAACTATACCTTGTTTACCTGCATACACATTGGAGCCGCTAAGAGCGGAAGAGTATGATGCCCAGTGGGCGATAACTGGGTATCCAGGCCCATTGGTCACCGAGGGCAAGCTGGCATCGGTAATCAGACTCAAATCATGGCTGTAGCCAGAGGGTGATGGTTGGATGAGGATAGTACCAGGTATACCTCGTCAGTGAGACGTATGCCCTACGGAACCAGATCGTTGAATGTCGCCTTCTCCGCCCCATTAGATCAAGAACTCTTCTTGGGCTTAGGTGGGGGGTTCATAACGGTGTTTAGAATCGGAGCTGTATTGCCTTGTTTATTCTTCACTAGGAGCATTCGGAAAAATCCAGGTAGGTAGCTTTCCGAGACAAAGAATATGTTGATAGGGTGTTAGGGTATGCTTTCCCTCTTTGTTCTGATGAACTCGTGCCAAAGAGTAATCGAAGAAGAAAAAGAAAAAAGAAACAAAAGAGATTTGAGGAAATAGCCGGGGAGCCACAAGTCTAGAGGAAGATATTGGCCATAATAGTGACTAGGTTGCCTTTTTAGATTGCGTTAGGTCACTTTAAGATAAAAGATGTCATTTTTATACTTACATGAAATCAGGAGTGCCTCTTACGATTGTTCTTTGAGTTGAATCACTCGATTTATTAGCAAATGCCAAAGTCATTCCCGTTGCTTGAAGTGGCACGGTGATATTAAGAGGACATAATAGATCGGGAACTGGAGGGTTTTGGTTAAAGATGCCGTTTCTTGACTCTACTACGTTTTCTCCCCTAAATTGTAAACAGATAGACATGTACTGCAAGCCGCTTTGACTCTCATGTAGGGCGTGGACTCCCCAAACTACCTCGACCCTGCTACTCATGCCCATCGAAAATGACTTGCAGATGTATGCCTCGAACATGAGCAAATATGTTTTGGGACGAGAGCCTAACCAAGAAGCAAGAGCAAACTGAAAATTCACATCCAACATTTGGTAATTGATGCGCTTCATAGCTATCTTGTGACATGATTATGGGTTGAACTGTTCAAACATCTCTCTCTAGTAAAAGATGTATTAACTTACCTAGGCCCTCAAAAGGACCATAACGGGAAGAGTGAAAACATCCGGGTCTTCAATGGACTAGACTTTGACGCTTAAGAACCTGGGATTTTCCTTGTATCCCCAAGTATGGACGGATCCCGAGTATTCTTTTGTAGAGACGATTTCTCTGTATTGCCGCCAGAACAAAGGAACACGCAAGTATAAAACGAGAGAGATTCGCATGTTCATCATGAGTAGCATATCCTTATCTATATCAACAACAATATCTTAAACAACACAGAAAAATCTAACAACACACGATGGAGCTTAGAACTCACACCCGGAGAGCTATTCCGATCCCCATCAAGTCTCGCGCATGTCGCAGGACCTCGCGGAATACTCTGAGAATCTCCTGCCATCTGCCCAGGCCTTGCTCTCCAACCAAACAGGCCATTCTAAGGACAAGCAAGCTCGCCATGTTGGCATCGTCGGTGCCGGGTTCGCAGGCCTACGATGTGCAGATATCCTACTCGCGCATGGACTCGAGGTGACGATCCTTGAAGCGCGCGATCGGATTGGAGGAAGAGTATGTATACCTGATACAATCATTGCCTCTAAGTAAATAAACATGCTAACTGATCTCTCTTCACAGGTCCACCAGACTGACATGCTGGGCCATTCAGTAGATATGTAAGTATTCGCCCCGGAGGAACGTCATGATCTATCCCGGGGACATAGAGGCTGACTTTGTTTGAAAAAAAAGGGGCCCCAACTGGGTTCACGGAACATCTACCAACCCTATCATGGCCTTAGCCAAAGAGACCGGAACAGCGCTCTGCGGAATCGAAGATACTCCGTTCATCTTTGGGAGAAATGGCGTGGAAGTCGATCCTGACAAGGTCTCCTGGGCCCTAGACACGGTCTGGAGCCTTGTTGACAAAGCGTTCAAGTACAGCAATGATAAATATCCCCACATCCCGTCAGACTATAGTCTTAAGGACTTCTTTGCTGATCAGGTCCAGAAGATGGGTCTTTGTGACACAGACTCGACGCTCGTCATGGACATGGCCGCGATGTGGGGATGATTCATTGGTGATTCCTGGGAGCGACAAAGTATGAAGTATATGTGGTTGGAGGAATGTTTGGACGGGGGTAAGTATTGATTGATCCTGATGACTTCTGGATCCATGCTAATCGGATTCATAGACAATCTGTTCGTAGCCAACACCCACGGGAAAATCCTGGACCGCATCTCGAACGCGGTTCTCCAACGGGCAACAATGCACTTCAACACAGCTGTCACGGCGATTACCAATTCCCCCGACAAAGACCACCGAGTCGTCGTGCAAACGAAAGACGCCCGTACCTTCGAGTTCGACGACATCGTGGTGACAGTGCCCCTAGGAACACCGAAAAACCACACTATCGAATTCAACCCACCCCTAGCTCCTCAAATCAGCCGAGCCATCTCAGAAGCCACGTACAGCAGCTTGGAGAAAGTGTACATCCGCTTCCCCTCTGCATTCTGGGACGCATCCTCCTCTCCGCCAGGACAACCCAGCCTGGAATCCTTCGCGCACTTCCTCACCCCGGAGTACACCGTGCAATCAAACCCCGACTCCTGGGACATTGAGATCCTCTCGCTCGCCTCGAGCGAGGTCTTCGGCGCAGACAACGCCCAACCGACCCTTCTTTTCCAGCTGTACGGGTCCTGCGCAGCGAAGTTGACGTCGCTCATCGCGCCACACGATCCCACTTCTGCGGAATACTTCCAGATCATCAATGACTTCTTCCAACCGTATTACAGCCGCCTTCCGAACTACCGGGCCACGGAGCCGGAGTGTCGTCCGGAAGCCGTCCTCGCGACGAACTGGCAGAACGACGAGCTCGCCGGACATGGCTCGTACATGAACTTTACGATTGCCGCGGAGAAGAAGAAGCAGTCGGAGTATAAGCTGGAAGAGGGAATTCGGGATCTGCGATAAGGACAGCCCGAGCGTCATATCTGGTTGGCCGGGGAGCATACGGCGCCTTTTGTGGCGCTGGGGACTCTGACCGGTGCGTATTGGAGTGGTGAGTCGGTTGCGGTGAGGATCCTGCGGACCTGTATGGGTGAGAGTGGTGATTCTTGACCTGTTTAGGGTAGCTGGGGTGCTCCTTTTGTTTCGAATCATGATTCGGTGTTATAGAGGTTAGATATAAACGTGACAATTGTTTCATGTTACTGGTCTTCTGCCGGCTAAATCCAATTGTTTGTATTAAAATGCATGCAGTCAGCTCTTGTACAGAGACTAGCGACCTGTATATCAATAGAAGTTGGTATGCGTCTAAGCATTGATACTAAAGAGTGAATCATCGAATACTAAAAAGTACAGAATATTTATAGGATCGGGCTCCCTTAAGCTGTTCAAAGCCTTTGTGATTTGGGTAAACAAAAGCCAAGCTTTCGGGAGTATGAAGCAAAGTCACAACCCTCTTTCTCGACCTTAGTCCTCATTGTACAGTACAAATACAGTCAACCCCTTCGAAGAAACATCCATTCCACCGCTCAAAACCATCAGCTACTCAAGATTTATTGTCGAAACCCGTCAGCGCCGTATGCGTAGCATAAAATGCCCCCTTCGGATTATAATACTCATCAAACATCAAAGGCTTCGCGCCCTTGATCCAAGTATAAGCGTGCTTATCCGTAAACCCCCAGAAGCTGATGTCGGTGATACCAGCATCAAGCGCCTCGCTGATGACGGCGTTATAAATATCCGTTTGCAGCGTAGCGTTCAGCGTATGGACATCCATTTCCGCAATGGAGACTTCCAACCCCAGAGCCTTGTACGAATCGACCATCTCCGTCAAGACGCCGGGGATGGGCGCGACCTCTGTGATGTGCATCTGGAGCGCAACGCCGTCGATAGGGACGCCGTTATCCAGCAGGCCGGAAACCAGGTCGTAGAGTTCTTGACGCTTGCCGGGGTGTGACTCGACTTGGTTCTCGTTGATGAACAGTTTGGCGGTAGGGCCTGCCGCACGGGCGATCCGGAATGCATCCTCGATGTAGCTGGGCCCGAGGACCTTGTAGAAGTCGTTGTGCTGTAGTCCGCCGCCCATTGTTTCGAGGGCCTCAGTGACCACGTCCCAGCGGTCCAGCGTGTCGTTGTAGCGGTGCATGATCGCCTCGAAGTGAGCGGACATGGCAGCACGGAACTGTCCGGGGTCGGTGATGTTTCGCAGGTAGTTCGGGTTGCAGCAGCTCGAGATGAGCCCGTGGCCTTTGACCACCATATCATTGTGCTTCGCGAAGTCGACGAGCCGGTCGATCGGGGCCCAGTTGTAGTGTCCTGGGGTCGGGTGAATGAAGGACCATTTCAGCTCATTCTCGGGGGAGAGGCTCTCGAATTGCTCGGCGAGGACAGTCGCAAATTGAGTATCATTGAGGTAGTTTGGGTTGATTGCCCCGGACCCGATGAGGATTCCCTTGCTACTTGCTTCCTCTCTCAGTGGGCTGGTCCTGGGTTTGGGGATGGCGGATGTTCCTTCGATGGTGGCGAGGAATGCGGTGATAAGTGTGGTTGCGAAACTGAAGGCCTTCATGGTGCTGTCTAGCGATGTAGTCTCTTTTCCTTGATGATTGGGAACAGACGGCATGCAGCTGCCGTCTCATCATGGAGTATTTATAGGTTCATGTGGCGAGAAACATATCGCAACGTAGTAGATCTATATTGTGACGGATCCGTAGTTGCCTGCGGAGTACGAACTACGAACACGAAACGTATTCGTTTATTCGTTTAGTCAGTCTTCCGGATCCACTTGACCCTAACTATGTAGATCCTTGGGTCAACATCGCATCTCCTTGCTATACTCGACCGAACTTGAGGAAAGGTTAAGCAGACATGAACTGCCCGGCCCTGGACGGTGCATCTCGAAAAATCCGGCCGGTAGAATCTTTCGGAAGTTGACCGGAGAAGAAGCGACGTCGTTTGCAATACTTAACAGCTTGGTTATAGAATGGCCGCGCGGGAGGAATTCTACCGGTGTTGATCGTTTCTCTGTTGTTGGACATTTCTAGGGGGACTAAAAGAAACGTCTTAAAGGGGTTGATTGTATGGGGAATGATGGTTGCTGTCCTAGCGAGCCCTAAATCCAGAGTTGTCGAGAGGGCAGATCGCTGGAACACTTCATTTCAGGTTTGGGTTTTGGTTTTGGTTTTGCTTTAGGTGCCATAGATGTAGATAAAAAGAGGGTGATGATTCAATTACATGTTTTTCTGTCGGTTAGATCTTGTTCTTTATATGATATGTACAGTCTAACCTCGCATATAGACAGTACGTCCGATATAGAAGGAAAGCTCAAGGTACCGGGTCACCCTACATTAATGGTGCTTCAATAACACCGGCTGTGCCATTCAAGGCAACACGAATTTAAACTCAACCTTATCCTATCTTTCACAGCTATATCCATAGTAAAGCTCATCAACAGCCAGTCTCACCCCGCCATTATCACAAAAGCGCCACACACTTCATTGCCACATCCGTATACTCCGGAATCGACTAACCGCAACACATCTATCAAAACAAAACAACACATCAACCTCGAATTCAGCCCCAACTACATCATCAAATGAGACAGGTAGGGGAAGGGTGGTGAATGGAGAGGTATACATACATTCTCACCGGGTTATCCCCCCAAACCACTCCAAATACGTCTCATACATCATCTCAAAGTCCTCCATATTGGCCAGGAAGACGTTCACCTCGACCATTTCCTCTAAGCTGAATCCTGCGGGTTCTAGAACTGCTTTAGGTTCTTGATGCATTGGCTCTGTTGTAGGTGTAGGCGCTGGGTTAGACCTTTCCATCTCTCAAACAATATACATAGTCTTTGCAAACCTCAACTTGAATTGGAGGAAGGAGTGATGGGAAGGCATCTAATAAGATAACTCACCGTGCGATCCTGCACGGTACCCGCGACTATCTGACCCGTCGAGTCCTTGGGAAGTTAACAGGAGGGTGAGATTATCTGGCATAAAAAGCAGGCCTGTTACGCATACGCATACATCCAGAAGCCATCAGTCCAATCGCATATCAGCGAGTCGGAGCAGTGGTGACTTTATCTCATCGCTAGGATAATTATTAGCTTGTGGTCGAGTTTGGGCTTGCTTTCTCGCTCCTGCGCACCCGATATGGTATGTAGGTCTGGGTCTGGGTCTGGGTAGCCCTACTTTCTTAGATAGTAATTTTGCCTACAACGTCGTTCGGAGCGGATTTGGGGTTTCAGGGGACATTTGAATAGGATGTTGTATTATCTAGTATTCAACAATCCACGCCTTTGAGTATCAATAGTCAGGCGCAAGCGAATGAGTAGACAGGTTTGCAGAATTAGAAGGGTAAGTAGGTAGGCAAATATTCGGTAATACATTGTTCATTTCTATTCCAAGATATATTCGTACATACATACATTCAATCATTCATCATAGTTATCATCACCAGATCATATCAGAATCAATAAATCGTCAATCCAATTCACCCCTCACAAGCATACTCTTCCCTACCGTCCTCCCCGTCCCCCTCGTCGACATCGGCAACAAACTCCCCCCGAACTGAGTATCCACGCTGCGCCGCACACTAAGAATCTTCTCCATCTCCAACGCCGTCGGCGTCGCATAGAGCTCCCCTCCATCCACCCTCCCCCTCCCCTCCTCACTCGTCCTCCGCGTCGACATCCACCGCCTCGCGCGCCGAATCCCCTCCTGACATCCATCACCGATATCATCGACCGCCAGGGCCAGCAAGATAAGCGGGATGGAGATGGCGAAACCGATCCCGAAGGTGTATTTCGCAACATAGGGCAGTCGAAGCTGGGAGTCGCCGTTCGGGGCATGCGGGAACTCCTGCATGTCGATGGTGAAGAAAGAGGTGATGAACGACAGCGGCAGGAACACGATCGTCACGATCGTGAACACCATGATGATCTTGCCCTGGCGGGTGGTCCCCGCGGCTTGATCGCGCGCGAACCGCGCCTCGAACGCGTTGGCGTGCTTTTGCTTCAGGTCGAGTAGGTCGGTGATGGAGGAGTAGATTCGTTCGGCTTGTTTGTCCATTCGTTCGATGTCTTTCATGTGCATGTCGATGGTGCGTTGTTGTTCTTTGAAGCGCTTGCGGGCTTCGTATTGGGAGCGTTGTTGGCCGTGGTAGATGTCGCAGATTACTTCTTGGAGGTCGGCCAGGACGTGCTGTTGGTGTTGGAGTACGGTGTGGATCATGTTGAGCTCGTCGCGGATGTCCTTGGCTTCGGAGAGGAGGTCGGTTTCTTGCCCGATGTCGAGGAGGTTGTCGACGAAGAGGGGCTCTTCTTCCTCCTCTTCGTCGAGGGGGTCGTGATCGTGGGTTGAGGGCTCGAGGAGTCGGTGGTCGCGACGGTCCGTCGCATCGGTTCCTTCGTTCTTGCGCGCACGCGCAAAGCGGCTGAGTTTGCGGTGACTCTTGAGCCACTCCGACGCCTGTGCCGAGGCGCGGTTAAACCGGCTGAAGAGCACTGTCTCGCGATCCGTCGCAATGCCGATCGAGGCCTCGAACATGTCCAGGAACTGATACTCCTCGTCGCCCATGCGATGGCGGTCGAAGACGCCGGAGCAGCGGTTGGTGATGACGATGGCCAGGTCGTAGATGGACCGCACGGGCTCGCGCGTCTTTGAGTTGATGTCCTCGATGACCCCGTCCAGCACGTTGAGCGGGTCGTTCTTCGGTTGTTCCCAGCGCTGCGGGAAGCTGGTCACGATCAGGTTCGTGCCGATGATCCACATCCACAGCTGGTCGACCATGAAGATCTTCGGTTCCGACCAGTATCGCTCGCGGCCCTGGCCCTTGGTCTGATACCGGTAGACCACCTGATCCTGGTCACGGATCTGCGTGTCGATGTTCGGGTAGAAGAACTGGTCGAGCGTTCGTCGCACATGCAGCGACGCCGACGAGGATGCCAGATGGGCTCGGATCAGCATCTCGTCGCGCGTCGGGGACCGACTAATGCCCGGGGCCGGGAGATTCAGCGTCTCGGCTCTTTGGATCGCCTCCTGCATCTTCTGGCGCCGTTCCGCCGTCTCGAAATGCAAGTAAGGCATGAACATGCATACATTACACGTCACCGATTCCTTGCAGAAGGACAGCGGCGAGCGATGCCGATCATGCGCATGAAATTTCGATTCTGACTTGGATCCAGACCCTCCATTCTTCCCGCGTTTGCCGTTCTTGCTGGCTTTCTTACCCTGAGACCCGTTGCTGTCGTCCTGCGGATTGCTTTCTACTCGGTCGGATTTCCCCCCTTGCGGTTTCTGCTTCTTGCCCTTTTGGCCCGGGGCCGGGATTTTGGGCGACGTGTCGTGCGACGTCCCGTTGATGACAATGCGCGGAGGGGCGCTGGTGTCTTTGTCTTCCACCGACTCCTCGGAACTATCCTCTGTGCGATTCCGTGGCGCCCGAGGCGAACTCTGACACAAAGGACGCATGAAGTGAGCGTGCGTTCGCTGGCCACGATGCTGATAGCGAAACGACCGCTCGAGACCTTTGAAGCTATCCACGTCGTGCGCCCCTTCCTCGATAAACGCCTTGGTCAGCAACGCCTCCACCCAGGCCATATTGTTGGCCGGCAGATGGATCCATCGGAAATCGGTGGCCTTGCTGTCCGCGGGGAGCGTATTAAAGGCCTGTTTGCGAGGATTCTCGGCATCGCGGCCGAAGAGCAGGTTAAACACACTCGTCTTCTTCACACGGTTCTCGTTGTGGAAGTTCCCAAAATCAACCACCGTCGCCTCGAACCCTTCGCACGCGCCCCTGGCATCGGCTGAGAGCGCATCGACGTTGTTGAACGGCGCCAGCAGCGACACGATATCCTTGCGCTTGAACTGCGCCGCGCGTAAAAACGGCGTACTCCCGAAGTTATCGCGGACCCGGCGCTTCAGGTCCTGTCGCTCCAGCAGACACTTCACGATCTCGGTATGTCCCGCCTGCGCGGCCAGATGCAGCGGCGTGACCCCGTTCAGCAGCTGGCTGTTGATCTTCGCGCCGGCATGCAGCAGCATGCGCACCAGCTCCTCGAAGCCCTTGTCGCAGGCATAATGCAGTGCCGTCCACCCGCCATCGCTCCGCGAGCCGATATCCGCTCGATGTCGCAGGAGCAGCTGCACGATGTCCTCGCGGCCGTGCGCAACCGCCAGATGCAGTGCCGTCTTGTTCCTCGACTCGATGGCATTCACGTCCACGATAAGCCCGTTCGGTCTCGTCAGCAGCAGCTCCGCGAACCGCCGCTTCCCCGTCGCGCAGGCCCAGTGTAACGGCGTCCGGCCCAGCTCGTCCTGTCCCATCGCCCCGTCGACATGACACGTCGTTTTCAGCAGCAGGTTCACCACGTCCTCACCCCAATCGCACTGCTTATCCGCCGCCAGATTATGCAGCACATTGCGGCCGCGATGGTCCTTCGCGTTGACGTCCGCGCCCCGCTGGATCAGCACCTGCAGGATATGCCAGTGATTCCGCCAGGCGGCGGTCATCAGCGCCGTGCGGCCTTTCTTGTCGCGGGTCTCGGCCGACGCGCCGTGCTCGAGCAGCAGCTGCACGATGCGCGGATGATTGCGCTCCACGGCGCGCAGCAGCGGCGAGGGCCGGTTGTTGTTCTGGTTGGCGTTGTTCGTGCCGCCATCGGT